CCCTTTCACCTGGTATACGGACCACAAGGGGCTGATTCATTTCATGAATCAGAAGAATCTGACTGGGCGACAGGCGCGATGGCTGGAAAAGCTATCCGAGTTCAACTTCACGATCGTTTACGTCCCGGGCCTGGAGAATGAGCTTGCGGATGCGTTATCACGCATCTATTCCGACGACGAGCCCGGGATCGTGCGCTCAAAGGACGAAATGGTTCAGTATGACGAGGACCATCCCCCGTGCAGCGATGTCATGCCTGTACTTACCGGTCTGGAAGCTCGGATGGCGACGTTGCGCCCTCGTGCTCCACGCACAGCAGTACAAGGGCCAGTGATGCTGCAGTCGTCTGAGGTATCGCCGCTGGCGCGTGCGGCCGTTGCACCGACAACCCGGAAACAGGCTCCTACGCAGTCGGCTGAGACAGGACGGCCGGAGACCGCCCAGGAATTCGCAAAACGTATCAAGAAGGTGACGCTGCGTCTTCCGGAGCAGCGTCAGGAGGGCGGGCATGGAGGAGTACATGCACGAACTGATGCAACAGGAAAGAAACCACCGAATGTAGAGACAGGCAGCGACGAAGCGGCCGCCATGGCTCCGAAATTCCTTGATGTCATAGCAGAATATGATGGGAACATTCGGTTTCCGGAGTGCCTGAAGGGTAAATACACGGAAGATCCATTTTTCAAGATCATACTTGAGAACCCGTCGCAGTTCAAGAACTTCACAATCGAAGACGACGTAATGTACTTGAAAGATGAGGGCTCGAAGGTCCTATGCGTTCCTGGATGCATGATAGGGCCCCGATCTGCACGCGAGATCATCATATCGCGTGCGCACTCCATCTTAGCTCACCTTGGGCCGTCTAAAACAATCGCGTATCTACGGGGTTCCGTGTGGTGGAAGTCGATGATAGCTGATGTTAGGGCTTTCTGCGAAAGCTGTGTGACTTGCAGAAAGAGCAAACCTAATAATCAGAAACTGTATGGATTGCTCAACCCACTACCGGTACCTACTCGCCCATGGGAAGCAATTGGAATGGACTTCGTGGGTCCACTGCCTGTGTCGAAGGACAGGAATGCGTCATATGATGAAATCACCGTAGTAATAGACCTGCTCACCGGCCGAGTTCATCTTATCCCGAGCCGACAGGATTACCGGGCGAAAGACATAGCAGAACTGGTATTTTCGGAAGTCTACCGGTTGCACGGGTTGCCGAAGCGCATCGTCAGCGATCGTGACGTTCTGTTCACAAGCGCATTCTGGCAAAACTTCAACAAAATATTAGGTATACAACTGAATATGTCTAGCGCCTACCACCCGGAGAGTGACGGATCCACGGAACGTGCAAATCGGACCATCACGCAGATGATTCGCGCTTGCGTCAGCCCCGATCAAAGGGACTGGGTCTCGAAACTACCTGGCATCGAGTTCGCAATCAATTCGGCACGATCGGAAAGTACAGGATACGCACCGTTTTTCCTAGACACCGGCCGGATGCCGAGGTCCATGATATGGGATCAGCCAGGTGACACCGAGTACCCGGGTGTTCGAATTTTTGCGCAGCGTATGCGAAACGCGATAATAGCGGCGCACGATGCGATTCTCGAGGCCCGAGTAAAACAGACGCGAGCCGCCAATCGGCATCGGCGGCCCGCCCCGTTTGCAGTGGGCGACATGGTCTACATCTCAACTAAGAATATTAGTTTCCCCAAAGGGCGCGCACGCAAGCTTGTGCCAAAATATATAGGGCCTTACATCATTTCGAAGGACTACGGAAACAACTCGTTTCGCGTAGATTTACCTGCCCGCTTGTTGCGGCGAGGCGTGCATCCAGTGTTCCACTCGTCTCTTCTGCGAGTACATGTCGCCAATGATGACCGCTTGTTTCCCGGGCGCGCAGAGACGCAGGTGGCGGACTTTGGCGAAGACGGCGCCGAATGGGCCGTAGAACGAGTTTTGTCACATAAAGGAAAAGGTTTAGCCGCAGTGTTCGAAATCAAATGGAAAGCGGGTGACATTACCTGGCTACCGCTTGATCGGATTGACGGTCTCGAGCAGTTGAAGCTGTATCTAGATGAGCAAGGTGTTAGCAGCGTGGGCGAGCTTCCAGAAGGAAAAGGAAAGCTCGATACCGATGATCCTCAAGTCTTCGTCGGCGGGATTCGGTACGAGACCGTATTGGATGACCGTCCGGCTGGAGGACGCGTATTTAGGCCAACGGGGGCTAACGCCCGATTCTTCAAGACTCGTCAACTCACTTTCCCCAAGAATCACGTCAAGACTTACCGTTCTTCGTTTCCTCGCTGCATGCCCTCGTCCTCCGACACCACCCAACCCCCCAACTCCTCGACCAACGCGACATCTGCCCGCGCAAGCTCCCGGTCGGATCGCGCCGCAGCTCCTCGTCGTGGTGTGTCTCGCGAGGCGTCACCCGACGAGGACATCTCGCACCTCATTACGGTCCACCGCGGCATTGATTTCGACACCCGTACCCTCGAGTTTTTGATCGACCGGGTCCCTCCCCCATCGGTCGGGAGCCCATTCACCGTCTGGCACTGGCGCTACGTCGACAGACTCCTGCGCTACGATGACAGCATTCGCGATGGCTCGGCAATCCTTGAGGAGCCTGTTCCACCCGGATACGACGAGCTACGCACCACCCTTCGCAACGTTATCGACCCATCAGAGGCGTCCCTCTCGCTACTCGTCCATGACATCAGCGCCGAAAACGAGACCCGCGCTGATATCCAGGGCTCCTCACCTCGATCCATCCTCTTCAATGATGCCGTTCGGGATGCCATCCGCAATCGTCGTCGCTCGCGCCGCGAACCGGCCGATCATCAGCCATCGGGAAACGGCCCAGATTCGCGCAAGCCTCCTTCGGCGGACGTCAAACTGCGCAACGGTCAAGGTTACTCGTTCTCGGACATGGAGGTCATCAACTACGCCATGATGGGGAGCGTGCGGGCGAAGATGAAGAGGGAGCTGATCTGGCGTGAGCGCCGTCGCAAGTGAAGGGAGGGCGGGAAGCTACTTATTTTGGTGAAGCGGTTTCCACTTCAGGAGGGCGTGTGTAGCGGTTCGGCCGTCGATGCTATCGAGACCGTCGCTACTTTCCTTTTTCGTTCGCTGGACGCTTACGCGTCCCCCTCTTTGATTCATCAGCATGCTCCACTTCCATATGGTCAGGTACTTACGATAGAGTATAAGTACGCTGACGCTCGACGGAGGAAGGGCGACATTTTTGTATCTTCTCGAGTTGCTCAATAACGAGACTTTGAACTCTCAGACTGCGCCGCTCGAGAAACTGACCGTGTGAACGCACTTTGATCAGTTCTGATCTTACTCGCGTCACAAACGCCTTGCCCCTTGCACACTCGTGTCATGTGCTCTGAAGCTCGTACCACTTCGAGGTCTCCTTTGTGACCTCCACCCGAAAGAAAACGGGTACATGTTGTACAAATTACTGTCCACCACGAGTTCGCGAGAACGGAGCTTGTAGATATCCTCTTTGCGCAAGCTGCAGCTTTCTGGCGACGTCAAGAACCCGAGGACATCCATGATGATATCTCACATACACGCAGTCGTGAATGTCAGTGTGGATATCTTGGAGAGACGGGTGATGCGTAAGTCATTCAACTATATGCACCAAGACAAGGTTGACCGTCTACCACAGGCACATATCCATGTTCGATGATAAAGCAGCAGCAGCTCAAGGGCTCTCGGATAGCACCGTAGCACATGGGCAACGAACCTTCTCAGCACTTGGAGTGGAGTACCCGTTCAGTTGGGTCGTCGCACGAGGAAGACGAGAGTGCGATGCATTTTTCTTCGTATTCATTCCATAGTCACATTCGAAGCAGTAGACAACGGGGGATCCATCAATAGTTTGCCACCGCGCGCTGTATTTATCCTGGATGTCCAGTACGCTCAGGTATGTTCCTGACACCTCGCCCTGACTGTCCGCCGATGAGCAAATGTCGCTAACCACCCAATATAGAGGCCCACGTCCTCCAAGTACGAGTTTTCTTAACAGCAAGGTGTTACGCTGCGTGCCTCGAACCGAGCGTGAAGTTCGATTTCCGGCATTGTTTCCCAAATCCCTCGACGTTGCGTGCATCATCTCCACGCCACGCTTACACCAGACACCGCCCATCATCTTTTACCAAGTCTTCATCACTTCTACGGCCTCACTGCCGCAAGGGGCTGCTCCTCAAGGGCGACTTCTTCGGAAACCAGTGCGAGATGGCTGGTGATGGGTACCGGTCGGCACGGTCGAACGCCAGTGGTCGAATTCGCGGCAGTTGACACTTAACGGCGAGACGTACGCGTCGAAGGTCGCAGCTTGGGGTGAGTGGGTGCTGGAGCTGCTTGGACGCGTTGTTCTGATGATCGTCGTTGGTGCTTGCCACAGTTGATACTGCCTTGCTCGCTGCGTTCTACGTCTGTTTTGGTGAATTTTGGAATCCATAACTCTCATACGGGTTCCCGTCTTTTGTTCATTGATTCAAGATGTTCGATTGCGTACGACGTATTCTGAGCCGACGACCAAGTCGTGATTGGACTGTACGTTACATGGTATGTGGGTTCAGCTTCAAATGATAGCCACGTGGGCGTCCGTCTAAAAAAAGTGGTGTTGACGTCTTGGAGCGCGCCACCCTGTCCTCCTGGAGCATCCCCGCGTTAATTGAAGCTTCGAAGCTTCGACGCTCCATTCAGATTGGACATGGTGCACCCATATGCTGAGCTCCTGCGGCAATGGAAGTATCGGCGTAGAAGAACCCACCGGTCCTGAGGCCTGGACCCCGGCGATTGCTTGAGGAGGTATGTACTGCTCGCTATATGTCGCGGGACATCCGCGTATCGCCGGCACTTCCCTTCGATGTTGCATGAACACAGGCCACGCACAATGCAGCAGCTCTGATCCCGTGGTCCCGGAAACAGGACGCACCCGCTGTACAAAGGACCGGTCCATCTTCAGGGGGCTTGTCTAGCCAGCGCCATGGACCTCCCCGCGGCACACTCTGATCTGCGCACGGAGCTGCAAGAGATCCAGTCCGCCGCTTTGGGTAGGAAGTAAGCACCGCGGGCGCGGCGTTGGGCTTCTCAGAGCCGCCATGCTGACCAACGAACGTCGTATCTCGTTACAGATTCGGCCTCAAGGATAGGCGGACGATCGATCCCGTGAGTAACCAACGGCGGCCCCGGGATCGTCAAGCATAGGCCTACGAATCGCTGATTGGCACTCTCGCGTGGCATCCGTAGCCCCCCGTCGTGCAAGTCCGCGTGTTCAAGACGGTACGAGATCAAGACGGACTACCGAGCGAAATCGAGGTAGAAGACTACAGGTAACATTCTGTCGTGCTCTCCAGTGTCTCGCCTGCCGACGTGTCGCGTTACCTGATCCATCAAGTCGGCTCGAGACGTCTGGCCTGATCTGCCATATCGACGTATTCCCTCTTTCTCCGCCGGCGCAGCCTTCTGGTGCTGTGCTGAATCCCACCGAGACGCTGTCCTTGTCCTGCTCGAAAGAGAGCACACCGGTCACTCAAGAGGTTCCCGTACCGCTGACGATTCTCACGCCGGACCCTCAACCCGGCTCAGACCCGGACCCGGTCATCGCATTCGTGAACGGCGCTCCCCTGCGCGAGTCCGAGGCCATCACCTCGGAGGCGGTCGTGCGTTTCCATTTTCTTTCTCCTCAGCCTTACGTTCGCGATTCCTCACCGAGACACATGCGTACAGGGCTCTCGGGCGGTGGAAGCAGTGAGCATTCGATACGAAGGCAGGGCCATGATGATCTTCACGTTTCCCGTTCGTGTGTCCCCCTCCTCCGCGCACGGGCTCATGCGTTGCTATTTCAGGACCTGGCCCTGCGTCGAACGGGGTCTTGCTTCTTCAGGTACAGGGCCTTCGACTTACGGTCGGTCGCGACGCGATCCGTGGCGGGCGTCGGAAGCGGCCCGATTCCTATGCTAGCCGAGTGCTATGCACTCCAGTCCACCGTCATCTACGACAGCAAGTTCTTCCCCGGTTTACCTTATTCGACGACGTTGAGCAAGGTACGCGGAGACGCGACGGTGCTCGTACCCCTGTTGCGCCGCTCACCTCGACACTTGATTATTCACGCTTTCAGGTGATATCCGAGCAGTCGCAAGGCCCGCGCCCAAACATCCGGCTCCCCAAACACACACGATGAGCTTCAGGTTTGAGGGAGGGGAAGGGAATGGGGAGTGGGCGAGCGAGCGAGCCTCACGCGGATGGAAAGTGCGAACAGGGAGAGATCCGAACACTGGTTGCGCTCTGAAGAACCGCGCGCCTGCCCTCGTCCACGATTTTTCCGGGATTGTGCTTGTCGGCACGAGGACGAGCGTCATGCCGTCTCGTTTACTGTTGGTTACGGTCGACGTTGCCTTAGCTGCGTTCTGAGGCATCCATTACTTCAGAGGAAGGGGTCGTCATCTTTCCACATTAATATAATGGGGGCGGGCGATTGTGTACGAGTAGTGTAATAAGATGATACTCTACATCGACGCTACAATGCTTGGCGAGCTTGAACCTGAATGACAGACACGTTGACATGTTCAGATCCTCGCGCGCGCCTCCTAGCTACTTCTCCAGCGAGCCCAGGACTCCAGCTCAGGTCGTACATCTTCCTCCAACAAACTACTCCACTGCCGCGATGGACAGACTACCCACAGAACTAACGATGCTCGTATGTCGTTTCGCATTTTAATCGAACGTTGGCGCTGCGCTCTCTCCTGCGCGTCTCAAAATATGTTCACGCGTGCACCCTTCCTTATCGCTACCGGTCCGTCGCGCTGTTTGGCCTTAAGTCGGTACGGGCCTACCAGTCTCGTGTCGACCTGGAGGCGCTCTCGAAGAATGACTGGCGCGTTCGAAGAATGACTGGCGCGTGCTGATGCAGCCAGACGAGGACGGCTGTAACGTACATCTCGAGCGGGAACTTCAAGCGTGGATGGGGACCTGGGAAGAACCGGTATGCCCGGGGTCGGGGGGGCCCTGGTACTTGATCGATGCTACCGATGTGGGTCATGCATTGCGACGCGTACAGTAGGGCATGGTTGAGGAGCAGAGTTCGGAACAGAGGCAGGTCCTGGATGAGGACGAGAATCCATGCCCGACGGAGCAGGAGGAGCACGGCGAGGTCAGCCTTCCGGACCCGGTTTTCGTTCACGAGGTTCTGAGGGGCTGTTGGCAAACTGCGGCATTTTCGGTGGTGCAGCGGCTTGGTAGGTAGGTAGGTAGGTAGGTATATTGCCGACGAGGTCCCGGTAGCGGAACAGCCGGTTGCTGCGCTGCACGTACGCCACTCGTCTTGGGATCGGCCTTTTCGCGAAAGGATGTGATTTGTGCATTCGGCACTTGATCTCGTGTTCGATGCTATTCGATTACGAGCATGGCGCGCAGCTAGACGTCCGGAGGTCCGGATTTTCCGACAACAGTATCATGGTTTGAGTGCGCATAGCCGAGTGCGCCGCGATGAAGCACTGCAATGGATCGTCAGAGGGCAACTCCTCCCGTGCTCTAAGCCAAGGTCATTGTGAAAGCTGCACTGCCGCACACAGTGGCGGGCGGCGTCGCCTGGTTGAGTTGGGGTGAGACTCAGTCTGTGGAGGACAGGAGTAGTAAAGCGACTTATATTGCAAGTTCGAGTGCTCGATCCTTGTGATCATTCGATGCCAATTCGGACGGCGATGTCGTGAACACATTATCAGCCAGTTTCACCTTAAAGTCACGAACTCTCGGAAGAGATGCGTACCGTCGGTACGCAAGAAGATATGTCTCGCCACGTGTTCGTGACAGTGTACGTCGCTCAACCGAGAACCGGTCAACCTGAAGAAGGAGCGAGCGACCCTCCACCGTCAAAGCCGCCCGCGTTCGCCGTGGTCAACCGCTCCTCTGTACCACCAACACGATGGACAGCGCACCTACAGAACTAGTCGGGCTCGTACGCGCGTTCACTTGCCAATCAAGCGCGGGTCGCGGGGGTGGCGCCGACTCTCCCGGGCCTGCGCGTCTCAAAGGACATGCACGCGTGCACCACGGTCCCTTACCGCGACGAAACCATAGCCCTTTTCGGACCTCAGCCTTGGCAGCCGTTGGAGCCCTTCGCAGTTCGTATGGCTCGCGAAAAGCCGCACATCGGCGGACTTCTCGTGTGCGATCGTCCGAGGGACCGGCTCATCCTCCTCAACCCGAAAGCGACGGAAACCGCTAGTCCGTGCCCCGAGATGTACGCTCCAGAACCTCGCGTGATCTCCGAAATGTAGAGTCCATCTGTCAGAGTCCACGATACAACATCCCCGAGTCTATCCTGAGAGAGGATCGGAGCGAGGCGCTGGAGAGAGTCGAGAAGGCGGTTGACGACTGGTACGTGCGTAGCGATCAGGCCTTGAACTGAGCGTGAGAATTATACTCCTTACTCCAGACAGTTTGCGAGCTTCCCACGGGTCCGAACTTGCAGCTGTCCCCTGTCCCCCCGGAGGCGGACCGAACCTAAGGTCGTGAAATTACTGTAGTCGATCCGCAGATGCTCAAGGCGCAACTACCGCGTTCGCGGTTTCCTCCTCTTGAAATACCTCGCGAATGAGATCATCTGGGCAAGATTGCCATTGTCTCGGTACCAGCCGAAGTTGAATCTGAGCCAACGACGTCTGACAGCCATAGGCCATGCGATGTACGTGTTCGACGAACTTCAAGCGCGAGTCGTCTGGTCCAGCAGATAAGGTCGCCTTGTTCTTCCGCCCCCCAACCCACACCCGGTATGGACAAACTACCCCCAGAACTAACCACGCTCGTTTGCTCTTTCGCTTGCATTGAGAGCGCCAGCGCCGCGTCGACGCTGATGCGCGTCTCGAAGTACATCCGCGACTGCACCCTGCCACATCGCTACCGCTCGATCGCCCTCGTCGGACCTAAGCAGATGAACGCCTTCATACGCCACCTCGGCATGACATTCAACGCGACCGCCGCCGCCACCACCGGGGACGAGACGACCACGAAGACATTCTACGAGGTCCTGGTGCGCGACCAAGCGAGCGCAGACCGCAAGCTCCTGCGGATCGAGCGTCTGCTGGTGTGCGACGTCGCCGCGGAGGACATCTTCCTCAAGCGCGGGCCCGACCACGACCGCGTCGCGCGGGCCCAGCCGGGCGCGGATCCGCTCGACGAGTTCCACCCCTGGCTCGCGCTGCTCCTCATCGTCTGCGCGCCCCGGCTCGCGGATCTATGCCTCCTCCTCCTCGAAGAGGGCGAACTCGCGTACGCGCGCTTCCTCGCGATCGTGGACCGCGTCAACGCCTTCCCGCGGATGCGCGCGTTCACGCTCTGCCTCTCCAAGCCGCACGAGCTCGCGCACGCGGAGCTCCGGCCGATGCTCGACACGCCGATGCTCGAGCGCCTGCACCTCATCGGGGACAGCTTCGCCGTCAAGGAGCTCGCGCGGCGCACGCCGAGTTTGACGTACCTCCGCTTGTCCGCCCAGCGCCCGCGCCGCGAGCTGTCCAACAGGCTGCTGCGCATGTTCAGGAGGTCGGTGTCGTGCTGGGCGCGGGAGGAGCGGTGCGACAACCTGCCGCCCGGGCTCAGGACGGTGTTTGTCGGGATACGCGATCTCAGCACGTTTCCGGTGAGGGAGGACGACAGGGAGGGGCTGTATATGATCAAGGAGGTGTCGAAGGCGACGTTGAAGGAGGGATACTCCGAGGCACGGCTCATCTTGGAGGGGCCGGAGGAGACGAGGGAGGTGCAGCTGAAGGGGATTTTGGAGGGCTGGATATGTCCCTGGGAGGTGGCGGAGAAGGTGCCGAGGGTCAAGTCTGCGGTAGGAGTGGCTCGAGGTCGATACGGATTCGATGGATTCAGACGGGTTGGACTGGGACTCGCGACCCATCGTCCAAGGCAGGATCCGCTCATTGGTCTTGGTCTGATGCCAGACGCCTGTTGAAGATCCACTTGCGAAGAAGAGACACTCATAGATCCTCGTTGGGAGGTATCCCTCGCGAAGCGCTTGTTCCTTGTGTAGCCAAAGCGATTGCAGAATGTACCTCTAAACGTCGTATTAGGGGCCCGCAACAGATCAAATTCTACACGACACGCGGGTATGGCTCACTCTCAGCGATAATGTGGAGACACAGTTCGTGTCTCAGCTCTGGTTGTTCGTGTTCGAATTCGGTCGGAGGGCAAACGTCGGCCACTGGGCTCCCCCGAGCTCGACGGTGAGTATTCTCCCCGCCATTTCCACCTATGGTCAGTTCCACTCACGCTCCCGTTTTGCTAGCTTAGGTCACTCACCTGCAGAACGTCGTACCCGCGTGCACCGAGTTGCCCATGGTGCACGCCACCGTCCTATGCGAGGACCTTGACTGCGGGTGGACCCTCCTTCCCGCGCACGAACGACGCCTCCGAGAGCGTTTACGTCGACGTCTCCGAGTCCACCTACTTCATCACCAGTCCGAGGTCACGCCTATCCTGCCACCAACTCTGGCCGACTCTCCGGCGCTTCTCGGCGCCCAGCACGCCTTCGTCCCCGATAGCAACCCGGGCGCAACAGGTACGGCCTCCGCAGGTCCACCGCCTTCCCCATCCCCATCTGCGGCGGTGCTCGCATTCGACGAGCTCGGTCTGCTATACCCTTCGCCACTACCGCGCTCCTGCACGTCTCGCCTGCCCGCACAACCATGTTTCGCGTGCACCGCTCCCGATGCGCAAACGCACGAGGATGCGACGCGCAATTGGTAGGAGTTCTCCGTACTTGCGCGTGCGCGACAGCAGCTCCACGCGCATTCTGCGCTTCCGCTCCAACTCGCCGCACTCGAGGTGATGAGGGAGGCGTTCGCGGTCGCCGGCTCGCCTGCCGAATGACCACGCAATACTCCGGGTTGCCCACTATGCTGTCGCAGTCTGATCTTTCCTCCTGTTTTCCTCCGTTTTTGGTCTGGGTCTTTCGTGTGGTGCTGTCTGCCCTGCTTGTCGCATTTATATCCTCATCGTCCCCCACGGTCCAAAACCGCAAGTCGATACTCATAAAGGAATTAGCCATCTTTACCATCGCAGGCCCATGGTCCCGATATTCACGCCTCGTCTTCATTCACCGCATGTCAATTGTTGCTTCGTGTGCTTTGCATTTTGTGTCACTATTGTGCTCCATAGCAAATCGAAGATTTCCATTTCCGTTTACGCATCTACAATCCCGGCAGCTGAGGTTCATAGCCAGGCTCCAGGTCTTGTGTTAGAGGTTCGCCTTGTGTGCGTTGAAGCGAATATAGCGAGTGGGACCGACATGCATGTGTACGCGTCGGACTCGGCTCCCTACGCAAGGCCTTGGGATCCGGCTGTATTGGGTCCGCGCCGGATGATACTGCCTAGTTCCTATCCGCACGACGTTTGCCTCGGCGTAGCACAGTTTTTGCTCGAACTGTCTAACAGGAATCAAACTGTATGCTTGAGAGTCCCTACAATATTATACGTGCACAGATATTGTGCTTGCCATCGTATGTTGATCTCGAATCCAGCCCTTCTGCATAACAACGATTCCGTCCATTAAAGTCGCCAATATACGCTACGGTATGCGTGCAACACGTCTGACTGAGGCTAAGATGATTCATCATCGAGTGGTGCTACAGGTGGGTACTCGCGCGTGAATATACAAGCATATCGATGTAGTAAACATTCGATCGGCGGAGGCGTACGTGAATTCAGCGCACGTTGAATAATGTGTGCGTTACTCCACTCAAACCAGGGTGGCGGTCACATATACGAAACCGTCATGGACACACGAAACGGAGAGGAGAAGCAGAAGTTGTCTGCTCACGTACGACCCCCTTCTGACGCTGGCGCCACCAGTGCTTACGCGAAGCTCAAAGAGGAGAGTCAGCCTAAGATGTACGGCATTGACATGGTAGATGGCAGACAGACTACGTGGGTGTCTGCATCAACAACTGTTTGGTGGGAACCTTCTGCATCCGTGGCCTATACAGAGCAAATGAGGAGTGAGACACTGGATGAACGACACTCTTACCGTAGTGTTCTGCATCTCAAGCAGAAGTTCCGAGCAGTACTCCGCGTAACCCTTCTGTCCAATCCCCTCCAGCAGCGATCGAGCAGCCTTGATGTTCTCGGCGGCCTCAGTGAAGTTTTGTAAATCACGGTCAAGCAGGCCCATGTGAATACGGCACCACGCAATCCCGTGGCGATCTGCGATGTCTGAAGCAAGTCGGAGGGCATTTTGAATATTACTTCTGGCTGCATCATATCGCTGATGGATTCGATGGATGTTGCCCAAGCTTTGCTGACATCGCGCTGCCCCGAGCCGGTATCCAATCTCAGAGAACACCTCGAGAGCCCGAGTGAGCTTCTCGATCGCCTGGTCGTGCTCGTCGCGCATGCCATGGATGTCGCCCAAGCTTTGCTGACATTGCGCTGCCCCGAGCCGGTCTCCAATCTCGGAGAACGCCTCGAGAGCCCGAGTGAGCTTCTCGATCGCCTCGTCGTGCTCGTGGCGCACGAGATGGATGTTGCCCAAGCTTTGCTGACATCGCGCTGCCCCGAGCCGGTATCCGATCTCGGAGAACGCCTCGAGAGCCCGAGTGAGCTTCTCGATCGCCTCGTCGTGCTCGTGGCGCACGAGATGGATGTTGCCCAAGCTTTTCAGGCATTGTGCTACCCCGAGCCAGTCTCCGATCTCGGAGAACACCTCGAGAGCCCGAGTGAGCTTCTCGATCGCCTGGTCGTGCTCGTAGCGCATGCGATGGATGTTGCCCAAGCTTTCCTGGCATTGCGCTGCCCCGAGCCGGTCTCCGATCTCGGAGAACACCTCGAGAGCCCGAGTGAGCTTCTCGATCGCCTGGTCGTGCTCGTAGCGCATGCGATGGATCTCGCCCAAATCATGCTGACAACGCGCCACTGCCGCCTGATCGCCGGCCAGGTTAGACTCCTGTAGGGCAGCTTCAAGGTCACTTTGCGCTGGCGGATACTTGTTCATCCGCATCAACAGCTCTGCCCGGCGAGTCAAGCCGTCAGCATGTGAAGCGCCCGTATCATTTTCTCGCCAATTCCCTAGTAATGCATCGATGAGCTCGGTCGAGGGCCGTGGCCAGTATTGAAAAACAGTGAACTTGAAAGCTGCTCGGGCGACGGCTTGAGGATTGCCCTTGATCGGGTCAAGTTCCTCCTTGAACAGGAAGATGATGTTACCCATCTCGGGCGTGAGAATGTCGTAGGCATGCTTGAATCCATCGTCCCCAGGCTCTTTGTCGGCGTGTTCGTTGACCAGATCAACGTAATAACGCACCAGTGCTTCCGACTGTGGCTTTGCAAGGACATGATGTGCCATGACGTATTGACGAATGGGTGACAGCACTTGGATGCTGCCGTCGGGACCCCTGAATACCAATGCAGCTGAAAGGATCGCCGCAAGAGCACCAACCACGTCTTCCAGCCCGAGGTCCATGTCAAGGAGCTGCTGAACTCCGCCTTTTATGCCATCGGGGAGTCGGCAAATCACGGCCAACAGCTCCATAGCTTCCGGAACACTTTTCATCATCGTAGAATTGAGGGACAAAGAAATGGAAACGTCTAAACTGGTGAGGCGTGTGGGAGACTGGTGCTCGTCCTTGAGCAAGGAAGTGGACCGCTTCTCCCATTGCTGAAGGAGGATGGAGCAAGCGAACGTCCCCTTCACGTTGGCGAGCAGTTTGATGGCTAAAGGTAGGCCGTCGCACTGCTCGAGGAGGCGATCGAGGTCGCGATGCTCCTCTTCCGTGGTATCCGGATTCACTGAAAGGAACAACTGCTTTGCAGAGCTAGACGACAGAGGTTCAAGAGATACGGGCGACCAATGAACCTTGTCCTTTGCCGGCGGGGAATCGCCTCGCATGGTCACTATCACCTGCACATTCGGCAAGGAGGTCAGCGTGCGGAGCACGTCACCGAGATCCCCTCGGGTCCCTCCAGCGTCCCACGGACTCTCGAAATTGTCCAGGACGAGGATGGCCGGGCCAACAGCTCGCAAGGTCGATTCAAGTTTGGCGACCAGATCACCATCTTGCGGAGCATTTCCGCTTGAGATACCCTGGTGGATGGCAGAAACGAGTGACGGGGCGGTGAGGATAGGATCGCAGCGGATGAAGCAACAGCGATGCTTTGACTTGACGCTTTCGTGGTCTATGACGGCCTGCGCGACAGAGGTCTTCCCGATGCCACCAGTGCCGAGGAGGGCGACGTGATGCTGGGTCGTCCCGGCAAGTTTGCTGACCAGGTCGTTCACGAGGTCGTCCCGTCCGAAGAAGTAAAGCGGAGGTTTGAGGGATGATATAGGAGGACTGGAAGAAGCCATCAGCGCATACAAAGGGAGGACAAGTGGACAACTTACTTCGGCGGGATGGGGGCAGCGGTCTGGAAGCAGAGGGGTGATCAATGAATAAGACCAAGCACGCAAAAGGAAGAGAGCTAACCGGGAATGTGTCGAAGTTCCCGCCGATGTTATGGATCATGTCCTCGAGCCTCGCAAAACCTGCTTGCTGAGCCATAAAACCTGCTTGTTGGGCCAGGACAAGATTGTTAGTGACGGCGAACTGTTTTGAATGAATGATGAGGTCCAATAGGTACTGCAACGTGAACGATCGCACCTGGAAACGTTGTAGACACGCATTAATCTGATCTCGGTATCCTGATATCTCCTCCGCCACCAAGTTACGCCTCCGAAGCGCCTTGCACAGCGATACAAACGAGAAGTTTTTGTTGAGTTTGAGTTGTTCAAGACCGTCTTTGACTTGCAGCAGAACACTATCGACGGATTGGAAAACATATAAGGGAAAATGCTCCGTGTAGAGCAGTACGACGCACTCAGTCACATCTTTTAGACGAAGCTTGAGATGATCGGGCACGTCTTCGTCAGTCTTCCCCTTCAAAACCTCCACGATGATGAACATCAACTTGAACGTGTCGTGGGCGAGTTTCTTGCAGTCCTGTCGGTTCTTCCGCGCTTTCTGTAGCGGGGTGTCAGAGTCACGTCATCAACATGCAAAATATTGCAGGACAGACCTCGACGGCCTCGAGCAGTCCCTTCGAGAGCTTGACGGCGACGTTGAGGGGTTCGCAGACGATGACGCCGTCGGTCAGGATCTCCAATACGGACAAGAACGTCTTCCCGCTCTCGAGCGCCCGATCTATCCTCTCCCCTTTCTGCTCTTCATGGCCATTCATCACGGGCAGACGAGGTATGGCGAGAGTGTGAAGGAAACTCAAACTGGGGTCCAACAGACGACGGAGGAGCTATAGGGCTACAGGCGGATAGTGCGTGGCGATGGGCCTATGAATGAAGGTTCGAGGCGGTGAGGTTCTTGGGCGTCTACGTTCATTTAAAACCGATGTCCTGAACAGCATGCGGGCGTGATACCGGTCCAAAGCCATCGCCATTCATCTTTCTGACGGCGGGGGCACTGGCTTGAGCAGGATTACCAGAGAGTAATGCGCGCTCCATCTTCTATCGAGTTACGGTGTATGCGGCTATGCACGAGCTGCAGCTTGTAGCCGCCCGTTTTGCCAGTTCGAGGGTGTACAGGTTACACGCTGTCGCTCAGAAACGTAAGAGGGACAAGAAGATTGGCCCTGGCCTCCATTCCGGGTGTTCGAGCTCGAACATGCGCAAGCACTACATTTCCGATAGCCGTCGTAGACTCTGTATAGCAGACATGACATGAGTTGGCCGATTTTGAGGCCACAACCTTGCGAAGGTAATTCGGATAAGTCTCTTTGAGGAATATCTATACTTAACGTCAAATGTGCGGTCCAGATCGAATTGTATTATGGCCCTATATGGTATCTAACATACCGTATATAGTTATCTCACACATTCCTACTATTAGTTTCGTAATGTAAAGTATAAACTTCTGTGCAGAGATCAAGGGTGGACATCCGAGACCGCTCGTTTGTCTCGCTTTCATGGTGTAACTGCACTCCATGCTTTCGCACTTCCTTGACATCAGGGTTCAGTCCGAATACTCTACTAGGACACGAAATTGTGGCACGATGTTGACAATAGCGGAGGTTCGAGAGACTCGGGGCTTTTCGTGAATATGACCGCGAGCTACGGTACCTCCTACCGCTTGTCATCACAGCTGGGAATACTCAGTACGTTGAATGGATTGAAAGCGCGGTGAGTGAACTTATTACCTTCTTCTCCCCTCCGACGTAACTCTCGCTGACTTCAGAATAGACTACGGTCATGGTACTTCGGAGCCAGAAGATCCGAGCATATCAAAGACGTCAAGTATACTTGGGCACTATCGGAGTGGTGAACCTGGGCGCATGGTCCATGTCCCATCCTGGCCAGAGAGACTCGTGAGCTAATCATGCTGTGAGAACTTCACGAACTATATGGTTGCTGCCGGCATACAGCAGAGCAGTCTTCGTCGTGCATACCCTACTCAGCTGTTCTTGAGATCCACTCGACACGCGAAGCGGTCATACATGGAGCTGAACATTCGACTCTTCGTGTTTTCTCTCTCCATCCTGTGCGGCGTACGCGCATCTGTTCTTCCTCGTGGTTCGTGTTCACTTTCTCGTTCATGACAACGAGGTTTTGATGATCATGGACATAGGCGGATGCGTTATCCCCGTGGCAGAGTCCTTGCCCGGCGTAACAGTCAAGGAGGATTGTGTCCCTCCCTGAATATGGAAACAAGGTATGTCAAGCAGAGAGGAATGATGGTAATAGCTCATGTCCAGGACAGTTCGTGATCAGGGATGTATCGTTCAAGCTGTGGAGGTGTCTTGGAGTAGTCTCTATTGTTGGAATCCGGTGCCGAGCGTCGGGATTCCGGAGTACGAGCGCCTGCGCGGGACGGCCGAACGGGGTCTCGAGTCATAGATGATCGATAGATCAGTATGCACTATATAGTTCTTAGCTTACTCACCTTGTATCCTTCGTGTGTTTGCGACGAGCAAACACCACTACTATTTGCTCCAGCCAAATGCTCAAGAGTGATCGCGAGACTTCCGACTCGGCCTCCAACAACTATGACCCCTGGACATGCCTGGGAAACCGCGAATTGCAGTGTACGAGCATACAGAATCAAATGTCGCGGTCGCATGCCAGCCAGGGGACATGCAGCAGTTGTACCTGTCCCGTCCGCACAAATAGAATATATAGAATGCTTGTCATCATGAGTCGGCATCTCGAGTCGCAAACTTTCGGTTGAGGCATGTCTAAAGTGGTGATTGTGCGAATCAGTGCCTTTCTCTGCATGAAGGCGAATTCAAAAGTAGGGACGACATGGGGTAGTTGCTGTTCATGGCGATGAAGTGAAACTTATTATTCCGTCGTCCACGGAAATCGAAGGTGCAGTACGTAAGTCGAAGGATTCCGGGTCGTGCGTTTGCGGCAGCATCGCCCACCCATGGAGTCCCGGTTCAGGGTATCTCTGTCCGCATGCTTGCTCGAAGGCTCTCACAAGGTTGCACGGTTACCCACTACCAGACAATCCCACTGGTGCCTTCCCAAAAATACTTGCATCAGTTGTTCCGATAAGATGCGGAATCTTCTTGACTGCGACGATGAATGTAATGACGGGAAGAGTAACCATGTCTCACTGTCATCCGCGGTTAGACCGGTGAATATCGTCGGCGGATGGATGAATGACGCTCAAAAGCGCGCCCTCGCTGGAAGTGATACTGCGGACCACGGAGCTTGGACCTTGCTTCTACACACCATGTCTAATTCCTCTTCATCAAGCTTCGCACCCGACGAACCTGCATCCATCATAGCCTTGGAGAGGGTCATCTTCAACGGTGCAGGGTTGGGCGCCGTGGCATATGGTGCGCCATGATCTATTTTCCTGTATCAGCGATCAATACAATTTCACGTTTAGGACTGAACTTGGCCTTGTTCGTCCAATGCGTACCCCTGCTGTGGGCGCAACGGAAGAAAGATCCAAAATATTCTTATGCGGCACTCCTCTTCGTCGGTCTTATCTTCAGCTTCAGCACCATCGCCAACGGAATAGCCATGTTCATGAACCAGCTGGCATTCGTTGACGATCGAAACTATCCTGGCGGGCCCGCCGTGTTCGCTTCTGAGCAGGTGCCAATCACCCAGAATCTGAACCTGGTTGCGACGGCGTGCTATTTCTTCAATCAATGGCTGCAGGATGGGTTTCTGGTACGTTCGCGCTATCATATCACAGATATCATAGAAATAAACCATACTGACGAGGCATGCATCAGCTCTACCGGTTATACGTTATAGCTGATACACTTCGGACATGGATGATGCCTGTTCCCGTTCTTCTGTATATCGGGAGTATCGGTGAGTCGGAGATCGGCAAAATAGACAGACGAACTCAACGTAGTATTCCTTGAGTTTTATCCTGCCTTCTTCTCGCCGAATTGTCGCTTCCAACATGGACAGCCCTAGGGAACGATACAACAATCACCTACTATTCCTTCGTCGTAGCCCTCAACATGCTCATCACCTTGCTCATCGTTGTTCGCCTGATGTCCACTCGGGCAACCGTCCGCAAATACCTGGGACCCGAACACGGCTCGCTGTACACCTCCGTCTCCGCATTGCTGATTGAGTCCGCCGTCCTCTACTCCGCAATTGATCTGGCGTTCATCATCACCTTCGCCCTCAACTCCAACGGGGCATACATCCTCCAACCGATTGTTGGGCAGCTCGAGGTGGGTTCTGTGGCATTCGATAGATGGATGAGTGCTAAAACCTCCGATACAGGCCATCCCTCCCTTCATAATCGTCCTTCGCGTGGCGCAAGGGAAGGGGGTGACCCAGCAGACGATGCGCAGCATGCAAGGCACTCGCGCAGTTACTGGGACCAGCATGCAATTCGCGACTGCCGCTGTCACAACGAGGAATGCCTCGATGAACACACCGATGACTGCCAAGGAATCGTCCTTAGTCGTTGAATCAACGGGGATGTTAACCTTTGCGGAGACAAAGTAGTCATTGATGGGTTATCTAAAGTGTTCATGTTGAATAGGTTCACCGTACCCTGTGTAGCATCCGCCTCTCCTTTGTTAATTGTTTCCCGTAAGCTGCATCTGAAGAACTCTTGAACCGATTGCCCCTAATCTGTAGGCCATGCGCTTCGCATCTTCCGGGTGAATGAGCCGGCGAGAGATACCCATCGCTTTGCCTTGCCTGAGACCCTGTCAGCAGCCTTGGGAGGTCGCGTCCCAAAGAGACCTTGGGGAACCAGCGCATCTATTATCAATACATGCTCATAGACGTCCCCACAGTTCTCGAGCGCATCTGTACCTGTCAAACAGTGGGAAGAGCGCCGGTAAGGCTGGGATTCCCGCAGAAACATGCACCGGTACAGACCCAAGAATAATCTGTACCATGCGCAACGAGTGCAAAGCTTGATCAGGGATGTAGAGTATAATAAGGGGTGCAAGTTCGGTCGTCCTGTACCGATTCGCCTACGAACCGCTCGTCAGTAATCTACTCGGCATGAATTTGGTCAACGTCATCGTTCTGTGCTTGGTCGGCGCCGTGGGGGTAGTACTCGCTGCCCCGGTGCCTGACGATATTGGTAAGTCGCTGTTTGACAGTGTCGTTGCCACCATGTCGTAACCACGCGTGGTAGCATGTCCCGGCGCCATTGTCGGCCTGCCTGATTCCGATCCTGCCAACAATCTCAAAGTCAGGTTTTGCATCCCACCTTGAATGTGCGTTTGTGACTCCGCAGAAGAAACAGGAACTGATGATGCCCAAGCACAGTAGACAACCGCGAATAGGGCCGCTGGAGTAGATAGTCAAACCTTTCCCAACAATTAACGGCATCGTATTATATGCTGATTGTTGCATCTCAATATGGCTCGAATCCGAGCAACCCTTGGCATGCGCCTTCTACATCGCTGATCTATCGAGTTCGGTATCATAAGTTCGGCTGATAGTCATGCTAGAATGCAAGACTAACCTCCTTGGGTGCTTCCGCGCTGAGAACGGTAGCATGCTCTTGACCCACGAGCACCTCGTCCTGTTATACGTGTGAGGTGTCTAAGCGAGCAAGGAACCGGAACGATAACGAACCTCGATGCGAACGCCTAATCCATGGAAGTGCTTTGGGAATTGCGCGGCCGGCGGCACATACAGCCCGGGTTCGATTGTTACCACCATACCCGCCTTCAACCTTCCTGCTCGCTCGAAATTCGTCGAGTTGTGGAGGTCTGGGTGACGTAAGATCACCCCACGTTGAGTACAGCTTCGGAGTTTGATAGTGTAGAAGGGACTGTACCTATGCCTATAGGATGGCTGAGGAAGTGAGGATAGAGTACGTTCATGTCGCCGGACATCATCGATATGTCAAATCCGATCTGAAGGAGCTCCCTCCGCAGGAATTCGACGGATTTACGATGCAGATCGTTCAGGCTGAGATTAGATTCCTAGGAACATAGTATGAGACAAGCTCCCGCAAGCGGAGAGCAGTGCCCACCTCTGTACATAACGGAATGAGTTCTTTCTGTGCCGCCAGCACCGCGACATATAGGTCGCGCTGAGGCTGCGAGAAAACGCCCGATGCAGGAAACGTCCGCGTGATGTCTGACGCGTAGCCGTTGTATTCGCATCCCGCGTCGATGAGCACCATCTTGTCTTCGCAAACAAGATGGTTATTCGTCGTATAGTGGATCACGAGCGAGTTAGCGCTATCGGAGTGCATTATGACGAGCCTTAGTCCAGAAAAAAAAACCCCTGAAAGATCCGCAACTCACCCGGACGCTACGACTGGCACGTATGCCGGCCTTTGCGATCCCTGCAAAGCGCAACTGTAGTCGAAGTGAGCTGCGAGGACATGCTCCGAGATCCCAGGTCGGCAGAAACGTATCGTCTACGACGACGTTAACCCGCATGAATAAGCACTCGACACGGAAGGCGGTAGAGGAGCGAAAGTAACTTCGCGTGAGCCTGGCCACTTATCGCACCAGCTTTACGCATAATCTTCACGGCGACATCAGGTGTAATGACATCAGATGGTCAACAGACACGGTCCACCGTGATCTTACTGCGCGGGCGGCGTCCTAAGCTCTCGGAGGGTCCAGTAAGGAACTATAGCACGGCATGCCGATGATGTCGAACGGTACAAGTCGTATTGATGTGTCCGAACTCTTCATTCACCGAGAGCTTCAGGAGGAGTACCAGCTAGGCCTTTACGCGTACTGAGATAGATTCGACCACCAGGAGAAGACTGTGCTGCGAAATCGATGAATGCTGAAGAAGGTCAGGACCAGTGGGGCGGTCCCGTGTGCAACAGAACTGCGCGATCGGACCAAATCGGGAATTTGGGAGTGGTGGTATTAATCCCGGACCGAGCAGTACCGTCACTTTCGGAGACACGATTGAAATACGAAGCTCCTGAATACCAAGGCCAACCGCTGCGAATAATACGAGATTAGTAATGAAAGGCAGGCAAGTTATGGTCGTTTTCCCCGTTTGACGCGGGTCCCATGAAGAAGTGAAGATCCGTGAACGGAGCACAGCTAGACGTGCAGAGTTGATAGCTAACGACGAACGCTATGCTCTAATATTTTGAATAGGCTACGAGTAGGGGCATCACCGAATCTGGGCAGAACTGAGACCTTTCGTGCTTCTTTCTGCGATTGTAACGAGCAAACGACAAAGAAACATGCGATGGTTCATATTCAGAGTTAACACGTATTTGATACAGATGTTTTTGATATTATATACGACGGCGGGTCGGTGGCGGGAAAGATGGCAGGAGGAGGAGGGACGCCGAATGTAGGCACCCGGAGAGGCAAGTGAAGACAGGATACAGGTGCACTCTGTATCCCGCCGCCACTCACCCCGTTACATCAAAGGAGTGTGTATACATCGCGAGAGTATGCGCGTGCGGAGGGTATCATGTCCAAGCTGAGAGGTACCTATGAAGGCGGGTATAACGGGCCCTCGACTCCAAGCGCCTCAAAGCGAGCGTTGAGGGCAGGAGCCGGGGTATTTGGGTATCGGGGCCCGTGGGGTCGCAACCGTGGGTCAAGCGGGTGCGGTCGCGTGTCTCCGAGGGACGAGGTCGGAGAGAGAGGCGAGCGTCTGGAGGATTGGGAGGCCGCGGTGGCACGGCGTACACGGTCGAGGCGTCTTTCTGCCCGAAGAGCGTCGAGACCGACCAGAGGCGAGAGGCGTAAGGCGGGCGGTTGCTAGAGGAAAACCGCGAAGTGCCGTACGAGCGCCGATGAGATAGGCTGACCAGGCCCTGGCGCAGCACGAGTGCTGAAGAGGGGCTCCAAGGACTCGGGCGGGTGTCCTGCTACAAAGGCCGATGCAGGTTGCAGAGGCGTGGCTCGAATGAGCGTGCAGGCGCGGGCATGTCGAGAGGTATATAGCGAGGTCGACTGCCGAAAGAAGGCCAAAAGGAGGCCGGAATCCCCTCAAGACGGACACGGAGGGCTGGTGAGCCCATCGGCGTCGACGTGCAATCGCAAGAGCCTCGGAACCGTTGCGATGCGAGAAGGAGGCAGACCGAGAGGGGAGAGGGCGAGACCAGGGGCAGCTGGAGTTGGCGCCGGACCAGGACAGAGGATCCAATCCTGTATTATCGAGGGAGAAGAATGTAGGTGAGGACCGAAGCCGTGGATGAGTGACCCGCCGTCGAAGTGTGTTATATGTAAAAAGTCAAGGATTTGGAGCGAAATGAGACGAGAAGATCCGATGCCATGACGAAGTTGGAATGGAATGGAGTGGTAGGGTGGGGGCCGCATGAAAGGGAAGAGAATAATTAAATCTAGACGATTTCGAGGGTCAGTCGCGCAATCAGAGGATAATATCGTCGGCACTGCCCACCTGATTGTACGAGAAGCGCGCATACAACTAGAAGTGGTGGAAACGAGGGCGGAAGACCTTGCTGAGCAGCTCGCGCATGGGATAGATCTTCGGGCCAAGGGCACGCCGAACGGCTCCACGACGCTTCGACTTCGACTGGATAGAGCATACGATGATGCCTTGGTCGAGCGGGTGGGGGTCTTTCTCGCCGTCCTGAGCTACAAACCAGGAAGCCCGCACGAAGGGGATCTGCTCGGGAACGGATGCGGCACGTTCTTCTTCGTCCTCCTCGTCCTCCTCGGCGATGGTGCAGAGGGGTTCAGGGGCACGGACGACCTCTTCCGGAGTAAAAAGGGGCTCTACAGCCGAGCTGGAAGGTGCCTTGGCCGACAGTCCACGTAACTGAGCGAGAAGCGAGTTGGAGAGTGTGTCGAAGTCCTCGAGAGCAGACACCCCAGAGACGGAAGCGAGAGACTTGTCGTCAGAGAAGGAGTTAGACGGCACGACGAACATGTGCGATACGTTGGCGACAGGCCTCGGAACCACTATAGGAGCCCCGTCGAGGTCGGTATAGACGGCGAGCCGAGACTTTGGGCGACGATTGCAGTTGATTCCCTTGGAGCAGTAAGGAACGCCGTTAACGCTCAGAAGAACTTCGGTGGTGGAGGAAGTCCGAGAGCAGATACAGTCGGTCTTGTAGACCATATTCATAGGCTGCCTGGAGTAGAGCATGGTAAGGATTGGAGGGACAACTATGGCTGTAAGCGGTAGCTGATAGGGATCGAGGACAACCGGAGTTGGTTCCTTTCACGCAGAGGTGAGCATATTTTATACTCCATCGCAGGCGGAAAGATCGTATTCGCGGATGGCGGATGAAGGGAGGAGGGTTCGGATGGCGGATGGGACGCGGGATGGCGTAGGTGGTCGGAGCAGCTACATCCGCGGGCGACCTGACTGCGGCATGTGTGGGAATATCTCCACGTGGTCATGCAGCGCGATTCATCGACAGAGGCTATAAGTATGGCTATATAGTCCCAATTCCAACGTGCCGCACCGTAGATCGGGTCCGTACGAAAGTATCGTAGTGGTTCTCCTCCCTTACAATGTATCCATCAAGCGTATCATCAAACATCATGCACCTTCGCCACTGCCTCTACCAACACTACTCCAAAGCCACTGCCGTCTCTCGGATACATGCGACCACGACGCATTCGATACCAGCGATGTTTTTCGGATTATGCACCTGAGAGACATCAAGAAAGTAATCTTCCTTAAGAATAAGGTTCAACGAAACGTTCGTCGACTTATATCTGCCGGCAAGGTCTTCGCAAGCATGCAACAGATGATCATCGAACGCCCTCTCCAGTTGGAGACGCACACGACACAGCGATGGAGATAAACAAGAATCCCTCGCCATAGCACTAAATAGAAGCAACAGTGACCCGGACGACCCATACAGGACCAGCTCCGAAGTACGTACGCAGCGACGGAGGATGTCGGTGAAAAGTCGGTCATAGTCAACCCGCGTAGTATCCGGATTTCGATTGTCTCGACGTTTCCTAGGTGCACCCTGCGTATTGCGCGAAGAAGCACAGACTGCCAGCGATAGGGAATAGATAGTTTGAGTACCGGGTGGGCAGGATCGTGTGTTGGGTCCACGTTCACGTGCACATTGCATCCGTCGTTTTGCATATAGATGGCGACGCGACGTGCCAACACATCGGCACTGCGACAAATGCCGTGATCGGCGAGGATAGGTCGTAAGGGGGGTTGGATCGCAAGGTTCGTCGTTATCCACGAGTTTTACGTGCATCGAGGAAATGGACGGGGCACGGGTGTGAGCGAGCAGGTGGCTTATGTAGGCTCCCATCCCGTGCAGCCACAACAACTTCAATCGAGGCAAAATGGCGAGGTTGTTCGCTGTCAGTGGTCCCAGCAACTGCCCGGCGGTCGAAAACATAGATTGAAAGCTTAGATTCTTTAAGGAAGGCATTCCCCTGGGGGCCACGGCAAGCTCCTCTCCGCTGGGAGAGGCGTCTTCAGGCAAGTAGTACAGCGTAAGTTACGTCAAAGCCTTGACCAACGAAGGGAAGCGCAGGGTTCGCCAGCTGAACGACACGTCGACGAGGGATAGGTAGCTAAGACGAGGGGCACGCAAACTCAAGAAGTTGGCGGGGAGTCGCGCTTCGTGGCAGCGAGAAGCAAATATATGACATCCGGTGAGGATCGGGGCGGGGGAAGATAGGCGCTCGACATTGCAGGCGACGGTACTTGTTTCGCAGTCCAGGAACAGAAAGCGGGTGCGGTTCAAGTAGCGTAGGGAAACCGACAACGCCGCATCACCCAAGATGTTCGATGCGTGGTTCCAGCGATCGTAAGATTTTCCACGGATGAAGAGCGGCGTACGCTTCGACCTCTCCAAGAACATCTCGGTGAGTGCGACGTTCCTACGGGGCACGTCCAACCAAAGCGGTTTGCTGTCAAGCGCGATCACCCTCCAGTATCGACAGACGTGCGAAAAAAATATGGCTAGACGGGAACGTACGACGGCCTTCTGCACAGGGCAAGCATGCACGGAAGATCATGGATAGAACTTCAGAGGGTAGACGAGCAACCGGCGCTAGTTGGTTTCGATTTTCGCAGAGCGAGCGCACTTGTTCGAGGATAGAGGATACTTCTTCAAGAAGATCGCTAATCTTTGAGTCGATATCTCGTCGTTTGTCCCCAGATGAGAGATATGGGCAACTCGAACGAACACGATGGATGGGGTTGCTGCGAATCCGTGTGGGCATGAGCAGATTAGGAAGGATGAGTAGCTTAGCAAAACTCACATGTGTGTTGGGAGCATCAACGCAGATCATCGATCAAGCGGGCTGAGACCGGTTTTCCTCGTCCTGCTAGTGGGGACCTGAGAATGAAAACGGGTTAACGAAGTATATGTCAAAGCCAAAACAGAGCGGAGTACGTCACGTTGATGCATCGAGATATACGGGTCCTCAACGACCAAGCTCCGATGCTCAGCGAGGTAGGTGAGTAACGTTGACGTAGAGAGCGCGAGCAAACGACGCGTCGAGCAACCCGGTGTCGGGCGAAGTGGGCCAGCTCGCGTCGGGCACGGCACGTGGTTCTTGTCCGCCTTCGTAAGGGAGCTGAAGTTGTAGAATTAGAGCGAGTTCAAGGTCATGAATCATGGTAAACGTCTATTGGTCGTCCTGAGAAATCTATGGTATGACAATGTACAGCTACAATATTGATGCAGAAATCTATGAAGTCAAACTTTTAATCCGAAAGCGTGAACAGTAAAGACCCCATGTATGAGCATTCAGGTGCTGGTCCTGATTAGCTCTCACCTCCTATGCTCGGTCACTTCCTCCGATTGCGCAGCCTCCTTCTCCATCTGAATCTCATCCTCCGCTACGGGACTTGACTCCGGCTGACGAGTCCGATTTTCTTCCTCTACATCCACGACGTCCTTCTTTTCCTGGATCGCCTCCTCGTCCACAGCTTCCCGCCCCACGCGGCGGTAGAACACCAAAATCGAGATCGTCTCCAACCCGACAATGCCGAGCACGAACCAAAACGCCGCCGCGCGACCCTCGTATCCCTCGAACCCGCGGCTGCTCTTCTCCTCGACACTGCTCTCGACGCTCGTGACAGCAGCGATGCCCACCGCCGAGCCGAGCTGGAGCGCGCCATTGAAGATGGCGCCAACGGTGCCGGCCATCCGCGACGGCGTCGTGCGGAAGATGGCGATGTTGGTGTGCGTGAACGTGAGCATTGCGCCCGTGGACCCGAGTACGAACGCGGGAAAGACGAACGGCCAGTAGGCGTGCGCGCTCGAGGCGAGCGCGAGGAGAACGGTCGCGACGATCATCAAGACGTTGCCCGAGAGGATGATCCACTTCGGGTCCACGATGCGGGCGAGAGGACCGGTCCAGCTCGCGGCGAAGGCGACGACGCCGATGGGGATGAAGTGAATCGCGCTGTCGATAGCGCGCCAACCGAAGACGGCCTGCCAAAGGTTGGTGTAGATCGTGAAGACGGTTGTCCACCAGAAGTATGGGAGGAGAGCGACGCCGAACAGGACGGAGAAGTTCTTGAAGAACCAGGTCGAGGGCGGGACGGCGGCGGTCTCAGGCGGAATGAGCGTCTCGTAGTAGAGGAAGCCGCCGAGGAGGAAGATGGAGATGATCAATGGCGCAAGAACGGTAGCAGTGCCCCATCCAGAGGAAGAGCCAGACGTGACGGCGAATATGAGAAGGATGAGCGAGACTGTGGAAGAATGTGTAAGAACTATCGTCCGATAGCGCGGAGACGTAAAAGCAGTACCTGTTAGCAGCGAGACGCCCACGCTGTCGAGACTCTTGAATTTGGCGGAGGAGGACATCGGCTCCTCTCCATATCTCTCCTCTTGCTTCGGGATGAGGAACACGCAGAGTCCAGCTAGAGGTAAAGCCACGATGGCCACGAACCAAAACACCCAGGGCCAGGAGGTGTACTGAACGAAGATGGCGCCGATGACCAAACCGAGCACTATCGACGAAAGGATTAGCGTCAGGATGCGGTAGAGTAGTACACTGCGCATACCGTTGCCGATGGCACCGCAGCCACCGAATACTCCGATAGCTCGAGCTTGCTCAGAGGGCTCAACGAAGACGTTGACAAGTAGAGTTAATGCCGAAGGGATCGTCAAGCTGCCAGCTATGCCGCACAGCGCACGTAGCACGATGAGGACAATCTTTGAGCGGACGAAGCCAGCCCCGATGGATATGAAGCCAAGGCCTGAGATACCAGCAATGAATGCGGCCTCTACAGGAAGTAGGGCATGGTTGTCAAGACACAACGGTGAGAGATCGAGGGAAAATGCTTACTCGGATTGTATACGTCCGCAATTCGGCCACTCTGAAAAGCAGTACATCGATAAGAATCGGCGTGGCCCCAGGAATAGAGCGTCATGACTCACCACAAGCAGGAAGCTAGCAAACGTGAGCTGGAATGCACTGATGATCCACGTAGATTCGGTTTCCGTCATGTGAAGCGTGGCGATGAGCGACGGGATGGCGGAGAACAGCGCCGAGTTGTTGAACGCGTCCAGGAACTGCGCGAGACAGAAGACGATAAGCAAGACGTAGCGTCTCAGGACCGAGGTGGGATCAGGCAGACGCCCGTCGACAAGGGTCGCCGCGGGCGAGAGGGGCGCGATAGCTGTCATGAGGAACTCGAATGGTCGTCGCGAGAGTCGTCAAGCGGGAGATTCAAGCCGGGGGAGCAGCGGGGAAGAGCCAGGGAACGCGGGTGAGGCCCCCCCCAGCTTATAAGAGTTCCCCAGGGCACGGTGATCTAATAGATGGGTCGGTAGAAAAAGCCGTGCGGGTTCAGTTCAGCAAGGGTCGAGGCGGGGTGCTCGCCTTCTTTGACCAATCAGAGCACGACATTTCAACATTCTGGACCTGTTCCCACGCCCTCTCGCGGCAGATAAGGTGCCGATAACGTCTTTCTGACTCCTGTGGACGTCTTACTAAGGCGCGTCTCGGATGAAAGGTCCGCGTTTGCAGGTCACCAAGCCACTTCGAATTGTCTTTGTAAGTAAGAAAAAATGCGGGTGATCCATGCGATTGCTCCGTGTCCTCGACCAAGTGACTGCGTTTCATCAAGCCCGTGGATGATACACCGGCCAGAGGTTCGTTCTAGTACTACAAAGGGCGGTCGAGGACTAGATGAGATATTACCGAGGTTTTGCCGATGCAACAGAGTTTGATCATCACCAGATCTGGTGGTCGAACTAAGATCGAAAGACGCAAACATTTTCGAATAAGGATGCACTAGCTCTCGAGCGTTGGCCAGCAAGAATCGCGTCCTGAGGATGGAGCTCGGGACGTTCCACTGACGTTGGCGATCAATGGGTCGCCGTTGGGCTCGGGGATGCCGATCGCAGCGCTTTGTCCGGATACAAAAGCAGGTCAATATTTCCACAGGTAAGATTGGTAAGGGCAAGCTGCAACCTGAAGAACAGCTTGACGATTATCGAGATAGAAGCGGGGAAGCAGCTCACCGACGACAATCACTCTCTCTTTTGCCCCTCCAGTGACGTCCTGGCTCTCCCGTGCCAGATATTGAGGACCTAATCCGCCATTCCCCAGGCGTCGGTATGCATGTCTGACCAGAAGGTATAAAACGCGTCATCGAACTCCCGGTAATGAATATGAACACATGTTCTCCGAAGCGGACTTGCAGAAAGACGATGGCCGCTCCGGTGCCACCATGGGAATGGTCAAACCTCGCACGCCCACAGCAGCGGCAGCCGCCGCCGCATGCAATAGATAGCTTCGATTACTTTTTTACTCCATCGGAAATAACCATAGTACACTTTGCGAAAAGGCAGACCATCTCGTTAGCGCCCTTGGAACACGCTGAATGCTTGCGAGCGCACTACTTAATGAAATGGAGTATAGCTATAGTCCTTCGCTTGCCAGGTCCGCCGTCTATGTGCAGGTCGAAAAAGCACCGAAGCATCCCATCACGCCAGTTTCGAGTTCAAATCATGTATGACATGTCGACAGTAAACGAAAGCGCCATTGAGGAGCCTGTGCCAGCGCAAAATCGGAGCTGAGTCGGAGTTGCAACGCTGAGTCGAAGCTCGTTACCGACGAGGACTTGGAGTCGAGCGCGTGCAGACCCCAAACCATCACATTACGGCATTGAACCATTCCATGTTCTCTCGCTCTTCGACGACGTAACTGAGGTATCCCATCAAAGCGCTTCACGTAGCGCGAAGAGACTTGCGGGCAGGGCATTTTCACGTTGCGTCCATGGACGGGTTAAAGGAGGGCACCACCACGTCACCTTGACAAGATAAAGAGGCACAGCCGTGAGCGAACATCGCACTGAATATTGAGACATGTTGCTGAGATGACCTGACTATTGTGTATTAGCTTTGGAACTGGATCCTTGATATGCTTCACTGCGACAAGATCGACCAGCGCGGCTACGTGACACATCTTAGGCTCTCGCGCAAAGGTCGTCTGAATCTTATATATAATTACTGGTGCAATGCGTACGGGGTGCTGATTGCCCTGTCATGAAGCATATATATGAATGCGTGAACCACTGGCTGGAGCATCTGCTGCTCGATTACATCGACACGAATACACCTCAGCTATATACTAAGCAGACGCCGTTAACCACGACCTTACGCCCTGTCTCGATGCAGAATCGCCGGTGGCTCATCTTTCGGAAGGAAGAACGCGGGATGTTCCCTGTGCTGAAGGTGAGTGCACACATGATTATCTGCATACAAAGAACTGACGGAACGCAATGAAAGCACCTCAGCGTGCGCACATTTTCACGGAGCCCTCGTGCTCGCGCGCTCATCGCGCGTCCTCTGAACGAGGAAACCAAGAGCAAGGAGGTGTATCCTGGGATGACACCGTAGCTACAGGGTCTGGATAATCAATTCGTCAGGGCCCGAAACAACACTCTGGCCATAACCCTGAGATAGCGACAATTACGGATAGTGTATGAGACACGCTAATTAACGTCATAGTACAGGTGATACTGAGTGGATATCAGAGTGCGAGAACACCTCCATGCATCTGGAATGAGATAACCTTGCATGCATATGCATGACGCGAAATTTGTGGCGCGAGCTCGAGACCTTGAGAACGTCCCAGATCAATAATCGCAGCTAATTTCCAGTCGGCCCTTTAGATCGCGGCGGCGACGGCATCCTATGATAGTCATCAGCATGCTGAACCAATGACATGGAAACACAGGCACTAGCCTCCTCCGTCACCTCCTAAGCACAGATTAGTAAGCGTAGAGGCAGGATTACAATAATGCAACATACCATCTCCAGTGTCAATACCACCTCCGTCACCACCTCCGCCTCCTTCATAGTCTCCACCATCACCATCATCTCCACCGTCATCACCGCCATCGTCACCTCCGTCATCACCTCCATCGTCTCCGTAGTCGCTTCCATCGTTGTCTTCATCTTCGTCTCCGTCGTCGGCTCCAGTACCATAAACATCACCATCGTCGTACTCTCCGTCCTCATCCACGTAGTCATCCTGCCAAGAAAAGCAAAGAATGAGTATCACGATCGAGTTCCTGATATACGCAGTCGCACCCCTCCGTCATCATCTTCATCGTCGACTGCAAAGAACCGTGAGTTGATGGATTATGACAAATAGAACTGGGAAGGGTATCGCACTGAGGTCAAGGTCGTCATCTTCGTCGTCGTCTTCATCGCCGTCGGGGTCGTTATTCTGAATATCCTGGCGGATCTTCGTTGCGCGATCCGCGGCCTCGTTGTAACTATAGGTGCACGCAGTCAAGTTCCTGACCGAGAACGTCAGGCGATGGTCACTGACCGATCAGGGTGACCAGAACGTTGGGTCTTCTGGGCTACACCGCTTCAATTCAGCAAGAAAGATGGGACTGAAGGCGGAGAGCCTTACCAATGTCGCCCGGGGCAAGCGAAGGATTATTGTTATAAACTTTCATCGCCTGCATGATCAGATGATGAGACACCAACGCCAATATCATTTCGTCGTACAACAAACCTGATCAAAGAACGCATTCGTGGCGTATGTCGGGTCTTGCACCTGGGCGGCAGTGCCCCAGCCATATTTGGGTCTTTGCTGGAAAACACCTACATGAGGCGTGAGCGACAGCTAAACGTCACCAAAATGAGATCGTCATACCAAGGCTGTCTCTATCTCCAAAATTCAGGTTGTCTAAAGAGAGGATAGCGATTGGTCAACATTCTGTTGATGAACGAATGTCGATCGCGTACTGATATGACTCTCGACCTGAGAATCTATTCAGAAACGAATTAAACTGAACACCTGTCGATCACATACCCATGCCGTCTCAAAGGCAGCTTGCAGGACTGATTCCGGAACGCCGCGCTGCACTCCGATCTGGTTACTAACAGAAAGAAAGTATCACAATACAATTATCACAGAAGTGTCGCACGGAGAACTCACATCAAAGACGCGATGGCCGGGTCATAGGTTCTAACATATGGACCTGAGTCCGGAGCGACTCGCGACATGAACATTGTACATACGCCGGGATCTTGTTCTGACGCTTGTGCACCGACGAAGGTAGGGCTTGTGCGCCGATAGACACGAGAAGGACAACGAGAGGATATAAGCGCATGTTGCACGCTCCGGAGTCCGGTTGCTGTGAAAGAGGCGGGCGCTGGGTTTACAACAATCCAGGATGCTCAGCCTTTATACGCGCACACCTTGTGCTCTTACTCGCCGGCACTGTTTGCAGATCCTGACTAATGCCACTATCGCCCGGGTATCCGGGTGTTGTCTACCATCACCGGTGCATGCTCCATGAAACGAGCCGCCGTTATTCGATGGCAGTTGGCATATGTCCGAGTGATCGTCGTGGGAGGTGCATCCGACATGGTTCGGATGGCGTTGTTGAGCGTATGAGATCGACTGCGATTGCCGATGAGCACGCGATACTATTGCGACATAGCACAAAAATAGACCTTGTGAGCGGTGGGAGTTGTGGATACCAGATAATCGGAACACCATACCAGCAAGGCACCATCTCACAAGCCGTCCAACATCTCGTGCATCATTCCAGCAAAAGTGAGGTCAGTGGGTCATCATCTCATGCATAGGTATCAGCGCAGTTCATCGTTGGAAGTGCAGAAACGCAAGGTTGCCAATATACATATCAAACGGCGCTAGATAACAATAAAGGGCACGTCAAGCTGAATAAGCGGGCCAAGGTATCAGCGAAAACTGGGTACATACCTACAGTGTTGTTTTTTTCCAGTGGTAATGCTAAGGCAAAATTGCACGTCAAGGCACAAATTAGCCATGCCGACGCCTATTTCTGGCATGCCAAACGGACGTTCAGGGATTCTCCGAGGATCGTGGTGCCTGAGTCCGAGGCCATTTAATCACGAGAAGGGCTTGGCGATCGTCACCCGCTTCGAAATGTCCGGGTTTCGGGCCTGTTGGACGAACTGGAGTAAGGCGTGAATGAGTCTACTTGGGTTATTCCAATAATGAGCTGAATTTGCGCGACGAACGGGCAGCCAACAGTACTTCAGGTCGAGCTGAGCTGTGTGGAGACCAGTGAGACGAGGTATGCTTGCTCTCTGGTCTTCTCGAGGCTTGGAGTGGACCCCATGGTATGTCAAACAGTTTAAGTTATTTTTAGAACATGGGAGAACACTCCCTAAACATTGACAGATGCACGACGTCCTCCGTTCCTTGACGCCGGCGAGTTGGATCGGAGATTGATTGTCAGCAAGCAGTTACGTTCGACCTCGTAGTCATCGGCAAATACGGAAGGCTGTTGGGTATCTGCTCCTGTAGTCATCTGAGCTCCCCACACCTCCTCATCTTCTCCTGACATGGTCATCATCAAGACGTGCAGATTGACGTACGGTGAAGTCAATGCCGGGCTTTAGTCAGCGTAATTGGATGATCAAAGCATGGCCGAACGGCAGAGTATGTACCATTCGCAAGTGATCGAGATGCAACCGGATTGCCAGGGACATGCTGTTACAACGAGTGAAGAACCAGTACCGTACACTCGCTGCGAACACAATCACAGTCACTGTCTTATCCTCCATTGCAATCGCGCTCGGTAACATCACCTGACTGCGCCGCTCTCTTCTCCACCTGACCAGTATCTCCAGGCTTCAGGTCTGCATTCACCTGCGAGCTCCGTAGTTCCGTGTTGTTCCCCATTTGTGATACCTCTTCTTCATCAGCGACCTCCCGCCCGACGCGATAGAACGCCAGCACGGAGATAGTCTCCATCCCCACGACACCGAGCATGAACCACAGCGCCGCCGCTCTCCCTTCATAGCCGTCGAAGCCGCGGCTACTCTTCTTCTCCACGCTGCTCTCCACGCTCGAGACGGTAGCGATGCCGACGGCGGATCCGAGCTGGAGCGCGCCGTTGTAGATGGCGCCGACGGTGCCCGCCATGCGCGACGGCGTCGTGCGGAAGATGGCGATATTCGTGTGCGTGAACGCGAGCATCGCCCCTGTGGCGCCAACCACGAAGGCAGGAAAGACGAACGGCCAGTAGGCATTCGGGCTCGATGCCAACGCAAGGAGGATCGTTGCGACGATCAGTAAAGCCTCGCCCGTGAGGATGATCCACTTCGGTTCGATTATGCGCGCCAGAGGACCGGTGCAGCTGACAACGGATGCGACGATGCCGACAGGCAGAAAATGGATAGCGCTGACGATTGCGCTCCAGTCAAACACGGCTTGGAATAGATTCGTGTAGATCGTGAAGACGGCAGTGAACCAGAAATGGGGAAGGAGGGCGACGCCGAACAGGACCGAGAAGTTCTTGTAGAACCATATCGATGGGGGAACGGCCGCTCTCTCTGACGGGATGCGTGTCTCATAGTAGAGAAAGCCGGTGACGAGGAAGACAGATATGATCAATGGCGCAAGGACGGTAGCAGAACCCCACCCGGAGGAAGTACCGGAGGTGACGCCAAAAATGAGAAGAATGAGTGCAGCTTTCAGGAAATTATCAGGCTCGGTTACGCAGGGCTGAGATGGAAAACTGCTCACCTGTGAGCACCGAGACGCCAATACTGTCAATCGTCTTGAACTTGACTGATCGAGACAGGGCTTCTTCTCCTGGGCGAGGCTCTTGCTTCGGTATGAGAAACACGCACATCCCCGCGAGCGGGAGAGCGACGATGGCTGCAAACCAGAAGACCCATGGCCATGAGGTGAACTGGACAAAGATGGCACCAATGATGAGCCCGAGCACTGGCAAGCTGGTAAGCCTCGTTCAGACATCGAGCGCAACGATGTTCACCGTTGCCAACGGCGCCGCAGCCACCGAATATCCCGATAGCCCGTGCTTGCTCGGTGGGTTCGATGAAGATATTGACGAGCAGCGTTAGGGCGGACGGGATCGTCAAGCACGCTGCTATGCCACATAAGGCTCGTAGGACAATGAGAACGATCTTGGATCGAAGGAAGCCAGCTCCAATGCATATGAATCCAACGCAGGAGATCCCCATGATGAACGACACCTCTATGGAATGCGGTTGTCAGCATGACTGTGTTGGTCTCAGCGGTCGGTAATGAATGATCGTACTCGGATTGTACACGTCGGCGATTCTCCCACTCTATCGGACCTGTGAGTGAAATAAAGGGTTCGTATATTAAAACATGGCTTACCACGAGCAGGAAGCTGGCAAAGGTGAGTTGGTAGGCGCTGATGAGCCACGTAGACTCGGATTCCGACATATGCAGTTGGACAATGAGTGTCGGGAGAGCTGAAAACAGCGACGAGTTGTTGAACGAATCCAAAAACTGAGCCAAGCAGAAGACGGCAAGCAGCGCATATCTTCTAGTGCCAGATATTTCGTCCTGCAGGTTTCCGTCGAGCAGGGACGCTGGGGGAGAGCGAGCTACGCTATCTGTCATGAAGGAGCGAGGGATTGTTGTTAAAAGATGAAGTAGAGAGATAGTAAGGATGTGGTCGATGGATGGTACGCACCCTGTGTTCATATACACCTGCTCATTTCGCAGGGCTGGGTTGAGGGTGGAATGAGTGCAAGGGCGGGTAGTTAACCCCAGCGGAGGTACGCGTCACCCCCAACACATTCCCGGCACGGAGGATCCTAACGGCACGAGGCGGTACCGGGACTCGTCTGGATATAACCGTGACTCTTGTTAGCTTGAACTCCACTGACTCAATCTAAGTTTCTTTTAGAGTCAAGCACGAGGCTTGTCATGAGTAAGCTGCAACTTCTATGACCCACTAGTAGTCTTCATCTCACCCCACTTGATCGAAGCTAATCGTTCACCACCGTTTGTGAAAGCATGGGAATGAAAATCACGATGGCGAGATGAATTGGAGTGGCCCACAGAAATAGTACGCGAATGTTCATTCATTCATCGTCTCGGTCGCCCTGAGACCATCGAGAGGTGCAACGAACGATGAAGACGCGACGCAAGACGCTATCCTACGCCGAAGATCTTGACATCGCTCGGGAGGAGGTTGACTTGTTCTACTCGGCAAGGAGCCCGATATCTGCGTACCGGCATGGCATCGGGGATGAACGACGTGAGAGGCGAGGTTCGTGAAAAACTTCACCGTGTACAGCGTGTTCACATAAAACACAGAAAAATTCGGTGAAAAAAGCAGAGCGGGCAATCCCCCCTTTCTCTCTTTTTTCCTTCTTTGCGGCGGGATCGGAACGGCGAGCGGATGGAATCCAGGGTTTCGTCAAGTGAATTCCCTCTCGTATGAGCGGACAAGTAACGACCTGAAACTGGAGCGATTTTACATTCGTTCTCTGGCGTACAGGAGCACGTACAGGGTCTCGATCTACTTTTAGGGTCGGTCACGACGAAGCAGCGGGCTTGTCGTCCGCCGTGGACTTCGTCGCTTCCGGCTCCTCGGCGTCGGCGAATTGACCGTCTTCGCCTTCCCCAATTTCCACCTGTTTCTCGTACGGATTCACGATGATGCTCTCGAGGTAGTCCAAAGCGGCCTGAACGGATGCACGTCGAAAGTAAAGCATACGGACATAGAGGCGGGGGGGCAGCAAGCGAGCGCATATACCCGGAATGAGAGGACAGGCAAGGTGGAGCTAGTAAGGCGCGTAACGATTATCGTTGACGAAGTCGCTACGCACTCTGCCGACTTCGGATAGCTCTTGCTCTGCAAAACGTGAGATCGAGTGAGCGAGTGATCGACGAAGGGGACGATACTCACGAACCTTCGGTGCCGGTGAAGGGCTCGAAGCCGTTGACGTCGGGGTCGATGAACGCGTTGTCGTCGCCCATGTCGTCGTCGTCGTCCGCATTCGGGTCGGGGTGGAGGGATGCGCAAAGCGAGAGGGCCTCGAATATCGGCTCAACTGAACGATCGGTCTAGGTCAAGTTGGATCGGTCATGAAATGAAGGAGGGCGTGGACGTACGAGAGTTGGCGTTTTGTGGTATGATGCTCAACTCGCGCATCGCGAAATCGTCGTCGTCTTCTCCACTTCCGTTCGGTTGATCGACTGATTCGTCCAGCTGACAGTATATCGACGGACCGGCTTCCGCGCGCGACACGGCGTGTAAGGTTATTGAAGGGTATAACACCTGGAAGCCCTTTCCGGTCGACGACATGAACGTCAACGCGCTACGCAGTGAATGTATGCGTTACGACCCGAATTGCGCAGCAGAACCTAAGCCAATCTAACCTCTCGATAACGTAAAGCGTTCCCGAGGCGGCATCCGCCTCTCCGAAGCCCTCAACGGGCGGTTCAAGCGCGACCTTCACGTTCTCCTCCTTGTGCCGCAAGACGGGCGGAATGTCGCTGAACGAGCTCGGGGTCGCGCCCACGATGGTACGATGCTCTTCTGGCGACACATGGTTAGGAACGGCGGTGATGAGCGTAACCGCAGGCATTTTATCCAGACGGATTGTTTTAGATCAAGAGAAAAGAACTCAAAAGACGCGGCACTACTTATTGCTCACTTGGCGCGCTCCTACTGCGCGTCACGTGCACCGAAGTCCTGCATCCTGCGCAGTTCCCGCCGGTGACATCGCCTTGCGCTCCAGAAACACCGCACTATCCAACGTTGCGCCTTTAAACCCGCTCACGACCTGCCTGCGCTTGCCTACTGCATCTGTAAACTCCCTCAACGCACGCCTCTACGTCCACAATAACGTTCGGGACGACCGGACGACTTTGATCGAGTCGTTCTTGCAACCTATCGCTTTATCTCGACGGAGCTCGAACGGTCCTCGCGATATGGCGATAATAGACTACGTATCGACTGCCTTCAACAAGGTTTTACCGCCGAAGAGCCATATACCTGCGCCGTTACCAACGAACGCGAGCGGGGGCATAGGAAATGGGCATGGAGCTGTTGGGTTCGACGATGATGTGCGTTACCCGGTTCCACTGTCTTACTCGTTGCTCTCCTTCCTGTCACTACACACTTCGGTTGGCGTGCCTGCCTCTTGGTTGGCGGATATAGCTCTGCCCAAGCCGTTGATTCGCCGTGCGTATTTGCGTACGCAGGCCGCCGGTTACGTAATCCGCTACGGTTCATGTTCTCCCTCTCCCCGACGCGCGACTGCGCATGGCCCCAGACGATGGATTGCTTCTCCTCTTGCTGCTCGTACCGCTCGTGTTTGTGGGATGGCTTTATGTGCATCATCGCTTTTTTCCCTCCCCGTTTTTCCCTTGCATTCGCTTGCATACCGATTTGGATGGAACGCGCTGACCTTCCGACGCGTTTCTCGTACAGATGATCGTCTCAAAACCAACCATCATATTACATACTGCTCAAACTTTCTTCAACTTCCTGGCCATGTGCTGCTTTGCCAGCGTTGCCGCGTTTCAGTCCCACTGGGGAATAGGCGTCTGTGAGTGTATACCGCTACCAACCTATCACCCTATACCGTACTGTTCTACCTAACCGCGCATGCATGCTGACTATGGTCTTCGTCTAGCCGGCCTATCCGGATTTACTCTGTTTGTCACAATATCGGGAATGTTCCTGGCCCTCTTCATGCTCCTCGTACCCGTCATGTATGAGAAATACGACAAGGGGGCCAGGCTGGCACGCGCCATGAAGGAAATTCGTGTCCAGTTCATCCTGACTGGCACGGGGATCACTTTTGCTCTGCTGATTGCGTGCGTGGTCATTCATTGTCTGGGACGTACCGAAGGAAAGGCTGACAAGGTACCTTTTCTGAATAGGTTCATCGTGACGATCTCCGCGTGGACTGAACCGGGATGCAAGAACGCCGACAAAGACCCTCACGAAAAGCTGGGCGACTCCTTCAAAAACGCGCTCGGCGGCTGGTGTAACACCAAGAAGGCCGCCGCCATCTTCCTCTGGCTCGCATTCGGTGAGCCCTTTCACTCGCACCCACTGCATCCTCCACGTTAACCTCTTGTGCTCAGTCTCATGGGGTGGTACGCTCGCGCTCACCGTCAGAGACTGGCGCTCGGGCGCCGCCGTCCGCCCGCGCGACCCGCCTTTCCAACCACCCGTCATGCCCTCCGACCACGAGGACGAGTTCGACGACGAGGAGTCGCAGTACCACCAGATCCCGCCCGCCGGCCGTCGGCCGACGCTCGACAACTCGGACTCGCCCACCTCGCCGTTCAACGACCGGAACCGGTACACGTACGCCTCGTCCGACGCGCCGCCCGTGCTCCCCCGGCCGAGCATGGACGCGTACGGCGCGTTCTCCGACCCCGCGCCGAGCGGGTACGGCGCCGGCGCCGGCATCAGCAGTCCGACGGCGGAGGCGCCCGCGGTGAGCCGGACGATGCAGTATGCGGACCCGTACGCGGCGGTGAGGGCGTCGATCGCGGGCGCACCCGCGGCGAGCACGCCCCCGAGCTACGAGAGCTATCAAGGATATCGGTGAGGAGCTTGCGAGGAAAGGTGTATTATGTGCATTTGAACATCGCGATCGGACGGCATACTATATTTAACGACTACTGTGATGATGACGAGCGTTTTCTATGCTATATCCCCGTCTCGTATGTATACGTACTATCATCGATGCTCAACGATACCTTTCAGCTCTTCGTCGGGATTTCAGAGGTGGATACCATTACTATGGGTGTCGCAAGTAAAGTACTGGTAGTCGGACATCGCACGTGCGGGAACGGATGAAGCGGTGATCTGATGGCGTCATGTTTCTCTCTTGCATCCAACCGTCACCTCGTTGCTCGAATGTCCGTGCAAGCAAACAGGTGTGGATTTCCGGATCCTGTCGAGGCCGGTCTCTGATTCCCCATTCAGCCCAGCTCCGCGATCCGGATCGTTGCAGTCCGCTAGCGAAAGGCGAAACTGGATCGACTACGAGCTCAAAGGCCTATATGACGATCTCCACGCTTTACAAGAGCGGATTCGCCATCTTCGAGAGACCCGGAACGAACTCGCGCCCGTCTCCCGCCTGCCCGAAGAATTGTTGTCGTCGATCTTCTCTCACCACTTGACCAACTTCTACGAGGGGCAGCTGCAATTCCCATCCAGTCACGTCTTCAGTCACGTATGTCGGCGTTGGCATTTCGTTGCGCTTGAAAATCCCGCGTTATGGTCAGAAGTGCCTCGAAGGAACCTACAGCTCACTGAGGCGTTCTTGTCGAGGTCGAAGGGTACTGCGCTCTCCGTGTGGTTATCGATGCGTTGGTTCGGGCTACATAAGCCTCACGCAGATGCCGTCGGGGCCGCCGTACGACACTTGGATCGTGCGCAACGTCTTCATCTTCACTACAAAGAATACCCCCAGTTCGACACCCTCAGTGGAGGTTATCTCTCCCGTCCCGCCCCGCTTCTCGAGTTCTGTTGGATCCGCGGCCACGACTCCTCCCGGCCAGTACATATCCACAGAGGCTTCTTAGGCTCAATCGCCCCTCGCCTCCGCCGTCTTCATCTCAACGACGTTTTGCTCGATTGGGAGGCGATGCGTTGCGCCTCACTCGTTGGCAATCTAACCCACCTTGAGCTACTGGGCATCTCTTCCAGATCGCTTCCTAGTGGGCGCAATCTGGCATTGGCTCTTGCATCGATGCCTTCCCTGAAAACCCTTCGAATACATACTGACGGGGGACTCGTCCGGTCGGCCCCGATGGGAATATTCGCAGACGTTGCTGCTTTGACGCAGCTTGACATCCTTGATATGTGTGGCACGGGTTCGTATATATGCGTTCTTCTCGGCCATATCAGGGTTACTCCCACTACCTCAATAACCATCGTTCTCCTCGATGCCCAATCATCTTCATGCGACCCAAATATCCTGGCAGAATTCCTCGCGCATCAGCGCACATCCGAGGACGAGAACACCTCCATGCGACGGCTAAAGTATTTCGAACACCATCCCCTGCTAACCCTCCTCGGCAGCACCAGTAAGCCGCAGCTCTCCGCCTATGCGACCCCCTTTCCCAACGCGCCAGCCATTCTCGAGTTGCGTTTCACTTCGATGTGGACTGCCATGACCCTTCAAGCCATCCACTACGGGATGTCTCTCGAGCAGGTCGAAGTGCTGGAAATAGCGTTCACGAAACAACTCGACTTGGGCGACCTCGATCCTATTCTCCGCGCGTGTACCAATGTATCTGAGATCTGGATCGAAGGCTCTCACACATGCGAGACGCTCATTCATACGCTTGTCTCAGGTTTTACCCGCCTTGGTCGCACTCTGCTCCCCGCTCTGCGACGAATATATCTGAAATTCGTCTTTAATCCCTCGGAAAAGCTGATGACCGCTTTCCGAGATCTCCTGGTAGACGGGGATCGTGACGCGTTGACCCTGGTCTTAGTCGGCCATAGATGCTTGGAGTCACAGAATCTAGATGATGTTCGCGCATTTGGCGGTCCAGACAGAGTGATAGTACTGGAGGAGGGGATCGGAAGTAGTTGACTTATGCACGACCTTGACTTCCGGGTCTGTACGCCGATGTCAGCAATGTCTTTCACATGGGACTGTGTACATCCAAGATTCTGATGTCCATACAGGATCGTTGAACGAACTCATATTCGAGTTTCAGACTAGCTTTTGGAGAGGCGAGAACTATATATCAGCAGGTAAGTCGTGCCAAAGTTATTCTCATCATGCTGTCCGAGTTCATGAACCATCTAGTTTACCTCAGATCACGCGGGTACAGAGGCCGGAATCATGACTGCTTTTTTTCTCGGTAGGACAAGCGGCCACGGGTTCTGCGGGAGCAACCTACGGAGCCGAACACCTTGTCAAGACAGTGAAAGCAAAATAGTTAGGGGAAAATCCAAGGCGTTGAGCGAAGCAGTATACCATATGCTCAGGGGCAATGTTCGCAAGTGTCTCGGCGACTGGGATTACCCCATTGATGTGCCAAACCGAACATGCGACGAGGCTCCCGATGGTTCGCTTTCGGGACCGTACCGGTGATAACATACCGTACCACGACACAGCCTCTGTTCAACATCGATCGAAAGATTCGTGGGGATTGGCCGTCGCTTCGCACTCATAAGAGTTTGTAGCACGGGCAAAGTGGAGCGGGGCTCTTCTTGACTATGCAGTGCATGTTTTGGCAGGGCTCTCCGCGGACATCTTTGCCCACTTTTAGCACCTTGCAAATACAGTGCGTTCCCGTCCGATCCCCCTCCTTTCCCTGCACTCGCTATCATCTGCCATCTACCCACGTGAAAAAGTGGAAGACGGCCGCAGCTTCCCCGTGAAGTTTATGTTTATAACGTTGTCTCGGTTCTAGGTTGACCTTACAGACCGATCTGCACTAGATCAACGGAAGCGCTTCATTTCAATCGCGTCGCCAGACACGCCGAGTACCGCTCCATCTGGGAACTGACGCCGACCACGTTCTTTCATGCCACTGCTAAGTTATCTCTCCCGGTAGTAGACAACCTCGTCCGGGAACATATCGATGGCGTTCCTTAGCAGCCGCAGCCCAAGGCTCCGCTCTCCCGGGCATTGTTTCTATTTGCATTCAGTTTCATAGTAGCAAAGACGTCTAACGACGTAAGTCTGGACGAAATAGTCAACGCACATGTTCCTATCTAGCATTCCTCCACCATATTCCGGAAACCCGGCACCGCTTGGATCGGTCGAGTGTCAGCATGGCTGTGAGTGCTTCTTGGCAAACCACAACGACTTCCGCGCAATGTGCGGGAGGCTATGTACTTCGGTATCGTGACCACGGCTAGTGCACTGGCGCTGCTGCACATGAGCACCCAGCGCAGCGGAAACTCAGTGTCGTTACAGGCCAAGGGAGAGTGGTTGGATCGAACCTACACCCCGCGTTCACACAGTCGTTCTTCACTGGCTGTCGCTTTCACATGCCACATTCAATTTCGGGACTCCACCCACGCCCCGCTGTATACTATATCAGGAGTCTCTGAGCAACCTGCGGACGGCGCTCTTGGCAAGCAAGGTGAGAGGAGTAAGTTGGAAAGTGTTGCACGCTTTAACTACTGATACCGAGTTTCATGTCTAGACCACGGACCTTTTTGGCTGCTCTGTCTTGAAGATAAGGCTCCCTTCGTGAGCGGAACGGTCGACACACCATGGCCTCGCCGTCTTTTGTAGAAGGTTGGGTCAACTTCAATCCCGCAGGTGCTGGCAAACCATGCCAGACGTGGTACAAGATGTACGGGGATGTCACCACCGCCGTGCATCGTCCGTTGATTGTCATACACGACGGTCCAGGTGCGGTTTCTTCGTGTACCGTGATCGAGATCCGATTGAACGCGTAATCGTAGGAGCCGTGCATCAATACCTGCTTCCAGTCAGCGAGCTATCTATCACGCATTCAATGCCCGTCATCTTCTACGATCAAATCGGCAACGGAAACAGCACGCACCTGCCCGAGCTCAAAGACGACAAGTCCTTCTGGACAGAGTCGCTTTTCCTCGATGAGCTACGAAATCTCATCATCGAGATCGGTATCCAGGACGACTATGCTATTTTAGGTCATTCGTGGGGCGGAATGCTTGGAGCTCGGCATGCGATCGGCCGTCCGGAGGGATTGAAGCGACTCATCATCGCCAACTCGCCGACGAGCATGAAGCTGTGGCAGCAATCGGTTTCCGAGCTCCGCTCAGGCCTACCGCAAGAACTTCAAGACACGCTACGAATCCACGAAGAAGACGACACGACTGACTCTGAGGAGTATCAGGCAGCTGTTGCTGAGTATCATCGTCGTCACGTATGCCGCCTGGACCCGATGCCTAAGGAACTTGGCAGTACATTCGCGGAGCTTGGCAATGATCCTACGGTCTGTGCTACGATGTAAGCACCATCTCCTTATTCATGGTATACTAGATACTCTTGCTCACGAAAGTTGATGTTCAGGCGCGGGACCGCACAATTTTACATCACGGGCGTCCTAAAGGACTACTCTGTCGAAGAAGGCCTCGCCAATATCGCCGCCCCTACTCTGCTCATCAATGGCAAATACGACGAAGCTCAAGATTTTACAATCCAACCTTTCTTCACCTCCATTCCTAGCGTTAGTTGGACTCAGTTTGTAAACTCGAGTCATACCCCCCATCTGGAAGAGCACGAACGATATTTGCGGGTCATTGCTGCATTCCTGTCGTAGTCCGAACGACAATCGTCGTAAAGGACAATGCTGTTTGTACGATGCTGTTTGTCATGTTATTGATGAATGCGTACTGGACGGCGTTGTATGGCTCACACTCGTCTTATTTCGGGGGATCGGCTATAACAGAACTTGAAGCGTGTAACCGCTCTCTACTCATAATCACCGCGTACATGACGTTTGGGTCTCGGTTTGTAAGGTGAAGGACGCTCAGTGAATGTAACGAAGGATGACGGATTACGAACCAGGAAACGGTTTGACTTGCGAAGCGACAGCAACCCAGCTAGGAGCATGTATGCTTGCTTTGAACAGCACGTGGTGGGATGGGCTAAGAGCTTTGAGAGGGTAGAAAACCGGTAAGGTGCAAAAAAGCTTGTGAGTTCATGGTCTGCGCACCACATCAACGTTATAAAGGTGTCACACAGGTGAGGCAAGTTGAGTGGACCGAGCCTGAATGGTCTGAAAGGATCGGGTAGGAGAGCGTAAGCGCCGGGTTCCTCGCTTGAGGAAGAGTTGACATTCGCGACGAGATGGAGATGCTGGTGCTCGCAAAGAACACGCAATCAGCTACATACAAGGCGTTGTAAAAGCTACGAAGGTAACACATCTAGTATGAGGGACTGACCATAGGTTTCAGTGCCATCAGCTCGTGTCACCGGCATAGATCCCAGCCTCATCTCAGCCTCTGCTCCCCGTTCTCTGAGAAATATACTTGAAGTTCCTCGTCTGTCCCCATCTGTAGAGGGATCTGCTCTAGAAGATGACGCAAAAATGTCCTTGATTTTGACGGACAAGCACTTGGATGCTTGGGTCGCGCAGAAATTGTGCAAATACTGTGAGTCGGACAGAGTCGTAGTGTCGTACGAATGGAAAGAAGAGGAGCAGAACATAATGAGTAGCTTGCGCGCCGTTTCTGAGTCGCAGGGAGGGGGCAACCTACATACTCCGCATACTTGGACGACGAAAGAGTCGTGGGTTTCTTTAGCTAGCATCTTACTAGAGCCTGTTTCCGTAGTTTGTTGCGAAACCATCCGCGTTGTTCGTGAAGCTGACGTCGGGCAGATGGATCACGTTGACCAGGTATGATGACCCCTGAAGTTTACTAGCTAAAGGCTAAGCTCGTTTGGCGCGACGATGCATCGTTGCGCAAAAAGGACAAAGCAAAGGCACGGTCACACACGTGCAGATGTTCCCACAACAAGAACTTCTCGGTCCTGTTCGGCGTCGCCCTCCTTCCCCATTTCTGGTTCACTGCCGTCTTCACGATCTACACGAATCTATTCCAAGCCGTGTTTGACTGGAGCGCGATCGTCAGCGCTATCCATTTTCTGCCTGTCGGCATCGTCGCATCCGTTGTCAGCTGCACCGGTCCTCTGGCGCGCATAATCGAACCGAAGTGGATCATCCTCACGGGCGAGGCTTTACTGATCGTCGCAACGATCCTCCTTGCGTTGGCATCGAGCCCGAATGCCTACTGGCCGTTCGTCTTTTCTGCTTTCGTGGTTGGCGCCACAGGGGCGATGCTCACGTTCACGCACACGAATATCGCCATCTTCCGCACGACGCCGTCGCGCATGGCGGGCACCGTCGGTGCCATCTACAACGGCGCGTTCCAGCTCGGATACGCCGTCGGCATCGCTACCGTCTCTAGCGTGGAGAGCAGCGTGGAGAAGAAAAGTAGCCGCGGCTTCGACGAGTATGAAGGGAGAGCGGCGGCGCTGTGGTTCATGCTCGGTGTCGTGGGGGTGGAGACTATCTCCGTGCTGACGTTCTATCGCGTCGGGCGGGAGGTCGCTGATGTAGGTAGGTAGGTAGGTATATTTCCGGCGCAAGAAGTGATATCACAAATGGGGAACAACACGGAACTACGGAGCTCGCAGGTGAATGCAGACCTGAAGCCTGGAGATACTGGTCAGGTGGAGAAGAGAGCGGGGCAGTCAGGTGATGTTACCGAGCGCGATTGCAATGGAGGATAAGACAATGACTGTGATTGTGTTCGCAGCGAGTGTACGGTACTGGTTCTTCACGGAGCTCGCCGTGGCGCTCGTTGTAACAGCATGTCCCTGGCAATCCGGTTGCATCTCGATCACTTGCGAATGGTGCATACTCTGCCGTTCGGCCATGCTTTGATCATCCAACTACGCTGACTAAAGCCCGGCATTGACTTCACCGTACGTCAATCTGCACGTCTTGATGTGCAGGTATCGCGCACCTGATGACCATGTCAGGAGAGGATGAGGAGGTCAGATGTGGGGATCTCAGATGACTACAGGAGCAGATGATACCCAACGGCCTTCCGTGTTTGCCGATGACTACGAGGTCGAACGTAACTGCTTGCTGACAATCAATCATACTCCGATCCAACTCAAGGAACGAAGGACGCCGTGCATCTGTCAATGTTCAGAGTAAACTTTGAAGCGCCTACGTGCATTCCAACGAACAGTCGTGTACGTCTCTTCCTCGAACCGGTACCGAAGATAATGGCGCAAGTCACAGATGGTGTATCCTAGTGGACATGTCAGTACTTCCACCGACATCATGATCTTTTTTTTTTTTTTTGGAGTGGCGCTTACTTGTGAGTATGGCCTACCCGTTGAGCGTTCACGGGTGGCCGGACATCATGATCTTTCATGTACGCTGATGGATCTAAATCAGGTACAGCGCTACGTGTAGAACTAGCCGAGCCTTGTTAGGGAGTGTTTTCCCACATTCTAAAAATAACTTGGACTGTTTGACATATCTACTCCGCCCGAGCCTCGAGAAGACCAGAGAGCAAGCATACCTCGTCTCACTGGTCTCCACACAGCTTTGCTCGACCTGAAGCACTGTTGGCTGCCCGTTCGTCGCGCAAATTCAGCTCATTATTGCAATAACCCAAGTGGGACTCATTCACGCCTTACTCCAGTTCGTCCAACAGGCCCGAAACTACGATACCCAGTCATTTCGAAGCGGATGACGAGCGCCAAGCCCTTCTCGTGATCAAATGGCCTCGGACTCAGGCACCACGAGCCTCGGAGAATCCTTGAACGTCGGTTTGGCGTCGGCATGGCTAATTTGTGCCTTGACGTGCAATTTTGCCTTAGCATTGCCACTGGAAAAACACAACACTGTAGGTATGTACCAAGTTTTCGCTGATACCTTAACCCGCTCAACGTACCCTTCATTGTTATCTAGCGCCGTTTGATGTGTGTATTGGCAACCTTGCGTTTCTGCACTTCCAGCGATGAACTGCGCGGATACCTATGCATGAGATGATCACCCACTGACCCCACTTTCGCTGGAATGATGCACGAGATGTTGGACGGCTTGTGAGATGGTGCCTTGCTGGTATGGTGTTCCGATTATCCGGTATCCACAACTCCCACCGCTCACAAGGTCTATGCTTGTGCTATGTCGCAGTGGTATCGCATGCTCATCGGCAATCACAGTCGACCTCATACGCTCAACAACACCGTCCGAACCATGTCGGATGCACCTCCCACGACGATCACTCGGACATATGCCAACTGCCATCGAATAAAGGCGGCTCGTTTCATGGAGCATGCACCGGTGATGGTAGACAACACCCGGATAGTAGACAACACCCGGATACCCGGGCGATAGTGGAATTAGTCAGGATCTGCAAACAGTTCCAGCGAGTAAGAGCACAAGGTGTGCGCGTATAAAGGCTGAGCATCCTGGATCGTTGTAAACCCAGCGCCCGCCTCTTTCACAGCAACCGGACTCCGGAGTGTGCAACATGCGCTTATATCCTCTCGTCGTCCTTCTCGTGTCTATCGGCGCACAAGCCCTACCTTCGTCGGTGCACAAGCGTCAGAACAAAATCCCGTCGTATGTACAATGTTCATGTCGCGAGTCCCTTCTGACTCAGGTCCATATGTTAGAACCTATGACCCGTCCATCGCGTCTTTGATGTGAGTTCTCCGTGCGACACTTCTGTGATAATTGTATTGTGATACTTTCTTTCTGTTAGTAACCAGATCGGAGTGCAGCGCGGCGTTCCGGAATCAGTTCTGCAAGCTGCCTTTGAGACGGCATGGGTATGCGATCGACATGTGTTCATTTTAATTCGTTTCTGAATGATTCTCAGGTCGAGAGTCATATCAGTACGCGATCGACATTCGTTCATCAACAGAACGTTGACCAATCGCTATCCTCTCTTTAGACAACCTGAATTTTGGAGATAGCGACAGCCTTGGTATGACGATCTCATTTTGGTTGACGCTTAGCTGTCGCTCACGCCTCATGTAGGTGTTTTCCAGCAAAGACCCTCACAGGGCTGGGGCACTGCCGCCCAGGTGCAAGACCCGACATACGCGACGAATGCATTCCTTGATCAGGTTCGTAGTACGACGAAATAATATTGGCCCTGGTGTCTCATCATCCGATCATGCAGGCGATGAAAGTTTATAACAAGGATCCCTCGCTTGCCCCGGGCGACATTGGTAAGGCTCTCCGCCTTCAGTCCCATCTTTCTTGCTTAATTGAAGCGGTGTAGCCCAGAAGACCCAACGTTCTGCTTACCCTGATCGGTCAGTGACCATCGCCTGACGGTCTCGGTCCGAAACTTGACTGCGTGCACTTATAGTTACAACGAGGCCGCGGATCGCGCAACGAAGATCCGCCAGGATGTTGAGAATGGCGACCCCGACGGCGATGAAGACGACGACGAAGATGACTACCTTGACCTCAGTGCGATACCCTTCCCAGTTCTATTCGTCATAATCCATCAACTCACGGTTCTTTGCAGTCGACGATCTAGATGATGACGGAGGGGTGCGACTGCGTATATCAGGAACTCGATCGTGATACTCATTCTTTGCTTTTCTTGGCAGTATGACTACGTGGATGAGGACGGAGAGTTCGACGATGGCGATGACGATGGGGGCGACTACGGAGACGACGATGGAGGCGACTACGGAGACGACGATGGAGGCGACTACGGAGACGACGATGGAGGTGATTACGGAGGTGACGATGGCGGCGATTACGGTGGAGATGACGGTGGAGACTATGGAGGTGGTGGTATGTTGCATGATTGTAATCCTGCCTCTACGCCTTCTAATCTGTGCTTAGGAGGTGACGGAGGAGGCTAGTGCCTGTGGTTCCATGTCATTGGTTCAGCATGCTGATGACCATCGTAGATTGCCGTCGCCGCCGCGATCTAAAGGGCCGACTGGAAATTAGCTGCGATATCTGGGTATGTTGCATGATTGTAATCCTGCCTCTACGCTTGCTAATCTGTGCTTAGGAGGAGCCGGCGGAGGCTAGTGCCTGTGTTTTCATGTCATTGGTTCAGAATGCTGATGACCATCGTAGGATGAAGCCTAAAGGGCCGTCTGGAAATTAGCTGCGATTTCTGATCTGGGACGTTCTCAAGGTCTCGAGCTCGCGCCACAAATTTCGCGTCATGCATATGCATGCAAGGTTATCTCATTCCCGATGCATGGTAGTGCTCTCGCAATCTGATATCCACTCAGTATCACCTATACTATGACGTTAATTAGCGTGTCCCATACACTAGCCGTAATTGTCACTATCTCAGGGTTATGGCCAGAGTGTTGTTTCGGGCCCTGACAGATTGATTATCCAGACCCCGTAGCTACGGTGTCATCCCAGGATACACCTCCTTTCTCTTGGTCTCCTCGTTCAGAGGACGCGCGACGAGCGCGCGAGCAAGAGGGCTCCGTGAAAATATGCCCACGCGGAGGTGCTTTCATTGCGTTCCGTCAGTTCTTTGTATGCAGATAATCATGTGTGCACTCACCTTCAGCACAGGGAACATCCCGCGCTCTTCCTTCCGATAGATGAGCGACCGGCGATTCTGCATCGAGACAAATGGCGTAAGGTCGTGGTTAACGGCATCTGCTTAGCATATAGCACAAGTCCGCTTCGGAGAACATGTGTTCATGTTCATTCTCGAAAGTTCGATGACACGTTCTTTACCTTCTGGACAGACATGCATACCGACGCCTGGGGATTGGCGGATTAGGTCCTCAATCTCTGGCACGGGGGAGCCAGGACGTCACTGGAGGGGCAAAAGGGAACGTGATTGTCGTCGGTGAGCTTCTTCCCCGCTTATATCTCGATAATCGTCAAGCTGTTCTTCAGGTTTCAGCTTGCCCTTATCAATCTTACCTGTGAAAATATTGACCTGCTTTTGTATCCGGACAAAGCGGTGCGATCGGCATTCCCGAGCCCAACGGCGACCCATTGATTGCCAACGTCAGTGGAACGTCCCGAGCTCCATCCTCAGTCGCTTCCTCAAACGAAGAGGGACGCGATTCTTGCTGGCCAACGTTCGACCACCAGATCTGGTGTCGATCAAACTCTGTTGCATCGGCAAAACCTCGGTAATATCTCATCTAGTCCTCGACCGCCCTTTGTAGTTGAGCTTTTGACTAGAACAAACCTCTGGCCGGTGTATCATCCACGGGCTTGATGAGACGCGGTCACTTGGTCGGGGACACGGAGGAATCGCATGGATCACCCGCATTTTTCTTACCTACAAAGGCAATTCGAAGTGGCTTTTAGTGACCTTTCAGCCAGGGGACTTGTGTAACGCTCCTTTGAGTCGCAAACGCGGACCTTTCATCCGAGACGCGCCTTGGTACTTAGCCTGTCGATGAATCGCGCTGGATGGCCACGTGGAGATATTCCCACACATGCCGCAGTCAGGTCGCCCGCGGATGTCTTTTTTGTAGCTGCTCCGTCCACCTACGCCATCCCGCCTCCCATCCGCCATCCGAACCCTCCTCCCTTCATCCGCCATCCGCGAATACGATCTTTCCGCCTGCGATGGAGTATAAAATATGCTCACCTCTGCGTGAAAGGAACCAACTCCGGTTGTCCTCGATCCCTATCAGCTACCGCTTACAGCCCAGCCATAGTTGTCCCTCCAATCCTTACCATGCTCTACTCCAGGCAGCCTATGAATATGGTCTACAAGACCGACTGTATCTGCTCTCGGACTTCCTCCACCACCGAAGTTCTTCTGAGCTGTAACGGCGTTCCTTACTGCTCCAAGGGAATCAACTGCAATCGTCGTCCAAAGTCTCGGCTCGCCGTCTATACCGACCTCGACGGGGCTCCTATAGTGGTTCCGAGGCCTGTCGCCAACGTATCGCACATGTTCGTTGTACCGTCAAACTCCTTCTCTGACGACAAGTCTCTCGCTTCCGTCTCTGGGGTGTCTACTACCGAGGACTTCGACTCGCTCTCCAACTCGCTTCTCGCTCAGTTGCGCGGACTATCGGCAAAGGCACCTTCCAGCTCGGCTTTGGAGACCCTTTCTACTCCGGAAGAGGTCGTCCGCACCCCTGAACCCCTCTCCACCATCTCCGAGGAGGACGAGGAGGAAGAAACACGTACCGCCTCCATACCCAAGCAGATCCCCTTCGTGCGCGCCTCATGGTTTGTGACTCAGGATGGCGAGCAACCTATCCACCCGATCGAGGAAGGCATCATCGTATGCCCTATCCAGTCGAAGTCGAAGCGTCGAGGAGCTGTTCGGCGTGCCCTCGGCCCGAAGATCTATCCCATGCGCGAGCTGCTCGGCAAGGTCTTCCGTCCTCGTTTCCACCACTTCTAGTTGTATGCGCGCTTCGCCTTCAATCAGGTGAGCAGCGCCGACGACATCAACCTCCGATCGCGGGACTGACTCTCGAAATCATCTAGATGTGTTTATCGCGTCCTACGCAGGATATCAATCTTCTCTTCCCATCCGTATCGCATCCGCCATCCCACTCCATTATAATCCTGCGTTCTCATGGCATCGGATTTTCTCGTCTCATTTCGCTCTAAATCTTTGACTTTTTCCATATAACACACTTCGACGGCGGGTCACTCATCCACGGCTTCGGTCATCACCTACATTCTTCTCCCTCGATAACTCAGGATTGGATCCTCTGTCCTGGTCCGGCGCCAACTCCAGCTGCCCCTGGTCTCGCCCTCTTCCCTCTCGGTCTGCCTCTGCCGGCTCTCGAGGACGGTTACTCTCCTCCTAGTATCGCAACCGTTCCGAGGCTCTTGCGATTGCATGTCGACGCCGATGGGCTCACCAGCCCTCCGTGTCCGTCTTGAGGGGATTCCGGCCTTCTTTTGGCCCTCTTTCGGCAGTCGACCTCGCTATATACCTCTCGACATGCCCGCGCCCGCGCATGCACGCTCATCCGAGCCACGCCTCTGCAACCTACATTGGCTTCTGTAGCAGGACGCCCGCCCGAGTCCTTGGAGCCCCTCTTCAGCACTCGCGCTGCGCCAGGGCCTGGTCAGCCCATCTCATCGGCGCTCGTACGGCACTTCGCGGTTCTCCTCTAGCAACCGCCCGCCTTACGCCTCCCGCCTCTGGTCGGTCTCGACGCTCTTCGGGCAGGAAGACGCTTCGACCGTGGACGCCGTTCCACCGCGGCCTCCCAATCCTCCAGACGCTCGCCTCTCTCTCCGACCTCGTCCCTCGGAGACACGCGACCGCACCCGCCTGACCCACGGCTGCGACCCCACGGGCCCCGATACCCCAATACCCCGGCTCCTGCCCTCAACGCTCGCTTTGAGGCGCTTGGAGTCGAGGGCCCGTTATACCCGCCTTGATAGGCACCTCTCGGCCTGGACATGATACCTTCCGCACGCGCGTACTCTCGCGATGCATACACACTCCTTTGATGTAACGGGGCGAGTGGCGGCGGGATACAGAGTGCACCTGTATCCTGTCTTCACTTGCTCCCTCGAGCCCCCTTTGGCCAACCTCCTCCGAGTCCCCAAACTACTGTTCCCTCGCCGACCCGCCGTCGTACATAACATCAAAAAATCAAACCTCTCTTATGTATCAAAGATGTGAATGAATTTCTATAGACAGTGTATCTTTCGTCGATTCGACTCTCCTCATAAATTGCGCTCCTCGATCCAAACCGTGGAGGAAGCTTCTCTACGTATACCTCAGGTAATATTTGTACCCTGGTAATTCGAATCACCCTTTTCTTCCTGTGTGGGCTCCCGCATGCCTCCGTGCATGGCTCATGGCCCAGTTGACGTTCTTGAATTTGGCTCTTTAATCGGATTCCCTTTGTGTGATACCAAGCCCTTGCTCTGCCTCTGCAAGAACGTGTCCGAACTTCAGCTCGGGGGCCCCAAGATGTGCTCCTCAGTCGTTTCCCTCCTTGTCCCGGATCCTGTAAGGGCGCACGAGCGCTGTTTGCTCCCTTCCCTCCGACGGATTCGCTTGCTCGACCTTTCGCCGATCAAGGACCTTTCCGTCCCTCTGCGAGCGCTTCTTGAATCAAGCGAAGAGCTAGCCCTGCATGTGTAATTTGTTCCGGGTCTTTCAGGACGTCGGAGAACTTGAAAAGCTCTCCGGTACGGACGTAATGTACGTCGGCTTGCTTGGACCCTCTCCTTTCAGTGTTCACTTCTTGGAGCCTAGAAAAGCATGCTGGTAGTGTCTGAATGTTAGTTTATCGGGAAGTCAGGAGGGAGGCTAGTGTAGTAAGGTCACATACATCCGATGTCATTTGCAACATTTGCAATCGGGATTCTTCCCTTTATACGGACTAGTTTCCGGGAAACTTCGCGGAATGCACCTCGAGGTACAATCAGTTCCTCCAAAAGTGAGTAAGTAGCAGATGTGACTGTCGCAGTTGACTCGAGGCTCTTCGAACGGCAACGGCCCTGCGAGAGGGCATGCGTGCCCACTGCCACATACATTTGGACGTCACCGTTGACCTTACGAATATACAACCTCGTTCAGATGACCACACACACGCTGCTAATCATGGAAGAGGGCTCCGGGAGAAGCTTCGTACAGCGGACTGCTGACTGAACAAACGGAAGGTCGACCCACGAACGATATCAAACCAGGACGTCGCAAATGGGTCGTGGCAACTTCATTTGTATATATACCCCGGCCCGGATGTCAGAAGATATCACACGCCCTCATCTTCTTACCGCAACCATCGAGCAAGCCCGCGATGTCGACCCCTGTGACGAAGAAAATGCCGTACGGTAAAAACACCACTCGGTCGCTTCCATCCGCAAATCATATCTAACGCGAATATTATGGTGCGCAGTTCGTCTGGGTAACTCCGGGCTCAAGGTTTCTAAGATCATCCTGGGATGCATGTCCTACGGTACGCCGACGCCGCAGTCATATATGCACGCCCAAATCACTGACCATCTCGCAGGCACCCCCGATTGGCAGCCGTGGGTCCTTCCGGAAGCGGAGGGTATCAAGCACATCAAGCTCGCCTACGACGCCGGCATCAACGCCTTCGACACCGCAAACGTCTATTCCAATGGGGAGTCGGAGATCATCCTTGGCAAGGCCATCAAGGAGCTCAAGCTTCCGCGGGACGAGATCGTGGTGTTGACGAAGGTCTTCTTCACCGTCGCCCATAGCCCGAGCGAACGCCTGTTTGGCGTCAGCAGTGCGGAGGTCGATCAGCGGGGGTACGTCAATCAGCACGGGCTGTCGCGCAAGGTGAGTACGACGTCTTTTTACTCCCTATATGCGCAATGGGATCGAGTGTTGATGGTGTTTGTGGTAGCATATATTCGACTCGGTCAAGCGGTCTCTCGAACGCCTGCAACTCGACTACATCGACGTCCTCCAATGCCATCGCTTCGATCCCGACACGCCGATCGAGGAGACGATGCAGGCGCTGCACGACGTCGTCAAGGCGGGTTACGTGCGCTACATCGGCATGTCATCGTGCTGGGCTTGGCAATTCAGCGTCATGCAAAGTGAGTATTCCATGCGAATTCCGCCCGAAACGCTCTGGTCTGATTCGGCTGGGCAGACTACGCGATCGCGAACCACCTCACTCCCTTCATCTCGATGCAAAACCATCACTCGGTCATCTACCGCGAGGAGGAGCGCGAGATGTTCCCCACCCTGAAGGTTTGTGATCACTCCTTATCCCCGACGCATACATGCTAGTTAATATGGGATACCGGATAGCATTTCGGCGTTGGAATCATCCCGTGGAGCCCGCTCGCGCGAGGATTGGTCACGCGTCCGCTCGGTGAGCAGACTAAGCGGCACACGTCAGACGCGACCATCCACCAGTACCTCGGCGGAAGCACGGAGGCCATCGTGTCGAGGTGAGCCGGAAGCCCGTCTCGCATCTTTGTCCTTGATCTCCTTTGTATATACTCAACCATCGCCTTCGTCTTCGAGTTGCCCCTGCCTTATACTGCTCTGTTTTTTTATGATCCATGCTTGTGATCATTGGCAGGATGGCTGATATACGTTTCTTCGTTCCTCAGGGTCGAAGAGATCGCGAAGAAGCGCGGGATCAGCATGGCGCAGGTCGCGGCCGCGTGGTCGATGCAGAAGGAGGGCGTTACTGCGCCCATTATAGGTTCGACAAGCATCAAGAACCTCGAGGAGCTCATTGGTCAGTACTTTCTCCTCGCCTCCTAGCTATGATCGCTACCTCGATCCTCGCCGTTGGGTATGCGATGCTGACGGATCAACGCTGTGTAGCGGCTGTCGACATCAAACTGACGGAGGAAGAGGTCAAATACCTCGAAGAGCCTTACACGACGAGGAGCGTCATCGGACATGCGTAAGGAGCCTACATGCCTGCGAAGTCGTCGGCAGCACGAACGCGAACAGACGTGGATGCGTAGGCGGGCGACGAGCCTGTGTAGGATTACGTGGGTTGTCAGGTCCATGTTGGTCGTGACCCTACGTACGAGTGCCAGTAAAGAGAAGATATCACACAGCAATGTATTTCTATACTATATGACACCCTCACTTCGTCACTCCCGCCGAATCGTCAGAATTTTGATATCTCAACATCTACCACACCGTTTCGGTTTGTTCTTGCTCTGGGAGCTTATAGTACATATCTGAACATGTTCCACGCATTAGCAAGGGAATTAATTTGCTGAAACTCGAGCAATGCTACCTCGAGCAGAGTCACGCTGTGATGAGCTGCCGATGCGCGGCAGGACAATAGCCGAGCGGACTTCAAAAACCGGAAGCGCATTGACGCCCAGCCGCGCGACGCGCACCGACACGTTGACGGAATACAACGACAATCTCTATTTCATCTTTATCCATGTCCTTCTTTCTATTAATGGGGCCTGCAATGGATCAACAAAGTAGGGCGATGACCGGCGCGGGACGAGAAACGGCGCAACGAAGAGTCTGGCGGAGTTCGAAATTTTGATGGCGGCGATACACAATGTCGAACATCTCCGACACGACCAGCAAACTCTACGACGATGCGCATCTGGATGACGCCCCCGCTGGGGATAGACCATGACGGCTGAGGATCCAGGTTGATAACAGCATCGAACTGGATGGACTGGGTGTGTTGACTGGACTGAGCAATCGACCCACAAACGTTGCTGGAAGCAGTAAACCGTAGATGGGTCGGACAGGTTTATAATCCATTGGCACGATTGAAGGCACCACAGTCTCACCCAGCAGTAGAGACAACGACAAGATGGCCAACATCGTCACGAAGAAGATGTCCTATGGTAAATCCATCGTTCGCTCGCCACCAGGATGACGTCTAACACAACTTACACTCACAGTTCGCCTAGGCAAGTCCGGTCTGAAGGTGTCGAAGATCATTCTGGGCTGCATGTCTTATGGTATGCCGCCGCCAAGGTACAGACCTGAGACGATCTCAGGTATAGATGCCATATCGCAGGTTCGGCCGACTGGATGTCATGGGTCCTCCCCGAATCGGAGGCCATTCAGCACATCAAACTTGCCTACGACGCCGGCATCAACGCCTTCGACACCGCGAACGTCTACTCGAATGGCGAGTCCGAGATCATCCTCGGCAAGGCCATCAAGGAGCTCAAGCTGCCGCGGGATGAGATTGTGGTGATGACGAAGGTGTTCGCCCCCGTGGCCCGCACCCCGGGCGAGCGCACGTTCATGCTCTCTACTGCGGAGACCGACAAGCAGGGTTATGTCAACCAGCATGGATTGTCGCGCAAGGTACATGTGCCTGCTAATATGCACAACGATCTTGCCTGACGATCTTTCCAATAGCACATCTTTGACTCCGTCAAACATTCGCTCAAGCGCCTACAGCTTGAATACATCGACCTCCTTCAATGTCATCGCTTCGACCCCGACACCCCAATCGAAGAAACGATGCAGGCGCTGCACGACGTTGTCAAAGCTGGCTACGTTCGCTACATCGGCATGTCTTCGTGCTGGGCATGGCAGTTCCACGTCATGCAGAGTGAGTTGTCCACGCGGAAATTTCGCCCCAAGTGCTCTCAATGACTGGATTTGGTGGCAGACTACGCAATCAGCCACAACCTCACGCCCTTCATCTCGATGCAGAATCACCACTCGCTCATTTACCGTGAGGAGGAGCGCGAGATGTTCCCCACTCTGAAGGTCAGCCTCCCTTTCCTGCTTCCCAGCGGTATCGCTATCCCGTACTCGTGAGGAAGAACATGTTGAGTGCTGACCAAAAAACATGACAGCATTTCGGGGTCGGCATCATTCCGTGGAGCCCGCTCGCCCGGGGGATCGTAGCGCGTCCGCTCGGCGAGCAGACGAAACGAAACTCTGCGGACACGAGCGCTAGCAGGTACCTCGGTGGATCAACTGAAGTCGTCGTCGCTCGGTAAGCATTTCGTCCTCGCTTCGCTTGGGTTTCTGCCTGCAATACGATGTTCGCTCATTGCCTAATGCCATATCTAGTGTCGAAGAGATTTCAAAGAAGCGCGAGATCAGCATGGCGCAGGTCGCGGCCGCGTGGTCCATGCAACAGGAGGGCGTAACTGCGCCGATCTTTGGCACCACGAGCGTCCAGAACCTCGAGGAGCTCATTGGTGAGTAACTGCGCCCCTCACGATTGTTCGTACAGGGTAGCTGATGTTGGATACCTCTAGCGGCCGTCGATATCAAACTGACGGAAGACGAGATCAAATACCTCGAGGAGCCGTATACTCCGAGGGCCATCATTGGCCATGCCTAAGTCCATGCCCTAGTGGCGACGGTGTTATGGATATAGAGCGCTTGATTAGTACATGAAGAGGATGGGATCGTGGTGAATCTGCGATGCACGTCTCCAGGACGCTCCTCTGGTATGGTATCGCAGTTCAGGTCAAGGCGACGAGATCACCCTGACTTGACGACTCAAAACAAGAAAGATCGCGATAGTTATTGTGTATGTATGGCTTTTTATATCGTGTATCAAGTACAATACGTTATGGCTCCGATGCGAATGCACATCAAGCGAGGTCTTGCTTGAGCACGAACCGATAGCGAACGTCGCTCTTCTTCAGCCGTTCTAGGGCTGTCTGAGCCTGGCTCATAGGCAGCACCTCAATCCTACAAGCCATACACCTCTTAGCTCGCGACTGGATATTGGCATCGCGAAGACAAGACGTACCATGGCTGGATACTCTTGTCAGCGGCAAGCTGCAGCATCTCGATGGCCTCCACTTTGCTGCCGATGCGAGTGCCTCCGACGAAGCATCCGTTCGGGTTGAAGTCCCATGCGGTGATGTTCAAAGCCGGTTTGTCCGGGATCCCGACGATGACGAACTGTCCGTGGATCCCGAGCGTGCTCAGGTAAGCGCTGAGCGGCATGCTATCGAAGTTGTCGATGGTGCATATGATAAGGTCGATTGTCTTCTCCAGATCCTTTGCGAAGCGGCCCTCCTAGAAGGTGGACGTCAGCGACCCTATGATCTGGCAGCTGCAAGTCGGAAGAGTTCTCACCGAGTCCGTGACGACAACATGATCAGCCCCCATCTTCTTTATATCATCCACCTTGCGCGTACCGTGGGTGAAGGCGTACACTTCGGCCCCCATCGCCTTGGCGAAAATTACGCCGTAATGTCCCTAAAAGAGTGGACAGAGAAAGGATCAGTCCCCAGCCACGACATCAGCTTCGCCAAAAAGATCATCTTACCAAACCACCAATGCCGATGATGCCCACTTTCTTTCCGGGACCAGCGTTGAACCGCTTGAGTGGCGAGTACATGGTCAGCCCGCCGCACATCATGCTAGCGGCGTATTGCGATTCCAGCGCGTCGGGGATGGGGAACACAAACTGTTCGTGGGCACGAATGGCGCTGGCGTAGCCGCCCTGGGTGCGGATCCCATCCGGGTATTGGCCGTTGTACGTCCAGATCGGCTTCCCGCAATAGTTCTCGTTCTCGTTCTTGCAAAGGCGGCAACTGTAGCAGGAGCCGATCTGGGCGCCAATGCCGGCCCTATCGCCGATCTTGAAGCCCTTCACTTGCGATCCGACCCGAGTAACCGTGCCGACGATTTCGTGCCTGTCAAACCCGCGTGAGCTGATAGGTCGTCTATGACATGCGTGTAAATCGGACACATACCCAGGGATCATAGGGGTCTGTAACGCTCCCCATCTGAAGAAAGGGGGTAAAGGGGTCAGCGAGTGTAGATTGACGAGAGAGTCACCTACCCAGATGTAACCGTGTGGAGGTCAGATCCGCAGACGCTGCAAGACATATATCGTTTAATATCTGCGATCGAAGTTGAGTGGCATGTAGAGACGCTCACCCGCAGTGTGTGATAGTCAGTTCGACGTCAGTCTCTTCGAACTTCTTGGGTTCGAAGTTTATAACATTAAAGGTACTCTGAAGGTTGATTGGCATGAGGATAGTGAGCGACAGAGGTCGTAACGGGTGAACGCGGGAATGGACATACCCAGGCATTAGCGTCGGTGACGGCGTAGCCCTTGAATTCGACTGAGGACATGGTTGCAAACTTGGGATGGGGAGCTGTTGCGAGACTCCCTGACGGACGACGCATGTTCTTATAATGTATGACCCACTAGCAACGGACCCACCAGTCCACTCGCTGGTCGAGTATCAGTAATACGCTGCATCATCGAGCTCAGGGATTGACATACATATAAGGCACTACATTCCGCTGAACACCGCGGCTTTGCTTGGGTTACGCCTACGAGCCAGATAATCAATCGGATATCATCCATCGGCGAATCCTCTGTTCGAGTTCAACGATCGTCGTCGCCCGTGAAATGCGGACTCGCTGTCATGCGATGGCGAACGAAGGCTCCATTCGAGTCATCGGACAGTCCAAGCAAAGCATGCAACTACGTTCTGCTAACAGCATAAGCGCGCGCGCAGATGGTCCTTCCAAGAGCTTTGGGAAGAAATGCATGGGATTTGAGGGAATTTCCTTTTCATCAAATGGTAGGCGGATGCAGTGGATCGGTGCGTGGGCTGGGACCATGAAACTATGTGGGCCGTTCCTGCTTAGCGACGTCACCACCAGCTATAGCCTATAGTGTCTTCAACCTGGCTTACTTTTCAACGAGATGTTGATGTCTTGTTACTCGATTCCTCGAAACAAGATGAGTCGCGAGAAACAGCATCTGAGTCGGGTAGGTAGGTAGGTATATTTCCGGCGCGGTCCCAATAGCGGAACAACCGGTTGCTGCACCGCACGTCAATACGCGCGGCTTGGCGCACACAGTGCATCCACGGCCCCCGTGAGCTGTTATACAGCCGACACGCCGCTTCAGCACTGGCGCAGGTAAACCAGGTACATGTATGTGCTACTATGTGCAACACACTACCTAGCGGCCGCCCACTTCAGCCGTCGTCGCGTGTCAGTACAGGGACTTCCGATAGTGCAATAAAAACCCACCCACCCCTCAGCAAAAAACCCTTGTAGGGAAAAACAAAATGGGGGTGGGGGGGAAAGGATCACACGAAACGGCCCCGCACGACGTACAGCGAACGGCACACCCGGGCATAACAACACGCAACGTCCGGCAACAGTCGTGGATCGGCATGGAGAGGCAATACACTAGCGAGATCTGGGGAAGAATCGGTGGGCAAGGAGCGGGAGGAGGAAGGTATCGCAGTCTTGACGTCGTCGAGGATTTGAGTATAGTTCACGATCTCACCGCACAGCGCGGCGATCTCCCCATGAGCATCAGTCAACCGTGTTGCGATCGTGAGGTCGTGCAGAAGTATGGGAACAGATGCTTTAGCTGCTGCATCGCCTGGGTGGAGGAGCCTGGCCTCATTCATAGCGCTCGGAGAAGGTGCAGTATCGGCGATCGAGGACTTGGGCTCTGTAGCCTTCGCCTTCCCTTTACGTTTCGTAGCACTCGTCGACTCCGAAACGGCAGACGAGGATGCGCAACGATGAAGAGTCGAGGGGGAAGGCAGCGTGTCGTCCTGGGACGCGGAAGGTGTATCTTCCAGTGAAGCATCCATGGTTGGCTCGGGAGCAGTATGGGCGGAGGCCGCGGGGAGGGCAGAGGCAGAGGTAGAAGGCACCGGGAACGCAAAGGGGGCACTTGAGGTGAATCTCCCAGCGAGTCGTCGCCTTTTCGAAGCGTCTCCATCCTTTTCGACTCCGAATCAACGGCCATGGTAATTGAGTCTCCGCTTCACTGACTTGAACGCCTCGCGAAGGCACACCACTATAACCTGTCCTAACCTCTAACGCTAACCCTCTAACACTAACCTCTAAAACTAAAACCTAAAACTAACCGCTAATGCTAGCTTCTGAGTGCCAAACGTTTGAGCCCGAGCAAGCCTGAGGGTGTTGTTTTGTAGGATGTGCGTGGGAAGGACGGGCGGAGCTTAAAAGGCGACGACAACTCGCTGGGAGATTATCCTCAGGTGTCCTGCACGAAACGGGATCACCAAGTCGGCTCGAACATAACGAGGATGATCTCTGCATATCAATCAGCACGCTATGAGTACGCAGACGTGGAATCGACGCTTTCCTGATCTACAGGCGGTGGGTTGAACGGCTGGGCGTGCCGTTAGGGCGAGTTTTGCTCGACACGCAATCCCCCGCGTACCATCTCCAAGGTTATTGACGATACCTCAACTTTCCGTCCATGGTTATCATGACCGCAGGTGAGTAAACCATTTTTGGCTCACATATGCCGTGATATAGATACTCCTCGGGGATATTAGCAGGATAGCCGCATCATGGAGAGCAACTGCTCAGTGCACTCTTCGCTCGAGCAGCTGAGCAGATATCAGCGAAGCTGGGCCGGGACCGTGAACTTTGAGGACGCGTGACGAATGCATATGGCGTACCTGCCAATGTTCGGTGAAGGCTCGTGGGTACCGCGCAATAGGGTAATTGCAAGGGGGGGTGAAGGAAGCAAGATGCACTTTTGAGTTACCATGCCATTCGGGCCCCGGGGTTGCTTCTATGACGGCGAACGGTATGCACGGTGACATATCATCGAGTGAGGGAACTGGTATTCAAGGGGCTTCTGTTTTACCAGGACGTACACGAGGCGAAGCAGTCGCAAGCTCGTGCAATAAGTGGCTACGAAGTAGCGATCAGTCGTATGGTGCCGGCATCCCATGGACCCACCCATGTCCTATCGGATCCTGTGCGCACAGACGTCGCCGCTTGGGGACACAAACGCGCTGCTATATTCGCGGACTTCTTAGTGTTCATTCGACGCACCCGCGATGCTGCTCACGGGCTTCGACGCTCTAGGTGCTACTCTCATTTCATCTCAGGATGTGCATCTTCCTTGCCGACAATCGCGTCTCACCAATCCATGACCAATCGAGATGAGGTGAGCATCTCATGTGTTTGGATAAAAGACCGGTCTCATCTCCTTTACCCTCAATAAGATCCCTGTTGTTACACGATATGCAGGACAAACTTCAAGGCAAACGCATCGTCATCGTCGGTGGTACCAGTGGTATCGGTAAGTTCCACCGAGTCTTAGTCCACTGCATGCAGATATGCTAACGGGTCACTTGAAGGGTTGGCAGTCGCCAAGGCCGCTTTGTATGCTGGGGCCTCCGTGATAGTCTCCTCTTCGAATAAGGGAAGGGTCGCCGCGGCCGCGAAGAAACTTTCGGACCTCGGCACTGGTCAGTCTGTGGAAGGTCGCGTATACGACGCCAGGGCCGGCGAAAGCGCCAGCAAGGAGTTCTTCGAAGCGTTGCCCGAGTTCGACCATTTGGGTAGGGACCTCCACATCTTCATCCCTTCGCTGAGCGTTTGGCACTGATACACTCGGCAGTCTGGACGGCGGGAGACAACCTCCCGCTAGGCTATCCTGATCAGGATTTGGCCAACATTCATGGTCGGTCTTGATCTCTTGCATGCATGTCGAGTGAATCGTTCATCTCTCCCTCACGTGATATAGATGTATTCGCAACGCGGACCACGGGTCCCATTTACGCCGGGAAGTACGCTACCCCGCGTATGCCCAAGAACTCAGACTCCTCCATCACATTCACGATCGGCTTGGCCACCCGAAAGCCGCCGAAGGGATGGGCGCTAGTAACCGCCGTTGGTGGCGCCACCGAGCGTTTCACGAAGGGACTGGCGGTTGAGATCGCGCCGATCAGAGTTAACGTCGTCAGCCCGGGCTTGGTCATCACGGAGGTGAGGAGCGATCTCGAGTTAGATATTCACCACTAATCCGTGATACGACATCGCGCAGCTCTTGAACCAGCTGCCGGCGGAGGAGCTCAAGGCTCTGGTTGACCGCGAGACAGCGGTGCTTCCGGTGAAGCACGTTGCCGATGCTGATGAGGTGCGTCCCGAGTTGTTTTGCGACGAATCAATCTGACCGCGTCTTGCATCTCCTCTCCCAGGTGGTTGACGCTTATCTGTACTTGCTGGTATGAATCTGCGATCTTCATCGATACGCGTGTGCTGACAGGTCGCAACCAGAGGTGTTCGTATGTCACAGGGGAAACTCTTCACGTCGACGGTGGGGCCATTCTGGTATGAATGATCAGCTGCAGCCACGTGAATGGACGGCGATGAGGATATGCACAAAGTCGTGTAGATGTTGCGTCACTAAACAATCTACCTTTATGAAACGAATGAAATACGATCGTATGGATTCCCGCTCGGTCGTGATGATGACAATTGTTTGGAAACCACGTGCGGAGTGAATACAATGAACGCCTTGCTATCAGGGCGCGAACGTCGTTTGAGTCAAGTGGGCGCTATAAGATCTTGGTGACACATCGCAACAAGGAGCTTGGATTGAAGCTACTGTTCATGTGGTGCAGTCACTACCAGTACGATCCTCCTGAGGCATCCCAAGGACAACTACACATCCCAAGAAATACACGAAGACTATCGCTCACACTTGTTGCTGCTATGATCGAGGAACGTCCCGCTCGCGTATCCAGCCGTATACATGCAATATGCGCGCTACACTGCTGTCCGTGTTGGCCAGCTTGATAACAGTCTGAGCCTGCGATATCATCGACTTCACGGTGTTGAGGTCGATATCGTACTTCGGCGTTGCAGAGGAAATTATAACCTTCTGCTGTTGTGCGAGGAGAATCTACGCGAGCATGATTCAATCGTTGCGGGGAAAACTAGAACGTAGGAACATACTCACAATGGCAACCAGCTTGCGAAGAGTGAGCTCATCCTTCAGAATGACAGCGATCCACGGCAGTTTAGGGTCCAGGTAGCTGGCAATGCGGAGGAGCTGCTCACACACTTGATTATATTCCAGACTCTGCTCGTCCAGTAGGATCAGCTTCTGGACCCTAGCTGGTTCCCAGTTGGCGATGACATCTTACTTGAAATTCTGCACGATCTTGACCGCGTTCTGTACTTGAAGCTGCGACGGCGGCATGATCGCTTGGCACGGCGGCTGCCCAAAATGTGGTTGCTGAGGCGCAATGAGGATGGAGGAGTTGGGCTGTTGGGGCTGTTGAGGCATACCTTGGCCATTGAGTTCCTTCCGAAATTGCGCCCGCTGCTGCTGGCTCTGCTGCAACTGGGTTAGATGCCGTTTCATGAGCGCGATGAGCACCTCCTGCAGACCGGCGGCGCGCATCTGCTGCACGATTGAGTGCGCGTGCTGCTGCATGAGCTGCGGCGTTGCTGGATCCTGTGAGCCGCTCAGTCGGCCTGACATGTTGACCATTCGCGCCCATTCCCGGAGGCCGCTTTTGTAGACCTTGTGCCGTGTTGCGTAATCTGTCATGATTGTACGTGCGGATGTACGCTCGCTCAAACTCGAGGAGGTACGTGTCATCACAGCTCTGCATGTGTGGAGAGAGTTCCACCCCGCATACAAGGAGATATCATGCACGCGGTACCTCTTAGATCGCAATCTTGAAACAATCCGAGGAATGGAACGATACACGGATGCCGGAGCTGACACCATGCAAGTGCCTCTCGACAAAGCATCTGGCGTGCGCATCACGAGCATAAGCAAACGAAGGATCTACACAGCAACAGTCGAATGCTGACCTTCTGACGGGCTTCGGGATTGAAGGTATCATCGAATATGCGTAAGCGTTTCAATACCACGGGCCGGTCCTCATAAGAGGGATGACGGTATGACGCCGCTCTCGTCAGAAAGTGTACGAAGCATCTCGCAAACAGTCCGCCGAAGGTCAGAGTAATCGGGACACGCGGTAGGTAGGTAGGTAGGTATATTGCCGACGAGGTCCCGGTAGCGGAACAGCCGGTTGCTGCGCTGCACGTACGCCACTCGTGCAGTCGACAGCGTGCCAAGCAGCTCGACGGTTTTCGTGAGCTGATGAAGCCGACCGTACTGTCTCACCCCTCATTCACATTATCAATGTGAGAGAACGGTCCGGAGCGATACAAAAACTTGCGCAAACATGGGGCCGGCATCACTCAGTGATTGTGTGTGGAGAAGCGCACCTCTTGGAGCAAGTTGAGGAAGGAGTCCGCCTCGTTTTCACGAAGCGCGTTTACGGCCCTATGCCACTCTTGGGATCTGATTACGGTGGATATGCGGCGAATGACTTGAAGTTCGTCCTCAGTGGCCGAAGCCTTGATGAGAGCTGTCCGAGCCCAAGTTGAAAGCTCAACTAAAGTCGGTTCGAATTCAGTACCTGGTCGACGAAGATGTCCATTATGTACGCACAGACAACAGCCACGTTTGGAATCGATGATAATGAACTAGGCAAAAGAGGAGGTATTGCGAGTCACTCTCTTGGCTGTACTCCTTAACCTGAAGTAGATGCCTATCTTCCCTCGTGTCATAGAAGGCGCATATATAGAGGAGGAAACACGTACTTGACAAGCTTGGCATCAGTCGTTTCATCGTCTTGGAACGCGCTAACTTCTGTACTAAGAGCGACAGCAAGGTTCTGTGCATATAGATCTATATTCGATTTAGTGCCACAATTGAAGAGGAGAGATGACGAGAGGTGGGTATGCTCACAAAGGAGACTCGGGTTTGGTTACAACAATGCGAGAGGGCATTGAGGATCTCTTCCTTCGTACGTCGGCTAGCTATGTTGGAGGTCAGTTTGAGCATCGCGTGTATTCTATGTGATTACACTGAAATTGAATCGCGAGCTCCCCATCTTCGGCATCTACGTCCGGCTTCACTCCGACAGCATCCGGCCCAAGGTATGCTGAACGGTGATGGGGATCCGCGCCGGGAATGGATTCGTAGGTGGGATCTTCCCAGAGACCGTCTGACAGTGCGTGATCATGAGCAAGACGGCATTCGATCAGACGATTAGCCTTGCTCCACACCGAAAAGATTACACTTGATGTCTTTCGGTTCATCCTTGACTTTCGCTTGCAGGTCTACCAGTTCATCTCTCGAGCGCTTTCCGGATCGTTCTCCTTCGGGAAATTGGCCGTTGGGACTGCGATGGCGCTTTCCAAGCGACGAGGATACAAGAAGTGTAGACATTCCGGAGATGGGGTTGAGTTGCATAGAAACGGGATGGGAAGGCAGAGATGGATCATGCGAGAGCCGTGCTGCATACCTAGAGGCAAAACTATTCAACATAGGCGCCAATCGTGAGTACGCACAGTAGGGAAGGAAGCGCCCATTAGAGGGGATTTGGCCAAGATGCTCAACATTGCAGCCGTCAGCACGTCAGCCTCGGTGACTTGGACTAGGCAGTTCCAGTTTATGGGATGAGTTGAGGATGAGATCCGTCACCGACATTGTGATGGATCGCGATGACATGCATATTCCCAGCTCATGACACGCTTCACAATCGTACCAACACCATCATACCAAAAAACTGACAAAGCTCACCACTGGCATTTCTTGCCGCTATGATCCAGAAACTGCCCGCCAGCATCGTCGCGCTTCGCTTCTTCGACCAGCTTAGCGATCCGTCGTCCCACCTCGTCTGCGGATAGGACATCAGGCGAAACCGATTTGGAATCGATGAGGGCCCCAGCACCAGTGACTGCGCGACGTGCGATCAACGTTCGTCCATTGAAACGTTCATCGTGATACTACTCACACAGGTCTGTCATGACGGGACCAGGTGCGATGGAGAAGGACACTGCGGAGCAACAGCGTTTACGTCAACCTTGGTGAGAAGACCGGACGGCTGGCCACTCGCCTAGCCCGTCGCTGGCGTACTCGACGTGTAATCTCTTCGAGAGGTAGTTGACGGCGGCGTTCGACATTCCGTACGGGAGGAAACCTAAGGGGACCTCGGTTCCCCTCGCGATGCTCCCCGCTATGGAGGATATGATGTGGGATCCGCGGTGCTGGCTTTCAGGAGGGGAAAGGCCGCCTGGAATAGCACCAGAGGTCCGATCGAGTTGACCTACAGAACGCCCCTTGCCCGTGGCGTAAGACCTGTCCAACATCTCGGCTCACCTCGAAATGACGCGAAACTTCAGAAGCGGGCGCTTCGGCGCTCGGGCCGGCCCAAGTCAGGATACCTGCGCGCCGTCTTCCGTGAGTGATTGTAACAAAGGCTCGTAAATCCCCGCCTACCAGCGTTAGCGATGACCGCATCGAGGCGCGTCCGACTTTGTCCTTGATCTCACTAATGGCGCGCTCGTTGTTCGGCTTGTCGGCAGAAACGAGCTGCACGACGTGCAGTTTCCCGGGATGTTGTGCTCCCAGATCTTTGAGCGCGTCCGCGGATGATAGGTCGCGCACGCCGGCGAAGACCGCGACGTCGTCGCGAGCCACCAGAGCGGCGACGATACCCAAACCTTGTTCAACATCAGCATACACGTCGTCGCGAGGGGAGCCTTACGTGCCCAGACTCACCAATGCCGCGGTTAGCTCCGGAGACGAGATAAACGACAGGTGCCATGTTAGGATGTGAACTGCAAAGCAGAATGTCTGGAAATTCCTGTAGCCCGTGCGTCGAGTATACATATCGACTTCGGCCGGATGAACGGGTCACGGCGGTCGCTACGTATACGCCGAATAGTGTCTTGCTGAGCTACTTGCTTAGCAAGACCGTTGGAGAACCGTTGGTATTTCACCAGATCCGTATCAGGGCCGAAGGCCTGGTCCTATCCCCGGTAACCTCGCAAGGAGATACAACAGCATGAAGTACCAGAGAAAACAGATGTCGGAGATGTACATTATGATCTTCTCGTCCAGCCCAGTCCGAGAAACGACAAGTCCAATGGCAGGTCCAGATGACAGTAGGCTTTGTCGGTTCAGGCTTGAAGCCCGAAACGTCGTGTGAGCGAGCTTGCTTGACTCTGCGACTTGCTGGGTTGACCTCATACGTATGCGTATAACTCCACAATCATCCGCTTTTCCGGCGAGTGCATCGGAGGAGCCGTATTTATACCATGCGGGTGCCTGTGTTCGACGTCTAGCATCCTTGTCGAACATCTAAGGATAGCTGGCACGGCGAATCAGCTGCGAGATTGGATGCTGGACCGACGCAGATAGATCCATTCAACACCCATTTGGCCAGGCGCTGGTGTGAGTAAGCTGAGACTGAGAACCAGGCCGGATGAAAAGGGTTGGATGAGTTGATCTGACTTGTGATCGTCGCGCCGGTCAGCTCGTGGCCCGCCGCACGCACCTCAATCACCCCCTGGTGACTGAGGTGTCAAGACCGATATGCAAAACTACCGTCACGTGATGCTTTGACAAGCTCCTTCCCGACGAATACAGCTGCTTGTTACTGTACTAGCGATTGAGAATCGAGGACGTGCAATTATGATTAGCCTGTTGCGGTGCGTTGTGGCGTTCACCCGGTTTCGTCAACTCACGCTGTTGCTGGCCTCGTTCATACCAGTGAGACAGATGCACGCCCTGCACGTCATCATGCCCGACAGCAAATCAACGCCTACATACGGAAAACCATTGACAAGGAAATTATAACCGTTCTGGAACAGATCATTTCACTGCACGAACGCCTGCGCCTGCTCCGGGAGCGCCGTAACCAGCTCGCTCCTGTCTACCGGCTTCCTCTCGAAGTGCTGGCTTCGATCTTTCGCCACTGTTTGCCCACAGCAGGGTCTGCTCCATTCTTTCCAGCCAGTCATCGCTTCTCTCATGTATGCCGTCATTGGCGATACGTCGCTCTCGACTGTGCTGCTCTCTGGACGGTCGTGCCACGTGGCACGCTCGGGCTCACCAAGAAGTTTCTGTCGAGGTCAAAGAACGCGCCAATTTCAATATATTCGTCACGGAATTGCAAGTCTGAAGCTCCCCTATTGCGTGCCCTAGGCGAATTCCCTCGCGTACGGAGCCTGAATATATCCCTACCTCAGTCGTCCACCCACGAGAGTCGTCTTTCGTGTCCAGCCCCACTCCTCGCGGACTGTACTATTCACGGGAACATACTGGCCGAACCTTGGCTTCCAGACGACTTCCTGGGATTGTCCGCCCCCAAGCTGCGCCGTCTTAATCTCCAGGCTGTAGCCATCAAATGGCGAACGCTGCAACACGCTTCCCTCGTTCAAGGCTTAACCAGCCTCGAGCTCAACTTCCTCGCCATCCAATCCTTTCCTACAGGCAGGGATTTTGTCACGGCTCTTCGAGCGATGACCTCCCTGCGTCATCTCTTGGTGAGAATGTCGTTGTCGTGCTACGGGGACGAGTATCCGGAACACATGGCCGAGTGCGAAGAGAAAGCGACCATGCGACAACTTACCAGTCTGGAACTGTATGGACCCGGCCCGCACATATGTTATCTGCTCAGTGGCCTCGACGTGCCGTCCACCGCAGCTCTGTCCATTGGCCTCGAGTCCGAGGAGGAGTCAGACGACCAGCTTTGGGACATCAATCCGTTGCTTTCCTTCCTGGACAGTCACTGCACATGCCAAGACGAAGGCCCCTCCGCGTCGATCTTGGACTTCTCGATCGCATTCGATTCGCATCATCAAGCTCTCACCGCATACCCCGCAAAAGATGATGGACCGGGGCCGTACCGCTCGCGGTCTCACTTGCTCCATCTGAACATCGTTCAGGACTGGAGAGCCATGCTCAGGGTCTTTCGCAATCTGAACCTCGATCGCCTCACCACCGTGACGGCAGACCTCCGATACGAACACGAGAACTCGGATCCACTGCCTATCACGCAGTTCCTCGAGCGCTGCGGGGCCGCCACCCAGGTCCATCTGACGAGCCCCGAAACCTGCGAAGACGTCCTCCCCCTCCTTTTCGTCCCGCCCTCACCCGATATGATGCTCTTCCCGAAACTTCGACAGCTAGCCCTGCACTTGGGCATGTTCGGGACGAGGTATTCGCTAGTTCCCGATTGCGAAGACGTGCTCATTGGGAGATATGAGACGTTCGACGTTATGGTGGAGCTGGCCGTAAAGAACCCCTGCGTCATGGATCCCGGGGACCTGGATAAACTTCGTAGGGTCACCACGGTCGATATCCTGTCCTGAACACCTTCTCGCGTTGTGGTATATAGTTAGGGTGAGGGTCGCCATGCGAGTATATAGAAGAAGTATTGCATTTCTGAGCAGAGAACGACAGCAGCGAGACGTGTGGTATGTGGCCAGTCAGGTCACGCGGCGGACGCAACCGACTCTTCCTCCTGTTTGCTCTTGGTAAACCCCAGCCACCGTCCCCACTCCATGCCCTGCTTGAAGAACATCATCAAGCCGAGGATGACGGGCAAGTACCACAGCTCGTGATGCCATAACTTGCGCGCATCCTTCTCCGTGCCCGTCCGCCAGAACCTCCACGCGGCGCGGACGCAGATCGCGTTCGGCACGATGCTCACGAGCCCGAACGTCCACGTCGTGAGCCCCGAGAGCGGGAAGAGGATGCCACAGACGGGGACGAGCGCGGCCGCGTGCCGGAGCGCGACGAGCGCGTTCTTCTCCGGGTTGAGGACGGAGAGCATGCGGTAGCCCGCCTGCGCGTACGACCCGCGCACGAGGTGCGCGAACGAGTTGAAATGGGGGAACTGCCACGAGTAGAGGAGGAGGAAGAGCGCGGCGGGCGCGAGCGCGTTATCGACCAGCGCGAGGTCGACCGCCGTCGGCGCGGAGGAGACGAGGAAGGAGGGGAGGAAGAGGTGGGGCGGGTAGGACGCGGACGGGAGGAGCTGGCCGCCGCACGCGGCCCAGCCGATGAGCGGCGGGAGGCCGCCGACGACGGCGCCGACCCAGGTGTTCGCGACGCTCTTGCGCTTGAGCCAGGTGTACGCGCCGGCGTAGAGCGCGATGTTCGCGGCGCCGAGCGCGGCGGCCATCGGGCTGACGGCCCAGAGGATGGCGGGGCCGGCGAGGCCCGTGAAGGCGCCGAAGGCGGCGGCGTGGACGGGCGTGATCGCGCGGCGGACGAGGGGCCGGTTGCGCGTGCGGGCCATCTGGGCGTCGAAGGGGACCTCCTGCAGCTGGTTGAGGGTGTTGGCGGAGGCGGCGCAGAGCGCGGTGCCGGCGGCGGTCGCGATGAGCGCGGGGACGCTGGCGGGGAGCGGGGAGAGCGCGACGCCGGCCATGGCGGTGAGCGTGACGAGCGTGGTGAGGCGCGATTTGGAGAGCTGGGCGTAGATCTTGAGCGTCTGCGAGGGCGAGAGCGGCTCGAGGCGCTTGAAGGAGGCGGCGGCGGCGGACGGCGTCGCCGGGGAGTGGAGGGATTGCAGGGCGGCCTCGGTGACCAGCGGCTGGACGTGCCGGCGTTGTGCGTTTGGTTTGGCGTCCCATTGGCGATTGGGGAAGAAGAAGGAGGTGAAGGAGGTGCTCTGCGCGCGGGCAAGGGTCGAGGCGGATCGCCTTGAGCCGGAAATCCCGTAGAGTCTCGAGCAGTTCCTGCACACAGGCAGCGTTATTCGCTCCATAATTTTCCTGCGAACGGAAGAATTAGCATCGCTACGATATCAAACCAGCAATGTAGCATACCTCCTGTGCGCAAAACGGGACCACCGGGCAAAGAGAGGGACACGTCACGTGCGCGTATTTTGCGCGACCATTGGGCGCGTCGGCCCTTCGGCGGCGACTGACGCAAACGCAGAGCAGAGTTCGCCGGTCCTCCTCTCCTCCTCTCCTCCTCTCCTCCGTCCCGTTTCTCGCCAGCGATGTCCAGCATATTCGGTTCCTCGCTCGGATCCTCTTCGACGCCATCACAGTCCGGTACAGTCCGCGCCCCTTCTAGCGCCATCCCAGCCGTTGCCACGGACGCACTCTTGCTGACCCGTCCGGTTTTCCCAGAGGTGGCCGCTCGCGCGGACGCCGTCAAAGAGCGGATCAAGAGCGAGCTCGCGCTCGCAAACGCTCAGGAGCTCATGAACGTACGTCGAACGCGAAACGCCGTGACCCGCCCCTTGCAGCTGACACTCGGACCGGCCGCTCGCAGAAAGCGAACGACAAGTGCTTCATGAAGTGCGTCACCAAGCCTGGTACTTCCCTCTCAAGCTCCGAAGAGGTGGGTATTCCTTGGCCCTCCATCACCATTTGCACGATCCGCACGCTCGGGCATCTCCACACCTGCCTATCCTCTCCCACACGCGCCGATACAGTGCTCTCTCATCCGCGGTGATAGCAACAACCCATGCTAACGCGACGTCTCTCGGTGTAGACCTGCCTATCACGCTGCTTCGACCGGTACATGGAAGCCTGTGAGCACAAGACCCGTTCGTTCTTGGCGTTTATAACGCCATACAAACCGCTAGCCCCGCGTAGGACTAAACAGATATCTTTGCTTTCTCTTCCCAGTCACCGTCGTCAGCAAAACCTACACGGCACGGATCTCCAAGGAACGATTCGAATCGGGCTCCTCTTCGCTCTGAGCCCGCGCCTCCACCCCAAGAGGGCCGAAGTCGCGTAAGTAGTGGTAACGCGGACACACGCCATAACGTTCCAACGTGACCCCCCTCGTCCTCCGTTCGCGTCCCACACTTGGGGAGTTGGTTATCGTGCCCGCGCGCGCGGCGGTACCGCGTACCAAGGAGGCTATAACCCCACACACTGCATATATACGTACTCGCCGGCGATTGACTGCCGCGCCGCGCACCTTCCACACCTGGGCACCCGGATCGGCCCGCGCCCCCTTCGACCCTCCGCGCGATGGGATTGGTTCGCAGGTCCTGGTCCGGGTTTTAATCCGACGACCCCGTGTGTGCGTGTGGGAAGCCAGATTTAACGATGTATACATACCCCCCCAAACAAACAAAAGACCGTCGCGCGCCTTCCTCGCAATTGGACGCGGTCGCCAATAATAAATATTCGCGTCATCCCCCCTTTGGTGCACGCAATTTTTTTTTCTTTGGAAAAATTCCCTGTTACTCCTTGACGTGGGGGTCACCAACAACAACGGGTCCCCACCCCCCAACGTTCGAACACGCGTCCGATGGTCTCGCAAGTCAGGGGAATCGAGATCGCGCTCGTGCATACCGCTGCGCATAACCGGGAGCCGGATTGGTCCGCGGCTCGCCCGTTTGTTGACTGGCTGGATGGGGACGGATCATGGATGGGGGTACGGTACCCACGGCGGCATGACGGTTCCTGTGATTGGATCAATCGGCCACCCGTCGGCAGCCCGGCGAGCCAGGAGAGAGAGAGGAGTCGAGAGAGAGAGCCCCACTCGGTTCCCCCGATCGAACGCCCCCCACTTCCGAGCACCGCTTTGCTTCGCACCGCTTATCAGGAAAACTAATCAGCGTCCGAATAACGTAATGGGGATATGTAAGATAATAATAAAAAACGTTCCGCTCTCCCAGTCTGTATTTTCCTTTTCGGGACTCGATAGGCGCGCCACCTTGCTCCGCGACGTTTACGTCACCGCAAGCCCATCTTAGCGATAAACTCTATACTCATATGCGGGCAACGTTTGTTAGGCTTAGCGTTACCTCTTCCGTCTGCTTCCGCGACACACGTTGCGCGTTTGCGCGGACCCCCGCACTACTTCGTTTAATTAAAAAAAGTCCGGAATATAGACGGGGACCGGGCTGTTAATAAGCGATAGATTGCGGTGAGTGTGTGGATCTATAGAACAGGAGACAGAACAGGCAGGCTCGTGAACCGAGTTTGAGAGAGAGAAAGAGAGAGAGAGAAGTAACGGGGAAAAATGTATCTATTGCTACAGGATCGGACGAGCGATGCGGCGACTTATGAAAAAAAAAGGTGGTGTGCGTAAAATTGCGTGGAGAGAAAGTGTTGGGCAGCATTTTAGCCAGAAATAAGGGGTGGGGGGAGCAGTCTTCGCGTTTGCCGGGCGCGTCCAGAGCTCCCCGGAGTCGATTAGGCGAGGGTGCTGGTTGTTGCAGGGGGTGGTCGAAGCCGTTTGGCGATACATACTAGGGGCGGAGAGAGAGAGATGGGTACCGGGCGTATGACAACATTATTATTATGATGGCACAAGGCAGGCGCGGAGAAAGCCGACGCGGGCGAGGAGTGCGGCCCCCCCCAAGCTCGCGTCCGTCCTTCCTATTCCCCCCCCCTCTCGGACAGAAGGTAAGAGTCCTGCTGCGAGACGAGAGGGTTTTCCGCGCGGCGAAAAAACGATTAAGAGCCGACTTTGGGCGCGGGAATGAAATATATATATGGCACAACGGCGAGCGAGCGAGCGATTGAGGAAAACGAGGTGGGTGCGGTGGGAAGGGCGCAAGCTTTGCGCTCCTTTTTTGTTTTTTTGGAAGAGAGTAGAGACGGAGGGGCGAGTCGGCGAGTGCCTTCATCGCACCGCGCGAAGCGCCAAGTCCTAGAAGAAGAAATCGGCACGGATCTCAGCTCAAGCGCGGCCCGCTCTCCGGAAGACGATGCGTATGGGCATGGTACGGCAAACCCGGCATGCCGGAGATGAGCGCAGGCGACGGCACCGCGCCCCCGTAGGAGGAGGACGAGGTGGAGGAGGGATAGACGGGCGAGGGCGGCGGCGGCGGGTAGGGCGCGGGCGTGGCGGACACGCGCGGGTCAAAGTAGCCGGCGACGGGGGACACGGACGGCGTGCTGCGCCGGTCGGCCTCGACGACGGCGTAGGGGGAGAGCGGCGGCGGCGGCGGCATCGCGTGCGGTCCTAGCTGAAGATCCGGCGGGTAAGACGCGGCGCTGTAGCGGGCGAGCATCGGGTCGAGGCGGTGCGATGAGGACACGTGGTGCCGTTGCTGTTGCTGTTGCGGCTGCTGTTGCTGTTGCTGGGCGTACGGAGCGAAAAGGCTGCGCTCGGATGACGCGGGCGACGGCGGCGCGGCGTAGGCGTAGGCGGGCGGCGCGGTGAGGCGCACCTCGGCGCCGTGCGCGCTCGCCTCGAAGTTGCGGAGGATGTGCGCGAGCTGCATCGCGGGCCCGGCGAGCTCGTGCGTGAGCGCGCGCGTCGCCTGGCGGTCCTCGGTCCAGTCCGCGCAGCGCTTCCACGTGCGCGCCGCGGGCGTGTCCGAGTCGATCGCCGCCGTCGTCTCCATGAAGAACGCGGGCGGGCGGGAGAGCGCGAAGGAGGCGACGCCGCGGCCGGGGGTCGTGTTCGCGAAGGCGGCGTTGAGGACCGAGTCGAAGGCGATCTCCATCTTGAAGCCGAACCCGGCCGAGCGGATGAACCAGGTGAGGCACGACTTGGCCTCGCAGAGGTAGGCGACGAGGTCGCGCCGGTTGGACTCGGGGGTGGAGATGCGGCGCCAGGTGCCGATCGTCAGCGAGTGGCACGGGATGATGGTGATGTCTTTTTTTTGTGAACCGCGGAGTGAGAAACGGGAAACACGCGAGAGAGAGAGCGGACGAGCTGGGTGACCGACCTTGGTCTTCGTGTAGTATGTAGTGCAAGTCGGGCTCGTACCCGGACGCGAGCGCGGGTGGCGTGTCGGGCGGGGTGACGGACGCCGGAGGCTTGCCATCCAGCGACTTGGCCTTCGCTCGCCTAAAAACAGTAAAAAGTGGGACAAAACCCCCACCTCGCTTAGCCACCACCTTGACCCGACACGGCGGTTGAAGGGAACGCACCGGTTCTGGAACCAGATCTGGGTCTGGCGCTCCTGCATGCCGAGCAGGTCGCTGATCTCCTTCCGGCGCGCGGCCGTCGGGCTGCGGTCCGCCGCGAAGAAGCGTTCGAGGTGCGCGAGCTGTTCGGGCGTGACGCGGGACCGCTTCCGCTTCTCGCCCTTCTGCTGCTTCTCGAGCACGGGCGAGCTCGAGCCGGACGCGGTCGAGGAGCGTCCGCGCCGGTGGCGGGACGGGCCCGTCTCGGACTCGCGGGCGAGGCGGTAGGAGGAAGAAGGATCCAGGTCGTCGGCGTCGGCGTCGGTGTGCGCGGTGGTGGCGGTGGTGGCGGACGTCGCGGTGAGCGGGCTCGGGTACGCGTCCGAGGCCGGGGCGGGGGAGGGGGAGGGGGAGGACGGGTCCGCGGCCGTTCTTAAGGAGCGGCGCAGGTCGACGCGTAGAGGCGGTGGCCGCGGCGCCGTCTGCTGGGGATTGGCAACTGTGAGGTGTCCGAGCAGGCGGAGAGTGGAAATAAGTGAGACATGCGGGAACGCGGGGGGTCTGACGCGCGTCGGAAAGCGCGGGGCAGAGACTCACCCTGCATGGCTGGAGACCCGCGAGACGACGCGCCGGGGCGGGAGGCGGAGATGGCCAGAGTGGATGGAGAGGGGAGCGAGAGAAGGTTCGGAATTACAAAAGGTAATATAAAAAGTCGCGTCGCGGTCGGTGTCGGAAGAAGGAAAGAAGGAAGTGGAGGCGAGGCGAAGGGGCGACCGACTCGTGCTCTTGCCCGATCGAAGGATGGATCTGGCAGTTGATATGCGAAAGTGAAACAGTCCCGGGCCGTGACGGCAGCGTCGCTCCAAAAAAGCGCCAGACCGAATGAAACCCTGAGCACGACACCGGGTGACGCGCGCGGTCGATGGCCGTGGCCGTGTTGTGGTTCTTCTGGGTCGGACGGCTGGTTGAGAGAAGCAAGCGGGTGGGGGAGGCTTCGGGGGCTCGGAGCGATCGCCAGGGAAGCTTATCAGGACGCGAAGGAGTCCGCGTACCGGGAACGCTCTCTCACCAGTGGCGGTCCGGTTCAGGCCTACGCTCGCGAAACGGTCGAGGGGCAAATTGAGGTTAGGACGCAGCCCCGATCATGGGTGTCGTCGCCCTGGCGTCGCCGGCGGCTTGCGAGCGTCCGAGGGAGCGTTCGTGAACAAGACGGACGATAAGCTTGGGGGCTTAGCGGTGACTAGGCACGGGCTCGTCCCTTCCGAGTCGTCGCCAGGTGTCGCCATGGGAAGGCGCGGCATCATTGATCGCACGTCGTTTGCACAGTCTAAACCGGAATCGGCAGGTGGCCCCCATTCCGTCACGGTTTCCCGTTTAGCGCCCTCGTAGAGACGCCGACGATCAGGCTTTCACGGGCCTTGCGGGTAGCGCCGAATAAGGTCGATGCGATGTTATAGGCCTTGGGCCGAAGCCTGTCCACGTCGCCCGGGGGCGGACGGGATGTGCAGGCCTATGTATCGGCGTGCGCGCCAACCATCGCTGGACGAATTAATCCCACCTGGAGGAGCCCGAAGCTCAGCTGGCAGGCGGCGAAGTCACGGCGGGCGTGAGCATCAGCTGCTTCCCACACCATACCACACCCATGACTGTTTTTTTCTCTCCCGCCAGCGGACCGTCCGCGTCCACCCCAGAGAGTTTCATCAAAAGCTCTGCCACGACGAGCGGGCCAGGGCCGAGGCGCGCTGGGCTCGGATTCTAATCGCCCAGAAGACGAAGAAGGCCTGCCGCCTTCCTTTCCGGGCCTTCGGATCCAACGACGAAATCAAAATCCCATTCCGACCAAAAATTATTTAAAAAAAATCCACGACGCGTTTCGGGCAGGCGAGCCGAGCCCTGCGGCACAGATTCAACGCACCCACCGCAGATCATGACATCGCGCTTCTGGTCCCATCATTGCACAGCTGATCACCCAGGCGGTGGCACAGTCACACTCGCACACTCGATCCTCCCTCAAGAACATAGCTTACCCGTCAACCAAGCCGTCTTCGGACACACACACAGACAGGTACATACTTACGCAAAGATAACGTGGAAACGGGGCGAGCAGAGAAAAAGAGAGAGAGAGAGATAGAGAGAGAGAGAGAGAGAGAAGCAAATCACAACCACGCGAGCCGCAGCGATCGCGGTATGCGGTAAAAAAAAAAAAAACCTTGACCCGTCCCCGTTTTCTTGCGTACAAAACGTGCCTGCGCGGCCGCATACGCGCTGAGTGAGAGAGCCCGTCCAGGACACGCAACGCTGCGTACGTCAAGTCAGCGTCGCGCGTGACCCACCAGATCCACCCTCTTGCGCAGGAATAATCACGTCGAAAGCGTCTCCCCTAGTATCTCGGCCGCTTGGCGTCTCGGTCGTCGAACCCGCCGGGCCCCCTCTTGAGATCGGGCGGTCCGCCTCCGTATCCGTCGCGGCCGCCGCCATATCCTCCTCCGGGCGGACCATACCCACCTGGGCCTCCAGGAGGCCCTCCTCCATACCCTGCCGGCCCTGGCGGCCCCTGATTGACAGGCGCTCCGTAGCCAGGCGGCGGCCCGTTTGATTGGAACCCGTTCGAGGGTCCGCGGTCGTTGAACCCGCCGCCTTGATAGCCGATGCCGCCGCCGCGACCTCCTCTGCAATAATGAAGATCAGCGGTCGGTCTAGACACCACCAGAAGAAGAAGAAAAAATGACGTACCGGAATCCGCCTCCGCCTCCGCCAAACCCTCCTCTGCCTCCTCCTCCTCCGCCGCCGCCAAAGTCGTCTCGTCCGGGCCCGCCGCCGAATCCTCCTCCTCCACCGCGACCTCCACGGAACCCACCGCGGTCGCCTCCGAACCCTCCTCCTCCTCCGCCCCTGTCGCCGAACCGGTCCCCGCCGCCGCCGAACCCGCCCCGGAACCCGCCCCCTCCGCCTCCACGGAAGCCTCCCCGACCTCCGCCCATACCTCCCCTGAACCCTCCCCGTCCTCCCGGTGCCGCGAAGGGCGCCGGCGCCGCCTCCACCGGTTTCGGCCGGCCTCCGAGTCCGCCTCCGAGTCGTCGAGGCTTCCAGCCGCGCACGGTGCGCCCGCGTTCGACGTCGACCATGATCCGCTTGCCCATGATGTGCAGCCCGTCCGAGTCCTTGTAGGCCGCTACAAGCAGAAGGAAAAAAAAACAGAAAGAAGAAAACATGCATACCAAAAGGATTTGGAATACACATAGTCCCTTTGGGGTCAGCGGCCTTACCCTCGCGTGCAGGGGAAGAGGAAGGTTAACCTTTCATGTCGCGCTCGCGCTCGTAGACGATGAACGCGTAGCCCCGTGAGCGGCCGTTCTTATCGCGGACTATCCTTACCCGCTCGATCGTGCCGTAGCTCTCGAATTCTCGTCGCAGGTCGCTCTCCGTCGCGGATTTATGCTACAAACGAGAGTGAAAAAAAAAACGTCAGTGTGAAGGTACCGGGGACGGGGACGGAGAGGGGCGGAGGAGCGTACCAAACGGGCGATAAACAGCGTTTTGTACGGGTCTCCCACCGCCTCCGGGTCTTCCTGGGGTTTGTCTGCATCACATCGAGCCATCAGTCCGGGTTTTTTGAGACGAAACAAGGTGTGCACGGCGATGTGATTATAGAATGAATGAATGAGAAAGAAAAAAAAACGCACAAGACTCTTTCGCAGCCTTGAACTCGTCCGTCTTCGCCTTCTTCTTCTCCTCCCTCAAGATCTGGCGCTTCACCTCCTCCGCGTGCGTGAACGTGGGCTCCTCGCCCTCCTCCAAGTCCTTCCCCTCGTTCTGGGCGTTGAGCGACTCCTCCTGCAGCCGCGAAAGCAGCGCGGCGACGCCGTCCACGTGCTTCGACCGGACGCGGTCGATGTCCCTGTCGACGGGCCGCGCGTAGGGCAAAGGTGGGCGCGGCTGGAAGAGCTTGAGCAAGTTGGGCGGGAGGAGATGTGTTCCCGGCATATTTTTTTTTTCGGAAGGCGATTACGAGCGGTGTGGTAGGGTAAGGTGGAGGGTTCAGTTGTGGATCATGAGCTGGGAGCGACAAGGGGAGGGAAGGGGCCTGACGGGGGTTGGGAGCAAAAGGCTGTGTGGGAACCCGCGACAACTCCGACCGCGCGTGTTCCCAGTGGTTTCGGTCCCAGCTGACCTCGGTCAGAGTGGAAAGTCTATGCGTGGGACTGGCCTGATGACCGTGAGACAAAGTCAATGCATGACGGCAGGATCGGCCGAGCGCTTCGCATTTGCTCCGCACCCCTTTGGGAGAGACCAACGCACGGCTTTGATTATGGGCAATCGCGAGTCGACCGCGAACGATGAGGGTCCAGGCGGGGAAATTGAGCAAGTCCAGGATTACTATGCCTTGCTGGAGGTGAAGAGAAATATCATCGGCGCACCCGTGCAAAAACCTCATGTACACTTTGTGTCACAGGTCGAGGAAACCGCGACCGCAGACGAGATCAAGGTGTGCAACAGCCCGTCGCATCTTCCGAAACCAGACGATAAGACGAATCTCTGCAGCGATCCTTCCGCCGACTGGCCCTGATCCACCACCCGGACAAGAACCCGAACGACAACGAGGCCGCGACCAAGCGCTTCGCGGCGCTGCAGCAGGCGTACGAGGTAGGTACGAAAGAGACGGATAGGCTTTTTGTTGATGGTCTCGCGGTTTTTGATGCGAACTTGACGTTAGCGCCGCTAGGTCCTCAGCGACGAGCAAGAAAGGGCTTGGTACGACGGCCATCGCGCGTCCCTCGTACCGGAGCCCGATGCGAACGCCGTCTTCGAGGACATCAAGAGGGGCGCGCCCCCACCGCGATCACGCGACAGAGGTCTCACCGTCCGCCATCTCGCTCCATTCTTCGATGCCTCTATCTGGACCCATCTCGATGACAGTGAGAACGTACGCGCAACATCTCCCCCTTTTTGGCCGTTCGATCAAACATTTTTTTATATTTTTATATATACTTTGATCTGACATTTCTTCGTCCTACGTTCAGGGCTTTTTCACGATCTACCGCAATCTCTTCCAGAGGCTCGCGCACGACGAGTCACAGTACAATGATGCCGTCCTCCCTTCTTTCGGCTACGCCAACTGGCCGTGGACCCCCTCCGACAAACACGACACACAGAACGCGAGGTCCTTCTACGCGTACTGGATGAACTTCGCCACCGAGAAGGACTTTGCTTGGGTGGAGCAATGGAATCTCAACGAGGCTCCCGATCGCCGCGTGCGCAGGTCCGTGCTTCCTCGATGATCGACCCGGCCCTGAAACTCTAAACGACAAACCCTTCCGAAATGGACTCACAGGATGATGGAGAAGGACAACAAGAAAGCCCGGGACGACGCCCGGAGGGAATACAACGACACCGTTCGCGTAAGCGATCCTCTACTGATCCCATCGCTCAGCCTCGTTATCGTGTATGTAATAAAACCGCTGATACATCTTTTTTTTTTTCGGGTTTTGCCCCTCTACTCCACCCCCAAACAGACCCTTGCGCAGTTCGTCCGGAAACGTGACCCGCGATACAAGGCCCACCTCGCACAGCAGGCGGCGATATCACAGGTCCGAGCGTCGGCCGTTGCCCGGTCAGGCCCCGGATCAGGCGCGGCCACGCCGTCGTCACGTCACGCCCAATCGCCGCCGGACTACGTCGAGCAGGACTGGCAGAAGATCGACGACGCGCAGACGCGGCTCCACGCGGACCTCGAGTGGGCCGTCGCGGAGGGCGTGGACGAGGAGGAGTGGGAGTGCGTCGCGTGCGGCAAGTCCTTCCGGACGGAGGCCGCGTGGGACAGCCACGAGCGCAGCAAGAAACATCTCCGGGAGATCGAGCGTTTGAAGCGCGAAATGGAGATGGACGACGAGCAGCTGGGTCTCGCGGGTGATGAGCACGGAGAGGGCGAGAACGCGGACGCAAGGCAGAACGGGGGAAGCATCGCCGGGGGCGAGATCTCCGATGACGGCGATCTCGAAACCGGCCAGAACGCCGAGACAGAGAATGAAACGCCCAAAGGCCCGTCCAGGCCGGACGGTCTTCCTGAGCCTGACTGGGAATCCAGAACGGGGAGGGCAAAGGAAAGCTCGCCGAACGGTGCTGCGACGTTGCGCGCAGCGGCATCGTCGCCACCGCCCTCCTTACCTGACGACGAGGACGATGAAACAGAGATCGGTCATGATCCAAACCGCACGAGCAGGAAGAAAAAACGCGGCAAGCCCATACCGCAAAGCAAACAAGATGCCGAGGTGCTCAGCAAGAGCGAACGACGAGCGAGGAGGCTGCAAACGTTCGAAAAGGAAGGCGTGTCGCCAAGCGACCGCGAAGGCGACGGCGCGACGAAATCGGCTCAGCGACACGGCGTCACACCCACAGAAGACGACGGCGACGATCACCCAGCCCCTGGTGCAGCACAGGCGGGTACGATAGCAGATGCGGACCCGAATACCACCAACGCGAAACCCGAGCCGTCCAAGCGCGAGAAAAGGCGAGCACGGGAAGCTGCGAAGAAAGCGAAAGAAGAGGAGGAAGGAGGTCCTGACCAAGCGGTGGTAAGAGTTGGCCCAAGATGGGCTGATCCGCGCTGGCCTTCGTTAATCAGAACTTTGCAGAAGTGCAATGTGTGCCGGGAAGAGTTCCCGAGCAAGACGAAACTCTTCGCGCACGTACGGGAAACAGGCCACGCGGCCGCCGCTCCGCTGAACGGACGGAGCCAGAAGGGCAAAAGCAAGCGATGAGCGGAGACGCGCGCTCTGACACGTTTCCACGAACAACCCTGAACGTTGGGGGTGGCGTCCCTGTGATTCCGAACCTTCGCGTGAAGCAAGCATCCCTCAGATCTAGAAATACAAATTGGTACAGCCGGAAACGCGAGCTATCCCATGAGCTGCGAGACATCCTCGGGCGGGTATTTGGTTTGGGAGAAGGTGATCAAACTACATTGCCGTTAGCAAGCAGTCGCGACGAGCCAGACCATAAGGAGCGCGCACCGTTTTAAGCTCTGGATGTACTTCCTGCTGACTTCGTCGTTGAGCACATGGGCGACCTGGTCTGCCGAAATCTTTTCGCGTGCCGACCGTTCGTGGATACTATGAAGAGTTTAGCGCGTCCCGGTATGCACCGCGTTGGAGGCGAGCTGGATCGGCGTACCCAACCATGGTAACTCCAATAGGCCATGGTGCGTTGCCGATGGAGAGTCGCAAGTACGCGTCATTAGCTTTCTGGTATTGCCGTTTCTGGGTATAGTGCACGATCTCCGCGAGGCGCGCTAACACGTCGTCGGGTAACTCCTAAGTCGCCCAGCGTACATTAGACTTGATATGTCCAGGCGGTTCCAACAGCATGGAGGGGTCTCACCCTCTGACGTAATATCTTGAAAAGAGGCTTGAGATACTCGGCTGATTGCTTTTGTGTCGCCGCGGCGAGCTTGCCCTGATGCGTTCGCTTGACGGATTCTGCAGAGTTTGGTAAGTATGCGGAATCGCCGCGTTCCATGTGAGGCACTTGCCAGGCCGCTCATCCATGGCCTCTTCCCAATCCTTGAGCATCCGCTTGAGCGCATGGTAGATGATAGGGTACAACTTCTTTGGGTCTGTCTTGACGAGACCCAAGTCCAGAACGGCCGACGCTGCCGCCTCCGCTTCCGTCTTCTTCTTGTCCTTCGTTTCGCCCTCCTTCGCTTTGAGTTCCCTATCCCGACTCTCCACCTCCTCTAACGCCTTTCGGAAGTCATTCTGCCCGCCATGCTTATCATGTTCCTTCTCCTCAATAAGCTCCAATGCACGTAATCGTAGCCTGCGCTCCTTATCCGACTCGCCGAAGAGGCGGATAGGCTGGCCCTTGGCTCGCAAACGCCGTACGGTCTCCTCCGCGGAGATGTTGAACGCCTCCGACTTCACGCCGTCAGCGCCATCCTCGGGCATGGGAGAGTGACTAGCGGTCCGCGACTGGGCCTATCCTCCATCCACACGTTAGCCTACGATGAAGCCGGGTAGAGATAGCGCATACGGCCGCTCACTTTCTGTCTCGCCTTCGCCGCCTCTTCCTCTGCTTTACGCTCGGCTTCCGCGCGCGCTGCGGCCTCCTTCTCCTCCTTCTCCTTGCGCAATTGTTCTTCCCTCAGTCGCTCGACTTCGCCTCTGCGCAGATACTTCGTCGGCCGCGCATCCTTCACCGGGTCCGTCTCGAGCGCTTTCCTCTTGGCAGCGATCTCAGCTTTGAGCGCTTCCATACTCCTCGCCCGAATGAGTTGAGAGATAGAGCAGGCCCAGAGTATGACTGTAGAAAGATATAGCCCCACGTGAAGTTCCAGGCGTGTAACCCAACCGCGGTCGAGGTGAAGGTCCAAAAGGGGGGCTGCGTTTGGTTACGTAATTCGTCCCGACCGCTGCCGCTCGTCGCGTTTGCCCAACCGACTTCAACCGCCCCTTCTCCTCTGTGCTCCGCCATCATGTCTGAAGATCTCTCGAGGTAGTCTACGCCAGTCCAATATTAGGCGTTTTGTCTCACTTTTTCCGCCCAGCAAATACGTCCTCCAGACCGCTGGCTTCGACGGTATGCGCTGGCTTATTTCTCCCTCCTCCGGGTACAGGGACTGACGATCACCCCTTCCCCCCCCTCTCAGCCCGGTTCCCCAACACCAACCAGACCCGTCACTGGTACGCACTCACCGTCCTCGCTACGTAGCGTTTCCTTGACCGATTTCCGCAGCTTCCAGAACTACACGGACTACTTCAAGTGCATCGCCGCCAAGGGCGAGGACTTCGCCCCGTGCAAGCAGTTCAAGAGGGCGTACAACTCGCTCTGCCCCAGTGCGTCTTCTATCTCACATGATCCCTTTCTCCTATACTGATCATTCGCGTCTCAGATGAATGGGTAAGTCCTATGACCCCGTCACGTTTGCCCAACGACTGCCTAATTCTGTTTACCGCAGATCACGAAGTGGGACGAGCAGCGCGAGAACGGCACCTTCCCCGCCAGGTACGTCCCGTCCTACGTCGACTCTTTGGTGTGCTCACGAATGCTCGTTCCCCCCTCTAGTTTGGAGCCCTGAGCAAAAATGATGTATAGCCTACCGCTTCCAATAGATCGCCGGCTGTTGCGGAGTGACATTCTTCTCAATACCTTCGCGGTTGCGGAGGGTTTGAGTGGTGGATACATCGACTGAGACTGCCCATTTGCCTGCCGTTCGATACTCTACGATAATTCGCGCGGGACGCGAGGATTTTCGTGACATCGTGCATGATGACATTCTCTCCCGCGAGCCGGCAAGTCCGTTTTCATGTCGTACAAGCAGCGTTAAGATTACGGGCGAGCTATCGTTACCGTGTCCTTATGACACACATCCTCATCAGGTAAAACCTCGCCGCGTGACGCGCGCCTATGTCGATGTCGAGGCGGGATCGGTCGTGGTCCTGAATATGAACGTGTCCACGCAAGTCGAGTCGGTACCCTTCCAATACACCTGAGGAAAAGTGACATATGAGAGTCACCGCATGAGAGCAGGATCGCGTACAGCGCTTACGACGGGATTTTCGATGGCATTGGAAGGCTCGCAGATCGTAAAGCCGGACGTGGACCCGTTGAAGGCTAGCCATTGACCGTGGAAGGAGAACAAGCCGGGCGTGCCGCTTTCGGGAAGGAAGAAGAACTCGCCAGAGTCCGTGTCGATGTTGGACTCGTACGTCTCCAGGGTGAAGAGGTTCGGGGGCATGGCGAGCGTCTCCAGCGTCCCCCTTTCGGAAACACAGATCAGTTTCGTCGCGTACACGGGGCGGGTATGTATATAACGTCGACGAGGCTCACTTGGTCAGGTTGAACTCCGAGTACGATGCCGCGTCCTCCTGGGCGCGCAGGAAGAACTGCTCCTGGTGGAAGGGGTCGATCAGGTTGAGGCCCGTCGAGGTGGTCGGGTGGGCGGTCTTGGTCGGCGTGGCCACCAGGAAGAAGTTGTTCACGTTCCGGCGAGCGGCGGGCCTTGCGCTCGCCAAAAAAGGCGACACCAAGAGCGCGATCAGGGCGGTGAAGATTTGCAGAGAGAGCATCGCGGATTTCGTGGTCGTGAACGGGTTCGTGATGCGGACGGGGTCGAGGTAGTCGGGGGAACAGACAACCTGGGGTGAAACATCGTGCCAAGGCCGTCTTATGTATGGTCTCGAAGGGGGGGGCTGTGACGAAGGCCTTCTAGAGGGTCGGCCACTTTAGCCGCACGCCATGCTGCGTCAAGGGAGGCAGGGCGGGCGGAACGAGCCCCCCTCGAAGTGGCGTGAAGGAAACGGTCGTGCGGCGGGCCACGAGCTGACCGGCGCGACGATCACAAAGTCAGATCAATTCATCCAGCCCTTTTCATCCGGCCTGGTTCTCAGTCTCAGCTTATACTCACACATCCGGTCTCACCGCCTGGCCAAATGGGTGTTGAATGGATCTATCTGCGTCGGTCCAGCATCCAATCTCGCAGCTGATTCGCCGTGCCAGCTATCCTTAGATGTTCGACAAGGATGCTAGACGTCGAACACAGGCACCCGCATGGTATAAATACAGCTCCTCCGATGCACTCGCCGGAAAAGCGGATGATTGTGGAGTTATACGCATACGTATGAGGTCAACCCAGCAAGTCGCAGAGTCAAGCAAGCTCGCTCACACGACGTTTCGGGCTTCAAGCCTGAGACGACAAAGCCTACTGTCATCTGGACCTGCCATTGGACTTGTCGTTTCTCGGACTGGGCTGGACGAGAAGATCATAATGTACATCTCTGACATCTGTTTTCTCTGGTACTTCATGCTGTTGTATCTCCTTGCGAGGTTACCGGGGATAGGACCAGGCCTTCGGCCCTGATACGGATCTGGTGAAATATCAACGGTTCTCCAACGGTCTTGCTAAGCAAGTAGCTTAGCAAGACACTATACGACGTATACGTAGCGACCGCCGTGACCCGTTCATCCGACCGAAGTCGAGATGTATACTCGACGCACGGGCTACGGGAATTTCCAGACATTCTGCTTTGCAGTTCACATCCTAACATGGCACCTGTCGTTTATCTCGTCTCCGGAGCTAACCGCGGCATTGGTGAGTCTGGGCACGTAAGGCTCCCCTCGCGACGACGTGTATGCTGATGTTGAACAAGGTTTGGGTATCATCGCCGCTCTGGTGGCTCGCGACGACGTCGCGGTCTTCGCCGGCGTGCGCGACCTATCATCCGCGGACGCGCTCAAAGATCTGGGAGCACAACATCCCGGGAAACTGCACGTCGTGCAGCTCGTTTCTGCCGACAAGGCGAACAACGAGCGCGCCATTGGTGAGATCAAGGACCAAGTCGGACGCGCCTCGATGCGGTCATCGCTATCGCTGGTAGGCGGGGATTTACGAGCCTTTGTTACAATCACTCACGGAAGACGGCGCGCAGGTATCCTGACTTGGGCCGATCCGAGCGCCGAAGCGCCCGCTTCTGAAGTTTCGCGTCATTTCGAAGTGAGCCGAGATGCTGGACAGGCCTTACGCCACGGGCAACGGGCGCTCTGTAGGTCAACTCGATCGGACCTCTGGTGCTATTCCAGACGGCCTTTCCCCTCCTGAAAGCTAGCACCGCGGATCCCAAGTTCGCCATCATATCCTCCATAGCGGGGAGCATCGCGAGGGGAACCGAGGTCCCCTTAGGTTTCCTCCCGTACGGAATGTCGAAGGCCGCCGTCAACTACCTCTCGAAGAGATTACACGTCGAGTACGCCAGCGACGGGCTAGGCGAGTGGCCAGCCGTCCGGTCTTCGCACCAAAGGTTGACGTAAACGCTGTTGCTCCGCAGTGTCCTTCTCCATCGCACCTGGTCCCGTCATGACAGACCTGTGTGAGTAGTATCACGATGAACGTTTCAATGGACGAACGTTCATCGCACGTCGCGCAGTCACTGGTGCTGGGGCCCTCATAGATTCCACATCGGTTTCGCCTGATGTCCTATCCGCAGACGAGGTGGGACGACGGATCGCTAAACTGGTGGAAGAAGCGAAGCGCGACGATGCTGGCGGGCAGTTTCGGGATCATAGCGGCAAGGAATGCCAGTGGTGAGCTTCGTCAGTTTTTTGGTATGATGGTGTTGGTTGAGCTATAAGTACGATTGTGAAGCGTGTCATGAGCTGGGAACATGCATGTCATCGCGGTCCATCACAATGTCGGCGACGGATCTCATCCCCAACTCATCCCATACTAGGCCAAGTTACCGAGGCTGACGTGCTGACTAATGGGCGCTTCCTGCCCTAATGTGCGTCTCACGATTGGCGCCGATGATGAATAGCTTTGCCTCTGGGTATGCAGCACGGCTCTCGCGTGATCCATCTCTCCCTTCCCGTCCCGATTCTCTGCCCCATCTCCGGAATGTCTACACTTCTCGTATCCTCGTCGCTTGGAAAGCGCCATCGCAGTCCCAACGGCCAGTTCCCCGAAGGAGAACGATCTGGAAAGCGCTCGAGAGATGGACCGGTAGACCTGCAGGCGAAAGTCAAGGATGAACCGATAGACATCGGGCCTGATCTTCTCGGTGCGGAGCAAGGCTAATTGTCTGACTCAATACTCTCTTGCTCATGATCTCGAACTGTCAGATGGTCTCTGGAAAGATCCCACCGACGAATCCATTCCCGGCGCGGATCCCCATCACTATCCAGCATACCTTTGGCCGGATGCTGTCGGAGTGAAGCCGGACGTGGACGCCGAAGATAGGGACCTCGCGATTCAATTCCAGTGTAATCACATAGAATACACGCGATGCTCAAACTGACCTCCAAGATAGCTAGCCGAAGTACGAAGGAAGAGATCCTCGATGCCCTCTCGCATTGTTGTAACCAAAATCGAGCCTCCTTTGTGAGCAACCCACCTCTCGTCATCTGTCCTCTTCGATTGTGGCACTAAATCGAATATATATACATATGCACAGAACCTTGCTGTCGCTCTCAGTACAGAAGTTAGCGCGTTCCAAGACGATGAAACGACTGATGCCAAGCTTGTCACGTACATGTTTCCTCCTCTATATATGCGCCCTTCCATGACACGAGGGAAGATAGGCATCTACTTCAGGTTAAGGAGTACAGCCAAGAGAGTGACTCGCAATACCTCCTCTTTTGCCTGGTTCATTATCATCGATTCCAAACGTGGCTGTTGTCTGTGCGTACATATTGGACATCTTCGTCGACCAGGTACTGAATTCGAACCGACTTTAGCTGAGCTTTCAACTAGGGCTCGGACAAAATGCTCTAATCAAGGCTTCGGCCACTGCGGACGAACTAGAAGTCATTCGCCGTATGTGCATCGTAATCAGGTATCAAGAGTGGCATAGCGCCATATACGTGCTTCGTGATAACGAGGCCGACTCCTTCCTCAACTTGCTCCAAGAGGTGCGCTCCCCCACACATACTAATTACGGACGGATCCTGACCCTATGCTCGCGCAGTTTTTGGATCGCTCCGGACCATTCTCTCACATTGATATAGTAAAAGATATCACCGTGTGTCCCGATTATTCTGATCTTCGGCGCATTGCTTGCGGTATGCTGCGTACGCTTTCTGACAAAAGCGGTGTCATACCGTCATCCCTCTTCCTGAAAAAGGTCCAATCATCCTCCGATCGGCTAATTGGAACCGGTGGTTTTGCCGATGTATTTGGGGGAACATATGAGGACCGGCCCGTGGTATTGAAACGATTGCGCATATTCGAAGGCACCTTAAACCCCGAAGCCCATCAGAAGGTCAGCATTCAGTCGTTGCTGTGTGAATCCTTCGCCTGCTTATGCTCATGATGCGCAGATGCTTTGTCGAGAGGCACTTGCATGGCGTCAGCTCCGGCATCCGTGTATCGTTCCATTCCTCGGGTTGTATCAAGATTGCGATCTACGCAGCTCCGTGTGCATGATATCTCCATGTATGCGGGGTGGAAATCTGTCCACGCATGCAGAGCGCGAACGCGAGAGATTACATCTCCTTCCTGTCGTGCGTAGTATCAAGCAATGTTCAGCCTCCCGAATGCGCTGATGAATCAAGTAGATTCGTGACATTCTGGAGGGGCTTTGCTATTTGCATGGACAACATTACGTCCATGGTGACCTGCGTGCAGTGCGTTCACGCAGTGCTACTCTAAATATTCGCAGATCTCAAAGGAGCATAAACCCTTCCAGGTAAACATACTATTGGATGAAAATGGTCGAGCATACATCTCAGACTTTGGCTTGATATCTTTACTGGATCAAATCCACGACAAATCCACAAAAGGTCGTGGGAATCCACGATGGACGGCCCCCGAGCTCTTCGAGTCCGACTTCAAGCGCACCTTTTCAACCGATATGTACTCTTTTGGATGCCTGTGTCTTGAGGTCACTTCTATTCATCTTTGATCGTGAGCTTGATCTGAAGAGGTGTTCTTCCAGATAATCACCCTGAAGCCTCCATTCTATGAAATTCCCCGTGATTGTTCTGTGATCGCTTGCCTGCTCAAGGGAGAACGCCTGAATCGCCCACAGCCGGATGACTGCATTGTTTCTGTACCTGATGAAGGTATATGGGACATCATTCAGGCTTGCTGGGGCAACTACCGTCCTACCGCATCTCAGGCCCTGGCTCAAATCAAAAAAATTAGGGTATAACGTCTTCATACCGGCGGTAAGCATCTACTTACAGTGCTACACTCAGATGCAGTGGGTTATGCCTCCGCTGGTGGACCAGATCAGGTTCCAAACGCGTCAACTCAACCTTCCCACGATGGGGGGCCAACAGCAGCATCAGCAGCCCGGCGGCCTTCACGAGCTGCAAGCCGGATCCCTCAACACTGGAAACGGCATGGTCCAGCCCAGCACGGGCGCTCATCACCCCCAGAACGCGTTCAATCCCGCTGCCCCCATGCATGGTGGCATGGACGGTCAGCAGCAGGCTGGCAACCACCTCGCCATGCCGCAGGGTAATCAGCTCCCTCAGCCTGGCATGCTCAACCCAGGCGCTCCGGTCAATATGCAGACCATCGAACAGGCCCAGCGGGTCCGGGCACACATGCATGATTTAGAGGGCCAACTCAACCAGCTGCATGATGCTCGCGCAGGCATGTCCGATAAATTCTCCCTCAGCCGATTATCCCAGCTCCAGGATGCCATACAGCGGCAGAGGGCGATGGTGCAACAACTTGCAGCGCGTATCAACAAACTCCGCTCGCAGCATACGCAACAGATGCCGAGCACGCTGGTCAACGCAATGAACCCGACAATGGGTCAATCGATACCGTGAGTCCTCAATCATGCTTCCTATGAAGACTTTATCCTGACCATCGCGAGCCAGCCCTCATTCGTCTTCGCCACCGCTTCACCCACGGTCGGCGAACGTGGGTCAACCCGGATGGTCTCCGCCTGGCTCCCAGCAGCCCTTTCCCGGTCAGCCGACGCAGCGTCAGCCTACTCCGCACTTTCAGGGCATGAGCCAGCCGCACCTGCCTAACATGCAACCCAGCCCTAGGCAGATTCCTCCCCACCCTCAGCTGCAGTCGCCGCCGCAGATATCCGCTCGAACGACCCCGCACCCGAACCTCATCCCTCCTCAACCCATCGTTAGTCAACCCATTGCTAGTGCCCAGCCGATGATGGGCGCGACCCATATGGATCAGATACAGTGGGTCATGCCTCCGCCGGTGGACCAGATCAAGTTCTCGACTGCGTATCGCACGAAATGCAACCAGAAGGCCATTCAGCATGACAAGCGGTTGATGGAGATTGACCATCGACCGGTCGACCATTATGAGGTTATGCGAGAAGGTGGTCGGAAACAGGTGTAGTCGACCCTCCGATCCTTCACCCGCATTTTCTGACTCATAGTCGTAGGTGACGCAGAAAGAGTTGTGGCCCGTCATCGGTGGACGTCTGGGCTTTGTCGCTTTCCCCGGAAACGGGCACGAGCCCGCCAAATGTGCACCAGGAGCAGCTCAAGGCCTGCAGGCCTGCTATGACATTGACACGTACCTGCTCGAGTTCGAGCTAGCGTACTATGGGGATGGGCAACGCCTACGAAGTAGGCGTAACCAATCCCACGGTTACACTGCCACGCATTTACTTGATGTGCGCGTTGTTGTGTGTCCAACCTCATTCCTCGACCTTTCTCCCAAGTCATAAATTCTGCGAAGCTTTCAAAAATAGATAAACTGACATATCTTACTATCTAATCAAATTTAAACACCCTTGGTTGCTGCAAACTACGCGCTCCCTCTTACAGAGCACCGCCAAGTGGCTGTGCGGAGTTTAGTGGCTGACTCTCGACGCTCAAACTCCCGCAAAAAGAGATCTTCTTGCACCAAGTGCCGTACCTTCCACAAAGGTTCTAAAATTGCAAAACCGTTCTATAATATTCTTTTGGGTGCCAATAGACAATATGTTGAGGATAGATTTTCATGTTTGGCCCTTTTAAGCGGTGCTGATATCAGTTTACACTACTCAGAGGACAAGGAAAGAAATTCTTTTTTGAACATTCTCTCGAGAATCAAATTTCATTGGTAGTCTCTCTACAGTCCTAAATGTCAGCTGGCACGGTTGACTGCAGAGACTGGTCGGACATGACACTGTGTCCGGTACCTTCATTATCGTGGCAGTGCTATGTGTGGGAAGTTATGTCGGAGTCGAATTTTTGGCTGGGCGTTGCCCATCCCCACGTACTACAACCAGAACAGGTCACGCGACCAGAACAGGTTAAGTAACGGCGCGCGCAAGGTCTACAATTGCAACAGCGTCCGGGCATGGCCGCGAACGGTCAATCGGTGAGGCCGGCTCAGCGGCCCGCAGATGTAGCGACGATGCAGCTCATGCTGCAGCACGCGCACTCAACCGTGCAGCAGATGCGCGCTGCCGGCTTGCAGGAGGAGCTCATCGCGCTCATCGAACGGCACCGTACCCAGCTGCAGCAGAGCGAGCAGCAGCGGGCGCAAATGCCGTATTCGACAAGACTCAGGGCGTGAACGAGCAATAGCGGGCGCAGATCCGGAAGGGACTCGGCGGCGGAGCAAACCTGTGATCCTCCATCACGCCATACATATATGCACGGATAAGACTCGTCCGTCCCGAGAGATCTCTGCTTACTTCCTCCGTAAAAGTTCTTGCCTGGCTTTGGTTGTATTATCCATGTTGTCACGTCGCCTTATAAATACGGATCGATACACAGGCAGCGGTAAATAACGTTTGCTTGTAACGAGCAAAATACAAGAGAAGTACGAGTCGATACGTCATCGTGGCGCAGCCATGCTTCAACAACCCCAACAGCCCAACTTCCCTGTTCCCGTTGCGACTCAGCAGCCACAGGTTTGGGCACCCGCCGCGCGACAACGACCCCGCGGAGATGCCACAACAGCAACAGCATCCATTCGGGATGTCTCGGCAGACCAACGAGCAGCAAGGACAAGAAATGTTCGTTCATCTCGGACAGCATGGCCAACAGTAGCAGCAGCAGTGTCATGCCGCAGGCCCGTATCTGAGTAGAATAGCAAGATAATACACACTACGAGATACGAAGAGCCCGACCAGCAGAGTGAGCGAGCGAGCCTCAAGTCAGCAATTCCCGTGAGCAGGAGCAGGGCGGCTCGACACAGCCCCTTGCCCTTTTGGGCGTGTGAATTCCCTTTTCGGGTAATCGCCTGCGTCCGCCCCTCGTATCGGGATCCACGGATTCTAGAGGCTTCAGAACACCCTCAAACCGCTTCCACACTTCAAGCAGTGCCTTTCCCGATGTGTTTCGACCATTCGGCCAGTTACAACCCGTCTGCAAGGCCCAGGAAATACGTTTTAACTCTCTAAAATTGAGATTTACCTCGAAAACAGGAAGCCGCCGCTCGATGCATATGCAATGACGCCGCTCCAACTATTCCTCCTTGTTCCTGTTTCTTATTTTGAGATCTCCACCGCTCCAGACGACTTCAAGGCCGTCCTAGAGCTTTCCAGAATCGCTTCATCCTCTTCTCTCAGCCCCCATTTATTTTCACTCTCGATGGTTTCGGGCTTAGGTACCTCGTTTCGGCCGTAGCCTTAGCCTTGTACCATCTATGAAAGAGGCTCTTCAGTCCTCAGCAATGCATCTTAATTCTCCCACATCAGTTGGTTGAGTCCCTAAGTTCCTAAGTGTGATTCGAGTGAATATCAACATATCTCCTCCCCGACACTTCAACACGTCTAGCGCATTCTCCCAGACCGGAGTCAATGTCCCTCTATTACGTATCTACGATATATAAGCGTCCCGAGTTGACGCCCTTCCGCTGCATCCCGTTTTCTTGCCCTGGTTGAGCCTTCCCACGCTCCCAGACCCGAGACCTCTCGCCCGGATTCTTATCCATTAGGCTACAAACTGCGGTACACCCATTTGGATAAAATAAGGACATCCCTCAACCTACCCGGTGACTGCCCGACCCAACGTTTGGCCTGGCAAATCGGGGATTCTAAAAATCAACATCACAGCAGTCTTCGCAGCGCCAAGCAATCATGCCGCCGATGCAGGTTCAAGCGCAGAACGCGGTCAAGATCGTACAGAAGTTCAAGCAGGATTTCATCGCTAACCGGGATCCGGCTAGGGTCCAGCAACTGATCCTACCGGACGAGCAGTGACTGGAGTATTTTCAAGCGTTTGAGCACCTCCTCCGCATTGCCAGTGACCTGGATCCCAGACTGCCGTGGTACGCTGCCATTCTAAGGGACGAGCCCACTCTTCGCAAGCTAGTTGTCATTGTGAGTATTCTCCGACGTTCTAATTTTTCCCGCAACAATTGAATCGTGCTCGTGTAGACTCTCCTTGCACATCAACAGGAAATCCTGATGTCCTCTGCGACGCCGAAGTACAAAGGGACCTCAACACAGTGAAGTCGATGATATCACAAGCCCAAACTGCCGAGGAGGTCTTCAAGAACCTCTTAGCTCTGACAAGCTAGTCAAAATGCACAACAGCAGTAGCAGCACGTCGTGCAACCACCAGTTCTTCACGGCATGATTCCGCCCTAAGGATGACCGATGATACCTGGGCAAAGGCCGGTGTCAGCTCAGCAAGGCTTTCACCAGCAGCAGCATCCGCAGATCCAACCACAAGCGCCGCAAGCTGTGCTTCAACGGCCACCGCAGGCATCGATGAACTCACCGGCCACCGCGGGTAAGGAAACAGCGACGCATCTCCCGCCGAATCTCACGGCCGCCTCCGTGCGCACGCCGCCCTCCACCGCTGCATCTACTTCGACTCCCGGCCCTAGCGTCTCAACGCCAACGCCCGCTCCGCCGGCCACGGCAAAGCCACTGACTAACAAGGCCAAGGCCACTCCCAAGGCGAAAGCTGCGTCTATCCTCAAGCGCAAGCCGTCCGTCGCCAGCAAGAATGACAAGCTCATCGCGGTGCAGCCCGCCGAACCCGCCCCGAAGGTCGTGCCCTCACCCGACCCGTCGACGTCGCTGAAGCGGAAGCGCGAAGACGATAGTCTCGCGGTACGCGCGGGGGCACCCGATGTACCCTCGCCGAAGCGACCCAAGACCGAGTCGGAGCGGGATTGTCAGCCTCATCCAACGGTCGTGGAGAGGCAGAGGCAGATTGATGCCGTCGAGACCCCCGAAGATGCGGTAGCGTTCTTCGAGCAGTTCTCGCGTCAAGACGGATTGTGCTAGGGATGTAGCACATACATAACATGACATATTCTCGTCGCCGTCCATTTTTATGGGTGCAGTCAATGATTCATACCAGGACGGCTCCACCGTCGACGTTCAGGGTTTCCCCTGTGACATACGCACACCTCTGTAACAACTCGTCAGCACATGCGCATGGATGAAGATCTCCGATTCATACCAGCAAGTACAGATAAGCCTCAGCCGCCTGGGGAGAGGGGTGCAAGATGCGTTCAGATCGACTTCATCGCAGAATAAGTGAGGCGCACCTCATCAGCATCGGCAACGTGCTTCACCGGGAGCGCCATGGTCTGGTGATCAATCATGGCCTTCACATCCTCCGCCGGCAGATGGTCCAAGAACTGCGCGATGTCGTATCACGGCGATGAGAATAGTTGTGAATACGTAAGTCGAGATCGCTCCTCACCTCCGTGATGACCAAGCCCGGGCTGACGACGTTAACTCTGATCGGCGCGATCTCAACCGCCAGTCCCTTCGTGAAACGCTCGGTGGCGCCACCAACGGCGGTTACTAGCGCCCATCCCTTCGGCGGCTTTCGGGTGGCCAAGCCGATCGTGAATGTGATCGAGGAGTCTGAGTTCTTGGGCATACGCGGGGGAGCGTACTTGCCGGCGTAAATGGGACCCGTGGTCCGCGTCACAAATGCATCTATATCGCATGAAGGAGAGATGAGCGACATATTTGAAATGCATGCACGGAGACCAAGACCGACCATGAATGTTGGCTAAATCATGATCAGGATAGCCTAACGGGAGGAGATCTCCCGCCGTCCAGACTGCCGAGCGGATTAGTGTCAAACGCTCAGCGAAGGGATGAAGATGTGGAGGTCCCTACCTAAATGGTCGAACTCGGGCAACGCTTCAAAGAACTCCTTGCTGGCGCTTTCGCCGGCCTTGACGTCGTATACGCGACCTTCCACGGACTGACCAGTGCCGAGGTCCGAAAGTTTCTTCGCGGCCGCGTCAACCCTTCCCTGATTCGAAGAGGAGACTATCACGGAGGCCCCAGCATACAAAGCGGCCTTGGCGACTGCGAAGCCTTCAAAGTGACCCGTTAGCATATATGCATGCAGTGGGCTAAGACTCAGGGGAACCTACCGAGACCACTGGTACCACCGACGATGACGATGCGTTTGCCTTGGAGTTTGTCCGGCATATCGTGTAACAAAAGGGATCTTATCGAGGGTAAAAGAGATGAGACGGGACTTTTATTCAAACACATGAGATGCTCACCTCATCTCTTGATTGGTCATGGATTGGTCAGACGCGATGGAAGTCGATGGCACCATCACTTTGTCAGCAAGGAAGATAGACATCCCGAGGTGAAATGAGAGTAGCGCCTGGAGCGTCGAACCCGTGAGCAGCTCCGTGAGTGCGTCAAATGAACACTAACAAGTCCGCGAATATAGCACCGCGTTTGTGACTGCCAGCCCCAAGCGGTGGCGTCTGTGCGCACAGGATCCGATAGGACATGGATGGGTCCATGAGATGCCGGCACCCTACGACTGATCGCTGCTTGGTAGCCACTTATTGGACGAGCTTGCGACTGCTTCGCATCGTGAACGTCCTGGTAAAACAGAAGCCCATTGAATACCGGTTCTCTCACTCGGTGAGATGTCACCGTGCATACCGTTCGCAGTCATAGAAGCAATCCCGGAGAACATCGTAGCCCAGCGGTGCATCTTGCTTCCTTCATCCCCAATTCGCAGATACCCTAATGCGCGGGGCCCACCGGCCTTCACCGGACATGGACGCCATATGCATTCGTCACACGTCCTCGCAGTTCACAGTCCCGGCCAAGCTTCGCTGCTATTTGCTCCGTTGCTCGAGCGCAGAGTGTACTGAGCAGTTGCTCTCCATGATGCGGCTATTCTGCCAATATCCCCGTTGAGTATCTGTATCACGGCATATGTGAGCCAAAAATGGTTTACACACCTGCGGCGATGATATTCATGAACGGAAAGTTGAGGTATCGTCAATAAGCTTGGAGATGGTATGCGATGGATTGCGGGTCGAGCAAAACTCGCCAGAACAGCATGCCCAGCCGTTTGACCCACCGCCTGTAGGCCAGGAAAGCGTCGAGTCCATATCCACGTACCCATTGCGCACTGATTGATATGCAGCCATCATCCTCGATATGTTCGAGCCGAGTTGGTGATCCCGTTTCGTACAGGGCGAATTCTTGATCCAAGGCGCGGAGGATCCGGTGAACACTCCTGGGCGTACATCCGGAGCGAGGCGCTTATACACGTGCAGGACATGGCGGTATATATGCACATGTCGTTGCTGGGCAGGCAGGATTTGTGATGTGACGATGTATGAGTGGAGATCAGTCGAACCCAGGTGAACGAAGAGAAAGAGTACGTAGAAGAGGTTCATGCCCCCGGTCGCGCTGTCTATTTCTCGTTTGCCACCCTCCCCCGCATCCTCTGACAATCGGCACGGCTGTTCTCCGCCCACATAGCTCGTGCCACAGTGCAAAGACTGAGGACTTTTGGACGGCAGAAACGAATTACGACCTAAGTTACCGCCGACATTGTTACATACACTGCATACTGCTGCAAGCCTCCGGCGCCATGGCCGACGCTCGGGCTCTCCTCAAAGCCAAGCGACAGGAGGTCCGGATAACTCATCCGCTCGCGACGTACAACTCCGCGGGGCAGCTGCGCTGTACGGTTTGCGGGACCGCCGTGAAGCACGCCTCCGCTTGGGAAGGTACGCCGCGCATGCGTTCCTGTCGATTATACCATATAGCCTCACCGACGCGTCGAATGCGCAGGCCACCTCGGGAGCAAGGCGCACCGCACGAATGTGCTCCGACTGAAAGAGGAAGAGCGGAAGAGAGAAGAGGAGAGGGCGAGGGAGGAGGCGCGGTTGAGGGCCGAGCAGGCAAGAGGGAAGCGGAAAGCGGACGATGAAACGGCTGGTGCTGGTGGAAAGAAAGCTAAGCTCGTCGACGCTGCATCAGATGATGAAGGCGAAGACGACGAATCTGGATCCGCATACGCTGGCATACCAGGACAAAGTGGCGGTTTCCCTGCGGACTTCTTCTCCGATCCATCACGCGCACCACCACCCAAATCCCTATCTGACGACGAAGACGAAGACGCGGACGCGGCACAACAAAAGCCAGACGTTACTGGGGAACAGAAGAAAGGGCCAGTGGACGAGGAATGGGAAGAATTCCAAAAGTTCGTGCTCGCCCCCGACAAGAAGGAGGTATCGCACGAGGCGTTCCAGCAGGCGACGATCGTCGCCGAGCCGGTGCTGAATGTCGTGGACGCCGGCATGCCGACGCAGGGCGAGGACGAGGCGCAGGTGGTCGAGGAGGAAGAGGACGAGGAGACGAAATGGAAGCGAAAGGAGCAGGAGGAGAGGGAATTGATCATGGACCGTTTGATGGAGGAGGAGCAAGCGCAGGAGGAGGCTGACATGGTATGTAGCCGGGGCTTCGCGACCTAGAAGGCGCCCATGCTGAATGACTTGAATTACAGCGCGCACAAAGCCTGAAGGACAGGTTAGCTGCGTTAAAGAAGAAACGCGAAGCCGCGCGAGCAGCGAAAGCCCATACGAAGACGTGAGCGGCTGCAACTAAACCCAACGCCGCCTTTGGAGAGGACATTCTATCCGTACGCCTTGTCCAGTATAGGTGCCAGTCAGGTATCAAGGCTGGCGGTTGATGCCACGGCCCTCTCTGGCACAAACCGTCGAATGTCCCAGATTCTACTTAGCCTCCGGTCGTTGCGAACTGCCGCTCGGACCGGAAAAGAGGTCAACAAGCATGCGCTATCAACTGCGTCAACGGTCGTGCGGCACTTTATGAAGAGCTCGTTGGTGACAGCTATAGACGGGCGTCTAGCGGGCAGGTTTCGGGAGTACTTGCCGTTACTCCTTTGAATGTCATACTGTTACAGAGCTGCATGGTGTCTGATCCTGGCGCAGCAAACGAGACAGCACTACTGAATCAAAATCGTGCACAATAATAGCGTAGACGTATGATTTCCGATCTCAAGAACCATTGCTACTTGACGAATCTCTGAACAACCTTGCACACCAGAATGCCCGACTACTCCATGGTTCATTGCTCGGAATGACGAAGTAATGAGGATCCTCATATTGACGGGAAACCTGACGCCTGGACGATGCATGTTGGATCACCGGTGTTCTCCATGACTGATCAGATCCTGGCTAGCGGTACATTCGACGCCATGGTTGGTCAGGCTGATCGCTGACCCGAGCCCGCGCCCGCATTACCTGGTTCGGCTCTCAATCCCTGACCCTGATGTTACGAGATCCGCGAGGTTTATTCATCCACATACGTTCCTCGATCCTTAGCATTGTTCTACACCAATCCATACACAGCAGCGAACTCGTCATCCTCCGGATCTGTGGCAGGCTTGTACTCGATAAAGGCAGCCAACTTGTCCGCCCATTCCTGTCCGCGCCAATGCTAAGTGCCAGGATTATCACCATTGAAGTTTGACACACCTTGCCGAGCAACTCGCTGGCGAAAGCATAGGCCATATCGAACCCTGCCGTCACGCCAGACCCTGTCCAGAACTTTCCGTCTACGACCCAACGGGCCTTGGGGACCCAGTTGACCTAGCCTCTACGAGTCAGCATCCACTCGCAGATCGTATCATGGCTGACGGCACCTTCGGGAAAACTCCTGCGACCTCTTTGAAAAACATCTTGTTCGACGTTGCGCGTTTCCCATCTAATAGGCCGGACGCCGCGAGGATGCCGCTGCCAAGGCACACGGACAACACGTACTTGGCTTTGGCTCCCTGTTTGGTGATGAAGTCAACGGCCTCCTGTTCCTGAGCGCCGATCCATGATGATCCTGTGTGCCGACGTCCAAGGTTATCGCAAGCTTATACACCACTGCTGGATACACCCACCTGCAGGAATGACAATGATATCGTATTGCTTGCCATCCGATCCCAATGCCGCTCCGTACGTGGAGGTAGGAGAAACACGGGGACCGGCCCCAAAGGGCTTCACCGGTTCCAAAGATTTGCTATGCGCGCCTCAGTCACTGCTGGGTTCAAACGAAGCAAGAAACCGGCACATACCTCAGAACATCGATATCAAACACATACTTCGGCGTATGCGGTGCTCCTCCGCTTTGCGACAATGTCTCAACAAATCCAAGAAAGTCCAGTGGACCTGTGCAAAGGGATATCAGCGTTTACGGTAACCCACTTTAACGAGGAGACACTTATTGATAGTCTAGGGTGGTGACATGCTCGTACACGCAGACGGCGACTGACAGACGTTCCGGAGTGGACATGGTGCTGAAAGTGACAGATTCGATTGCTGGACGAACTTGCGCGCAGGGTCGCAACTCGCGAGGCTTATGAATGCTGCGATGGCGGAGGTTTGAATAGGCTCATGCTCCCTTCGTGCGCAGTACATTTGCCGCGTGCATGGGAACTCGAGCTGTATGAGGTAAGGGCGGGTGACACAGCGGTACAAAGGTAAGGTGATGTTGTCCATTTGAGCTTGTTGCGCGCAATTGCTAATTGATGCACGGCGGCGGATGGCAGTAGGAAGAAGGCAGCAGAAGGGTGATTCACAGAGCGACCCCCGCGCACCGTGAGAGGGCCTGTAGACGCGCCGGGGGAGGACGCGTAAGCATCCCGTACGTCGGTGCCAATGCGAATAGATCGCATGCCCAGCGGTGCACAGCAAGCAACGACAACGGTCGATATTGAGACCATGCGAGATCAACGGGACATCGACGGGTGTTCTTGATAAAATCCCAATATCTGTCCTCATGATCGATCCGTATCGCAAGCAGGCCGTTCCATGAACCGAGATATGTCGCCTCCAGCTCTAATATGCCTACAAGGGTGCATTCGATGGCTCGATATATCGCGGAGGATGGGTTGGCATGATTTCCTCATGCGTCATCGTGGAGAAGTTTGCCCTGGCGAGATATCGTACGGCATATATCACTTCGGTTGAGCTAGAGTCAGCTATGCCATCCCAGAAGGCACAAATTGTGACGTTACCGGAGGACGGCAGCACAGACTTTTTCCCAGCAACGCTACGGGCGGATTGCTCAGGCGCGGTTACCGCGGCGTTGACTCAGCATCAACATAGCTGAACAAGAGGGTGGTTATCCTCGAGGGCCACGAGTCGTCGAGTACGAGAAGCTCGGGACATTACGCATGATGGTGGGCCGGTAATGTGGTTGTCATCATCGCGTGGACTACAGGAAGCAGCGCCTCACCACCAATGGCACGTCAATTCTTTCGCCTTCACACCAGGAGCTGTTTATATGGTCAAAGAGGAGCGGCGCAAACCAACGAAGGCATACACGTTGTATGGATCCGTAGTGCTACTCCGTTGAATCCCGCTCTCGTACGATACCCTTAGGAGGCAGCGTCCGCATTCTATGCTTTCGACTGTTGGGCTCGTTCTCGTTCTCTTGGTCGCCCCTGCACAAAGCAACAGAGCCCACATAGTCTGCGGAATCAGTGCAGTCGCATAGACTGAACATCCTTGACTTCGAAAGAGAAGCGCGACGGGGTAGCAGCGTATGAACGCTGAGATCTGAGAGTTGAAAGTTGATGCATGATGGACGAAAACGAAGGTCTAAGAACGTCGACGCGTCTCGCCCGACCAGTCAAAAAAGAGTCTGCGATGATTGATGCTCCCTTTCAGCGAGGCGTCCGCGCCGCGCGGTTTGCACATTAACTGAAGTACTTATCGACGATCACATTGAGTGGCACAGCTTAATCATAACTGTCCGAGCGAAAGCGGTAGGCTACTTATGAATGGCCGTATATATACAATTGTTCGACGCTCCGTTCGTGTCACGTAGCAAGTAGTGGGCTATCATGAGCTACAAAATGATGGCGATGCAGCCGATGGAGATCAAGCTGTTCTGTAGGGAGAATCAGTCTCGTAGGTCAATGATCTATCACAAGATGCTTACCGAGTTGTCCTCGCAGCAGACAGTCTGTGCGCTGCAGCTGGCGGTTCCAAGCCCGAGGATTGAGATAGGGCTGCATTGAACACCCAGGAGGACGTCGAGACCGTTGACGACGATGCCGAGCAGGCCCAGAAGCAAGTCGGCGGAAGGTGACGATGCCTGCGATGGTAAAGTTTATGAGTGGAGTATGATATCGCAAGGAGGTATTGTACTGACGTTCATGACGGTGTTACAGCATTGAAGAGATCCTGTATCGCATTGGCTTGCGGGGATAGCAGTCGCAGTCGGTGCGGAGACAGTCACCGTCGTCGAAGCACCGATGGCACTGGACAGGACGCTGGTCGGCAGAGCGCCATCACCAGTCGTCGCCGAGCCAGCAACGCTCGTCGCGGAATTAGCGGCGCTCGACACGACACTAGCAGCGCTCGACGCAACACTAGCGGCGCTTGACACAGATCCACCGGCAGCGCTCGACACGACACTAGTAACGCTTGATACGGCGCTACTAGCAACGCTCGACACGAGACCAGTAGTGCTGGAAACGCCATCGGTAGCGCTGGACAAGGTACCAACGCTAGTGGGCAGAGAGCCCGCGACGGTTGAGGTGGCGCACGTGTCAACGGTCTACGAGGAGCTATGTCAGAGGCTGCGAGTAGCTGGGGAAAGTGAAAAGTGCCTACAACTGTAACTGTCGTCGTCTCTACGGGAGATAGACCAGGGGCCGCGGCTGAAAAGACGAGCAGCGTGGATAGCATAACGAAGGCGGACGACGAAGGAGAAAACATGGTGGCTAGTTGGATATCAGGAGACTCAGTGAACGAGGATGCCGATGCACTGTGGAATGAGCGAGTTCGATGCTTCCGTTTTCTACTTTTCATGGACAGTCATAACTGCAATCCAGCCCCTCGCCAAGATCCAGTGACAAAAAGGACCGCCATCGTCTCCGCCATCTAATCAGTCTAGATGCAGACTACACTGACGTGAGGCGGTAACCATGCGAAGCTCGGGGGAACAAGGACCCATAGTTCAGCATCAAGCTTGACGGATCTGCATGATGCGGCGCGGGGGCGCGAATCTTCTACCAAGACGTGGATAGCATCATCTGCGCCGTTTCCTCTGTTCCAGCTAACGACGCTAGCGAAGATGTTAGTCCACCTTTTGGTCGAACTCGCGGGGCCGGCGATTCCTGGAAGCTGCAAAGTGAATCGGGAGCGCCAAGTAACGTATCGCTGGCAGTACGTTCGGTATCCCCAGGCAATCTCAAGTCGAGAGAGGAAACCCGTCCGGTCTTGCTGGATGATTCCAAAGCGCCACGTCAGAGCATAAGTACAGGTGAGCCACATATGGTGATTCAGGGGGACGGCTTGCAAACATTCGCACGCGCGGATCTTGTCTCCCTCAACTTGACGCTGCGCTCATTGGATTGCACGAAGGCTCTCGTCGATAGAAGATATATCTTGCTGGCTGCTACGGACACTAATTGGCAGTTTAGTTGCTTGCCACCGGTGGATTCCGGATCGCTGCACAGGGATCGCCCGCGGCACTCATTCGTGCAAACACGTTTCCTGTCAAATGGAACTCCCACTCGGCGTTGCAAGATTGATTCGACGGCCTCCGCCACCCGCTGGAGCATTGTGCTGTCTCGAATATCCAACCGTAACCGGGGCCCCTACATATACGCCATCTTGACTTGACTGATCACCGCGCTGCGATACAGAGCGGCCCTAAGTTACTTATGTGGGGTCCTCCTGATGGTCTCCCTAATGAATCGCAGCGAGAGCTTTAGAGGCTGTGGTTGTCAGCTACGAGTCTGATGCGGATCATCAGCTGGCGAGAAAGAGTACCTGTGACGTACGTGCTGTATGGGGATCAACGCACGATGACCCGCCGCATATGCGGATTTCCTTAGGATAAGTATGTCATGGGCGGAGGCGCTTGTTTCGTCGAAGAAGGCGTAAAGTCAACCAACCTGATAGTACGAAAAACTCCCATCGCTCCACTGTACACCCTACGCTAAGCCGGCCAGGCCCTGGTTTCCAGGTTTGTAGTCAGTCGATCTCGTCTGCTCTATTCCTCCGCGGTTCTCGCTCCTGTCACCGTATCGCCGCGTTCCAAACGGAGACAGCGTACATACTGGGTCCCTCGATTCGGCCACAATGAAGCTACTCATTCGCAGTCGATCGGAAGTGTCTCTTATGGGGAAAAGATGAGAGGGGTCTCAACTTGCTTGCAATCACAAGTCCGATACGGTCCAAGTCGCCATATGCATCACATTCAACCTAGTGTTCGTTCATTACTCTCTGAAGGCCCTCTCTCGGTTTGAAACAATAATGGGTATGATTGTCCGGGCGCAAGATATAACTATTTGACAGAACTGCGCATGCATGGGGCCAATCAGGATCGCATTTCTCGAATGTACCACGCTCGCATGGAGCAACCATGAACACCACGACTGGCACGCAGCTGTTCAAAGAGACAGGTCAACGGGGACTCAGCCAATGCCGATCACACCGTTATCCTGGGTTATAGCCTAATGATAAGTCTCGACTTGGCCATGGTGCTCAACAGGCCGAGATTTCCTCGCAGCAGGCAGGGTTGGCACTGCAGGTGGCCTCGCCACTGGCGAGCATCGTCATTGGGCTGCAGTCGACGCCGACGAGGACGTCGACGGCCTCAACGACTATTTCCTGTATGTTCTCGAGCAGAGTGGTCACCTCGGGGGTGCCTGATGATCAAATCGACTCATCACGGTCTTCACCGATGGTGTCTGCAGCAGCTCTGAAACTACGGGCCTTTATTGATTGGTGCATATTTTCATGCCGAATAGAATCTTGTGGCTTCTGCTCACACGGATAATTTACAGATTGGGAACCGACGAGAAAGCAACAGTGATCTATCATGGAACAGCAGCTACCGAGATAGTAAGTCGTAACCGTTACAGTACACTACAACCTCTCTGCGCAGGGTGCTCACATGCGAGTCAGAGTGCGATTAACAGAACTCAAAGTTGTATGACGACACAACCGATCGAAATCAAGCCACCCTGCAAAATCGTGAGTGGAATCGTGGTAACGAGAGCGCTAGACACTTACAAAACTGTTGTTCTCACAGCAGACCGGTGAGGCATTGCATCCGCCGTTGCCGAGACCGAGTACCGAGATGGGGCTGCAGCCGATGCCGATCAGACCGTCGACGGTGTCAAGGACAATCCCAAGAAGACCTAGGAGCAAGTCGGAGGATTGGGAAGATGACTAGCATCGCAAACGGATTGTCAGTTGAGCGTGTAATCGCATTGGAGACGGCGCTAACGCTTTGGACACTGTTGCAGCACTGAATGGAGCTGGTGTTGCACTGGCTAACAGTCACAGAGGTAGCACTCGCTGCCGGAGCAGTCTGTGGGGGAAATACAGGTCAGCGGGTGACGGTACGCATCTAGATGGGACACCTACAACCGTGACTGTGGTCACCGGGGCGTGAGGCGCGGCGGCCGCAAGGACAAAAAGCACGGGCATGGCGACGATGGAGACTGGAAGACGAGCGAACATGTTGTGCGAGTACTGTATGGAGGTCAGGGGCTCTGTTGAACTTGGTCGTTCCACTGAAGAGAGGACGTTCGCGGTTCGTGCTTTTATACAACTCTCCCCTGCCTACTGAATAGCAATGTGTAAGCTGGTCCTGAAGGGAATAAAGCGTATGCGGTCACCAAGAACGGTCAAATTGAGGTTGGGGAGGGTTGCCGTCATTCATTGAATATGAAACTGCTGATATTTTGAGCGTTGCAAAGTGAACCCGGGCGGAGGGTCCGTACTGCGAATCTCACCGTAGTCTCGTGCTCACGTCGGACTGATGCACTCACCGAGTGAATTGATAAAATTGCCATGATGCAGGGCGCAACACGTCTCTTTACGTGCCGATGTGATCGTCCAGTCTCGTTTTCGAACTCCAGCAGCGCGCCAAAGGTCGTCATGCGACGATGGAGCCAGAAAACTGGCCATAAAGCTGATGGAATTACGGCCCACTTGCGAAAAGAATGCTTTTGTGTACGCACGGTCAGCCAACCCAGACTATCGTTGAATTCGGTTCATAGGTCCGGAAGATTGCCCAGGTGACTGAATCATCATTGCGCAAGTACACTTGGCAAGTGACTCGGACGTCTGACGTCGCAATATCGTGATGTCGTAATATCAGATATTGCCCGCGGGCCGAAAGGCTGATAGGTGAGTCCGCTACGCCAAAGATTGGGTGTGGAAGCAAGAGATGGGCGCGTCATTCTAATCAAACAGACCCGACTCCCGCAGCTGACCGACGCTTGTGGCAACCTGCTCTCGGTTTCTAGTTGTGCCAAGCGATGACAGGACAAGGTACATTCGCCGGGCATCAGTTTCGTCTGGAAGGTGCGCTTGCGCCGGGAAAACTCGTGCTGGTTATATGTACCACTCCACGATCCCGTGTCGCCAGACACGGAACCAGGCAAGACTACCGCCAATGACCATCAGTGACGACGACCAGAAAGTATAGGCAAGTTTCAAAAATGGGAGCTCCAAGCTTATCCTGAGATTTACAGATCTATTCAATTGACGTTCTTCCCCCCCTTTCTGTTCTTGCCGCCTTCTCCTGTTCTTGAGTTCTCTGACCAAGAAGGGGGCCCGACTTCATCGTGTTACACTGGACAGGTTAGATGCTTGGTCAGAGTGTCCGTACAGGCCGGATCACCACTTGATGAATAGTTCGATGCATTCACATATCAGCTGCTGGTTTTGAGCTCTTTCACTGCGTCTTCCTCTCAAAACCATGTTTTCCTACGTCAAATGCACCCAATGCGCGTTCGACATCGGCTCCACTGTGCGGGATCCATAGGACCCCGCATATTTATGAATGATCGACAGGGTCATCAGTATCTGCGCCTTTACCATGATGTTCATCCACAAAGTGGATATGAAGTTACCGTATCAATGAACGCCTCGATCACTTTGGTCCATCCAATCCCCTCCAAACGAGCTGTGCTCTCGGTCACGTCGGACCATCGGTAATGTTCCTGAGGAGGCGCTCTCACACCTGTCATGCGACTCCAGTAACACTCCTTCGATCTAGATCACTTTGAGGAATGAGCTATCGAAGCCGCTTCTTTTTGAGATGCGCGAACAGTATACTATCCATCATACGCTCCACATCATCGCATGGATTTCTCGCAGCGTCTGCGCATTCCAGGTGGTGACCACCTACTCTGGGCCCTGCCAGACCGCTCATTCGTCAGACCCGTTCCTTCGCTCCATGCATGATTTTTGCTTTTATGCTGTTCTATTACTCAAGCATCGAAGGTAATCTTGTCAGGTCATAGAACCCGAAGCTCAATGAATCGTCCTCGGTGATTTTGCGCTTTGAGCTTGATAGTAGTTCCTCGATGATGTCAGACCTGTCCGAGGCGCCAAGAGCACGCACACCTCGGGGATGCGGTTCTAGCCTCAAACGAGTAAACGTACGCGGAGATGAGATAGGATGAATACAGCGAGGGCATTGCCGAAGTAAGCCATGAATGACGCTTTTCCGCCTCCGGAGCGAAGTTCTGGAACCCGGCCGAGTGGAGGTCTCGAGGCATAATAACGTGAAGTTTCCATCTAGCTGCTCGCTGAAATGAGCACGAGGCCTACAATGGGTCGCTCACGAAACCACTGCTTTGCAAGTGCGCTCTGAAGGTTTTAACTTTCGGTTGCTTCGTGAATCTGTGATCAGAATCAATCTTGAGCGCCCCAGCTCTTCGACGGCGGTATTCAATATCTTCTGTGTCATGGTTTACCATTTGTGGCGTCATCGATGCAGTCAGCAGCACGCGCGTCGCCAGGTGGTCAAATCGGAGTCATGCTATCGATACAGTAGAATCGCGCTAGAGAAAGCCAAGTTGTCCGCGTGACGAATCTGAACAAAGAAACCGAGACACACAGGAGCTTGAAGGAATAGCAGAACGCTGGAGCATCACGGCCCCCATCCAATGCGAGGAGGTACGTAATGAATAGGACTAGAATGAGCCTCGGAGGTTCTCCAGTGAGTCCTGTAGCCTCGAAGACACTTCCTGTACCCACGACGAGCGGCCAATCGTGAGCAGCCGAAGTCCTGAAGGAAACGTCTGAAGCAGGATTTCTGCCGTACGACGTCCATCTGCGTCCCCTCGACCCGTGGACATGCCCAAGTCCAAGGACGTCAGTGGTGCATTCCGCACCTGAGTTCCCGGCGTATAGGTACAAGCGCCAATGCACAACCCGAGATGCTGCAGATAGTGACAAGTTTCGGCGGCTCTGATGACAGAGTACAACGTGGGCAGCGTGCCACCGTACGACTCAAGTGCGGCAGTGGAAGGCATCGGGTTGAGCGCGAGGTGACGAATACGCGGCCAGGCGCGCAGCATCGTGTCGACGTTGTCGTCCGTAAGTGGGAGAGGCGCGGGGCAGCGTATGATCAGATGCTCCAGACGGTTAAGGGAGAGGAGAGGTGACACGTCTAACCACGCGCCCGTTTGCTGCGAATGCACCGAGGCCACCAGGATCGTGAAGCATATGAGACCCGGGCAAAAGCGCGCGATTGCATTCAAGGCATCGCGGAGCTCGTCCCCGGAGGTGAGTCGCGGGACGGCCAAATGGAGAGCCGCGAGGCGCCGCGAAGTAGCCTGGACAATCTCCACAGCCTCGTACAGCATGGCAGATATCCTGAGCGTCCTAAGCACCGGGAAGACTTGCTCCCTATATCCTCTTCGAGGCCACGTGTTCCGGGTCCAAGCATGATTCCTCCTCGTAAACAGTGTTAACTCCTCCAGATCTTGCAAACTCGTGATCGCGTCCCACACGCCGTCAGATGGTGCGACGAGGTCAAGCGGGACGCGCAGTACACGCAGAGAGGCGGGAAATTCAAGTAGGAGGGAGGTTACAGGGTGTATCCCCTGTAGGAATGCCTGGAGCGCACCGCGAGCGGATTGACGATCCTGCGGGCCAACGTAACGAGTATTCCACTGAATGGACAGATAGTCAAGGTAAGGAACCCGCCTCCTGATCATCGCCAAGAGCTGCACGAAAGCCCGGGAGCTCACGTTGCAATCAAGAACAAGGGTGAGGGATGTAAGAGCAGCCGAGAGCCACAAGCTAACGGCATGGACGCCAAAATCCGTGATGCACGAAGCGAAAAAAGACGTAGTATGAGGAAGTATATCGCGGGTGGGGTAATGATTTGCACATAGAAGCGACGCATTCAGGAGGTAGGACGTGAGGTGGAGGTCGTCGGGTTCACGCCAGTGGACTCGGGTGATAGTTTGAGCGCGTTCAAGGATGACCTGGAAGTCGTCGTCGTTTCCCTATGCACCACGTTAGGAATACAACTCGTCATCGGGAACGCACAATGCTCACGGAGTGAGGTTCGAACTCGAGTCCTTCGAAGAGTTCTTCCGGATTCCGTAGCGTTGAGTGCTCCCGCTCGCTAACCAAATTCATCAACAGGGGTATGAAGCGCGTCGTGCCGGTCGTGTCAGAGGAGGAGGCTTGAACGAATGCGCGAGACAGGGAGAGGACGTGTTCGACGATCCCTTGCTAGTCCGCGTAATGTGGATCGTGAGATCATCGTGTACGAGCCGGTGGCCCTGACGTTTCCTGCTGACTGGCGCAGCTTGCTATACTACAGAGCTGTACACGGCTAGGCGGCATTTTCTCGGTAGGGCATGCAGGACGGCAAGCCTCGCAAGGTCATTATCGAAGTCAAAGGGCGGGCGGGAAATCAGCTCAGGGTACCCAACTGAGGTTAAATGACGATGCAGTCGGCGGACAGCAAAGCTGTCCGGAATGGAATCATTCGGAGTCGACGAATGACGGTTAGGCGCAGCGGGGCACGGATGTCAATGAGCTATCGCGGGGAAGAGCGGGTCAGTCGCGGGGAATGGAATCAAAGGCAGTCCTCGCTTAGTACGTACCGTAACAATGAGGCTTGAGTAATTTGCCAGCACCTGCACCGGTTGACTATGCACAAGTGCGGTAGATGACCCAACATATCATAGGCCTTCTGTAATAGACAGCATTATCTCCGGAACACCTATCGGAAAGACGCCATCCGGTCCGTGTAGGGTCGCAGTTGGCCAGGTCATCGCAGTTGCGAGTCGCAACACTGCCCGCCCTGGAAGCTCGGCGCGACGAATGAACGATTGTTCGATAGCTTTCACCTTCACGGAGCGGGGAAACTGATTATCATTCGGGGTAAGAGGGAGAGCAGAATACAAGGAATAGCGGTGTTATCATAAGGTTGTCATGGAGGGGGGCAGAGTAGCGCCGAGAGGGCTTGCAAAGGCGATGCCGTGAGTAGCGCCGACGCGTGGCATGCCGAGACTTGCCGAGGACCCCATGCAAGAAGGAGTTATTTACTGCCGTTCGCTACTCATCTCGCACCTTCGAAGACTTTGAATAAACCAGGACGAATTACTTCAATATAACTGAGCAAATCTGGAATATATGTTCCTCTCTCGCGCGCCATATCTCAAGTACAGATGTCGCAGCACACTGCAGGTGCAACTTGAAATCAAGGAAACATTCACTCGACGGAGAGTCGGGGATACTTACCCCTGGAACCCAGTCATCTCCGAGTCGACGATGTTGGTCTGGCCCGTCACTTGCGCTGATATCGCCCGAAGCCGTTAACATCCTTCCACACCGAGTCCGACAAGGCACCGAGTGCCCAGATACCACCAGACGGGTCGTCGGGCCCGATCACGAACGCGTTCCTCAGGTTCAACGGCCCGTATCCGAACGAGTGCAGATATAGGCACGTCGCCCGCTTCGAGCCCGGATCGAGCGCCGCCGGCGTCCAGTCGATCTTCATAAAGTCCATCTCGCGCCAGTTCGTGAACGCGGCCCACGCCCCGGTCGGCTCCATGAACATCGGCATTTGCTTCGGCTTAGCGATGCGCCACTGGATGTAGTGGACCAGAGCTGCTTGCTGCGTCTGCGTTTGCAGCGTGCGCCGCACGAGGAGCGAAAGCGTCCCGAGTGAGGTGGTGGGAATCGCCGCTGCGTCGGGCATCGCGATGGAGACGCCCGCGTTGGCGTTGCGGATGTAAGTCGGCGGGATGATGGACGAGAAGTGCTTGCGGATGTTGACGAGGTACGCAACGCCGACAGGCCTGTGTCTCGTTTCGGAAGCGAACATGCACTATCATGAGGATGGCATTTAACACGCACACTTGATATCTCTGACGAGAAAGAAGCGCGTACCTTGAGCAAGAAGGCTACTATGGAATCGCTCGTGCTGATCCACTCTCCGCTCTTCTCGCTTTCTTTTGCAGCAATGTCGGCCATAGCCTGCGCTTTAATGCGCGCAACATCCTTCGCGGGAATATATACCACACGAAGGCCGCCTCTCGGTGATCGCAACCAGTCCCATATCGTGACGAGCACGAGTGTCAGCATCTGCCACAGACTAAACACCCTGAATCCGGTCGGCGGGGGAACGTCCTCTGCACATGGATACGTCTCGAAAGCGTCGTGGGTTGCTAGAGGTAGAACCTCTTCTCCCTTGAGGATACCGAGGAGAGCCAGCACGATTGCCTTCGTTCCAGACCCGTCCACCAGAGCGTGTGAGACAGAGAGTCCGACGATGGTAGCGTCATCGAAACGGGTGACGTGGAGGGCCGCGACGGGCACGTCCTTGTTCAAGAGCGCATTGGCGGAGCAGCGGGAAGGATGAGAGAAGAAATGGTGCGGGATATCGAGAGGGACGCATGAGATCGAGTCGGTGGGCTTCGGGTAGTCGAAACGAGACGCTACCGGTCCAGCGACTGTGGCGGTCGTGAAGCCGCTGCCCAATACAATCGCAGATTGCTCGATCATATGAAACTCGAGGTCTCCTGTCTATTTCAACGCAATCTTCAGTTCGGTGTTACGGATGAGAACGTGAAGGGGGCTTACGCGTCCGTTCTTCTTGAGTCTGTAAGAGAGGATGGGCCAAGCTTGGTTCAATTGAGTCCATGCCATCTTGAGTTTCAAGACATCCAGAGGAACATCGACGAGCCAGCCATTGTTCGAGATGATGTTATTCGTCGGGTTGGCCGCATCGAGACGTCCGATAGGTAGCACTGCGCGGCTGTTACAGAGCGCCATGGTTGTAAGCTGGGTTCCCCTACGAGCATCGTCGTGTTTTGTTCTGGGCTACCCACGAGCGGGCACAGACCAGCAAGCCTGAGCACGACGTAGGCGCTGAAGCGGACTGCTGACCAAGGCTCCATGTTCATGTTGCCTCCTTGTAGAAAGAGGGCTGCCCGATTAGCGACCTGCGAGCGCACAAAAGCAGGCAAATACTGTTCTGAAGGGTGGAGCGAAGTGAAGCGGCGACAGGGCGCTGGGAGAACGAAGTCAGATTGGAAGTCGAGTTGGCCTCTGTGGTAGAGCGAGGCCGAGCGAGCCAATGGGAGTTGCTGCATCTCCGATCTGATAGAACTCTTCGCCACGATGGATGGCCTATTCTGTTCGAGATCCCCATGGCGTATGAGCTTGGACATCTACACGGCCAGAAACATCACTTCGACGAAACGGCCGTCGACAGCAACCGGCTAAACCCGCCTCCGTCCGTTCTTGGAAAGGAACAGAGCACGCTCTCAGTAGTCCGTTTCTGAGATCAGGGCCTTCGAGATCAAGAACGTGGAAGTTAAGTTGGTAAAATGACACTGGCTTGGAAATTGATGTGCTGGTTTAGCAATGACGGCATGGGTGCCACTGACTTAGGGCACCGGCACCTTCCTTCGGGATGGGCAACGCCCAGCCAAAAATTCGACTCCGACATAACTTCCCACGTATAGCACTGCCATGACAATGAAGGGTACCGGACAAAGTGTCTTGTCCGACCAGGTTATGCAGTCAACCATGCCAGCTGACGTCTAGAATGGTAGAGAGACTACCGCTTAAATTTGATTCTTGAGAGAATGTTGAGAATAGAATTTCTTTCTTTGTCCTCGGAAGAGCATAAACTAACATCAGCACCGATTAAATGGGCCAAAATGGACCAAAAATAAAATCCTATCCTCGACATATTCTCTATTGGCATCCTAAAGAATATTCTAGAAGGGTTGTGCAATTTTAGAACCTTTGTGGAAGGTACGGCACTTGATGCAAGAAGAACTCTTGTTGCGGGAGTTTGAGCATCGCGAGTCAGCCACCAGATTCCAGCACAGCCACTTCACGGTGCTCTGTAGGAGGGAGCACGTAGTTTGCAGGAACCAATGGAGTTCAAAATTGATAAGATAGTAAGATATGTCATTTCGTTTATTTTGTAGAGCTTTGCCGAATTTATGACTTGGGAGAAAGGTCGAGGAATGGGGATGGACACCCAACAACGTGCACATCAAGTAGATGTGTGGCAGTGTAACCGTGGGATTGGTTACGCCTACTTCGTAGGCGTTGCCCAACCCCCACCAGATGCAAGCTGTGTGCGAAGTGACCAAAGAGTGCCGCCCACTGAAGCAGCTCCGGTCGCTACATCGAACCATCGGGTTTGCTGCAGGATTACCGTCATCTGCATCAACCTTCTCAGCAGGAGCCAAGAGCATTGCGTTCTGAAACAATTTCTCACGCGTTCCTTGACGAAGGGAGTAGTACGTACAGGCCCGTTGACCCTACGACCGAAACGGACTCAGGCTGACACGCTCGCGTTGTTCATCGCGATTCGCAGTACAAGGATGGCCAGGCTTCCCCCAGAACTCCTCATCGGCGTCGTCGACGCGCTACATGATGGGTTAACCATCCCAGACCAGCAGACACATTTCACCCTCGCCTCTCTGTGCTTAACGTCGCACTTTCTGCACGAGTTATCGATGCCGTTGCTCTACTCCGCCATACGCGTGGTACTGCCGGGTGCTTGTGAACACCTCGCTCAATCGGCCCACGTCGCGAAGTACCTGAAGACCGTCTCTATCCTTGAGCATCGCAGGCCCATGAGGGAATTCATCGCGGACATACCTGTCTTCAGCTCTCTCCTGACGCACGCGCGAAACACGCTGCGTTCCGTCACGCTCTACATACCTGTCCGCGAGTCCTGGAGCGGACAATGGTGCACCGTCGAGCAGCTCCTGCCCTTCCGCTGTGCGCTCGAGAGCCTCACTTCCATCGAGACGGTAGTCGTCTGCCGGGACGGTTTCCTGATCGACGACGAAGATTGGACAAACGGAATCGCTCGGTGCATCCTATCTCCCTCATGGAAGGGGCTTCGACGGCTCTCGCCGGGCAGTGTCGTCCTCGACGAGCCTTTCGTCACCGCGTGCTTGTCCCTTCCTCACCTAGAGACACTGTTCCTTCACAACGTCTACTCTGGCCTTAATTGGGATGCTCTCCCGGCGCTGACCAGGTTGGTCAGGGCGACCAAACCGTCACGGTCACCTGCAATCGTAGTCTACATCTGCATAACCGGTACCGAACGTGTCCGCTTTGACGTGGAAAGGGCGCAGGATTTGGCGAAACAGCACGACAACCTCCGCATTATCAATTTACAAGCTGAAACGCGTCTGATAACCGAAGACACGGACATGCACCCAGCAAGGGTCTGGGTCAGAGAAATGGCGGAGTCAGGGATGTTGTGGCAGTTGCCCGCTACAGACATCGTCTGGAATTACGACCACGTCAAGCCTGTGTGGCTGATCTGAATCGCTTTTGTTCAGCTTCAGCTTCCAAGAGACTCAGGCAAATGTAATACCAAGTAGTCGGGTCAGATTGTATATATACCGACGCGTCTCGCGGATATAAATCGAGGTGTATAAATCTCGAATCTCTCAGCAGCAACATCAAATGCAGATTCGGGGTCGTACGCCCATTCGCTTCTAGTATGACGAAGCCATGGCAGCAACATCACCTATCCTGGTCAGCAATTTGACGGACATCAAGGAGCAGCACCGCAGTCTCGCCGCCGCTATCGCAGGATGCGACAGATCGGTGACGATAGTAGAAGTTAGCACGATATCCACGAGGATGGACCGATAGTCCTTTTGCACTCAGTCCGCGATACGGCTCCTCGCATATCTCTGTGTATTCACGCATAATAAATTCACGAGAACCAACAAAAAACATGCAGCGGCAGTAGGATACGTCAAGTCCGAACCCCGTCTCTCCCCAGACAAGTCTCTTATGCCGACTTGTTCGCGAAGATCTTTTTGATGGCCTCGGTCGAGTACGACTTCGGGCGCTCGAGAGCTGCAAAGAAGCGCGTCCATTAGTGATCGAAACCCGAAGCCACAAAGTGAGAAGATACGTACGAGCACCGAGCGCACGATCCCAGATAAGCTGGGACGCGACACCGAACGCACGCGACACGCCGAACAGGACGGTGTAGAAGTTCATCTGGTCCATACCGTAGTAGGTGAGGAGCACACCCGAGTGCGCGTCGACGTTCGGCCACGGGTTCTTCGCCTTGCCGGCCTCGAGCAGGACGCCGGGGACGATGTTGTAGATCTGGGCGACGAGCTTGAACAACGGGTCGTCCGGCAGGTGCTTGAGCGCGAACTCGCGCTGGGCGGTGTAGCGCGGGTCCGTCTTGCGGAGGACGGCGTGGCCGTAGCCGGGCACGACCTGGCCGCCCTTGAGCGTCGACCACACGTACTCCTTCACCGCCTCGTCGGTCGCGTTCTCGCCAATCTTGCTCTGCATCTTGCGGAGCCAGATGAGCACCTCCTGGTTCGCGAGGCCGTGGAGCGGGCCGGCGAGACCGTTCAGCGAGGCACCGAAGGCGAGGAAGGGGTCGGAGAGCGCGGAGCCGACGAGCTTGCCGGTGTGCGCGGAGACGTTACCACCTTCGTGGTCGCTGTGGATGGTGATGTAGAGACGGAGGAGCTCGATGAAGCCCGGCTTGTCATCGAAGCCGAGGAGGGTGGCGAGGTTGTGCGAGTAATCCTTGGTGGGGTCGATCGCAGGGAGCTTGCCGCCACCATAGACATTACGGAAGATGCGGCCGGCGATGTTCGGAAGCTTGGCAATGCTAAACAGCCGCGTTAACTACAGCACCAAGACAGTTTCGTGTATAAACATACAGGTCCATGGCATCCTCGAAGGTGGGTCCCCAGTACTCCTTCTTGGAGATGCCGTTCTGATAGGCTTTCGCGAACGCGGAGTTGTGGTTGAGCTGTGAACAAATAGCCATCAGTACGTACTCGGTGATGAGTTGAGCATGCGAGCAAACCCACCGCAGTGACAGCCATGCTGAACTGGCTCATGGGGTGAAGGGTAGGAGGGCAGCGGTCAATGATGTCTTCGACGAAGTCGGGAATGGCGGCGCGGGCAGCCCAGTCCTTGGAGAGTTCAGTGACCTGCTCCGCGGTCGGGATCTCGCCGGTAACGAGAAGCCAGAAGAGACCCTCAGGGAGAGGCTCCTGTCCGCCGGGGGCCTTGGGGAGGGCTTCTTGAATTTCGGGGATGGTCTTGCCACGGAAGCGAATACCCTCCTCTGCGTCATATCAGATAAGGACTTATGAATCGTGCGGGGTAGATAGAAGCACACGAACCAGCGTCAAGCACGGAACCGTCCCAAATCAGGGCGGGAAGTCCACGCATACCACTGACAAACGTCAGTATCCACGGCACAGGAGGTAGTATTTTATTGAGGTCACCCGTAGAGTTGATCAACGAGAACGGGGCCAAAAGACTTCTTGCCGTGTTCCGCGCGAGCGGCTTTGACCTGTGACGCGACGTATGAGGACGACATTCCCCTGCACATTCAGGATGCATTCTTACATTCTCAAGCTCCTTGGGAATGAGCTCCGCAAGCCTCTCTTTGAGAGTGGCAGCCTTCAAGGCCGGCGCGGTGGACGCGAACCCACGGCGAGAAGATGCGATGCCGGACCGCGCAACAGACTGTGTGTGATCGAGAGACGGGTTAGCCTATATTCCCCGCTACCGTGCACACAGTCTAGAGAGCGTAGCGACCCGTACCTTTTGGACGGCGGAGCGGAGGGCAGCCATGGCTGGATGTGGTCGGGATGGAAGAGAACAGAGTCGAGAGTCGATGACCGCAAGGCGGGGTACTTCGGGACCCAAAATGCACACGACCGTGGGAAGAACGCGTTCCGCTTTCCCCCACCCTTTACGACATCTATGATCCGTCGACCATCTGCTGCTTGCGTCCGAGCCTGCCGGGCCCGACCAACGCCGTGCGCTAGAATTCATTCGCGCGGCCGTAACGAACTCTCACCGCCTCGTCTTTCGTCGCCGGAAGGATAAGCCACGGACGCTCTTGCATAGGCATCTCAGGACTGAATCCTGCGATGGCGTGTCCGCTTTTCATCTCATTTAACAAGGACATACTTAAAGGAACTACAGAAACCGTACCAATACAACGTACGCGGCGTTTAAAGGACATACATGGATGTCATGCTACGAAATACAGCTCATCATCCGGCTAAGCTCGTGGAGTTCGTGGGCTACTGCAGCGAGCAGGTTCCAGTAGGCACCAGACGCAGCCAGGGACTCGGAAACTCCTCAGCATGCTGGTCATTCCATGCCACTGCTCCCTCCGGAAGGTGCCATAGCATCCCGCCCTCCGCCATCTCTCTGACCCAAACTTGCCCCGTAACTCGGTCGTTGAACTCCTTCGGAAGCTCGATGAGGCGAAGGTTCGCGTGCGATATGGCCAAGTCCCGCACGGGCTGCATCCATTCGCTGGATAAAACCTCTGGGGAATCGCAAAGGTAGATGTCGATGGCGCGGGAGTTCTTCCGGACCAACTCTCCCAAAGCCGTGAAATTCAATGGCAGACCAAATTTGGGGGTGCGAAGAAATAACACCTCGAGCGATGGATGGGCCAGACAAACGTTCGCGAATTGTGCCTGAATTGAGGCATATCGCAGCGAAAGACGTCGGACTCCAGACCAGGGTGCACTTTCCAAACTTTGACATACCCTGTCTGTGCTGTGGGTTTCGGGGAAATTGAGCGAATCCTGGCAACTGACGATGGTCTCGATAGACGGGAGGTCGTCGAGAGCATTGCGCAAATTTCGCAATTCCAAGCGATCGCCATACAGCTCTCTTGTTAGATCCAGGGGTACATCCAAGATGACGGTCCGTAACGTCTCCCGTGCGTGAACAAGAAGTTCACTCACGCCGAGGATCTCCTTGAGGAACTGGTCCAAATGTTCACAGCGCTCGGATATGGTTATGGTCCTGAGATGCTTTGATACGTGCGGGGACCGAACGAGACTATCGACGCAGGTTCTGGGTAAAACCACGCGAATGGAGGAGTACAGCAATGAGATGGCCAAGTCGGAGACAAAGCGTGACGTTGTGCATAGAGAGGCCAGAGTAGATCGTGTGAGAGGGTCGGGGATGAAAGTGCCGTCATGGACGGCCCTCACGATCTCTATTATGAGCTCCGGAGGTAGTCTCGTCATCCTGTGAAGCAGGGCGAGCGCGCGCGTGCGGCGGTGTTTCTGTATCTAGTGAGAGCGATTGGAGACAGTCTCAAAAAGTGGCCGCTCGTCCAACTCACAGTTATTTAACGTGGTATCGAACAACGCTGGTGGTTGCTAGCTTGAAGTCGCACGCACAGCTAATCAAGCATCGGTTAGCGTGAGATTACGGAGATCCGCAGGCCGTTCAAGCGCCAAATGACAGTGAGATCTGTGCTGCCTAATCGATATGCTGACGGATCACTAGACCCTGCTCTTGCGGAAAAAATACCGTACAGAAATCATCATATCACCGGATCGTGAACGTCTTTTTCGCTTGTTCACGAACGCAAGGCACGATGCAACGGACTTTAATGACAATAGTACCTGGATTGATACACGTCAACGGGGAAACGACATCTCGTCGCAATCTCTGCTGGCTGAGTATGGGCTTGCACGTATATTTGGCGAGCGCGAGACCCAGCATGGACCGCGCCGAAGGAAATACCGGACGGTAAGATCAATTCATCGCGCCGGCGACAGTGTGATACACGGGCGCTGACATCATCCCAGGCGCACTTGCTCACTACTCCGTTGGGAATGTTTCCCTTCTTAAAAATGTGTACGTCCTCAGGGCTTGATTTGACTACTATATAAGAAACGATAACGACCTGCCACGGGGAATTGCTTTATTTTGCACCATGAGAAGGGATTGTCAAGAACAGTGTCCATCCCTCTAAACAGAGTCGTTAACCTGTAAGTAATTCTACTGCATGCCACGTACCTCCATCTCCAAATCATAGAGAAATGCGCTGGCTAAGGAGCAGCGCCTCCTTGCATAATGTTCATTGGGAAAACATGGCACACAAGGTATTAATAATACCAAATCCTTCTTCACTCGTTCGCGAATACAAAGTACGAGGCGATCAAGTGCAACAACGGAAGAACTACACGCAGGGCAACGACAGCTTATTGCAATCTCCTTTAATCAAGGCATGGTCATTAGCCCATCTGCCCGAGTCAGAAGCATGCCACGCACCGACCCAATGATCGGCCAAAACCGCCTTCGGACCTTTGTTTTCACTCTGGCCGCAAGTCCCATAGTTTCCCAGTTTCCGCCAACTCTCTAACCCAAGTCTGTGATTCATTGATATCACCCGTGTATTGAAGCGGCGTCGGTACGATGCGGAGGTTTGCATTTTGACTAGCTAGTTGGTGTATGGGGCGGAGGTCGATCCGCTCGAGTACGTGCGGGTAGTCACAAATGTAGACGATTTGGAGCCTTAATCCCGACACATTGGTGGATGTCACTATCCTAGTTAAGCCCACCAAATGACGTTGATGGTCGGCGTTGTGATTGATGACAATTTCCAGGGAGGGAAGGGATAAGCATATGTCGGCTAAGTTGGTATCGAACGATCGGTTGTAGAACGAAACACGGCGAAGTGAAGTCCATTGCGACCAGGTGACCTGAAATGATGTACCTGTTTCGTCCTCCCGATGTAGGAATAATTCGTCTTGACAGCTCACCGCTGTCTCTATATTTGGGATATTCTCAAGTGCGCGTCGAAGGAATTGTTTGACATCTCGAGGGTCTTCCTCTGGCCATACCCAACGTAGCGACAGATCCAGAATGATGGTGCGTAAGTTCTGTCGGGCGTTATCGAGGAGGGAGCAAAGAACAGGTATGTGCTCGAGGAAGCGTGGATCCCATGTCTTGTGGTAACCCACGGAAATGCTCCGGAGATGCTGCGATACATATGGAGAGCGAGATAGTTCTTCGCATGCGCCAGGTAAGTCGATCCGGATTGAGGAGTAAAGCAAGGGAACAGCGAGCTCGTGAAGGTAATGCGACGTCAAGCACAGAGACAGGAGAGCGCGGCGTGTCGGTGGATCCGGAAAATATACGGCGTTATGGAGATTGCGGACGACTTCGATGAAAAGCTCGGGAGGAAGCGTGGTCATCATAACATATCTGCAGTGGAAAACACTCCAAATGAGCGAGTGGCAATGTCAATACAGCACAGCAACGTGCCAATGATAGTAGATATGGTGTACTCTTTCGATATTGCGGTCGTCGAGAGTTTAGATGCGTGTTAGGAGTCGATAGCTCCTGGCTCCTCGATGGCGGAGGTGGTGGATCTGCCAGCGAACGGTCTCCGAGGTGGTATAAGATGGAAACGCCGTGGCCTGAATCGATACCTTGGGACTGGATCCCGGTGTCTCCTTTGCACCGGTCTCATCGGCTGCTTTATGGGATACCGCGAAGGCAGCGCGGGAACACGCATCACTGCGGATTCGGAGAAAGTGTACAGCTCTTCGCACTTCGCGCCAATGTTTCCTCAATTGTGACTGAGACAGTGCGGGAACATCTATGTATGACCGAAGTGGAACCTCGAGGAAATCAAGCGGTCACCCCGCAAACACCTGCTCCACGAACTCATCGAATCTACAAAATCGTCAGGATCTGTTCACGTAGTCAATGATATAGTATTCACCACGAGTAGGATTCTAGACGGTTTCCTCATGACTCGTGTGTTTAGCCTGAAGGGAGTACCAGGTATAAAGTGTTCACTCAACGTCCGGGAAAGGACGGTTCCTGAAATCCACATCGAGGTCTATGCAGACCATGTCTTCGTCATTCATGGTATAACCTCGGACATTGATGCGATAGAGCGCTATGTTATAGTGAGAATGCTAGTAAGCCGGAGCGGTGGCCGAGACTCACCATTGGGTATCTCTTTCGGAAGAGTCACAGTTTGGTTGACAATATGCCGGCCTTCATCGATGGGACACTGAATAGAGGCGTTGGCATTCCTACTGAGCCAGGATGAGATTGGCATCGGGAAATCATGAGATCGTGAGTGACTTGCGCTTCCTCGCATAAATCGTAGCGCTTCTGCAAGACTCTAAGGGGGCCAATCTTCACCGTCACATCTGCAAAAGCTCCGTCCTAAGATGTACGTCATTCAATCTGATACACTGGAAACGAGATCGCACATATTGGGCTAACCTCAACAACTTCCCCTGCATTCCCGGTGACCTCGATGGAAAGATCCTTTCCTTTCTCCGGAGGATCGGGAGATACCTCGATTGATTCGATTCTTACGACATCGGTAGATGAGCCTTCATCTTTGTAGTAAGCATGGTACATGGAGTTTGATAAGGTATTCTTGACAGCGTACCGCAGTCTAGCCAGCGCCAGCTGGTCTTCGCCCGGACGACGGTGGCAGACAAACTCTCCTGCTTAACGGATGTGAGGATCGTCTGCTCAGCAAGTGTCGCATTCGCAGAGCAGGCGAGCCCCATGAAAAACATCGCTAGTGCGAGTAAAGCGAGCCGGGGCATGGTGGTTCAGAGATAAGATGGCCCTCTGCCGTTTGAGGCTAGAACAACGTCACTATCGTTCACATTCGGCCTACACATGTGCCGCATCACACTGCGCAGTCCCGTTGGATCGTGTTGAGCGTCGAGCGCTGAGACCTGTGATTCGACCAACCATGGGGACAGTACTGTCATCAGTATAGACATCAGATAGAGGACGCTCGTTGGCTGCATTTTTAGAATCTGGCTGCGAACAACAGGTCGCGATAGCGTTTCATGGTATTATCGCAGCGAACTCGACAGTATGACCACGCGCGAATATACTGCAAGAGCAACAGCCACGCCGAAGATGGGACAAGGAGCGGACGGCGATACAGCGTGCTTGAAACCGGTGAATCTCGGAAGGTCGTTCTCAGTCAGTATGGCGATCATGAGAAGAACTTCATTGGAACAGACCTAAGTGTTGCTAACGCTGAATACGAGTCTACAACATTCACCGTCGTGCTTGCCGCGAGACTTGCCAGCGAAGATCATTCCCAGTCATCGTCATTGGCAAAGGACAGAAAGACATAACCGTGTGAATATCATCTTCAGGCTTCCGCGCTTGCACCTCCCAGTACTCGCGCCATCCATCTATCTTCCAGAGGGACAGTGTAATCGTATAGCATGCCCATCCCAATCACGGTCTTTACCGGCTTTCTCGGCGCAGGGAAGACGAGCATCATCACCGGCATCGCAAAGCAGCTGCCGCCGGATTACAAGCTCGTCCTCCTCAAGAACGAGTTCGGCGATGTCCAGGTCGACAGCGAGCTCGCGAAGCAATCGAGCCTGCTTGCGGTTAGCGAGATCACCAATGGCTGTATGTGAGCTTGCTACTCTAAGATGTACTCGGAGCTGGCTTGATGCACGTTGCAGGTGCTGTGTCCTCGTCGGCCAGATGAAGACGGCCTTGCTGGAGATACGGGGTACGCAGCAATCAGTTTACGAAGCCATACATATGCTTATATTTCACACTCTTGAACAGAGAAGTACCGCCCCGACCGGATCATCATAGAATGCTCGTCCGTCCGTTCTTGCACTCCTCCTGGAGGGAGAGAAAACTCACATTGCCCCGTTCTTGTCGGTTCAGCGGTTCTGCCTTCCCTGCGACCCTGGCCTTCCAGATACGTGAACTAGAAAGGGAAACGGAAGGCGACCTCAAACTCGACGCGATCGTGACTGTCATCGATGCCGAAAATTTCGTCGGATACGAAGATACCTCGCCGACCGCGAAGATGCAGGCGAGCTACACGGACGTGATTCTCGTCGTACGTCACTTTCGATTCTTCTCCTCGCATATGTGCACGTTCGTATGTTGATATCGATTCTGGCAGAACAAGTCCGAGCACGTCTCCGAGCGGCAACTGGACATCGTGATGGACTACCTCCACACGCTCAACGACCTCACGCCGAAAATCCGCACCGTGGGCCGATCCGTGGACCCCAACCTGATTTTTGGTCTCGACACCAAGCTGTTCTCCGAAACCGAGAGCCAAAAGACGCCGTTCGCGATGGAGGCCACCCACAACGACGAAGTCGAGACCGTGACGATCTATCGCGGCGACGCCTCCAATCTCCCGGGACACGCGCACCAGCACGACGACCAGTGCAGCTGTTCGGCCACAGCTTCGGAAGCGGAAGGCCGCGCAGTGGGTTCTCGTGCTTCCCTGAGCGAGAAGACGCTGTTGGACGCGTTGTCCTCGGTGTCCAAAGAGACGGTCTGGCGCGTGAAGGGCTTCGTTCTCCTCGAAAGCGGCCGGCACATCTTGAATTGGGCATTCGGGCGATATGATCTCATCTTGATGAAGGATGACACTACCACTACTGATCGCGAAGCTGGCGTCATCGTGAAATTGACCGTCATGGGCGAACGGGGCGAGGTGAAGCGCGCTTCACGCAAGCTCGCGGCCGCTCTAGAAGCCGATCTTGTGTAGAATGCACAATATTCGTATCGCGGTTGTATATCTAGATCGCTCAGTGCTTGTACAGTTGAGTTGTATGCCTCCGACAAGTCTTAGACTATTTCCGTGCCCAGACTCTAGATAAGGTGGTCAGGCACCAGGAAGCGAGATGATGTTTTTCCACGCCCGTTGATCACAGCGGGAGGCAAAAATCACAAGCCAATCTGTTTCTCTTGTCCTCAGCTTTTCGTCGTCGGCATTGTCTCTTGCTCGTCGTCGGGCACGATGACCATGCTTTCCTACGTCTTCAACTCTGGTGCGCTCGGCAAGCCGCGTCGAGGGAAATCGTACTGACGGCTCACGCAGCAACCTCGTACTTCTCCTACCTCCCTGATAACGACGAGGAGGATGACAACTTCGTCCCGGCGCACTCAAGGCGGATATCCTGGGCGCCAGCCAATGAACCTGTCATGGGCGCAAAACGACCACAATCGTTGAAGGAGGAACACGCGATCATAAACCAGGTCAACTCTGAACACGATCTGTAAGTGCTCAGCTATCGGACCATGACACGTTTCGCTCATATCGTTCGATTGCAGTTACAAGATCCTCGGCCTGCCTCGGACGGCTGATATTGACAAAATCACACTACGCAGAGCATATTTATCTCGAAGTAAAGCCTGTCATCCCGAGTGAGTCGTTTATCACAAGAAAATAAGCAGGACTCACGCATCTGTGCTTGCATAGCAAGTTCCCGGACAACCCTGAGGCGACACAGGCGTTTCAAAAGGTGTCCGTTGCATACGACGTTCTCTCGAAGCCGTCCTCGAAACGGATATACGACGCCCGCCCGCCTTCCGCCGATTACGACTTTTTCGCCACCCGACCGTACGGCCATGCAGACCAGACGTTCCGGAGCGTAGTCGTCGGTGTGTTCAACGAATTTCTCGACGGGGACCTGGAAATGGTCCGCACCCTCCTCAGTAAGCCACTTCCCCCTACCAGACCGATTCCCTTCCACCCTAACTTTCTCATCACCTTACAGAATCCGTCAACGACCTCAACCCAGGCCTGCGCCTCGGTGAAGACAGCATCGACGCCGTTCTCGAATCGCTGCACTCCATCCGCAAGCGCGCGCTCACATGCCGCATCCTCGTCCTTGCCCTCCACACCGAGCTCTCCAAGCTGCTCGACATCCAATACGCCTTCCGCAAACTCGGCTACCTCGAGATCCGCCGGCGCTCGCGTCTCAGCCTCGAGCTTGCCCGCGTCACTCTTACGCTCCCCATCGCGCTCGAGACGGCGCTGCAGCAGGAACGTCGGCGGGGTCAGCGCCACGACCGACTGGACGCGAACGGTGACGCGGACCAGGGCGCGGTCGACGAGGGTGCGCTGCTGCTTCCAAGGAAGTTGAATCGCCTAATCCGCGCGATGGCCGTCGTGCTCGAGCGCATGGAAAACGTGCTACCCCAGATAGATAGATAGAGGGCGGTGTCTTCCCCGTTGGCTTGCTCACTCTTCTCAACTTGCAGGTTCTCTCTTTGGGGGTCTCATCTATTAATCTATGGTCACTCACGATCAGCAACATATGTACTGCTAGCATAGATTTTATAGACTTTTCCGTAGCGTATATATGCACACCACTGCTCTTGTTCGTGCTCGTTTCGTAGTTCCATATGTATGTCTTATTCGTATACACGCATGATACCGAGGGTATCGACTTGTCTCGTCTTAATTATATAATTGTTCACGGATTGGGCATATGGTGACCCGCAGGTCAAATCCTCGCACGATTAATGCTCGTCATTGACTGGCGTTGAATGACAGTCAATACGGCGACAATCGTACTCACCATAGAGATCGAATCATTCGCCCTCGATCACCCCAACGAATTGAGTGCGCTCATCCATGAGCTCCTCCCGAATCCGCTCCGCGTCCTCTGGCGCTATCGCATGGCTGTAGTCCAAAATTATGTGGATGATTCGACGGGCAGCCTCCCCCACAGCGACCTCGGGTCTGTCGCAGCCCTCCTGACGACGCGGTGTATCCAGTCCTTCCTCTGTACGGGGATCGTGGAAGCGCTCGGCACGGTTACGGTGGGGTCGACAAGGAAGAAAACCAAGATCTTGCGGTAGCCCGGCTTCGTTCGGTCGATGAGCTCAAAGTCCCCTACGCGGTGCTGGTAGATATTCGGAAACGCGACGGCGCGCCCTTGCTTCGTCGGAACCTCGCCGATCTCCTGAGAGGTAGCTTCCCATCTGGATAGCGTGTGGATGACCAGTGATACCGCGAATCGTTTAGAAGGACACGCACTGGCTGTAACCGTACAGTACGCGCATGCATGAAACGTCGCCATTCTGATGCTCCGCCGGTTCCGATGTTGCATTCCTAAAAGCAAGGCGAGATTGTGTGATGTTCTCGCAGTCGTAGTACTTGCGAATGAGCCCTTAGCTGCGCAGACGCGTCTTAAGAAGAGCGAGGCTCACGTATACGAAGGAGGCGACGATGCTTTCGTTCTTCATGCCTAAAATGACGCAATGACAAGCGTGTACACGGACCACGGTACAGATACCGACACTGCACGCTCAGGGAAGGAGCGACGATAATACAACTAGTACCCACAGACAGAGAGTAGTGGATACCGAGACCTGGCTGTCGGACAGTAGTGGAAGTATCAAGAAGAGGGAAAGAGAGTCAGGCAAAACAGAAGACCACTATCTAGCAATGGCTAGCCCTCTGCTGCGCTTAAGGGGTGTCGGGAATCTGGACGATTTGAAGTGCCTATTGAACGTGTGTTGAGCGACGATGAAGTAGAACGGTCACCAAGAGGGGCGGCGCTCACGATGCGAAAAGAGTTGCCGAAGGTTTCATCAAAGACGCCCGAGTCGCCCGTCAGGATAATGGCGTCATCGGTCAGGTAGTACACGATCTCCGTAGTGGGCTCGCCTGTACCCAAAAAGTGGATTGCAACGGAGGATGACGACGCAGGCGGCATGAGACCGGGAACATTACTTACTGTGATTAGTGTTGCTCCATTGCGCTGTGAGCAGGCCCGTGAGGTAGTCGTACGTCCAAATGGGGCTCTGAAAGAGGGTCGGGGGGAGCCCAGTCGCCTCGGTGACCGAGTTCGTTCCATTGCCAGATCCGATGAAGACACCACCGAGGTATGCATAATTATATGAGCCCAGGGCAAAGTCAGGTGAGGTGGAGGCGTAGCCAAGGACACCACCGAGGTAAGGGAAGAGCCCCTTGGAAATTTCAGCTAACAATGCACAGAAAGAGCGGGGACGCGAATTTGAGTGGGGTGTGGTAAGCAGAAAGTACGTACGGCGATCGCAATATTAGAATACTCGTTGATTTCTGCCGGGCTACCGATCATTGCGAGAGCTTCGGCGGGGTCGGACGTGACTCCATACTCTCCATACACGTTCAACGTCGACCCGACGTATCCGAGCACGTCACCATTGGCAGCGTTGTCCACACGGATCGCATAGGACACCGACGACCCCTGACGCTTCGCCTCTGCAGTAAGAACCACACGTCAGGTCTCGACCTTTGGGTGTTGGCGTCGGAGTGGGCGGGACAAGACGAACGCAGAGTGGGGGATGCGCGGCGGGGCTTCTTGAGTGGCCTGCCCTGCGCAAGTCGCTCGATATTGGTGCGCGGGAAGGCGGGGCGGGCGACGACAGCAGGCCCGGGGTGGATGAGCGAGAGCGGCGGGTTAACCTCTGGCTTGGAGAGAGACGCAACGGTGTCTGAGCCGGCAGCGATGGTGACACCGACGGCGAGCGCAAGCGCTAGGAGGACCGGAGTGACCTTCATTATAGCCGAATTCGTGCGTATAATGGGGGGCATAGCGAACCAATGCTCCAGTATAAGTACGTTTCCTCGTGGGCAGCGTACAACGGGGATTGAGGATGCGAGGCAGGGTTCATGCCTGGTTAGATGGACTCGTCTTCGTCTGGAAACGCATTGCCAAAGGTAGGCCGCCAGGAATTGTTCTGTTCGATACATTCGTTCCAGTCTCGTTATACGAATGCGATTTTTGCACAGAATGAGTTCACGTGTACATGAATAGTTGGCGGTACTGTCTTCCCCTCGGTATCGGAAGCGAACGTTCGCGATGGCTGGTTCCATTGTCGGAGTGCCATCATCATCGAGATTCGATAGGTATGCGCCCGCTTGCATTCAGGTCCCGTCATGGACGAGCGGATATGTTGCTGAGTACTTAAGGACGAGGTCTTGCCCCAACGGCGCACCCGGATCCGTCTGGTGCTGATAGTCGGCGATGGCCTGGCCACGAACTTCGCGTGTGGAACGGGCGGGCGCAGAGGGGTGGGCATCGTCCTCGAATGCACTATGACGGGGTAATGGCCCTGGCCCACATCTATGGACATGGCGCAGCTTCCGGTGAAGCGTTGTCTATGCATCGTCGAAGTGTATTCATGTATTCAGGTTCGTACACGAAGATAGCGCCGTCGCCCACAACCTGCGGACAGCCCATGGCCTCGAGGAGGCGCAGGAGGAACATCGGGCAAGCGCCGTGCTCGATGTTCATCGAGCACGCGTACTCCACATACCGGAGCAAGCGCTTGCTTTCAGGATCCACGGCGTCGCGGGATGTCTCGGCGGTCACTGAGGCGGCACGTTCGCAGTCGGCGCGAGCTCCATATCGGGGCCATGGAAGGTACTAGCGTCCTGTTCCACTAACTGGATGTTGAACGCTGCGAGATCGTCTACCCCCCATTCTCGCGGCACCTTCGAGGTCGCCTGAGGGAATGGGCCAGGTGCGGGCGAGTTGTAGCAAGGCCCTCGCGCATGGTTAAGACGGGTGGTGGCAAGGAGCATCGGATACTGGGCTCAATGCGCTGGTATATGGTATTGTCAGGTTGCGGTTGGATTACGATCGGTTGGGGGGAAACGCCTCGCTCGCGTTGCTCCGGGCTGCTTCTTCCAGTATCTCGCATTCGTAGTGGGATCGTATCGGACGGTGGCCGAACGATCATCCCGCTACAGGATGGCTCGATACGAGGTACTGTGATGACAATGGGAGGAGGTAATGGTGGATGCGGGCAAGGAGTCCATCGCGTCCGCATCGGGTCTCTCCGAATCAGACGACGGAAAAGTCATGGATATGAAGAGAGTACTGTTTAGTCAATAGGCCAGTGAATGCATACCTTATCTGAAGGATATAGCTCAGTGAAGATCCGTTCCCATTAGCTTTTTGTTCTGCATCGGCTTCAGGAGCAGACCAGCGACCCGAGAACATTGCACGCTTTGGACACGGTGATGATAAAATTCGGCTTGGTATGTAGGTAGGCATTTTGCCGAGCACGATCCCTATGCATGAACTGCCCTGAATTTCGTGGCTTTCGTGGATCGCGTAAGCGGACACACCGCTACGCACCGGCCTTGGAATCAGCGTGAGTCGTAACAGGGATCCTTGCAGGTCTTCAATGTCGCACGAGGCGAGTTGTGACATGAGCCTTGAACTGGTGAGCGATTGGTCCGTCGAGCGTTTGCAAGGCATAAGTCTGGGTATTTTGAGCGCACTCTATGTGCTGGTAAAGCGGCTTGGATTGATTCCGACTCCCCCCGTAAGGGGAAGGAGTTGGTTTTTTTTCCGTACTGGACTCAGTCACAGTGACACCCCTTGTGACCCCGCCAAAACGTTACAAAAGCGTGATAAAGCGTGATGGCTCCGCGGAAATCGGACAGCTGGGCGCTCGAATTAATCTGGCCGCAGCAGCGTGACAAAGTGAGTGCGAGAGTGCTTAGATCATGTATTGGGATCAGCTGTAAATCTGATCAAGGAGCTCGCCGAGGTGCCGATGGTTACATTTCTGTTGATACTGGTCAGTTACGTAGTTGTTACCTCTACTGCGCATTTTCGACTCTGCGTAATGACACTTTCCGTCTTTGGACTTGGGATGGGCGCTTACGTAGGAATGACGGTGCATAGTTGAAACTTCGAGCCACGCGTGACCTATGCCTTCTGATCCGATGTAATCTCCGCCCGAATGTAACCAATCAGGTTGGACGGGGGAGTCGGAATGAGGCGCTTGCCGCCCCCTTACTCACGTTCAGAGATTGAGGATGTCCGCGCTACGCATGTGACCATCGCGACGCGTCGTGCGCTACACAGCCCAATACGACCAACGCAATATTTCTTGAACACTGCAAGGATGGTGAGAACGTAGTGAGACTAAACCACTGTCTGGGTATATATGCGGTCGATCATGTCGCGCGCTGTGCCTAGTCACTGTGGCAAGCGGATAACACCGTCTTAACGTTTGCTTATGCTCGATGCTATATATCTATATATTCGCGATGCTTTCCTCCGTCTTGCTATGAATACGAAATTGACCTTAGGAAAAAGCTCGCGCGCCATCTGCACTATCAATCTCTTGCTTGAGAGTCTGATGGAGGCCGTTATTAATTGTGAATAGCGTCGAGCGTCAAGTCTTGAGCACAGGAATCAATAATTCAGGAATGGCAACACAAGTGCGTCCATTTGATATCTTGCTCGCGTTCGACTCCTGAACCTCACAAGATGAAAGAAAACAGTGGCATTACGCAGTAAGGACTGAAAGGTCAAGCCGAGGTGGGCAAGTAACGATATGATAATAACTAATTCACATAACCGTCACAGAGACCCAAGCCGCTTCACACCTGAAGTGACAGAGTATGGTCGAGCGCTTGAACCGTGTTACAGGGTCGCAGGAGCTCAGAGATCACCGGCGAAGGCGCGGCGATCCGCCCAGGGGTTGCCGTGACCGCAAATGGAGCAGAGACTGAATCTCTCATCAGCATCAAAAGCCAACGCGCGACTATAAGCGGTCTGCTCACATGGTGATATCCGCAGGTGCTGTCGAATTGCTGATACCGCGCGTCCAGAACGAAGGCGCGTCCTCGGGGTCGGCGTCCACGGCCGCAATCGGCGCGGCGACACCCTCCGTCTTCGCGGCGTTGTACTAGGAGTCGGTCAGCCGGGTTCCGGTGAAGAACTAGAAAGCTGGTCACGCACGTGGTTCTTGACGATCGCGCCGTTGGTGAGAGCCGCACGGTCGAGCGGACGGATGTAAGCGACGCCGGCAAGGTGGCCAGCGGCAGTTTGTGCAAACTCCTTGAGAAACGAGCCAGAGGAGGTGGCCGCGCCGAGGGCGGTACGAGCGGCGAGCGCGTCGCTCGTGGCGGAGCCGAGGTCGAGCGGGAGAAGGTCACCCGTCGGCGTGATGCGGTAGTTGTACGGAACCCCTTCAGACTTGACCGCGCTGTACTCAGCGATCTCGACGTGCGTGGCCGTGGCGTTTCCCGTCTGGAACGCAACCTGTCCCGGCGCGAGGGTCATGTGGTTATGCACGCCGACCACACCAAAAGCCTGATCACCGAAAAATGATGAGACAGAGCGAAGAAAAATCGAGTGAGCCAGTGCGCACCGAGGTGAGGTCATACTTCTCGAGGATGTCCAGGAGCTGGGTGGCAATCTCTGTCGTGAGGTCGGTGGGTTCGGCCGTAAGACCGTCAAGGTTGTTCACGGAATACGCGCCCTACGGATCATGTCAATACCATGAGAAATCGGAGAATATCGCGAGTCCCTACCTCATGAGGAACGATGGGCGTGACCAATGAAAACGACCCGACGGCGAGGGAGATGGTGATAGCCAGAGACTTGAACATGTCGAAAGGGGTAGATGGTGAATGTCTCGTAAGAAGGTGGACTCAGAGATAGAACTGGAGCGAGAAAGCTCGGAATTCTGAGGATGGATGAGGACAGCGGGATGCCTTTTATACCTACAGACGGGCCATTCATTTTCAGGGACTTATGCCTCGAGCAGACTGCTACCACCTACTGGAGGACTTTCCATATGGATTTAGAGGGTGTTCTTGTCTTCAAGTCCCACGAGCCGTGATGCTGTGATGATGCCGGTATGATATCGGGTCCTTTGGCAGGCTTGCTGCGCCGCGTCGCAATCAACCTAACAAGAGGGAGGCGAATCAACCCCGTGCCTAAATGTATAACACCGATTTCCAGTCGTCTTGACAATCGCCGGGCGACGAGAGCAGGCCCTAGGCAATGTAAGTGTTGCACATAGTAGCACATACATGTGCCCACATGGACATTCGTACCGGTCTTGAACGTTGAACGTTGCAGCTTGAAGTGGCTGTATGATAACTCAGCGAAACCGCAGCTCACTAGGGTCATCGTCGGCTGTACGTTCCGATGATCCCATAGGCGCCGCTATGCTATGCAAGAACAACCAGAAGACTGTACGCATCGGTAGTTACATTATACTGCGGGGAAAAAATTATTGCTCGTTTTCGACATCACTGTTCAATCGAAGGTGATGTCCGTGCCACGTGCATCTAGATGCGCCTCAAGTTTAGGTGACGCACCTTGGCTCGTCCCGACAAACTCAAGCTTTACTCCCTGGGATCCAGTGAAACTATCGCCTTCATTCCATCTCGCGTCCCTGCCGCTGGATTCCATTGCATTCAAGGCCGATATCCGTCACGCGCGCCCCTGGGATCAACCCGGCGCCAAATTTCCGTGGATTCCATCAAACAGCTGGTTGGGCGTGTAGCAACAAGTGTTGGTTCCGCCGAGCGGGGTCCCTATCAAAATCAGCGGCGAACCTGATTAAGATGCCGGGTTTATGTGCACTGATGCAAGTGCCATCGTCCTGGAAGCTGGAAGACTCGTCCTGCTTGCGACTGCACGAATCGTGTACGGGCAGCGCGGCAACCAGTTGTTCCGCTATTGCCAAAAGTCGCTAGCAACGTACTCAAGTGCCTAACATATGAGTTGACGCGCTCGGTCGGCTTCCAGTAGAACTACAGTCACATCTCCCTCCCCATGTCTGCAACCTACAGGTCCATCGCAATCCTGGGCGCGTCTGGAAACGTCGGTCAAGAGCTCCTAGCGGCTCTAGCCTTGCATCCTCGTTTTAGCGAACTCGAATTACGCGTGCTCACCCGCAATTCCACCATCGCCCTCGACGGAAAACTCCCTTGGCTCAACCTCTCGACGTACACCATCGATTACGACTCCGACGATGTCGATGCGCAGCTCGCCAATGCGCTTCGCGGCGTTGAGGTCGTCGTTAGCGTGGTGGGCGATGACTCTGGACTCGGGTCCAAGGATGTGCCCCACACAGGTCATCTCCCTGGCTTTCAGGCTCAAGAGAAGGTTGCCCGTGCGGCCAAGACCGCCGGCATCTCTCTCTTCGTTCCTGCGTACGTTCTCGTCGCCAATCTTCTATCATCGTCACTCATCGTCATGCCTGACTCAAGAGAGTACGGCTATCCTACTCATACAATTGATCCAGATGCATCGCACTTCCTCGTCGGAAAGCGATTGTTCTTAGATACTTTGAACGAGCTTCAGATACCTTAGTGTGTACTTCATGCACCTCCTCTGTAGTATTGCCATTTACGCGATGAATGTAGTTTGCTTCTTTACACGGTAGGACTGTCGCGATGCCGCTGCTTTGCTCTGCTAAACCACGTTCGCATGCGTAGGGTTCATTCCCCAAAATCGAGCCGTACGTCCGTTCATGAGATTGGACTCCTGGGCTCAAAGAGCAAACACCTTCTTTTGCAGACCCCGTAGTTCGTTGCCGGATTGCACGCCAGAGACGCCGAAGGGGTCTCCCCCTTTCGAAACCACACGCTTTCACCTAGCGGCTTATCTGGCGCGTCTTATCCTCGATCGCGGTGCACCCGGTATCTATCGTATCTTGGGTGTCAAGAGGGACCGGCTGGCAACCGTTGATGGAAAGGAGACCTGGGTCCTGGATGAGGGCGAAGGGCTGAAGGTGTCTGGAGAAGCCTAGGAGCAGCGCGATTGGACAGGCTCGAAATGCTTGCACGATATTCTGCAACACACGCAACCCCGCTTATGCCTGCGATGGGTATGTAGCAAAGCAAGCGTGTAGCTATACCGTGTAGTCTCGAATATTTGTTCGCGTTTGGACGTACTATGGACCCACCTGATATGAAACATTTTGGCGACTTTCACCTGATGTGAAACACCTTTCTTGCCCGCCTCAAGCATCCCACAGCACCTCTGATAATTTAATACTTGGTACACATAGTAGGGGTATCATCTCAATATATCTGAGATGTTTAATCATCTGAGTGAGAGGAGCAGTCTACGCAAATCGAACAGGCCGATACACAATGCTTATTAATAGATTTCTGACCGGCATCCCTCTGGCAGAATAACTTTTGCACCGTGCTCTCAATGGCTTCAGAATATGACTGAACATGTACATGGCTATCTATGTGTGAAGCCAATAAAGGTTTGAGCAAGAATTGAAGGAGAGCGGACAGAAGCGAAACGGATGTTTCACATCAGGTGGATCGATAGTATTGCTCGTCCCCCTTGCAACGCGTCACGCGCTACCCCCGCAACGCGATACTTGGGGATACTAGAAGGACAGTGACCAGCGAAGGTTTGTCTGAATATATATGCAGTTCGCCGCACCCAGTTGATATTCGTTACAACAACGATAGCTTAACACATAATCGGGAGTATATACGCGGGGGTCGAGCGACGGGAGCACATAGTACAGCGAGACGAGGTGCACTGTATAGCCGCGACCAGCGAGAGGGAGGATCTAATGACAACGGAGAAGGTAATTCGCAAGATTATAACCGATGTGAGGACAGAGGTGGGAGAGGTCAATAACTGTGCCGATACTTGTAACTGTTCAGGAGTGCATGCCATGCGACTGTGGGATAGCCCTCGGATCGTACTTCTGTTCATGCTATGAAAGGACCACCATCAGCTCCCGCCGTCCACTGAAATCCCTCAAACATAACTCACCGCCATCCACATAGTCGGCGCTGCGCTGACGTCCTTTTCCTCTAACATATACGCCTCTTGGCTCTGCGCGTACCCGTACGGACCAGCGGGATGCTGCACCTCCGCCAACAGGCGCGAATAATCCTGGCCTGCCATGCTGTGCGCACCCGCGCCGCCGTGCCCGTTGGTGCCGATAGTCTGCGCCTGCTCGGGCAGGAACGGGTAAAACAGCGCGTTATCCACCTCGGCCAGCTTGCCCTCCTTCGGCGTCAGCGGTTGCCCACGGTTCATATGATCGCCGCCGGGAGGTCCGCCCGCGACGACATGCCCGTGGTGCCCGCCGTACGGCGCGGGCCCGTACGCCATGTGCGGCGTCTGGGGTGCCGAGCCACCTTGCATCGGGCTCTGCCCCGGCACTCCGGGCCCGCTGACGCCGCCTTGCGCGACGCCACCGCCGCCCGCGGCCTGTGTGGGGCTCATCATCCCCGGCTCGTACTCGTCCTCGCTGATGAGCACCGGCTGGCTCGGCGGGCCCACCTGGTGCAGGTTCACGTTGAGCACGCGCTCGGCGAGCTTGGCGATGAGCGGGTGGCCGCCGGTGAGGTCCGCCTTCGCGTCCCAGCGCCAGCGGAAGCGGGGGAGCATGTCGAGCGCCATCCAGACGTCCTCGAGCGCGACCTGGCGCGGGAGGCGTTCGCACCGCGACATGTGGCCGTAGAGGATGACCATCGCCGCGATGTGGAGCGGGATGTGGGACACGAAGAACGTCGCATCGGGGAAGCGGATGAGCTGGTTGTGGACGATGATGATGTTGTGCGAGGTGACGATCGCGTCGAGGAGCGCACGGTGGCGCTGCGGGTACTGGAGCTCCTTGGAGGAGAAGAGGGCGCGAAGGAGGAGGATGCGCGTGATCCCGATCTTGAGCAGCGTCAGGCCCTGGTCCTCGGTGATGTCCTGCACGAGCTTGCTCCGACGGTCGAGCGGCCAGTCCTCGGTGCCGGAAAAGTACCACTTGTAGTGCTCCGGCAGCTGACGGCGGACTTCGGCCATGCTCTTCATGATGCGCGTGGCGTGGCGCATGATGGCGTCGCCCGTCTGGCGAGTGGGCGTGTAGAGGGAATTGATGATGTCCGCCTGGATCTCGACGATCGGGTGCGAGAGCAGGAAGTGTTCCGAGAAGTCGTCCAACAGCTGACCCTTCTTCGGGCGCGACGGCCGGGGAGTGTTCGAGTCGAAAGGAGCGATCGCAAGAGGACGGCCGAGCAGGAGGGACGTTCCGCGGTCGTGCATCATCACGATGCCCCAGAGCCGGATTCGCAACTGACACTCTTCCTCGGAGAACGTGTCGTGCTGCAGCGTCGGGTCGTGGTGCAAACCAAGCTCGATGCCAAGTCGGACGAGCGAGCCAACGAGGCGCCACAATGTCCTGCCTTGGCGCTGGGGAACAACTGAGTAAGTCTAGGATGTTCAGAAGGGATATCTCTGTAACCCACCTCTGTGTATAGGTACCAGTGCAGAAGGATGAGGGCCTGCAAGCTGCTCAGCGTGACCCGAAGTTCAGGCTTCACCGCCAGAGCGCGTTCAAAGAACTCCTCATGCTCCGGCCAATCGGCAGGCAGCCCAAGGTTATGCAGTTTGCCGTTCCCATTGCCATTGCCGTTGTGCCCATTCACACCCATGCCGTTCCCATTGCCGTTGTTGTCGCGGATGTGATTGAGCTGGTTGAGCTCGGAGAGCGTGCCGAGGGCGAGCATGAGGTAGAACGAGCAGACGAGGCCCGGATCGTGCGCCACGTTCTGTCCTTCGTAGAGCGCTTCGAGGGTCGCCTCGAATTCACGCCGAGGGTACACGGGCCGGTGGTAGTTGAGCCTGTCGAAGTAGACGTCGAGGATTCGGCGGACCATCGCGCGGTCTCGGGGCAGCCAGATGGCAACCGAGTTCTGAGGGGGCGCGTATGGTTGGGCGTTCGGAGGGGGAGGTGCGGCGAGGGAGTCGCGGCGGCGCATGGCGACGGATACCCATTTGGCGGGGTCGCGAGGAGGCAGGGCGGCCTCCGAGATGGAGCGGTCGCGCCCGGAGGAGAGGCCGGAGGAGCCGACCGCCAGGTCTTCCCTGTCGTCTTGACCGGGGCGAACGAGCTTGATGTCGGTCATGAGGGAGGGTGAAACGCCGAAAGATTTGGCGAGGGCCTGTGTAGCGGGCGAGGATGAACACGCGATGCAAAGCATGTCATTGGGATCAGCGACGAACCTGGGTGTTGGATATGTCGTAGTTCTGCGGGTCCTGCCCGCGGACTTCCTGGTCGGCGGGGCCAATTGGACGACCAGCTTGGGCTGGACTTTGAGAGGGATATTGGTTTCCCATGGCATAATGGTGACCCATTGGGTAGCCGGGTCCGTACGAGGGGCTGGCGTTGGGCGGGTAGCCTTGGGCGACAGGCGACGACGGTCCACCTTGTGTGTACGCCTGCCCAACGGGAGGCTTGACGTCCTCGGTCTTAACATACGGGAACGGGTTCAAGCCAGAGGGCGGCGCGTGCGCGAAGGGGCCAAACTGGAAAGTGGAGTTGGCAGCGAGGTATTGGGCCGGGTTCTGGTACGCCTCGGGCTCGATCTTGATGCCCTGAGCGGCGATGATCTCGTCGAGCGCGTCGAGAGAAAAGCCGGGGATGTGGCGCTTGAGGAGGGCGTCGCACTGGAGGAGCTGGCGCTCGATGCGCTCGGTGTGGCCGCGGGGGGTGAGCGTCTGACGATGGCGGTCCTCTTGGTGGCAGACGGTGCCGGCGGTGGCGCACGCGGTGCAGCGGGGGTGCTTCGAGTCGCACTGGCGGGACAGGGGCGGGTGAGCGGCGCGCTACGGAGATTGCCCCAGGATCTCTCGGGGATGACCGAGGGGCGGGTCACGGCACTTGCCTTGATTTTCTTGCTCCTGCATCGGGCGCAGGCTTCGTGCGAGCGCCGCAGGCGGCGGGGCTCGGCGGGTGTGTGCGGTTCGCTGCCGTCCTCGGTCGTCGCCTTTCTGCGTTTCTTCGACGCCGGGCCTGGTGGGAATGGGCCCGCGCTGGCGGCGCCGTCGTGCGGTGGGGGCAACTGCTGCGGCTGTTGCTGATGAAGGGCGGGATCCATCGGCGGGGGGTGGAAGGAGGTGGCGGGCGCGAGGCCGAGGTCCTCGTGGGGCGGGACGATATGGGTCATCGTCGGCGACGACGACGGGACTTGGTGGTCGACCCTTGGCCCTTGGGAGCGGGGGGGCATGCGTCGGGCGGCGCCACCCCCCGATAGGACGCCGGACCGGGGCTAGGGCGGAGTCTGCAAGCAGTCGGCAGGCCCGGGAATGCTATGGCTGCCGCAGCGGGGAGCTGGGAAAAGGTCTGGATGAGATAATCGGAATTTGGGGGAGATGCGCGTCTGGGCGCCCCACCAGTGCCTGCGACTTCCGGTTCCGTATACTCCCCGTACCACACTAGCCACCGTTCCTTTCGTTTTGTACGCAATGCCGTCGCCTCTCATCGACGTTGGCGGAACACACCATCAGAATAGATCAGAATACACGCTGGCCACCGTGGACATACACTCGCCGCCGCGCTCGCCCGTGTCGGAGCGGTCGCAGCTGCTCTCGCCGAGCAGCCCTTCATATGGAACGACGGAGCTGCCCCCGCATCTACCACTCGCCCCCCGCCAGTCACGACGGAGGCTGCTGCTCACGTCGGGCGTGAAACTGGCCGCCATCTTCCTCGCTGGCACGATTCTGCTCGGGGGCACGCTGTGGCTCGCCTTACCCACACTGGATCCGTAAGCATCTGTCGCGTTTTCTCTGCGTCAGCCCGGGACTGAGTGCCGCTCTAGGGAGGACCGGCCGAACCTTCGGATACCAAAGTCTTTTGCTCAATTGCAAGCCCTGAATGCCCTCCTCAAGAAGTACCGAGATATCTATCCCTATCGTATCTTCATATGCTTCGTCACCACCTACCTCTTGTACGTGCATATATTCCATGTTTCAGATCCCGATCGCATGCTGACTTCGACCAACTTAGCCTACAAGCTTTCTCCCTACCCGGCTCGATGTACCTGTCCATCCTCGGCGGCGCCGTCTGGGGTGTTCCGCGAGCGTTGCCATTATGCTGCGCCTGCGTCGCCACCGGCGCCACCCTCTGCTACCTCCTCTCCGCCGCCCTCGGGCCCGCCTTGCTGGCGCTGCCCTCCTGGCACGCCCGCTTCCACACCTGGTCGACCAAGATCGCCGCGCAGCGCGACAACCTGATGTCCTTCCTCATCGTCCTCCGCATCGCGCCCCTCCCGCCGCACTGGGTCGTCAACGTCCTCGCGCCGCACCTCGGGATCGGCATCGCGCCCTTCTGGGCCTCGACCTTCCTCGGCATCTTCGGCGTGACCGTGATCCACACCACGATCGGCGGCGGGCTGGACGACATGACCTCCGCCGCGGACTTCCACCTCATCTCGTGGAAGAACGGGCTCGGGCTGGGCGCCGTCGTCGTCGGCGTGCTCATCCCCGTCGCGCTCAGGTATTACTTCCGCGCGGAGGTGGAGAGCGTGCAGGCCGTCGAGGCGGAGGCGGAGGTCGAAGGCGAGCTGCTCGACGCCGCCGTCGACGAGGAGGCCGGCGAACGGCTGGTGTACGAAGACGGCGATGAGGGCAGAGACAGGATCGTGCAGGAAGGCCCGAGGATCGTCGGCGCGAAAGACAAGGGCGTGCCTACCGGGGAGCTGGTCATGCTCGACGACGACGACGACGACGAGTTCGACGGTTTCCTCGATGATGAGGAAGACATCATCCTCGAGGCTGGGCCTGCCGTCGTGCTCAAGCCGGAGGATGTCAAGGCGTCTGACGAACCGCACTCGCCCGCGAGCTCGTCGAATTCGCGCTCGTAATGGACACTTGCACCCGGGACATTCAATCATGCGCCATTGCGTGCCTCTACCCTCTTTTCCGAGTCATCCACCCATCCATCTCGTACCCCATAGATGTGCTGCTAACATGATCCGGCGTTGGTTCCGGCTGTATTCCTAGTCACCCTCCACGTTCTTTACAGGGTTGTATATTTATGTTTCTGTAGTTCCTTCCGCTTGCGGGTGTAGACTAGGTTGTGCGGCCATGGTATAATAATCGGTAGTCGCTGAACATGATTCGATTGACATTGAGGGGTGCGCGCATATTACGCTCCAACAGAACGGTCCGTGGTGTTCTCGTATGTTCTTGTGACCAATCGCCCACGGACCGTAGCTATCCTGTCCACGCTCGACACCGCGCAACATTGTGCAACCCAGGGAACGGAAATGTATTCGGACGATGTAAACACGAGCATACGCCATTGATTTATTACGAAAGGAAACATGTAAAGTAAAGCAAAGATGTATGCGCCATGGTTATTGTTGCCTAACCACACCGTCAGAGTTACATAGAAACAACCCATCCCCGAGAGGATGAGCGGGTACGGCAGGTCGAGGAATATGACGCCGCGAGGATACGTGTCCTGTCCATCCGCAAGCGAATCGACGCCCGGGAAGGGCGGACTCAGCTCACGGGGGGGAAAGACTCGCTCTAGTGAGCGCAGCCCCGAGAGACGCGCCTGCCTCCGCCCACTCGAAAAACGCCATCAGGACAAAGCTGCACCGAAATTGGCGGTTCAGATGTTGGACGGACACATGATTTAGCAGGAAAACGGTTGAGCGCGAGGTTTTTATATACTTACTAGAGTACGGCCACGGCGGCGTGAGATTACTGTATGTTCTCACCTTCGTGATGCATTGATAGGGGCAGTTTCAGTGCAATCACTGGGCAATGGTGCGACCTCCGGACCACGCGCGAACGTCTCGTTGTCGAAACTTCATGTCTTGCTTTGGAGGCTGAATGTCGCTGAATGTTGCACGACGATTGCTATCTTCTAGTAGACTCCACGAGGATACCGCAGATATATCGAACTTTGGAAGATTCTGCTGTGAATCTGCCGCGCGCCTCGACAACGCCTCCGGAACAGAGCAGCGCTCTCCGCTTTCGTCCAGTTCTTGTGAACGCGCGGATCTGCAATGATGGATATGAATGCTCATCAATCATTGTTTGTTGTGGCAATAGCTCTGGAAGCGACCTATCGAAACGTTCGAAACGGATCACTGACCGGTCTCCGCTGGCGTATGGGTCGGGTATTCCCAATCCTGAGATATTGGTGCGACGCTATCCTCACCCGGTGGGCTATCTCAAGATATTAAAGGGCTATGTTCAACGTGCGCGCATTGAAATCAACAAAGGCAGCTTCGTTGCCCAACCTCTACGTCTGGTGCCGCAGCGCCGCGCAGGGCACGCGGTCCACGTCTTTCCGCAATTTCGAGTCGGGGAGTAATCGTCCTGCTCGAAGAGGTCGCGTGTGCATGGCAAAGCTATGCGTATGTATCACTGTGAAGGGAGGTGGGGGGCTTGAGACGCGCTCACCTTTCATCTGTGGACGTTGTCGTCCCAGTTGTACCTGAAGTCGCTCTATTAACCCTTTCCCTAGCAATGCCGACCACTACTGTCCACGTAATTCCCATCGGACGTCTCGATGCGGCCAACCCCACGAACAATATCATCTCGAACAACGGCTGGCTTGTGGACACTCCTTTAAACGTCGCCAACTTGGAAAAAGCGTGGTGTCGATTGAATCATGTTTGGCCCATTTTATCGTCCAGGCTCAAGAAGAACGCTCGCGTAAGCCCCTTTGCAGCTCTCTTATCGACGGCGGTGCGCTGAAGTTTGGTGCAGACTGGCGACCTGGAGTTTCATGTGCCCGAGCAGTCCGCGATCGTCGCAGGGAGTGGCTTCACGACATGTACCGTGCTCGGACCGGTGTCGACCCATTTCCAATACCCGAAGCCCACGGAAACAATCTCATGCGTATCTCTCGATATTCCGCATCACTTCTACTCTCATCCCTCTCGCTGTTCCGCCGACGCGCTACTGAACAAGGATGCGCCCGTCGCGGCCCTTCATGTAACCTGCTTCGATGACGCGACGATCGTCGGGCTCTCCGTCTCACACGCGCTCGTGGACGGCTCGGGGACGCAGGCGATTATATTGGCCCTTCTCAGCCTCATCAAGGGCGAAGAAGTCGAACCGCTATCCACGCACGACGCATTCGAGACCTACCAAACCGCCAAAAATGTTTCTCCTCCAGACGGTTTCAGGATTTTCAGCCTCTGGCAGCTTATCCTTCTTGTATTGGCTACGCTGAGTGACTGGATACGGTCGCCGAGGGGCGGGTTTCGTGTGTTGTATTTCCCAGCCAAGGAAGTCGAGCGTATCAAGTTGCAGGCGATGGCCGACATCTCCGCGAAAGAGGGCCTGGAGAACGGGGAGTGGATAAGCACTAGCGACGCTATAGTGGCTTTTTTGCTCAAGGTCCGCATCTATCTGCACCTTCGTCGTCGAAGAGCAGAGTACCGCGCTAACCTCGAGTTTTTCGCAGTGTATGTATGCTTCCGAGAAGAGGCATAAACCGCTCGGCGTCGCGTATCTGGCCAACGTCCGCAAGCACTTCGCGTCTATCATCCCGCCGACTTACCTACGCAACGCGAACGTCGGCATCTCGATCGCCATCCCGGACGCGTCCGCGGTGGCGACCACATCGCTCGGCTCGCTGGCGCTCATCGTCCGGCGATCGCTCCTGGCACAGACGCAGCCCGCGGCTCTGGACCACTACGTCCAGTGGCGCATCGCTAACCCGAAGCAGATGCCGATGTTCATGCAGCCCGGCGGACTCTGGGCCGCGTTCACCAACTGGCGCGAGATGGGCTTCATGTCGATCGACTGGACCCCGGCCGCGCTCGACGCGGGCGCGACGAAAAAAGCGACGTGCCTCTACCTGCACTCGTTCGGGTACGCGCCGCTGAACCTTCGGAACGCGTTCGTGATCGGGCCCGATGACCCCTCCGGCGGGCTGTGGGCGCTCGGAAGCTTGTCGAACGCGCTGTGGAAAGACCAGAACGGCTTTGGGCAATATTGGCGGTAAAAATGAGTGCCGACGTTGAAACAGGAACACACGGACTGGGGCCGAACAATGCAGGGGCTGTTGACTCCCGATTAAGTCAGTAATAGCTCCTGATTTGTCTCATTCGACTCCGTGCGCTAGGGATCGCGCCCGCGAGCCGGATCGGGAAGGCAAGCGCGCGGGCTGCTGGCGGTGCTGGGAAGGTCGGGTTCACGAGCTCGACAATTTCCTGATCAGAACTGCTATCTTGTCCGTATATGACTCGTTTGACTGGAGATCAGACCGAAACTGTTGAGGCAAATGCCTTTTCTACAGTGGATACATATTTCATCATTATGATGTACGTACAGCCCGTGTCTTGCTATGTGTTAGACAATCAACGTTTCAACAAAGGCGTTATATTCAATCGAAGTGGGTTTCCCAGCAACCGGATCTGGAAACACCGACGCCAGCGAGCACTTCGACGCGGTTTACGTTGCAAGAAATCTGGCCCTTAGTGTTTACTAGCTCTCTTCTCTCGGCGACGTTGCAGATGATGTGCGCGAATACATTGCGCTCTGCCGTATATATTCATTACTGTCATTCCTACAACATCGGGAGTCCCTCCTTTACATCGCCCGCACCGACGAAAAGTGGGTGCGAACTCACTGCAGCGCTGCCTTCGAACGTAGAGACAACGGAGGGAATAACAGGATTCAGCTGGACATCATGCCCACTGTTTTGACGCAAGCTCTTTCTCGCATTCATTCTAAATGCGACGTATTGTGAGCTGAATCTCTGGCCACATGAAAGCAACGCACATTGTCATATAGCTGTTGAGGTATACCTTGCCGAAGCACGTATCGAGCGCCAAGTAGGCGAAACTATGTGGCAGGCCGAGATACTGAGCACCATGAAAGGTTCAATTCTGCTCGGGTGTTTCGTCAAATTGAGGAATAAAACTGACCAGAACGACTGTGAGTACTGCACCCGCGCTACGAGGGACGCTCTCAGTACTGTGAGTGAGCAATCCGCAAAACCTGTCACCATACCATGTCAAAACCCCAGTGCCGAGTACCCAGACTGACAAAGTTTCTATCACCGAGCGCAACCTGTCCAATGTACGATACAGTGAGCCATATATACAGAGGAAAAAGAGGCAGGCTGACGGTAGGAAATGGGCTTTCTGACGGCGGAGGTAGTAAGTTGTCGTGATAGCTATCACTGCGTTGTCAAAGATAGCCACAGAAAACGGAATGTAGATCATGATTGCCTGGAACGAATCGATATAAGCGTGCATTGTAGGGGACTCGGAAGCATACATTCTCTTGATTCACGTGCTCAAAGGACTTCAACTTTGACCTGCAGTGTGGTGGGGTCGATTGAAACACTTGAGCATGTGCTCCGCGTCGATTTTTGGAGTACGTACACTGTGATACCATTCACTGCCACCCAGATCATTAACAATGAATGGTGAAGAGCTAAGGATGACATACCCAAAGCGCTCGCTGAAGATCGAAGTCAGATCCGGCAAAATGCTGATGTGAAGAGCATGTACTTACCCCAAGTCAATACAATCGTGATCGGCTGCGTGATACACATATCCTCAAAGTATGGTCGAGATCAGGGGTAGGGAACCCACCATTACCAGCCTGATGAATATGCTTCCTCGAGATACTGCAGAAAATCAGCACATGGTGAGTTACTGTGTGCTGTGTTGTGGTCGGTGATACTCACGCTTGTATATTCTGATACAATACATCTGGACAAGGGCATTGATTAGATCTCGACCACGATGTGCGGGTATTGGAGTTCTTACCGTCTGTACCGTCGCTACTAGTATATCACCCAACAAAACGGAAGCCTATGCGTCCATGTAGTTCGATCAGTAGATACGTTACTCCTATCATCATGACTCGCCATCAAGCTCCTAGAGTGTATCGTTAAGTATGGAATGGTAAAGTCGATATAACTCACCAAACTGGTATCAAATACGCCTCAAGATCGAAGTAGTTGATCGAAAACATGTAGTGATAAATAGCATGGATGTTGAACGCATACGCCATGATATCGAGTGCTCCCATGAAAGCGACCTGGATGAAATGTAGGTTTCACAAAGTGAACAGTCAATCGACGGGATCACGCAAGCACATACGATTAGCTTTATGGTCGCAGATTCTTGAGGGAACCTGTGATAGAATAGGTATCTACGAGCAAGTTAGTACATGTCACAAACACCATGAGCTCATCTTCAACTCACATCTGAAGACATGTAATCCCAAGGAGCACGCCCGAAATTGAGACACCCAGAAACAACATGCCAAAGGTGTCCGCGAGACTTGAGGTGAACCCCATCACACGCCGAGGTAGCGAACGGTGCAGGGTCGAACTTATATACCTTTCCTGGATATCCAGGTCAAGAATGTTGGCCACCAAATGAACAGATCTTCCCAGCACCACCAAGTAGCCCCATTAATCCTGTGTAGACTAGTTCTTCATGAGAATTATAGTAATTCGCTTTTAGTACTTACCTTGCGTTTCACTCCGAATCTGATAGGTCCAAGCTCCACTGCTATAACGCTACAACAGGTACGATCAAGCATTCAATAGCCGGCCAATGCGCAATAGCAGCCGGGCAGATTCGACTGCACAGCAGGCTCCGGATCCACCCAATTCGTACCGGGTGGTGCCATGTACGGTTGGCGCTAAGTGCTTACGCCTCTGGCCAGTGCGTCTCCTGCTCTGATGATCCTAGTGTATGTCTCGCCATCGATCATTGTTCAGACGGTTCTGATACCGTGCGGATTGCACCGTAGCAGCAGCACTGCCAGATTCGTGCTGCATTGAATTCAAGACCAGATAAGTACACGGCACACCTCGCGCTTACGTGAATCTAGATAACGAGAAGTTTCATCATCATGAGGACCAGTCTAAGAGTGTACGCGTGCAACTTGCGGACTTTGAGGCTTCGGCACAGTGTAGTAGGTTATGCGCCAGAAACACACAGGCAGACCGACACAACCTAAGAGTCTCGCGCAGTTTCACTGAGTGACTGAACAGGAAGGAGATGAGATCAACCAGTAGTGAATAAATTATTGGTTCAATGGTCTAAGGGCGCTTGTCGATCATTCCAAGGTCGAGGGCAAGGTCAAGGAAATCGAGCTCGCGCGGCGACGGCGCGTGGACGAACGAGCGGCGGCCAAGTTCCGAATTTCGCGTCAGTTGAATTTCCCACGGTTACTTCAACCCAGCCTTGCCTTGTGCACATGGCTCCCGAGCGACACCCCTCCACCCCCGGCCTCCTCTCCACCGTCTTCGGCTATGTTTCCCGCGAAATCGAGTCATTCGTGGCCACCGCGACGGGCGGTGTGGCCCCCCATAATGAGGTTCGTCGGATGCGCACACTTTTGGACGACAGGGGCTCACCTTTGTCCTAGGTGAAAACGCGCGAGGACGCTGAATGTTCGCGTCATTCCTCACGAAGAACCACAAAAAAGCGGAGAATAGATCGCGAATTGGATGAGGAGAGCGCGACGTCGGCGGACGAGGCGCGCGATGCGCGCAAACCACGCCAGCGGACGCTCCACGACGAGCTATCGATGGCAGAGGCTTCCTTCACGTCCCCAACGCGCCGTAAACAACCTAAGCGGCGATATCGCACCCCACAGCAGTATGCAACTGAAGAAAACGCAGGTACGGGGCTTCTATCCTCCTATTCACGAAGTGCCCTAACATGACTCCGCCTCCTCCAGAACTGTCGGCGTCCGACCGCTCACCTTCCCCTGCGCCACCGCCGGCTGCCCGTCTCTTACGCCGTCGTCCATCTATCACCATGCCAGGCTCGCTGTTCCCGCGCTCGCCCTCTCTCGAACCCGACCTGCATCGCGAAAAGCAGGACGCGCGCCGCGTTCATTTCCCACCGGGCGTACCCAGCCCGAAACATCGCTCACTCTACGCTCCCGCCTCTTCAGACGCGGGGCCCTCGCATTCTCAGCACAGGCTCTACCCCGACCTTCCATCTGAGCATGCAGAGCCACCTCGTACGCCTAGTTCGCCCTTCCGGCCGCCACTTGTCGGCTCTGTCAAGGAGGCCGTGCGGATGTTCCGCGATGATCCAGACGAAGCAAACCCTGAACTGCTACTCCCGAAGGAGACCACGTCGCCGATCAGTAAGATCCGCAGCCCGTCGCGGAGGCACGGAAGCGTGCGCAGCGACGAGCGGGGCTCGCCCGCGTTCTCGCCCGGATCACCCCGTAAAGACAAGGGCAAGGGCAAGGCACGCGAAGGCGATCTATCTCGTCACGAGGTTCAGGATTTCACCTCAGAGCTTCCGTCTCAAGATGAGGACGAAGAGGAACACTCACGCGAGCACTACGGAGATATCTCCTTAGGCACGATGCGCACCAAGGTTCGAGGCAAGGAGCTCGAACTCGACAAGGCTCGTGAGCGCGAAAGACAAAGAGACGAAGCTGGCTCGGACGCTGACCATGACGACGACGAGCGTCGCCGAGATAAGCAGCGTATCCGCCTGCTCGAGGAGGAGATTCAACGGTTAAGGGCAGAGGTGAATATCTCAGGCAAACCCATACGGACACATTGCTCACTACCAGACCAGCTTGCAAAACGACCAGTCGAATCAAGCTCCTCGCAATCTACGATTGCATCCAGCCAGGAAACCTACATACCGCCTCCGCCGCCACCACCGCCCCTGCCTTCAATCTCCACAGCAACCATGACCCCCCGCACAATCATCCTCTCGCGCTCTCAGACCCACCCTACGCATTCCTCGACGGATCCACTCCTCGCAGCTGCACGCGCCTCACTCAAACACACCGAGCCGCCGGTCGAGGCTCCCATAAACCCGCTCATCCCCGTGCCGGCCTCGCGCGCCAAGCGGACCGGGCGGCCGACTGTCGCGCTCAGCCACGACAAGATGGCCGCGTTCCTGCAGGAGATGAAGAGCGTGCGCCTCCGGAAGGTGTACCACGACGTCGATGGCGGGCGCGCGAGGGAGTACGACCCGGATGCGTCGTTCGCGGGCGCGAATGTCACGTTTGCGGCACCGGCGGACTGGGGCGCAAGCTGGAAAGAGGCCGGGAAGGAAACCGAAGCGGAAGGCAAGAGAGCGGAGGCATCGCGGCCGTTGAGGAGGCGGGCGACGATTGGCGGGACGGCACCGAGCCCGGAGACCACCGCGAAGGGTAATACGGCGACGAGTCACATGCGTAAAGAGGGTGCGATTATCGCCAGGAGGGCTGGAGGAACAACGCAGACGACCGCGCAGCCGCCGAAGCAGGACGCTAACGTCAATACCGGAACGGTTGTGCGTCAAGACAGGGTGGACACTGGCACGGAGGGTCACGGGGCTGGTTCTAGGACGAGCGAGAAGCGGAAGAGGCAGGAATCCGACGCCGGTGCCGTCCACGAGCGAGACACGCGGAGTGTGCCCAAGAAGCGGATGGCAGAGGCCTCTGCCGAGCTCTCCACGTCGACGACGTTTACGGAGCCTTCCACGAACCAGCCGCGGCATCACACGGCCTGGCTTCGCAAGTCGGCGTCAAACCCGTCGTTCAAGCCGTCACGCATCCCGCGACTTGCGTCGTCTTCCGAGAAGGATCAGCAGGCGACGCCGTCCTTGTGCTCCGACAACGAGGCGGAGCAGGACGGCGAGACGAGCTCGGACAAGATGCCAGCCACCCCGCCCGGGGGCCCCACCCGCCACGCCGCCGAGAACCCCTCGCCCGTTGCGCTCGATGATACCCGGTCTGCACCGCATGTCAACCCACGCAATAGGACGATCTCCGCCGTCCGTGAGGACGTGTTCGCCAAGAGGCCGCCGACGTCGCCCATCCCGCGCGACACGCCGAGCAGGCCCCGACCTCCGGGCAGCGTGCGCAAAAGCCGTTCGCTCTCGCAGCCAACGTCCATCGCCAGGACGGAGAGCGATGATCCCCTCGCGCTGCCAGCCACCATGCCTCCTCCCGCTCGCCCGGCTGCTTCCCGAATTCCGCAGCGCCACGCGCAGCCATTCCGACCGAAGCGGCGCTCGCGCGGCTCACCATCGCCGCCCCCACCTTCGCGTCGGCAGTCTGCGCCCGTCCCGGCCGTGGACGACATGGACGTCGAGCGCCGGCGGTTCGCGAAAGCTGCCCGGGACAAGAATGCGGACAAGCTCCCGGAGCAGACCCCCGACCTAAGTCGGTCCGTGCGTCGCTCCTCGCTCGCGCATCTGCAGCGGCAACGCGACGCGGAGGAGGACAGCTTCTGGGGCGTACTGGAGGCCGAGGAGATGGAGGTGCCCCTGCGGGACGAGGGAGAAGAGGATCTTGACGTGGACAGTGGCGTGCTCGTCGCCGTCGGCTCGCGAAGCAAGAAGCGCGGGTTTCTTGCGCATGGAGGCGCCGGCGGGCCCTCGGTCTTCATGGGTGTTGGCTACGTCGACGGAGCTCAAGAATCTGACGTGACCTCGGAGTGAATAATCGGTATTTTGGCTGAGAACCAATGTGAACACTCGCTATCTTGCTATCTTGAAACAGAATATATTCATATTTATCGCACTCGTTCGACCAATACGTTGTTCTAGCAGCACTCGGCAAAGTAGTTACACTGTATAGCGGTGGTTGTTGATTTTACAATGTCCTTGATCCTATTGAATGTTTTGTCTTTGCGCGCTGACGATGAAGACGTGCGGCCACGTAGGGTACGCATATGAATACCGATAGCGCGACAACAACAGGAATAGTACAGAGAGAGCACAGCAGGAACAGAAAAACCAAGATGAATCAACGACAAGAGGGTCTGTCGATAAACAAATATAATATGTGTGGGATCCCAGATGTAGAGTACACAAGCAAAGGAGGAACAGGGAACGAGACACGAAAGACGGACCGAACCTCTAAGAGATGCTATGAGAAACCCCAGGGCTGATCCGCTGAAGCCATCGGACCATCCCATTTCCAACCGTCGAATGCGGAGTAGTAAGCCGATTCGCCGCCGTCAATCTCGGCCCAGGCTCCTAGCCGTAGCGGATCCGATGTCTCGTCGAGGGCAGGCTTCGGGTTCTCGACGACAGCCGGCTTGAAGACGGGTGTCGTCCCTGTCGAGCGCGACCCAGATGCGTGATCGGTATCAGACGCGGGACTGGGGTTGGTGGAGGATGAAGGAACCAGCTCCGGAGTGGGAGCTACGTCGTCGTCCATGCCGCGTCCGGGAAAGGAGGAGAAGTCGATGAACTGCAGGAACTCTTCCGGGTTGCTGTTGGAACCGGCGGCGTCTCCAACACGGGGCCCATCATCTAAAAGGGATGCCGACGTTGAGGGCAGACCGTCTGCCAGTCCCGATGGATCGCACGCCTTCAAGATCTGCTCCAGCGTTTCGGCTATAGCCGTGTCCTGCCCATCGCCAACCATCTTCGAGAACTGCTCGAAGAACGCTACCGCATCTTCGGGGGTCTCGACGGCATCAACCTGCCTCTGCCTCTCCACGACCGTCGGATGAGGCTGGCCATCCCACTCCGACTCAGTCTTGGGTCGCTTCGGCGAGGGCACATCGGGTGCTCCCGCTGGTACCGCGAGACTATCGTCCTCGCGCTGCCGCTTGAGCGACGTCGACGGCTCGGGGGAGGGCATGACCTTCGGAGCGGGTTCGGCGGGCTGCACCGCGACGGGCTTCTCATTCTTGCTAGCGACGGACGGCTTGCGCTTGGGAACAGACGCAGCTTTCGGCTTGGGAGTGGCCTTGGCCTTGTTAGCTGGTGACTTCGGGGTAGCCGGCGGAGCGGGCGTCGGCGTCGATACGCTGGGGCCGGGAGTCGAAGTAGATGCAGCGGTGGAGGGTGGCGTGCGCACGGAGGCGACGGTGAGATTCGGCGGGAGGGGCGTCGCCGTTTTCTTTTGCGCGGGGGCCGGTGGGTTCATCGGCGCCTGTGATGACCGTTGAAGCACAGCCTGCGGTGGTTGTGGCTGGATCTGCGGAGGCTGCTGCTGCTGAATGCCTTGCTGAGCTGATGCCGGCCTTTGCGGACTAGGTATCATCGGTCGTCCTTGGGGCGGGATCATCCCGTGGAGAACTGGTGGTTGCATGGCGTGCTGCTGTTGCTGCTGCTGTTGTTGTTGCTGCTGCTGCTGCTGTTGTTGTTGCTGCTGCTGCTGCTGCTGTTGCTGCTGCGCGTGTTGACCTGCTTGAGTCAAAGCCAAGAGGTTGTTAAAGACCTCTTTAGCAGTCTGAGCCTGTGATATCATCGACTTCACGGTGTTGAGGTCGATGATGTACTTCGGCGTCGCAGAGGACATCAAGACCTTCTGTTGTTGGGCAAGGAGAGTCTACGCAAGCACGAGTCAGTCGTCGCGGGCAAAACTAGAACGTCGGAAAATACTCACAATAACAACCAGCTTGCGGAGAGTGCTCTCGTCCTTTAGAATGACAGCGATCCACGGCAGTTTGGGGTCCAGGTCGCTAGCAATGCGGAGGAGCTGCTCAAACGCTTGATTATACTCCAGTCTCTGCTCGTCCGGTAGCATCAGCGTCTGGACCCTAGCCGGATCCCGATTAGCGATGAAATCCTGCTTGAACTTCTGCACGATCTTGACCGCGTTCTGCACTTGAACCTGCGTCGGCGGCATGATCGCTTGGCGCTGCGGCATCTGCGGAGGCTGCTGTTGCTGCTGCTGTTGCTGCTGATGGCCATGCTGTCCGGGATGAACAAACGGTTGTTGCCCTTGCTGCTCGTTCATCTGCCGAGACATCCCGAATGCTTGCTGCTGCTGTTGGGGTATCCCCGCCGGACCGTTCTCGCGCGACGGCTGCCCAAACGGTGGCTGCTGAGACCCAACGAGGATAGGGGGGTTAGGCTGTTGGGGCATGCCTTGGCCACTGAGTCCCTTCCGGAATTGCGCCCGCTGCTGCTCGCTCTGCTGCAGCTGGGTACGGTGCCGTTCGATGAGCGCGATGAGCTCCTCCTGCAAGCCGGCAGCGCGCATCTGCTGCACGGTTGAGTGCGCGTGCTGCAGCATGAGCTGCATCGTCGCTGCATCTGCGGGCCGCTGAGCCGGCCTCACCGGTTGACCGTTCGCGGCCATGCCCGGACGCTGTTGTAGACCTTGCGCGCCGTTACGTAACCTGTTCTGGTTCCACGTGCGGAAGTACGCTCGCTCGAACTCGAGCAGGTACGTGTCATAGCAGGCCTGCAGGCCTTGAGCTGCTCCTGGTGCACATTTCGCGGGCTCATGCCCATTTCCGGGGAACGCGACAAAGCCCAGGCGTCCACCGATGACGGGCCACAACTCTTTCTGCGTCACCTACAACTATGGGTCAGAAAATGCGGGTGAAGGGTCGGAGGGTCGACTATACCTGTTCCCGACCACCTTCTCGCATAACCTCATAATGCAGACGATAGAGGTCGACCGGTCGATGGTCAATCTCCATCAACCGCTTGTCATGCTGAATGGCCTTCTGGTTGCAGAACGTGCGATACGCAGTCGAGAACTTGATCTGGTCCACCGGCGGAGGCATGATCCACTGCATCTGATCCATATGGGTCGCGCCCACCATCGGCTGGCCCCGCATTCGAGACTCCAGAGTATCGATCATGACGGGCCCGACACTAAGGATAGATATCGTGAGGTGATATATTCGCGCAAGAGTACCTTCACGTACCTATGCGGCGTATTGGGGGCACCAGCGGGGGGTTGGGAGGGGATGAGGTTCGGGCGCGGGGTCGTTCGAGCGGATATTTGCGGCGGCGACTGCAGCTGAGGGTGGGGAGGAATCTGCCCCGGGCTGGGTTGCATGTTAGGCAGGTGCGGCTGGCCCATTCCCTGAAAGTGCGGAGTAGGCTGACGCTGCGTCGGCTGACCGGGAAAGGGCTGCTGGGAGCCAGGCGGAGACCATGCGGGTTGACCCACGTTCGCCGACTGTGGGTGAAGCGGTGGCGAAGATGAATGAGGACTGGCTCGCGATGGTCAGACTCAAGTCTTCGTAGAAAGCATGATTGAAGACTCACGGTATCGGTTGACCCATTGTCGGGTTCATCGCGTTGGCCAGCGTGCTCGGCGTCTGTTGCGTATGCTGCGAACGGATTCTGTTGATATGCGCTGCAAGTTTTTGCATCATCGCCCTCTGCCGCTGTATGGCACCCTGAAGCTGGGACGATCGGCTGAGGTACAGATTATCGGACATGCCCGCGCGAGCATCATGCAGCTGATTGAGTTGGCTCTCCAATTCCTGTATGTGCGCCCGGAGCCGCTGGGCCTGTTCGATGAGGGTCTGCATATTGACCGGAGCGCCTGGGTTGAGCATGCCAGGCTGAGGGAGCTGATTACCCTGCGGCATGGCGAGGTGGTTGCCAGCCTGCTGCTGACCGTCCATGCCACCATGCATGGGGGCAGCGGGATTGAACGCGTTCTGGGGGTGATGAGCGCCCATGGGGGGCTGGACCATGCCGTTTCCAGGGTTGAGGGGTCCGCCTTGCGGCGGCTGATGCTGCTGTTGGCTCGCCATCGTGAGGAGGTTGAGTTGACGGGCCACGCGGTCGTTCGGCGCAGGTAGCATCCCCTGGTTGGCTTGGAAGGCGGCCTGAAGCTGGGCGGCATTGCCGCCGCCGCCGCCGAGACCGAAGTTGTTTTGCATCTGCTGTTGCATGTGAGGGTTGGCTTGCAGCTCGTGAAGGCCGCCGGGCTGTCCTGCGGCGGCGTTCATGACGAACGGCTGCTGCTGGGCACCGAACTGGGGTTGTCCGGGCATTCGCGCGACGCCTTGGCTGCGCATGAGCTCTGCGACCTGAAACGACGGTGCGCGGGAAGAGGCTCGTGTCAGTTTACGTAATAAGCAGGGTCGGGGCGTCGGCGCGCCAAGGCAGGGCGGAACGTCGGGAGAGACAGTGGGACGCGGACCAAGACGCTCACCTGAGATTGGCCCTGCACGCCCATGATATCTCCGCCTACTGGGTTGCGAAACGGCGGGTGCTGCTGCTGGAGCTGCTGCATCTGCCAGAGACGGTCGTTGGTGTTCATGCCCGGGACCTGCGACGGGTCGATCGGGGCCTGCTGGCGGGGCTGCTGCGGCATATGCGGCGAGCCGAGGCCGGGGTTGAAGTTGGGACCGAGCATAGAGTACTGGGGGTGTCGATCGGCCATGGCTCGGTGCAGCCCGCTGGGGTGCGCGGAGGGCGGGTGGCTGGGCCGGACGGGCGCGCTGGTGACCGCGCGAGTTGGATGCGAGCTTGCCGCGGACAGAAATCCGGGCGGGGAGGGGGCGGGGAGGGACCGTCGGGGACGAGGAGGACGGCGAGGAGGGGACTGGTCGTGGTCGGTGTGAGAGGGGGCAGAGCGTCTCCCAGGTGTCTGGGTCCGAAAGCGGAAGGTGCCGTGCGACGCTCGGTGGCTGGCGACCAATCCTCCGCCTTGCCCGTTGATTCACGTCCCCCCCCCTTGCCAAATAAAACCCCGGCTTTGTTTGTCGCCTCAAATTTCCCGCCTCGTGCTCCGGACAATGCCCAGTTTCGTTGTGTTTCCTACGAGCAGCCCCTTCCCATCTGTGCCTCTAGCTGAGAGCCACGGGCGAACGCGCGCGAGCTCGTCCTGCTTACTACGCTTAACAGGGATTAGCTCTTCCTGGCTGATAAATGGCTGTACTGTCAGCTACGGCTCCCCATCAGGTCACCAGCGCCCCGCCCGGAGCGCCCTACGCTGCGCCTCTGTCGCCCGACGAGCTTGTCGTGCAGCCACCGACCTGCCTCGTCTGAGGCGCTCAGCGCGCGCACGAGAGAAACGTGATGTCACTCCGCCCAAGCCAGCAACGGCATCCGTCGACTGGTACCATTTACATCTCTCCCCTTCGGCCGCACATTACTCTCGTCATACTTGCTTTCCCTCGGAGCGACGTCATGAGACGATATGGGACCACCTCGCCGCGAACGGACGGACGGACGGCGACGCAAGAGGCGGTTCAGCACCAGCTCTCAGGGTCGCCGCCGGTGCAGCAGAGCCCAGCCCCGGTCACGTTCCGCGGCGAACTCTGTCTATTTTCCAGCGTTCCGCACGTCCGGCTCGCTGCCTGAGTCGACTGCACCGGCGCGTGCGCGAGTCGGGAAGGGTATCCCGACACCCGCGGTTGCAGCGCGGGACGCCCAGGAGGGGCCTTGAGCACGTACATCGTCGCAGCATCGGTCCCCCCATCTGGTCGCAAGACGACGCTTGTGGGCGTTGGCTTGCCACATCAGCCACTCAGTTCGTACCGCCATCTCCTGATATGCAGCTCATTGGTAAGAGCCCGCCGTGCACCGGGAATGTCGGGTTCGAGCTCGGCCAGAGAGCCGGTGTCCGAGCCATTGTAGTATGCACCGCCGTTATGTCTCCGACATGATGAGACGACAACAGAGGTATCAAGTATTACCCGGAAGGTCCTTTACCATTTTGACCGTTTCCCCGATAATTCTTAGTGTTGGGTCCACGTACCCCTCGTTGATGAATACTTGCGCCGAATGCGAATCCTCGTTGCCATAAGGTGGTCAACCTATATTTCCCCCCGTCACAAGCACTCAGTCAGACAGTCGACTTTGTGTTGTCAGCTCGCGATTCTTGTAATCCTGGTCCGCATTCACGGCGTCGTCACCATTATATATTACTTTTCATCTAGCACTGACCATAGCTGGGAATTGCAATCTGTTGCCGTGTGCACAACGTGAGCATACGCATTCGTGTATCACCGGCAACTCAAGCTCTCGATGCATATATCCCTTCCTCGTATGGCCGGCTGGAAACCGCGTGTACCGTCCCTGCTGACTAGCCTGGCGTCTTCCTGCAGCACGATGCATGCCTCCCTCCCTCGCTCTCTCCATCCGTATCTTTAACGCCGCTTGATCCCGCGGCCGAACAAACGGTATCGCGAGGCTAATAACCACGAATAACCTCGATAAAGCCTTGCGTGACCCCATGTTCGCGTATTATATGCCTCGGAATGGTCCGCGCGGATGATACTCGGCTTCCGCTGTCGAATCCGAAACAAAAATTGGCGAATCTGCCATAGACGCAGCGTGGCACGGAAGCTATAGATACAGATAGAGTTTAGTGACTTACTTATCCCCTCTCGTCTCGGTCCGATGGGCACCCAAATCGGTGGTCGGGTCGGTGGCCCCGTCAGCAGCGAACCTTGCGAACCCCCGCCGTTCCAGACTCGCGTAAATTCGGGTTCATATCTAAGCGCCGATTGATATCCTCGGTAGCTGCAGCAGGAGATTGAAAATTCAGTCGCATTAATGCAGGCATATATTGGGGAAGGCGCGAATTTTGACATTCGCCCGTCCATCGTGTCGCGAAATCATATCTAGGTATTGCTTGCCCATCAATTCGAATGCACGGGCATAAGCTAAAGACTCGCATCTGTATCCAATCTGACGAATTCGTTTGCCGGACAACTGGACGATACGTGCCGTCGGATGAGTTCAGATGAAGTGATCGTGTGAAAACGGATGGTGAAGACGTAATTAAATGCCGTTACTCATGAAGCCCAGTGAGCCTGCGCAGCTGCAGAAACTCCTGTTAACTTCGGAGGACCGTCGATATGGCTGCGTTAAATGGCCTGAATCTGGGCGCTATCACCGAAAATGCATCCAGGCTGGGTCAGCGGCTGCAGGAGACGCTGTCCGAACGGACTCGGGATCTCTCGCTGGGTGCATCGGGCTCGTCCTATCTGGACACCACGGACGACAAGCTCAAGAACATCCGCCAACAGCTGGATTCGAGCAGCGATCGCGAAAAGCTCGAGGCCATGAAACGCCTCATCGCGGTGCGTCGGTTCGTACGATATCGCAGCATGCCGCGTTGCTCATTCGTGATGTCCGTGCAGCTCATATCCAAAGGCCGCAACGTCTCCGAGTTCTTCGCCCAAGTCGTTAAAAATGTCGCGTCTCACAACCTCGAGATCCGCAAGCTGGTTTACATCTACCTCCTTCGATACGCCGAGCAAGAGCCGGATCTGGCCTTGCTCTCCATCAACACTTTCCAGAAGGACCTCACAGACAGCAACCCTCTGATCAGGGCAATGGCGCTTAGAGTTCTTAGCGGTATTGGGGTCCCCATGATTGGAAGCATTGTGGTCCTTGCTATCAAGAAGTGTGCGGCAGACACGAGCCCGTACGTGCGTAAGGCTGCAGCATTAGCAATACCCAGATGCTATAGGTACGCACCAGCATGTTACTCATCTACGCGTCTCACGAGAGATCGCCAGCGCAGCTTAGATCAAAACCACCTTCCGGATCTTATCGGCATACTCTCGTCACTTTTGCGGGACCGGTCACCGCTCTCGATTGGCAGCGTCGCTGTCGCTTTCGAGTCGACATGTCCAACCCGGCTGGACTTGCTTCATCCACACTACCGCAGACTATGCCGAACGCTGATTGACGTCGACGAGTGGGGTCAGGTTGCCCTGATCGACTTGCTGACAAGATACGTTCGCGTTATGCTTCCAAAACCCTCTGTGACGCAAAAACCGAATGGAGACTCGGAAGAGGAGGTGGACAAGGATCTGCATTTGTTGCTGACTTGTTCCGAGCCTCTTCTTCAATCCCAAAACCCGGCTGTAAGTGGGCTGATCTATCGTGTCGTGAACCACTGACTGGACCCTTGTCGGATCAGGTGGTGTTAGCTGTCATCAAGGCTTTCTACTACCTCGGACCCCCGTCATCGCTGCCAAAGATCGTCTCACCTCTATTACGTCTTCTCGTTTCTTCCAAAGAAATAGAACGGGTGATTTTGGCGTATATAACTATGATAGCCTGTCAACACCAGGTATGTTCCCTTTTCTCCTTCACATGGCGCTTGAGGTCGATCACCATGCCGACTACTGGTTACCTAGGACCTGTTCCGACCACACTATAACCGCTTCTTCGTGCTATCAGATGATTTCAGCGTTGTGAAGTCTCTCAAGGTCCGATTGCTGCTAAATTTGGTTACACCGGAAAACCATCAAGCGTTGCTGCGCGAATTCATCGTAGGTCACCTTGCGTCATGTTCGTTCTTGTTCGTTGATCCATGTCATGACCACCGGCCGATCGTAATAGGACTACGCGGAAGACACCGACGATCAGCTCGTCCGCGATTCCATACATGCCGTTGGATCTTGCGCTCGAATCGTGCTCTCGTGCACGCAGCAATGTCTAAACATCCTCATGGGGCTCATCAGGAGCAAGCATGGTGCGTTGGTACTTGATCATCTGGCCCGCACGGCTGACATTTCGGCGACCAAGCGCAGATGTCGTGGTTTCCAACGCCGTCGTTGTCCTGAAGTCCCTTGTACAATCACAGACCGACCCGACAGGCACCGCATCTACTCCGCTAGACACTCCTGTGTCAATCGTATCAAAATTGGCGTATAGGATAGACGAGATACGTCATCCGCAGGCGCGGGCCTGTGTTGTGTGGCTCGTCGGCGAGTACGCACCCGCGGTGCCCACTGGGCAGCAGAACGGGGTCGGGATACATGACGAATCGTTGAGCGGAGCGGCGCCATGGGCTCCGGATGTGCTCCGCAGGACCGCAAAGACGTTTGGCGATGAAGTAAGCCTCGTCGCGGTTTTCCACCCTCCGCGTCGCTGACAAGAGTTCTCCAGCAATCTGCGGTAAAGCTAGCTATCGTCGCCCTTGCGGCGAAGCTGCTTTGCCTCTGCCCCAGCAACCCACGATTGGTTCTCCTCGCGCGCTACGTGTTCTCCTTGGCTCGCTACGACGCCAACTACGACGTGCGCGATCGCGCTCGGATGCTTTCTGCCCTTCTGACCGGAGTCTCGCCATCGCTCAACGGTCAGGGTGAAGAATGGGACGATGAGAAGGAGGACCGGGCGGCGGTCATTCTGCGGAGAGAGCAAGTGCGATTAGTGCTGTTCGAGGGCAAAAGGAAGGTCGTCGAGCAAGAGTCCTGGAAAGGTGCGCATATATGCAGTCAGATGGCTTTCCATCGTTTGATTCTCTCCCAGAAGAATCTAATGCTATGCTGGGATCATTGGAAGCGATCACTGGAAAGGGTCACGGCGATCGCGTCTTGCCCGACTGGCTCGAAGAAGGCGCCGAACCATCACTTAGGGATACGGAAGACGACAGACCGCCCGCCGCTGCATTCGTGCCAACGGCGCTAGGCTCCGGCCCGCGATCGATTGCCGCGTCAAACCTCCCTACACCTATCGTACTCACCCCAACAGCTTCAGGAACGCCGGTCACCTCGTCGAAAGGGGCATTCACAGACTTGGACAAGTTCTATGCGGATGCAGATGAGGAAAGCGAGGAGAGCGAGAGCGAGAGTGAAGACGAAGATGGTGAGGGTGGACAGGATGAAGAGGGACACGCAAGTGAAGGAGACTCAGAAGAGGACACAGAAGAGGACAGCGACGACGCCAGTAGCACGGATGAGAAGCGGTGATGAGGGTGTGTATGATTGCAGCAACATAGCAATGCACATTTTTGTATATAAAGTCCGTTCCACGGAGATTTTCAGACTTCGGACCCTTCCGGAATTTTGTAATATAGCGGCTGGGGGAAGAAGACGCATCAGTCAAACCATACTCGGGGAGCGTGAGCTGAACTGACGGTATAGAATACATGATAAAAGTGGCCATTGACGCCGCCGCCGGCCTCATCGCCATAGTATTCCTTTGTGTAAATCAGCACACTGCCTATTTATTGTCAATGAATGACGCACCATGGGGAACCACTGCCAAAGCAGACGGATAAAGATTGTAAATACCACGAACGACGAGGCATGTATTACTTACATGGTCGGTAGGGAGGTCTATGTGGATATCTGAGTTTCAGGCCATTGAAACGAGCCTTCTGTGACTTACCTTCCTTGAAGGACCGGAGATAACGCGCTTCCACGGTATCATTTATCGGCCCGGAGCCGATTCGAGGCACTACGAACTGCCCAACTTGCAACTCGGTGTCTGTTATAGATCCTCGCGACCTAATATCTGCGTAAGCACACGGTAATCTCCGGGCACCGGTAGAAACCCACAGTCGGGAGTAGGAGGTTCGGTACAGGCCACGGTAGAAGATATATTCACACCTAGCACATATCTCGTTATATGTCAGTGTTACCACGGGCACATATCTCTTACCAACGGTCTTCGTCTTCTTGATCAATATCATGTACTTGACCATCCTGTACCATGATCTCGTAGGGCGATGCTAGCATGCAGGTTCAGTACGAGCACTCAACCGAAGGCATGCCGACTCACGCCGTGCTGCGTGAGGCTTCGTAACAACATAGCCTATATGCTTGTGAGGAAGTTAGAATATATGACGTAGATGTATGACTTACCCAGGAAAATCACAGGGCGAGGGTAGCTTGCAGACATAATGCGAGCTAATTCCGTCGCTTGAAGCTCCCGATCCAATGGAGTCTCCTCTGTATTGCTATATGAATGGACCTGCTACTACGGCCAACGGTGTGCACCGCACCTTGTCCGTTGTGAGCTACCACAGCCGTGACCAGCGTACCCCACACATCAATGATAGCCTCGATTGCAGGGGCCAGCTCTCCTTCAGGGCTTGGCAGGAGATGATGGGTACTGTTGACGATTGGGAACTGGAAAAGAGGTGAGAATCGCTTCGCACTCGTCCAAGCGTCCCCTTACCTTGGATAACAGTACACAGCCCCAAGTATGTTGATTCGGGCCCGGGCCGATGTCAACGTACTGGAAACCATGGGTGAGCGAAGACACCGTAGATGATTCAAGGGTACGCACGTAGCCTTCCTGCTCCGCGATGACCCGCGTTCTGTATCGGTGAGGTAAGTAAGAGGACAGATTCGGACCATGGAACTGACAAATCTCGGTTGCCGTAGACGATGCGCTAGTACGTGTATTTATTCTCAGCTGCCAACTAGTAAGAAATCCGTTGCTACTCACATGTAGATCAGTCTCGAGGAGCCCAACGATATCGAGCTCCATGTCGTGAATGAGGTGTCTCATTCCTCGCTGGCTGTCACGTCCAGCATTATCGATTCCGAAATGCACCGTCCATATGCCCGCTCGAATGATTCTCGACGCTGGCCGGTACGGCCGAGGCGGTTCCGTCGGCAGTCGATATAGCGTAGCAATGACCGACAGTACGGAGCAGATTGCGAGTACGGCGGAAGCGTAGCGTTTGGCGTGCAGCGGGGTGTTCAACAAGCTCGACGCTCCTTGTCCGTTCGGCCAACGAGCGATGAGCGCCAGGCCACTCATCTGTGCTATCAAAACAAGATCCGTCCTCTATGCAGACAAGCTTGTCATGCCAGTGCATGTGAGAAGTTGGAAAGTTGTGCATACCTCACGAAGATAGGCACCGCCGGGCACAAACGCATAGGCAACCGCTAATCGGTGTACGTCAAAACGAGACGAACCATGGGCTGTATGCGAGACTCACTCCAGACACTGGCAAGATCCAGCATACAAACGACGACGAACGCCGAGAAAAAGGTCTTTCCTTCCCGGCCTCGAGAGGCCCTGGCGAGCTCGAGTAGAACCGGAGGAATAACCGACATAAGGTAAATCGCCAGGTTGAGGCCGCCGAAATATCCAACCCAATTCTTGTAGCTGTACAGGGTGTATGCGCTCGCCGTTCCATACGCAAACCAGACCGGGTGCAAGAGCACGTCCACTCCGATCCCCGATCCTTTCAGCGCCAGGGGAATGAGGAGGCCGAAGCACTGGGCGATGATCGTCATCGCTCCATGGAGGTGCGGCACAGGCCCTGTGATCGGATAGCCGGTCCACAACCATGCGATGAGGGTACTTGACTCCGACAGGAACGTGTGGAGGCTGTAGACGAGGCTGCCTCCTGCTACGGCGGCGGTTAGCCAGGTCCCGGATGGCCCAAACTCGCGTGATGCCGGAAGGCGGGTGCGCTTGGCCTGTTTTGCGTTGGAAGATGTCGGTTCCTCTTGAAGGCGGGGCCGGGTGTGCGCTTCGTACAAGGCCAAGCAGGCTAGGACGATGCCGGTCTTGTTATATCCTCCCGAATTCTCGTTCACAAAAGGCCATATCGGGTTATTCGTATGGTTCGCGAGCTTCGTTACGCTGGAAATGATCAAACCGAGGCCGGTCACTGCAAGAAAGATAGTGCATCAATCGTCTATCTCCAAGCTCTGGTGTAGAGATAAGCGTACATATAGCGGAATACTCCACACTCTTTTCTCCCGTTCCGGTCCACTCCGCCGCTTGCCCTACGAACAGGCATATATTCGCGAATGCGACACCGAACAGCCTCCCGAGTGGACTGTTCACCACGTATACTGCAAGCCCGACGAGCGACAGCGCGCGAAGCGTTGTCTGGCCGTCACGAGATGCGGCCCAGGGAAGCGCACCTGGAATGCCGAGAATGACAGGTGATAGGCAGGAGAGGAGCGCAATTTCGGAACCGGCGATGGCTAGTTCCCAGATGGAGAAGTAGAACAGGGTTGGCACGAGGGAGGTGTAGATTGACCAGAAGACGTAGGCTGAAGACGTACGATCAGTGAGCCCTGGCATGATATATGAGCGGGAGGGAGGCGTACCGAGGTATGCGTCGGAGAGGAATGCAACTAATGGCCTTGGCACGATGATGGCAAGGGTCGACGCCCATGAGTGTGACACGTCCTGACGCGCAGGCTGATTGTCAGCTTCAGCATTGTCTTCTACTATCGCTTGCGCTTCTGTGGGAGTTTCAGGCATGGCAGGTGCTTGCGCTAATCTGGCATAGAAGGTAAGAACCGTTGTATTACGCCAACCGATGTAATTGTCGATACATTTCGTCAGTTGCCGTACTCCTCAAGGAGACGCCTAGCGCGACCTGGTAAATCGGCATTGTTTAACCCGACCTCGGTCAACGCGTTTTCAACCAGCCCAGATGACTCACCTCCAACTCCGCGCGGCGAAAGTCGATCTCGGCGATGGAGTCGTAGGCAATGTCGCAGAAGATGAGTGACCACTCGCAGAACGCATAACGGGTATACGCTGTGCGATCATGAACCAAACAGACCTAGTATGAACGCGAGAGTGACTCCTCGTACCTCCCGGTATGCGGTGCACCTTGTGCTGGATGAAAAAGTACACCAGAGGTACAAGGGAGCCGAAGAACCTGTGAAAAGTCTGAACGAGGGCACCAAGCAGGATCGTGACGACTCACGCCCCAGAAACCAGTTGACTGCAAGATCCGTGATGTCAGATGCATATATCCCGAACATGATAAGTAGCACCGACCGTCTTCGTCTAGCGGTATGGTTATCGGAGGGGGTACACGCCAAACCGCCGAACATCCATGGAATATTACAGACTATGTATGTGACCATGAAGAAGTCGTGGACGTCATGATCATCTGAGGATGTGATATAAACCTAGCAGGAGAGGTGTTACCATATCTGATAGTTTGTGGAGATCGTCCGACTCTCACCCATCCTCCGCATGATACAGTGCGCACAAGTCCCGAAATCAGCACAACCACCGCAAGCTTGGAGTTCTTCGTGCGAGCAAGGTAATATTGCAAGAAAACAACGGCGAACCGGGGGCCTGAGGTCGGCGTTAGAACAGGGTACAATCCTACAGGATCTGGCTTACCAGCAGTCAATGCTATCAGGATTTGAAATATATTGCGCTCAGGATACCAATCCCCGATTCTATGCACAGGAGCGCGTGAGCCTCCGTACGGCCGAGCGCGAATCTTGATGCACCCACGTCGCAGATACAGATGGGAACCATTCGTCAGGATATCCCGCTACCTTCATATATGTTTAGTTACAACAACAACATCCAGAACCAGAACACGGAGAGAACCTCATTCTTCACGATTCGCTTGTAGTGTAACAGACAGCCGAGGGCGAGCGCAGTCAAGAACGCGGTATTGGCCAGGTACGTATGGACAGTTGCTACAGTTGTCGCCTTCACAGAGAACGGCTTAGGCACCGTCTTTGCTGAAGCCATGGCACAAGTGCGATCCCATAAGCCGTCGAGGATGAACGTAACAGTAGTACTGTGCGGCCAGTGGCGGTAGACGCGACGCCGACAACCCGGCGCGAGCGGAGGTCCCATTCCAGGTGACCGGAAACATCTCAGATTTGCTCAAGCACAGACACAGAGCAGACCCGGATCGTCCAGTGTCCAGTTTACAATCGTGTTATTCGGCATCGCTTGCCGCCCTGACTCTGGTCGCGCCTTAGCTGACTGAAATTTACTCGCGCGCGTAGGCTGATAACTGGATTCGTCTGTTATGGCTGGGAAGAGGAAACGAGGAGCGGATTCTACTTCGAGAGAGCCTCAAGTCCAAAACACTACTCTTCCTCAGGTGAGAGGCCTTACACGGTGCATCGACGCGCAACTCACGATGTAGTATGCTCCGGTAGAAAAAGTACTACCGCCAACGGGCACACGCTAACCCGTTCTCCGATCATGCGTTGGAGTATCCCGCTTCGCCGGATGCCATGGACTGGAGTCCGCATTATCCCGCCTTCGCTGGAACCGGCAAAACTCCCGAGTTCGCAGACGTCGGTTGCGGCTTCGGAGGGTTGTTGATCGCGCTCGCACCGCTATATCCAGATACAATCATGCTAGGTGGGTACCATCTCGCGGACGTACGCCCAGAGTTCGGTGCTAATCGTCGAATTTCATGTAGGTATGGAGATCCGGGTACAGGTCTCGCAATATGTGCAAGATCGTATAGAGGCTCTACGAGCAACGTCCGCGCTGGAAGCTCCTCCGAGCGAGACCGTGTCCACGCCCGGCCCGTATCAAAACGTCTCCATCGTCCGCGCCAATGCGATGAAGTTTTTCCCCAACTACTTCCCCAAAGCCTCCCTCTCCGCCGTCTTCTTCCTCTTCCCCGACCCGCACTTCAAGGCCCGCAAGCACAAAGCGCGCATTATCTCGCCCACGCTCCTCGCCGAGTACGCGTACGCGCTAAAACCGGGCGGGATCGTGTACACGATCACGGACGTGAAGGACCTGCACGATTGGATGCGCACCCATCTCGAGGAGTTCCCGCTGTTCGAGCCAGTGAGCGAGGAGGCGCTGCGGGAGGAGGGGCGGGGGCCTATCCTGGACGCGGTGTATCGGAGCACAGAGGAGGGTAAGAAAGTGGAGCGAAACAAAGGACAGAAGTGGCTCGCTTGTTTCAGGCGCTTAGAAGTCAAACGCGAGTGACCCCCTTGTTCACAACCTGAGAACGTATGAACTGGCAGACAGCGCTAGTATTCCTGCATCATATCGTCGTCGTCCGTCCGTAACGGCGGTTTGGGACCTGCACCCATGGCAGACGCCAGAGCTGCCGTCCTGTTTTTCACCGCGGCCTTCATCTCCGTGTGCAGCACGTGCGCTGCTTCGCATGCGATTTTGAACACCTCCTCGAAACGATCCACATGTAGCCTGGTCTCCATGGTCGCCAGCGTTGCCTTTCCTGTCCTGGGCATGATCGCGACCGTGATGTGCGGGACGTCGTTCTCTTCTAGGTTCGTGAGGTCCAGTAGGGGGGAGGTGGAGTGCACGCCGCCAGTGACAGCACAGAGAATATCTAGAAGTGGTATGCCGGCATCTATCAGCGCTAGGGTGGTCGCGTTTATGCAAGCTTGCAGGACACCCCCATCTTGTTGGAGGACTAGCACGTGTATGTCTATTTGTGAGCGGGGGTATAATGAGGTTTGAATGACGGGTTCAAAGGTGGATTTGATAGTAGCGCCGAACTCGAGGATGCGTCTACCATCGCTGTCAGCGCACGCCCATTGAAAGGTGACGATACAGGTCGCACTTGTCTCCTCGATTCCGTCTTCTCCGGTCGCCTGTGCTGAAAGGCGCGATATTCACTTCCACGTTTATGTTCGCTCGATCGTGGATGGTTTGGCTCCTCAACCTCGCCTCGCGAGGACCAAAGACGGAGACGGACACTTCCGTGAGTCCATGGCTAACTGTCGCAAACCCATCCGCAGGGCCTTGGTGCGTCATATCTAGTGGACCAAGGTGACATGCCAATCAAGACTAGAACGTCCTTGACCCACCGATGTTGATGTCACGAAGTTCATACTGCCGTCGCCCGTCCGAGCGGTACCCGCCATCGTTCAGTATCTCAACACGAGAGCCCTATAGAAAAGCAGCAGTCGGTGACGCGAACAGAAGATGCTTGTGCCTGAAAGTATTGACCATGGTTGTGTTGGCCGGTGGACTTCCGTCTGCTTTCCGGGCCTTCGATGTATCTGGGTACGGAAGCAGAAGTTTACAATGGACGCGTGGCGTGGGACAGAGCGCCTATCTGCTCCACGACCGCAGATAAACCGCGTTATCAGCAACAGCGCGGATGCATGACTTGCAGAGCTCGAGTAATCTATGATCAGCAAGCTTGCCTCTTTACTTCACCCCCTGAACAGACTGCCCCCAGAATAGCGGGGTCCAACGCCAGCGTATTTGACCTATAGAGACCCAGGACATCTATCCTGTCATGGTGGTAAAGAACTATGAACCGGTCGTACCTGTGTCCGTGCTGGATACCGATCTATACAAGGTTTGTTCCGGTCTATGCTTGTTGGACGTGCACTTAACAGCATCACCTTCGCCATACAGCTTACCATGCAACAAGCCGTACTTCATCATTTTCCGGACGTACAGGCAACGTACCGGTTCACTCACCGAGATAAGACGCGCCTGTTTGACCGAGAAACGTTCGAGCAATTCAAGAAGAACGTTCAGCGTACGCAAGATATGCTTGACTCGATCTCAGGATGGTTGACACAACCTTGTATTAGACTTCACGGAACTGCACTTATCCGACGAAGAGCGAACTTGGCTCGCGAAAAAATGCCCTTACTTCAAGTCTGCTTACCTGGACTACCTGTACAGCTACCGATTCAAGCCTGAGCAGCTCAAAATTGACTTCATTCCGGAAGGAGATGATCCTGAAAAGGGCCACCTGGACGTCCTTGCAACCGGCCCGTGGGCAGAAACAATCATGTGGGAGGTCCCTCTCATGGCCTGCCTCAGTGAGACCTACTTCACCGTCGCCGACACGGATTGGAGCTATGATGGCCAAGAGGGTGACGACTTACAGTTGAATCTCCAGAAGCAATGACTAATGAGCCCCTACAGAGCTAGCTCGCGATAAGGCGGTAGAACTACTCAAAGCTGGTTGCTTGTTCAGCGAGTTTGGCACGCGGCGTCGACGCTCGTTCAAGACGCATGAAATCGTCGTGCGTGAGATGGCCAAAGTATCGAACTCGGGGCAAGGGATCGGGAAACTGCTTGGAACCAGCAATGTATGTTGTCCATCGTCATACGCCCTGAAAAGTTATTGACGGTGCGCGCCAGGTGTATCTGGCGTACAAATATGACCTTACCCCTAGTGGTACTATCGCTCAGTAAGCTATTCATGTTCCCAAGACGTAGCGTGGCGTTGACGTTGTGTCAGCGAGTGGGTCATGGGGGTCAGTCGATTTCTGTCACCTCGCATGGTCGAACGTTGATCATGTGCAGGTGGCAGCTTTGAATGGATACCCGAATTGCAACGGGATGGCTCTGGATCTCTGGGAGCAAGTATATCCGAATGCCTTACTGATAGCCCTCACGGACACCTTCTCTACCGAGGCTTTCTTCAAGGTCAGCCTACTTCAAAGGTTACCTTCGGTGTGCTCATCTCGGCATTGACTCAGGATTTCGTCAAAGACGTCGAAAGGGCAAAGCGTTGGAAGGGACTGCGTCAGGACTCCGGTGACCCTTTCGTCTATGCTCCCAGAGCGAAAGCCATATACGAGTCCTTGGGCATCGACTACAAGGAGAAGACGATCATATTCTCAGATGCACTCAAGACAGACAAGGTTCTGAAACTCAAGGCCCAATGCGATGAACTGGGTTTCCCATGTGAGACTTCACCCGTTGGGAACGTGAACGATGACGTGAATACAGAGACATCAGGTGCATTCGGCATCGGAACGTTTTTCACGAACGATTACCGGTCGGCATCCAGCGGAGGCAAGGAGGAGAGCAAGGCGCTCAACATGGTTATAAAGCTCAATTCCATCAATGGCAAACCTACCGTTAAGATATCCGATGACATTGACAAGGTAAGGTCATCGTTACAACCTGGCTGTGCTAAGTTGAGGCGTGATTCAGAACACTGGGGACCCCGAAACTGTGAAATACGTCAAGCAGGTGTTCGGGATCGCGACTAACTGAGAAAGCGTACGCATAGATGCAGGCTAATGTACACTACACATACTTGGCCATAATACAGACCAAAAGAAGTTACTTATTTGTTGCCGGGGAAGCGTCGTGTCAAAGGGCCTGACGGGACAATCATGCCGAACTGTCACTAACCTAGAAGCAATACAACAAGTGCATCCATCAGCTTCCTGACGTCGTTAGTCAACAGTTGGAAGGAAGAAGAGGGCCCAACAACCTGGACGAGGGCGTCTTTGACCGGGACGCTAACACTTGGTTCCTCTGCAGAGGAGCGACCGCGCACCCACGTCTCCCGGGCTCTTTGCGCCGCGGCCCTGACAGCCGCCTCCTCGTTTTCAACCTTCCACAGGTCGCATTTGTTGCATTCGCGGCATGTCGTACCGGGAAGGACCCTGAAATGTTGACAGAAGTGCGAGTAACCCGTCTTCGAGACGTCTTCGCGGCAGACGTAGCACATCTGGTAGCCGCACGCGCACCGCATCTTGTTGCAGCCGTCCGACTTGACGAAGCTGGTGCGACAGTTCGGGCAGGTGCGCTTGACCGCCTCCGCCATCGCGCGCTCGACGTAGAGGCGGAGGTCGTCGGCGTCGGTGTGGCACTGGTGATCGGGGCCTTCCCATTCCTTCGAGCAAGCAAGACAAGATCGACGTCCGCATTTGGAAGGGTCGCCTGACGGTGGAAGGGATGGATCGGGGGAAGGCTCTGGGTAATTGCGACAGTAAAGAACGTTGCGGTCTCGCTTGGCACCTGTGAATAGGGAATAGATGTGCTTGGAGATAACTCGAATAGCTCCTGGAGGGTCAACAAGAGGGAACAAAAATCCGGCGGTAGGCCCTACCGACGCTTCCGGGATGAAGTGAGGATGTATGGTTAACAAAATGAAGTATGTGGCGTGGAACAGGACTAGGAACATCGAGTTTGCCGCCCTCCTCACGGGATGGAGCGGATGTGTCCTGTGCATGCTTCTGGGTGAAGGTGACCACCATGTGTCCAAGTGCGGGGCCTCCACGAACTCGGTGTACGGGCAGAAGGGACATTTGAGAGGAGAAAAGATAGGGTCGCCCTCGAATGAAGCAGCGACACGCTCGTTCAGGGTGCGCTCGTAGTTGGAGAAGACCTTGGGCGGCAGAACCCTCCGGAGGATCGTCTCGGAGAAGTGACCACCACAAGCGTCAGAAATCGACATGCAGGGGAAGGCTTTCGGGCTTGTACCTTGACCGAACAAGAAAGTGGTGACGTGGTTGGAGATGCAGCTCTTGCAGAACACGTGGCCAGCGGTGCAGCTGTCGATCTCTTCGAACGTGAAGTCCCCGAAACAACAACCACATTCTATGAGCTGGCCCTCGGCGGTATATTGATCCTCGTTGAGTATCTGGGTAGAAGATGGATGGTTAATGTTAGGTGTCTATATGCCGACGACTACGAACCTTGGCGAGTCGTAAATGCTCGGTCTCTGCACGTGTGACTTCCTCTAGCTTGAAAATACGCCACTCTCTTCTCCATTCATCGTCCCCCGCGTGTGCATCGTCTTCGGATACCGGGTAGGAACTTGCATCTGCGAGTTGCAAATCTGGGCTGAACACTCTTCGAACAGATCCCCAAAACTTCCCGAACCACTTCCTTCTTTGCATCTCTGCATCACAGGCAGAAAGAGTGGGCGCTAGTTCGTACCTGTTTTCCACAGCAAACGTCTTCAGCGTGGACGCTGGGAGGGACGGGTATGTATCAGACAAATGCTGTGAAAGACGGTTGAGATACGAGAAGGGCCGAACGAGATCGGCTTTATCCAATACCGGCGGCGGGCCGTCCACGACTCGCGCAGGGGGTCGCTCAAGTATAGCTTCAGCAGTCAAGAGCGCCCATGCAAACGAGAAGCGATGTAGTGTTTGCCGCAGCAGGGACACCTCGACCCGGGGAAACACCTCGTGGAGTATAATGAGGTCGCGATTCATCGAGCGTCGAGTGTCCACCGCCCCCGAGGGAAGGCATAGAACAGTCGGATACGGTATATGAAGCAGTTTGTGCGCGATCCGCGAGACGATCTCAGTCGGGGTGCCTCCGTATTGAGGAATTATCTCCGCGAGAAATCCTGGGTCGATGTCCGGGAACAGCTCGCGGACCCGGTCAACTATGATGGCGGTCGTGACAAAGCCAGTTGATGATGATGACGCCGTCGCATTGAGCTTCTTTCTTGTCCTTGTGGTCTTGGGGCCCAAAGCTGTAGTCCTTGCCATGGCGGACGACGTCGACCAGCGAGCCAGCTACCGCCTTGCTACCGCGCGGCTGACGAGCACAGCATGACGCTGACCTTGATAAATACAGTGGTAAGCACTGATAGAGGCGGTGACGCCTTCAAAGATTGCTTTGCACGTGACAGTTATTCCCGCTGGCTCACCGATTATTGCGCTGCAAGGATCAGATGCTATCGCATCGATTCCTTCTCTCATTCGACTCTGTCGCGTTCCGGTGCAGCTCCAGGGCGTTCACCACCACTAGTTGTCTCTTCGCATTCGTCAAAAAGCGCTCGAAGATGCCCCCGAAGAAGGCTGTTCAGGAGAAGAAACCTCTGCTTGGCCGACCTGGCAATAACCTGAAAATAGGCATCGTCGGTATGTTCAGGTCTACAAGTATCGCGAACGACAAGAGTTAAAAGTATCATGACGCGCAGGCGTTCCCAATGTGGGAAAATCGTCGTTCTTTAACCTCCTCTCCAACACCGGTAAGGCACATGTGAGGACTACAACTTCCTGCGCGGCGCTCATGTGTGCCCGCAGATAACGGAATAATAGCAAACTACCCCTACGCAACGATCGGTAATTGAATCACATAAGGCCACTCCAACGATCTAACATTTTCACAGACCCAGGTACATTGTTCTCGCCGCCTGAAGATACCCATACCATTGACGTACTCACCTCGCATTTCTCTTTCAGAGGAGGCACGCGTGCCGGTACCTGATTCTCGCTTCGACTGGCTATGCGAAACGTACAAGCCGGCCTCTCGCGTTCCCGCCTTCCTCACTTGCATCGACATCGCCGGTCTCACCGCAGGTGCCTCCACCGGCGCCGGTCTGGGCAACGCTTTCCTCTCGCACGTACGAGCGGTAGACGGTATATTCCAGGTGACCCGTGCCTTTGATGATGCAGAGGTCACCCACGTTGAAGGAGACGTCAACCCCATCCGGGATATGGAGATCATTCAGACCGAGCTTCGGTTGAAGGATATCGAGTGGGTGCAGAAAGCCCTCGAAAACCTTAAGAAAACTTCTCGTTCTCTGGGAAACACGAGTTTAGCCGACAAGGCGAAAAAGGAGGAGATCGCAACGGTGGAGAAGGTGCTCAAATGCATTTCTGAAGACAACAAGGATGTTCGCAAGGGAGATTGGAATGGCAAAGAGGTGCTTGTTTCTCTTTTTGACGACTCCTACTGTATGGCTTACTGAATGCTGACGCGTTGTCTGCCAGATTGAAGTTATCAACGGCCTACAACTTCTCACTGCAAAGCCCGTCACATATCTTGTCAATTTGAGCGAGAAAGATTTCATCCGCAAGAAGAACAAGTGGTAGGTCGCATACTGCCTGCCGTTCACGTATGCATGTCTGATGTACACAGGCTTCCGAAGATCAAGGCTTGGATAGACGAGCACAACCCTGGAGATAACCTTATCCCATTTTCTGTCGCCTTTGAGGAGCGTTTGTCGCGCATGTCTCCTGAAGAGAAGGAGGAAGAACAGAAGAAGCTCGGCGTGACCAGCGCGCTGCCGAAAATTACCACAGCCGGCTATGCTAGCTTAGACGTTAGTATGCAAACTCTTTTGTGCAGTTTGTTACTCAACCGACCTTGCAGCTTATCCGGTATTTCACCTGTGGGCCGGATGAAGTGCGTGCGTGGACCATACGGAAGGGCACCAAAGCTCCGCAGGCGGCCGGCGTCATCCAGTGCGTGTCATCCACCTTCGCCTTCCCTCAGCCGACTGACTATCGTTTCAGCTCTGACTTCGAGAAGAAGTTTGTGTGTGGTGAAATCATGGCGTACGAAGATTTGCACGAGCACGGGAGCGAAGCAGCCGTCAAAGCAGCCGGCAAGCTACGACAGCAAGGCAAACCGTACGAGAGTGAGTGCCGCCCGCCTGGTATTGCTATTCGCTAATCTCCCTTCACAGTGCAAGATGGCGATATCGCTTACTGGAAAGCGGGTGCATAAGATAGTTAGTCATCTCACTTACTGTAGTATCTCCGTATCATCGCGTCATATACGACGACCATTTACGCTCTATGTGGCTGTGCTGCATCTGTTCTGAGACAATCGGGCGCGACTTGCTTGGACTATCACTATGGCTGCGGCCACCGCTGCTCCCGCCGCGCTGGCCGAGCGTGTAGATATACACAAGTCCTGCAAGACCCTCGAGAACGTCGTCAATCTCCTGAACGACTACTGCGAGGCTGCTAGCGCCATTGTCCAGCTCCAGAAGAGATTGGCGAAGGCGATCAAGGAAGCCGCTTCTGCCAAGTGCGTGAATCAGACCGCAGGTGAATATCTCCAAGTATATCACCACTATTGCAGCTTCTTTAACGCGAAAAAAGTGAACGCATTCAGTGCTAGTGCTGTCATATTCGACGTGGTGTCCGATGTCGACGGCAAGTTCGCCAAATTGGCCGACAAGGAGTGCGACTGGATCAGCACGGAAGTCAAGAAATGGTTCAAGAAACTTGCCGTATGCAACCACTAAACCCTCATAAAACCATAGCCTGACATGGTCGTGAGCTCAGAAGGAGGAGAAGTTGCATGACGACCGCATAAGTAATGCAAATAACAAGATCAAGTCTGCAGGTTAGTTCGGTTCCAGTGCGCGTTCGAACCTCTGGCTAATAAGCTCATGTCTAAGGGCAAGCATACGAGCGGAAAGCTAAGAAGAACGCCAGAGATGTTGCGGAGGAGCATACCAAGTACCTGAGTTTGTTATCGACCTTGGGCCCGGAGATGACGCAGGAGAAATAGTTAGTCCGTTTTCTTCCATCACGCTCTTATACACGTCTGATTGCATGATTACCAACAGCAACCATGCCGCTTTCGTGACTCAACGCCATACAATGACTACATTCAGCGTGGCAGCCTGCCTCGCCAAAGTTGCGGATGCAGAATGGGTTCGCGCCTGTGAGAGTGTCCGACGTTGCGCTCCGACCGTTGGCGTATTGGGTGAATGGCGCGCGTTGTGCGAAGGCGGGTGGACGGGACCTATTCCACAGGCGCTTCCTGAGGACGACGGTCCAACAACAACACCACAACCAGGGATGGCCCCGATCAATGAAGACCAAGCGCGCGAGTTGCAGGTCAAACTGGCGCCTCAAGGGCGAGACGCTGGTGCCAATGGTAACGAACGCGAACCACCACAATATGTGCCTAATGATCCAGAGCGCGGAAACGACCTGCATGCGCGGAATATGCCATCAGCGACGTCATCATCCGATCTCTCAAATCACAATTCCAACGCGAGGATGCCTCGGGCACAGCTGTCGCAAGATCGGTACAACTCGGCCACCTCTCTCGCATCTCTTGCATCATTCCCATCTCCACCAACCCATGTCCCTCCTCCGCTCGTCGCCTCTCCCTTAGCATCCCGTACCGTTTCTCTCGAAGCTGGGGACAGCGCTGATTCGTCCCAGAAGGCAGTGTCCTTCCCATCGTCGGTCAGAAACATGGCTTCCCCTGAATCCGAGCCACAAGAACCCAAACCCAAGAAATCCGGAGAAACATTGCAGGATGCGGATACGGATGCATCTAATACTCAGTCCCCGCCAACCGCGCAATATCAGTCCCAAGAAGACGGCAATGTTCTTCGTTCCTCTTCAGCGGGGCAATTGCCGGTCATTGATACGCGACCAAGTGCTTCCGGAGCACGACCTCTAGAGCAATCGGGGAGAAGTGTAGAGGCGGCCCGGAAAGACAATCAGATCTCGCAGCCGATACCCTCCGACCAGAACGACATGGGCACGGGTTCCGCTGCAAATCGCATGCGGGATAGTGTTAGCTACCCTAAAGGCGATTACACCGACGATAGGGAATTTGGAGTGCGACGCGATGCAGGATCTCCTGTTGAACGAAGGGATGCAGGGGCTCAAGGAAAGGCATTGGAACGAAGCGAATCTGTCGTCAGCGCAGGAAGCGTCGCAGCCTTGCGGAACCGCTACAGCTATACGGTATACTTCATCGCCAGTATATCCACTTGTCTTGCTAACTCTGCGTTTCGGTAGACGACGCCTGCGTCGCCGCCACCCAGAGATGTCCCCAAATTAAATCAAAGCGTCTCAAGTCTCGCTACCCGTTACGCGCCGCGTAATGACGATCCTCCATCTCCAATACAACGTACTACATCCCCTCGTGCTGGGTCTCCACGAGCGCGGCCCCTCGGGACGGAGCCTACCTCCGTTACTCGAAGTGGACCTTCCGGCAACCGAGCATCCATGACCAGCGAGGACATAACGCGGCGACACCGCCGTTTGGAAGAACTCGAAGAACTGCAGCTTCGGGAACGAGAGCTGGAGCTCCGCGAGCGAGAACGCGAGATCGAGTCCAAGGCGAGGGAGCTAGAGCGCGATCGGGTTCGGTTGGACACGATGCGCACGCAGAGCGTTTATTACACAGACTCGTCGAGCAGGACGATGTCGTTGCAGCACCTCCCTCCAGCCCTTCCTCCCCCGCGAACCCCTCCAGAGGCAACACGTCTCGTACCTCCAAATGACTCGCGTTCACCTCCGCGAGGTCAGCTGTCGTCCTCGACTTCCTCCCAGCACACTCCTCAGCCGTCCGGGCAAGCTCGGCCGGCGGACCATGCGCCATATTGCGGATGCAACGCCTGCTCTGTTGAGAAATACAGGCAACGCGACCCGAGTCCATCACCTCGAGATCTCCGCCCTCCAGAGCCGCCCATCCAACTCCGGCCAGAGAAGCCGAAGGGCTGGATACGGAGGTTGAGCATGCCAGTCGTCACATTTGGAGCATCGTCTTCGGATAACAGGACGCGCAAATTATCGAACTCGAGCATGTCAAATGGCATCTCGAATCTCACCGTCGGCGGCTCGCGGACCAGCCTTGCCATCGTGGAAGAGGACGGGCGATTGACCAACGCCGCATGGGAGCAGAAGAACCGCAGCGCTGTCAATCTTGTGGGACGCAGGTGATTTGCGCAGGAGGCCTTATCTAATGACTTATCTCATATCTCAATGACTACGGGACGATGGAGTGCGCTATTTTTTACGCTGTGTACGAGCTTCGACTTATGCCACCAGATACCCGTGTATAACCTGTTCCGCCGATATTGTGCTAATTTGCTTTGTGCTACGCGAGTTACAATGTAATGCATGCTGGACTGTTAAGGTAAAAATGGTGGCACCGTCCTGCCAGATTGCCCAATGGGTGTGAAGGACAGGCGGGCATCGTGCCGTTGCGGAGAAATCGCGATATCTAAACGATTAGAAAGATTCTTATCATACACCTTGAGGCGTCGGTTGTTGGATAGGCATCTCACGAGCCTGGCCCTGCATGTCCTACAGCGAAGGGCTTAGCAGAGGCCGGCGACGAACGGCCATGAACCTCACCATGCGTTGTTTCTTGATAGGTCGTGGTCGAGCTCCGGGGACGCCGGCTTTCGCGCCCAATATGGGCATGACAGTGACTGCCCCGTTATGCGGAGTGCCCGGGACATGGCCGTTGGCGCCGTCATCGAGCTCACGCTTCGTGCCCCTTTTCAGCGTAGCGGAATCGACGGCCATCGCCGCACCCAGTCTAGGTGTCCCTGGTTGGGTCGACGCCGGCCGCGCAGGCAGAGGATGGGCGTGGCGAGGAGTACCTGGACCAGGAGTCCCTGTCTGCACAGGGGGCGGTCTGCTGCCTGAGCGGGAAATGGGGGGTCTGAACCCTGGTGCTGGGGGCATTGCAATTGCCGGCGTGGACGGAGGGAAGGTAGCAGAGGTGGGCGTTGGCACGCCGGCAACGTTTCCAGCAGCTGTTTGCCTCGCAAGCTTTTTGAGCTCCTTGCGCCTCTTCCTGTCCTCTCGTGCCTGCTGCGACTCGCCGACGAGCGCAGTGGGGTTCCACTGCATATGATCGTGAGACAAGTCGCGTAAGGGGTACTGAACGATAATACGCACGCTCTGTAACCCTGTCAAACTAACTGAAAACGCTTCTCGTTGCGTTCTAAGGTCGAAGGGCTGAATGTTGTTTCGTTGTTTTGGTGGCACTTGCATCATAGTCGTGAGATAATCGTCCTTCTTCATCGAGTGCTTGCCTACAGCCGTTGGTCAGAGACATATCGCATCGGAGAGCGTTCGGTGAACGTACCAGGTATGCCCCTAATGAGATGCCTGTAGTTGTTCTTCCTTTTCTTGTCCCCTTTGCCCCCTTCGTCGTCGTCGCCATCGCCGTCGTTTAAGCCCGCCGGAGTTGGTGCGGCACAAGGAACAGACGACTCCCTCTGTTTCCCTTTCCATCTGTCTGTGCCTATCGGCGTCGTAGGTTCCGGCCCTTTGGTTTCGTCTTGCGCTCGAGCTGGGACTGCGAACGGCCGGACGTATTTATCGTATGCGGAGAGAAGATTGAACCGAGTGACGAGATCCTCTGTGCTCCTCAAGTGCGTCTGAGGCTGCAAGGGATCTGCGTAGTCCGATACGCGGTCAAGAACGCGCTGGTTAGTACGGGCAAAGGCGAAGACAGGGAGGACGGACTCGGTGGGGGTAGGAAGAGGTTCGGTAGCGGGGATATCCTGGATGGTCCGGCGACAGCGTTTATTCGGGGGTGATTTCGGTAGGTATCCGGAGCGGCGAGCGCGCTGGGTTGATCGACGTCCATGCGGAGCCTTGGACGACGGAGGCGACGACGGCGACGAGGACAAGGAACGGTCTGTCTTGTGGCGCGCTGCCGCTTGACACAGATCAGGTGCACGTGCTGCTACCCGGCTTCCTGGCCGCTCATGTATTTTCTGAGTCTCATCCGGTCTCAGCCCGACATGCCGATTATTGTATTGTCTACCTCCCTATCCAAGATCTTTCGAAGTCTCCGCCTGAGGTCAACAGAGCGAAGCCCACATAGCAGGGCTCAGGGTACCCGTCCGCGGCCAGTGGGATGCGTGGGGGGTCCATTCCACACAGAGGATATTGGCCCGAACTCCGGAGACCAACTCAAGTCTTGATGCCCATTTTACGGCGACCTCACGCCCTTTTGTGTCCGGAGGCCTTGATGCACAGACTTCCTACGTCCACATGAGCGCCTCATCTCCCGCCAGCGCGCAGCTGCTGCGGGCGCGAGCAGTTCGGCGCTGCCTCGGGTGCGATCTATTATAAAGGCGACGATATACTGTTGCTAGTAAAGTCAGGAGTGTACAGCTTATCACCGTGAATGAATAGGTGAAGCATCCCCGATTGCGCCGGCTTCAAGGAGCGCGGGGTATGCCGATTACTTCGCTGTGCTCTTCCCGGACTCACGCCGTGCTGATCAGATTACGTTCATAGGTCGACTCAGGGAGGCCAGGTTCTGGCTGACGTTTTTGAAGGCAGGACAAGCCTCAATGGTGTCAGCGAGAGGTTCTGCCCGCGGCAATAGTGAGGACTTAGACAGTATCCGCCAAGCCGATCCCTGCGGCGGCGCTCCAAAATCATAGTTTTCGACAAATCTATGGTATATTCCAGATGGTATAAGGGAAGAGAGACAAGGATACTGGTACATATACGGATGTGCCTTATCAGGCGAAACTGAGTAACACCACTTCCGTGTCTTGAATATCCACCCCCTCGCCGACCTTCACAGTCTGCAGGGACAAGGTTCCGCCCACGCGTCCATCACGCGTTTCATACGTCTGACCGCCCCAAGTTAGGCCACCGGCATCGTCAGCGTGTCTAGAAAATGGTGCTGGTCGATCCACAGCACAAATTCCGAAGGGGGGGGGATACTCACTGGATCGTCAATCGCTTCACTATCGCGGTCTTGCTCGCACTAAGACCGGTCAGATCCACGTGGGCGACATTCCTCGTCGTGCTGGTCGCGAAGAACGCCTTCGAGTTGATGAACACGGCCCTCTTGATCACCGCCCCTTCGTAAAAGGCGTAACCAGCTAGCGTCGGACTGCTGACGTTCAGCTCTGCAACTCGAGTCCTTCCCGAGCGCCCGAGCGCCTCAGCCGCGATGATCTGCGCGTAGTATGCTGGCTGTACGTGCGGCAACAGCGGCTCGAGGAGAGGCGAGCCGTCGAGGATAGAACGGTTCAGGGCCACGGGCTGGACGAGGTTGTACTTGTAGCCGATCCCGTTGTGGATGTGCAGGCGCTCGATGCCGATCTGGCTCGCGTAGAGGGAGTAGTCAAGCAACCAAAGCGCGGCGCCGGCCGTGTTGGATACGTTGGGGGCGCCATGGCACGCGTACGAGTTTGTTTCACCTACCGGAACAACTTAGACGGATTCAAAGCTTGGGGGAATGGATGCGTACCAAGAATGTAGCTGAGACCTTGGGCATGCACAGCAGCAATATCGGCGTTGTACTCGGTCAGGTTGGAACGAATCGTGGCTTTGGTCATGAGATCCTGCAGCAACCCTCCGTTACCGCTGCAGAAAGAGCCGCTATAGTGCTGTATGTATACGTCGTCAGCACGTGCTACGACGGTAGCCGGGGTTGCATGAAGAGCACGTACATGCTGAGATATCGTCTTGATGACCTTTCCGGGGGCGGTATTCAGGATGCCATCTGCGAATATCGCCTGGGGGGAGAAGCTGCCTGTCGTGTGCGAAGAGCCGGCGAATGCGGCACCGACGAACTTGGGGCCGGGGCCGCTGGGTGTTAGGTGGAGGTCGTTCGTAACGTTGGTTGCGATCGCGGTCCAACTGGAGCTGAATCAGCCTTCCCTTCAGTTGCGCGAAACGTCCATGCTCACTCGGCAACGTAGTTGGCGGGGCTGTAAGACGAGTTCCTCAAGCCATTGTTCTTGTAGAGGTCAGCTTCGTTGCCGATTTCCAGAAAGTCAAGCGTAATGCCGGCAGCTTTCACGGGCGGCGAGTTGAACACGGCTCGAATGGAATTGGCTTCATCGATCGCGTTCGTGACGTTGTTCTGCGTAAATGAATGAGATCGAGCGGCTTGTGTAACATGACAAAACTTACGAGTCCTAGGTTTAGACCGAATATCACTTGGGTGCCTGTGGTAACCCTCTTAGCGTCAGACAATGACCGAGTCCACGGATCATACCTGAAGGAACATGGGCGATAGCTTGATAAAATCCATTTCCGACAGTAATATTCGTTGCTGCATGGCATACAGTCAGGCCCTCGTGACTTGTCAAATCCAGGGTGGACGTCACCTTCCGGGTACGGAACGGTCGTGGAGATCGCGGGGAACACGGCCTCCTCGAACTGTGAATATGCAGCGTGTGAGACTCGCTCGGCGCTCCAAGAATCTCACAGACATACTGGGACACTCGGGTCGAATACGGTGTGGTCCTCGCTGTCCGCACCCACGCGGAGCCAAGGCGCGTGCCCCGTGATTTGTTTCACGTTGTCGAGCACGTTGAAAAAGAACTGGTTAGGCGAGGTAGTGCCCACCCAGTCCGTCCAGCGGTCCTGCTCGATGGAATACGAGATCAAGCCAGGCGAAACGGTAGGTGCACCCGCGGGTGCATAAGTGGGCACGACGACGCTGACGGTCGTTGTTGCAGCAGCGGCACCAGATATAAGAGCTGTGAATGTCACGGCGCGCATGATGGGGCAAAGGGATCTTGGATGGGGCATTCTGGTTGGCAGACCTCTGCGGGCACAGATGCTTTTATATACGCAGAGACAACGCGTCGGCTGAGAATGCGTTCTGGAAAACCGGACCAGATGCGGGTCATGGCGTATCGCTGTCGACAACGATGTGCGCCTTCCTGCGCTGGTCATGCGGGCATGTTGCGCGTTCTCTCTTGATGGATCGTCATCCCGGCCCGTTGGCGAGAGCTTGTTATGTCCCTTGAAGACAAAGACGACGCCTGGTTTGTGCGGAGGTGTTGGGGAACCATGCTGCGCGCCGGGCGTAAGAATGCGTTTGCGGCGGGTGTCCGGAAGCGGCAACCGGGGTGGTCCAGACGGCGTGGGAGTCCGCCATTGCCCAGCGACGTCACGCGCCGATCGCGTGGCAGGATTAAGGTGTTCGACCATCTCCTCCAACGCCGTCCGCATATGGCGCGCATGGTACTCGACCGACATCGTCAAGATGGAGAACAATCGCGGATCCTGCTGATCACTCTTCTCGCGCTACTGATGCCGGCATCTGCCTAAATGAGACAACATCGGCCTCCGAGGAGGCTCCTTTTGCATTGGTCCAGGCGACACAACCAGTTTCGACAGTCTTACCCTGTCCATGAGATGGAAAAGTGGGCGAGATCGACAAATGGCTAAGACGTCAGCGACTTCTGTTTCATCCGGATGCTTCCCGCTTTACCCTGGAGACTGCGAGTTCCAATCAACTGGTACCTGCAAAGAGGCGATCGTCAGCGTACGGGGCGGAGCCTGCAGGTGATCAATGGGCAAACTTCTGACACAATAGACTTATCCCCAGAAGATCATATTCATGCTTCATGGATCCATTCATCCCATATCATGTAGCACGAGCCTTTAGGCGACCGCTTGGTAAGCTTGTCGTCTCCTAGATTTGTACGAAGTCTAAGGCGGTTGCAAACCAGTTCAACGACCTGCACGTTATGGAAGTCGAAGGCGTACTATTGTGTTGCATTCGATCAGGAATGAAGCCCCGATCCCTGACCGATCCTGGATGTTCTGAGTCCTGCTGCTTCCTTTGCCTGCGCTCGTGAACCAGTATCTGTGAAGATCCAAGGTGTGGTGCTCAGTGGTACTTCACGGACATTTACGTACTCCGTGCTTGCGGCCGGGTTGAATGTACTGCCCAAACCCGATAGAGCGGAGTACATAGGACATGTCGGTCTAACCAACGCTTTTCCGTTCCAACTTCCAGCCGGAGCTCCACGCATGCGTACTCCATTACACGAGCAGTCACCGAGCGGTATTCAAAACGGTATTTGGACGAACCTGGACAGAAGTTTGCTTATCACCACGCCCAATACAACCACGGGCCACAGATGAGCCCGTCGTACCCTCCGGAAGTGATTAGGGTTTCACAATCGGGGTCAAGATAGCCCGGGCCATCAAGCCGCGAGGCTGTCGCGAATGTTAGTATATGACCGTCGCCGCCCCATTCTGATTCCGCATCGTCGTCATCGCCAGTCTCCTGGTCCCCCCCCATGCGATGCCTCTGTTCCCCCCCGAGATCTGGACCCGCATACTCTCCTATGTGGATGGCGCGAGCCTATTCAGCGTTGTGCAGTCCTGCCGAGCCTTCTACGCCATCGGCATCCGCGAGCTCTGTTCTCAAGTTGCCTGGGTGAAACCCCTGTCGGTCGCGCGCAGCTTACCATTCTGGGACGCCAATCCTCACTTCGCGCTGACCGTACGCCGCGTCAAGGTAAGATGGTTGAGAATGCTTGCGAGTCTTCGGTGCCCTGACGGAAGCAGCTAAGCATATGGGACTTCGACCATCTCACTCCCGACCCTACGCGTACCCTCGTCCAGGTCGTCAACCTGGACGGGTCGGTGCGCACCGTGGGCTCCTTGACCGGCGGTCCGGTGTCGCTGCGACTTCCCGAAGACGATGGGGTCCCATTCCGGGAACGCGGCCTCGCCCTGCCGCGCCTCTCCCCCGAAGTCCGTAGGACGCACGTCGTCCGCGCCGACCACGAGCTTTACCTCGCCACCTTGGATAAGTTGAGGACCTTCGTCGGCTTGCGGAGCCTATGCCTCTCCCATACGTCGTTGCCACCGGCCATGCTCGACATCATCCACGGACTCCCTCAACTGCGCGAACTGGCCCTCGAAAGATGCATCATCCCCGAGATCAGTGCCACCGCGACCCAGTTCGACCATTCGACGCTGGGAATCACCGACTTGGTCCTGCGCGACCTTCGTTACAAGAACCAGTGGTATCACCCACGCACGCCCCAGCAGTTCTACTCGCTCATGTCCGCCAGAGGGCTGCGACGCCTGCGCCTGCAGCTCGAACAAGACGGCGTCCTACGCAACTTCTTCACCCCTCCCGGTGAGGAGACCACAGCTGCGTCGAATGAGGCTCACCGCCGGACAGCCGTGCCCACCGGGCTCGTCGAACTCGAGTACGAGGTTCGGTTTCCTGCCAGAGTGCGAGGTACCACGCGGCCGTCGGTCGTGCTCCACTTGCTCTTGACGCATTCCCCCAACTTGGCCAAGTTGTCGATCGTGGGCGGCTATTTCGGCGAACGAATCCTCCCGGACGCTTTACCGTGCTTGCGCGAGCTTCGCGTACGGGCGCAGGATCTAAAGTCTGTCCTAACAGCACCGAGCGTGCAGGCTTTATGGGTAGACTGCGACGACCAAGCGAAGATTGGGGCTATATCGAAAGTTCTCGAGCACGTCCAGGGTTTGCAGCTACCGCTGCAGAGCCTGACTCTCAACCTGCAAGGTTGGGAGGACGAGTTGATCCATGCCGTCACCGTCCTATTCCCGGGGCTGCGTCGCCTGGATATGGTGTACCTTCGAGGCCATCCATCTGAGGATACGCTTGTGAGCATGGGCCATCGGTTCCTCGCTCGCATGCCTTTTCTCGAGGCGACGAGTGTATTTCGCCTGAAACATACCCAAAGCCACCTGCCTGGAGAGGAAGCAAGCACATCGCACGTCCACGCCGACGACGATTTGAATGCCGATCCGAGTCTTGAAGCGCTCCATCACAGCGTACTGCTCTCCTGGACAAAGCACTGTCCGAATCTACGCTGCGTGCAGCTGCATCACAGCCGTGTTTGGAGAAGGGCCGATGAGCAGGATGTGTGGGTAGCAAGGGAGCCAGACGTTCTATCGGCTTTTTTCGCATGACGGATCCAACGTTGCTAGCGGACTTGTATGCGCTTCGATGGAATATCAACGTGGAATGTACGTTGCGGTGATGCTTGGTTAGCGAGGCATAACGTATGTCGAAGAATAGCGACTGAGCGTGGGATATTGGGCTGTCCGTTGCGTCACTGAGAAACGCCGGCCGAGGCGTGGACACTGCACCGAGAGAGTCGTGTTGTCTACCACATCGACCACCATGCGCTTTGCTCCCCTGGCTCTGTTCTCCGCTCTCGCAGTCCTCGTCCGCGGACAGGAGGTTACTGTCACTGATGCGTACGTGATACGACGCGCCGGTCACGCGAGCCTGGACTAAATCAGTCATGCACTAGCTTGGGACAGACGGTCGTGGAGGCTATCACCACGGACGCCTTGGGGGACATCACAACCCAGACCTTGTGAGTCTCATGCGCTGCGGAAAACACAATATTTGACGCGATCTTGAACGCCCTTGCTCTAGACAGACGCTGGTAGGAGGCGTTGCAGGCGCAGGTGCGCTCACGACCGTTACCACAACGGACGAGTAAGGCCCGCTCTCTTCGTATGTGGTCAAGAATAACAATGGACCATTGTCCCTAGCCTTGGGGAAAGTGTGATTGCCGTGATCTCCACTGATGCCGCAGGCGACACTGTCACCGAACAGATCCTGTATGTTTTGCATTTTTCTTTTCATCCTCTGCAACTGCTTCACGCCCGTTTGCCAGGACGACTCTGACCACCACCACGACTACCGCCCTTACCACGACTACACCAACCACTACCACCACACCGCCGCAAGGTCCGGTGGGCGAGCCAACGCCCACTCAAGCAGGCGTGACAGTTTATATTTACACGTGCGTCGCTCGAATGCAGCGCGGATCGACCAAGCTGACATCTGTGCTCTTCACCTACCAGCACGACGGATGCGAACGGCGACACTGTCGTCTCTTCGGATACTTTCACCGCCACGTTCTCGTCCTTCCCGACGACCGTCAGCAGCTTCACCGGCACCGTCCTAGGCTATTCGGACTGGACGTCCATGGTGGGCACTAACACCGTTCCAGCTATCAAATCCAGCAGCGCCTCAGGTCTTCCGTCGGCGGATGTGGTGCGCAAGTGGGCTGTCGTCACGCTCACGGTGGCCTTATCGCTTCTCGGGGGCGCTTGGACGGTTCTGGCCTGAGTTCATCCCGCATACACCTTGCTTGACGATCGTGCCCGAATCGGACGGACTTTATAGAACATTTTGCTTTGTTGCTTGCATACGTATAACATATTAGTGCGACGTGTCTGTAGTGTTATTGTCAACGCTGTGCACGGACATGCGTAAATATGTATTCCACGGCCCCGCCCCTGAAGTATATAGAGTTCCAGGTGGCCTAAGGCTTGAACGCTGCTTACCCGCTACCCCGCTGTCTTTGTACAACACCCTGGTCGTATTCGAACGCATTAGCGTTATCAGGGTCTGATCTTGTCTCTGGACGTCGTGTCTCGAGGCTCGGAAAACAATGGCCACAGACCAGCCTGCCCCTGGGTTGCCTGCCGTTCCAGCGATAGATCTAATCGGCGTCGTTCTCGTGGTGGACACGTCGTTCACCGTCAAAGACGAGTGGCAATACGTTCTCCAGCGATATGTCAGCCCAATCCTTACTCGACTCAGCGAAGTGCATTCGCAACAAACAAACCAAGTACGTTTCGCGCCCGCCCGAACCCAGGGAATGCTCACCGAGTCCAGTTCCGAGTAGCGTTCGTGTCGTATGCGACCGCAAACACCATACCGGAACCCATCCTAGCGAGGCGGTTCTTCGGGCCTCCTGCTCTTCTGTTGAGCGAGTTTCATAACCTGTCTCAAGAATTGTTTCTCGGGGAAACGGTCAAGGCGTCAGGAGGGATGGCAGTCTTGGAGGGCCTGGTCGCTGCCCTTGAGGTATGCACATACCTTTGTGCTCGGCATACCTTCGTGCTGACCCATGGCTCTTCAGATGTGTGATGTGTTTCTGGAAACGCTGCACGCAGTCCCATTACACTCTCGGTCTCTGAATACCCCGTATACGGCCCCAGGAACGCGTCCGCCCGCCTGCCACATTATTCACATCGCGGGAGGCCCACCGGACACAAGCGAGAACCCTATGTTCAATACGTCCCCCGCGTACGATGCCGCTACGCTAGCGTCATTACCAGCTGAGCTGCGCAAGGTTAGTTGCATACATTCCCCATGCTACTTCACTCTGAGTATTGTATGATAGAGGAACATTCATTACAGTGCGATACTGCTAAGGGAAGCCCCGCAACTTGTCGAGTTTCATGCAGCGGTTCGTCCCACTCTTCTGTGATCTAAAACGCCATCCTGATGGAGGGGACAGGCATCAAATGGGCCGCAGTGCAAGCCCTGGTTTGCTTCCCATCCACAGCACAACATCCTACTATCCGGATTTCCCGAAGGTAAATACACATGTCCAGTACAAGGTATTGGTGCTCATGCATATTAGCTCCCGCAAAGCGCGCAGAAACGGAGCCCACGAAAGCGGTGGGGCAGACCGCGCCTGCGCCAAACCTCAACCCCGTCCCGGCTGCTACGCTCGCATCTGGCACCGATGTCGCTGCGATCACAAATTCGAATCCGAATGTTGCAAGCGATCAGCCTGCTCAGCCCCTACCTCCACCTCGGCTAGTGGCCCAAGGCCAGCCTCTCAAGCTACCCGTGGCTCTTACGCCCCAGATTATCGCACGTTTCAAGGCCATGGAAGCCGAGGTGAAGACGCGCTTGGCTCGAGGAAAACAGCTACAATCCGAAGGCAGGACGCAAGAAGCCCAGGCCCTGCATGAAGACTCGAAAGCGATGATCGCGCAGTATTACACGATCCGGGCGGGAATGGTGCAACACCTCAAAGCGGCACAGATGCAGTCGTTGCAAAATCAGGGTCAAGCGCAGGGCCAAACCTCCGCCGATTCGAACCCGAGCGGCAACCAGCAGTCGATCGTCCAACAGAGTCCAGCGACAGCTCCTGCTGCGCCCATCTCAACGACGGGTTCCGTCCCCGTCCCCGCCTCCATTCCTGCCCCTGCTCTCGCTCCCGGTCCCGCCCCTGCTCCCGTTCCCGTTCCCGCCTCCGCCCCTTCGTTAGAGCCTCATGCAGGATCAGGCCCACATTCCCTCCATCGCCGAACTCCTAGCAATAGTCAACTTCACGCTCCGGCAAGCAGCGTCCCTGGCGGCTCCCCGGTACCCACAGTCAACTCGCAGATGATGGCCGCACAAATGCAGAAGATGCTCGAGTACAGACAAGCCGCTGCCTCGCAAAATGTTTCTACTGCAAACAACATGGCTCCCGCGGCGGGGCCCGCACAGCTTGACGCTAGCAAATCGTGGCAGGGCGTATTGGCTTGGACCGGTATGGATGGCCAGACTAAGAAGGAGGTTCAGGCTGAGGTTCTTGCTGTAACCACTAGTTCCAACATGTGAGTGGCGGTATTTCTCTGCTGGCGTGTGCGATTCTCCTGCTGAACGTACCCAACTAGGCGTCCGGATATATGGCCTCAGCGAATGGCCCTCACTCCCGCGCCGTTTAAACCTGTCATTCCCCAAGTGCTACAGAGCTGGATCAAGAACACGGGGGCCGTTATTGTGAACCTAAGGCCGAGTGCACGGACGACGGATCGTAACGTCAACGACGTTAGCTTCAGATCTCTGATACAAATGTTGATGGAAAAGAATCTGGTGCGTCGCGTACTGGCGCAAACGGCCGTCCCACGTAGCTCATCTTGCATCAGTATGCCCAGGCCGCATGGCAGCTCCCGAATGGCATGGTGTCGAACAACATCCTCATATTCCCTTTCACCACTAAGGACACGGGACCCAACCTATTGGGTGCCGCGTTCCCCGAGACGGGCTTACCGGCTCCGCCGAAGAACCCGGAACTCTTCAACGATCTCAGCAAGCTGCCGCCGGAGATGTTGAAGCGCTTGTCGCAAATGTCGGAGCAACAACGTCGAGAACTTTTGATGAACTTCGATAAGCAGCGACAGTACCTCACCGCGCAAAACCGGACGCTGCAGCAGCCCGTCTCTCAAGACCCGGCAGCGAGGGCTGCCGCCATGATGAACCAGCTTCAAATGCAACATCAGCAGCAGCAGCAACAACAACAACAACAAGCGGCGGCGGCCGCAGCCGCCGCAACGAGCAATTTCACCATGCAGCAGAACGCCGTCGCTGGCCCTAGCACCGGAGCCATGCCTCAGATGCGACCTAACGGTGGGGTTGGTAATCCAGCCATGTTGAATCACGATATTATGCAGGCCTTCATGCAGCGTGGCGGTACCGGTCTTCCTTGATGCCGTATATTTGGATCGATAGGCGCACTGGTTATTCATCTTGGGACAAGTAACGGAAGTGAAGCGATTTCTCATTTGCCATTGCGTATTATACACGTGGAGTTCTCTCCGATGTTTACTTATTGTACATCATCGTTCGATGTTTTGCTTGTTTATCACATTTGAGGAGAGCTGAAGGCTCCATCGGTGCCTTGTATCTTCTCATGATCCGCAAGGTTGGCTTGAGTCTCGTAAACGGTGATCACCGGATCGCGCTTTCGCTGCATAGTAACATCTTAGTTACACTGACGTCGTGTGGAAGCATATATGTTGGAGACGCGCCTCAGTCCATTGGCCAAGAAGGCCGATGTAGTAAATCTAAAAAGGTCATGCGCACGGATGATGGTTCAGGGCACAGGCGCGAACTCACCCGGATGTTATCGGCGCCTTGGGATCCAGGGAAGAAAAGGGTCAAAGAGGATATGGCCGAAAACTTTGCAGGCCTGCCAGCAAACGCGGTTCAGGATCATCATAGTGCACAAACCAACGGGCATACGCACATGACAGCGTATTCGCCGACGTCGCGACCTTGAGCAACACGGAACTCCTGGACCGGCTTCGTGTCGTTCACGTCAGAGAAATCGAGGTTATCCCGGTTTGGATACTACAGTGCGGGACCGCGGCGAATGGACGTCATGCGGCGTGCGGACTGCGTTAACGGGGGAGCCCACGCAACAAACAACCGAAGACTGACGAGCAGTACTTTCGACGGTGTCTGGTCTCCAGGACCCGCCTTGATGAGCACCGCGCGAAGCTTGACGGAACCAGTGAAAGGAATGCGGATGATCCTTTTTTGTTGACGTCAGAACGAGCATTAGCGCGATGGAATTGAAACTGTGCCGGACATTTGGTCATCCGCATCGGATTTCAAAAACTGGGGACATGTACGTGAGGACGATGGGGACGTACTCGATACGACCACACTCACCACGCCTTCATCTAAGCGCTCGTGCCAAGGTTTGACGATTTGCCGGGCCTCGACGTCGTTCGTCGCGTTTAGCGCAACGACATTCTGGTGGTCGACCCGGGAATAAAGATTGTCCTGAGCACCCAGACTTTCTTGACCGTGATCATGGTCGTGATCATTGCATTCGTCGCCGCAATGAGAGTGGTCGTGAGCCATGGTGCGATTATGTGCTGGTAGGAGTGGTACACTATCTCCCAAGGCTGTGCACATGTCCTGCCATATGGCGCAGGCGCTTAGCCGGTTCCCGGCGCAGGTAACGAACGGCATATCCCCCTCGACCTCGACTCTCTGAACGTCTCGATGCCGGCGCAACGACGCTCCTTCACAAGGCTTTTGGCATTCTGCCTTGCTTCGGCCGCGTTTGCACACGCGTTCGTGGTCCTGCAGCAACAGGCCCCTATCTTGCTTGAGGACGCGTCGCGTGGCGCAGACACGCTGGCATCCAAGGAGCTCGTTGACTCCACCGTTTTGCAGTCCACCATCACCAAGGACAACCTCTTGAAACGCGCTCAGGATCTCTACGAGATCGCGAAGGTCTCCGTTGACGAATGGCAGCATCCCACTCGCGTCATCGGCAGCGAAGGTACGTTCCCTTCCGAATAACCGGAACCACCCGCGTCAATATGCTCATGCTCACCTCCTAGGTCATGCTCACACCTTGGAGTACATCGCCCAGAGCCTGGAGAGCCTCGGAGACTACTACAACATTTCCACCCAGTCCTTCCCTGCCGTGGTCGGCCAGGTCTTCGAGTCACGCCTCGTCCTTGCGAATGGTGTGCCCGATTCTGCACGAGCCATGTCCAACACCCCGCCGACGCCCAAGAAGGAGCCTGTACTCGGGAAGCTTGCACTTGTCCATGACACCGGATGTGCCCCGCACGATTATCCTTCAGACGTTGCGGGTGCAATCGCTTTCATTCCTAGAGGGACTTGCTCATTCGGGGACAAATCCGCCCTTGCGGGGCTTGCGGGAGCGAAGGCCGCTGTCGTCTACAACACCGAGCCAGGAAATATCGCGGGAACGCTGGGTCGACCCTCCCCTAACCATGTTCCGACTTTCGGCATTTCCGCGGAGGACGCAGCGAGTTTTATCGAACAGCTTGCACGCGGAGAGAAGATCGACGCGTCAGCGTACATCGACTCCTACGTGAGTGAGATCAAGACGCAGAACGTCCTCGCGCAAACCACGGCCGGAGATCCCGACAATTGTGTCATGCTCGGCGGACACAGCGACTCTGTCGGCGCGGGTCCGGGCATCAACGATGATGGGTCCGGATCCCTAACTCTGCTGGAGGTGGCCACTCAGCTTACCAACTATACCGTCAACAATTGCGTGCGCTTCGCATGGTGGTCTGCCGAAGAAGAGGGCCTCCTTGGCTCGGACTACTATGTCTCGGTGCTCGAAGAAGAGGAAAAGGCGAAGATCAGGTTGTTCATGGACTATGACATGTTGGCCTCTCCGAACCACGCGTATCAGGTCTACAATGCGACCAACGACGTCAACCCCCTAGGATCCGAAGAGTTACGCGATCTCTACGTTGATTGGTATACGGCCAACGGTCACAATTTCACCTTCATCCCCTTTGACGGGCGGAGCGACTATGATGCGTTCATCAAGAACGGCATCCCGGGTGGTGGCATCGCGACCGGTGCGGAGGTGATTAAGACGGAGGAGGAGGAAGAGATGTTCGGAGGACAGGCAGGCATCGCGTTTGATCCGTGTTATCACGAGCTGTGCGACGATGTCAGCAACCTCAACCTCGATGCATGGGTGGTCAACGCCAAGGTAAGGCAAAGCTCGTCGTGAATGTGAGAGGTAGCTGATTGACGCCGATGCTTAGTTGGTGGCTCACTCCGTGGCGACTTACGCACGCTCGTTGAATGGTTTCCCTAAGGTGAATCGGCAAGCGTTGGCTTCAGCGTCGCCCTATGAACCAAGATATCATGGCAGTAAATTAGCAATGTAAACTGGATGGCAGGGTGGTTTAGTCAAGTAGAGCAGGTCATTCTGGTAGATTCTGCAACATGAATAGATGCTGTGCTGGTACGCGGAGTCGCGAGTCGCACTTGCTCAGTACCGCTCAGCATCGCGCAGCATCTATTGGCATTTCAGTGGCCGGCTATACCCCTACCATAAGAACACTTCGACGATGTCGGTACCACCTAATTCTGCACTCCCTCAAGAGCACTCTTTAGACTCTCCGGGACCCTCATCTGTCTCAGCCATGTCGAGCTCCTCGGATACGCCCACGGATTTCAAGCTTTACCGGCCGCCTCGTGATGCTGCCACCTTACCCTGTAAGCAGGCCAGTATCTCCTACCGTCGGTTCGCGCGATAACATACCTGGGATCAGTAGAGAATCTTCCTGAGTCATACTTTACCCCTACCGCGGCGGATCTGAAAGCTGCGCAATCATCGCTGGCCGCTCGCTCTCAAGCCCTGAACAATGCTCCGCTTCTGACAAAAGCTCTCCGAGACGAGAAGGAAAAACCGAAGAAGGAACGGTGGCCGAACGTCAGTCGACGATCAATGGCCATCTCTCTGAATTCCGCTCATTTTCTGGACTCGCAGACAACGATTAGAATCAGGTTCATGGACAGGACGCAGCTCGAGAAAACATTTCCATCGTCCTTCAAAATCAAGCCTGTTTATGCTTTCGTTCGGAGCTGCCTGAGGGAGGACGTCAAACCTATCAAGTTCGTCCTTTGTAAGAGCTCAGTCGGTGCTGGGCCGATCCTTCTGGTGCTCACCATCCATACCGCAGATCAAACCCCGCCCAAGCGTGAACTCAAGGTGTCCGATCCGGCAGTGCGCGATTTGTCTCTTTACGACCTACATTTGTCGCCCTCGTCCGTTCTCTATATCAAGTTCTTCGATGACGCGTTGAATCGTAGGTTGATGATTCTACATACAGACCTATCCTGGCTGAACATGTCATCTTCAGATGTCAACGTACCTGCGCCACTAGCAGACGAAGTGCTAGCGCAGGCCATCGATCTTCCCTCTCCGCCTGACTTCGACAGGGAAAACAATGATTCCACGTCTAGACAGACAACACGACCGCTGCCTGCAGCGCAATCGGGCCAGGGGTCCAGTTCAAACTCAGGGGAGAAGAAAATACCCAAGTGGCTCAAGCTTAGCAGTGAGTAAAGCCCCTTCGCACCGTATTGTCTTCTTAGCATGGTGATCTCGTTATAGAGAAGTGAACAACTGATGGGCTTGACGGTCTTGCGCACTATGACCGATGAACTCAGTGTACCATAGGTCCTTATCGACATTGCATGTTATATTACTAGTATATAGGAAAGGTTTGATCGACCTCTTTGGACCAGCTCCTTAGACCCCCGATAACATCCTTGACGACGGCATCTGGACACAATTCCTTAATCTTCGAGGCTGCCACCTGTGAATCGTTTCCCAGCCTGCAGACCACAAATATCGGGGACTTGGGCGAGCGATTCTCGACGGCTTCCCCTATTCTTGCGATGTCTTTCAGGGGTATATCTATTGAATCACAATTGGTAATGCCAATCGCACAAGCCAAGTGCACGGACGTACTCGTAGAGCCTGGTAAGTGGCATATGCCGAATTCCGTGGGAGGGCGTACGTCGATCACGGTGCTGTCGGGTTTCACGCGAAGTGCCTCACCCAACTCCTACGCGGGGTGAGGATCAGTACTTTCATGAGGAAGGGCCACCGTACTGATGCTGTGATCCTCGACCCTGCATCGCCTGGATTCAACCCTTCCGAAACCCAATTTGGAGTCGGACCACCGCAAAACGCGACATAATCACTTTCCGGTGTTGCAGATGGGAACGAGCCGCATGCGATGCAGCTTGGAGAGCGCGATCGGAGTTTGATGGGGCGCAAAGGAGGGCTCCCGAGGGCCGAATATATTAGAAGGACCGGTTTGCCGTCTAAGGGAGATCCTTGAGTCCTGATTGACAGTACCACAATCGCGAAGCTTCCGAGTTCGTTAATTACCGACCATGGCGTCCAGTAAGGATTTTGATCGTTTCCAGAGCTTGCATGCTGCCAATGATACCAGTGACGACACCGAGTATACCTGTCTCCTCGCATGATCCCATTGCTTGAGCAGGAGGAGGTTTAGGGAAGAGGCAACGATAGCAGGGTCCAGTATTGTCTAAGTTGTAGACGCATAGCTGGCCTTCTAGCATCTGAGCAGCACCACTTACGAGCGGTTTCCTCAGGCGAACGGCGGTGTCAGACAATAGGTAACGCGTAGGTGCGTTGTCGGTGCAGTCCAAGATTGCATCGTACGCGGCCAGTAGTGACGCTGCATCGCTGGATATAAGGTGATGCGGATAAACATTGACTTTAATCCTGGAGTTAATCCTGAGGCGTCTCTGAGCCGTGCAAGGTGCGGAGATCAAGGGGAGAGCACGAACTGTTGAATGGCTTTAGCGGCGGACTCAGCCTTATTCATGCCGAGACGAGCCTCGGTATGCAAAACTTGTCTTTGAAGGTTCGACAGCTCTACAATGTCGCCGTCGAAAACGCCGAGAGTCCCTACGGGGCTGTGAAACATCGGACGCAAGGACGAGGGCACGATCTCACCTACTCCTGCACAGGCTAGGTACTGCAGGGCAGGACAGCCCAAACCGCCAGCACCAACCACTGCAACCGATGATCGTTGTAGTGTCACTTGACCTGGATTTGGTCGTCACATCGGGCAACTGCTTGCAGCTCCTTCGAATGTACCTGGCAGGCCAAACTCTGGGATGATCATCTGCCGACCATATCGCATGTAATCATCGTTTTGGTCCAGGGCGCGAGATGTATCTTATTTTTATTCGAGTAAGTATAATAACGCGCAATCACAAAGACACTGACTGGCAGCCATAGTGGCCCAACAAGTCTGCGAGTGAGTTCCGAGATGACCGAGGCGCGCATCTCCTACAGGCACGTGAACGACGCGCGCGTTCACGTCGACGATGACCACTCCATCCATCGCGTTCACAAGATCGCCCACCGCAGGCGCGAATACACAATCAGTTCATGTAGCCACGCCGAGTGACGGAACCACACTCCTTCATGCTGTTCGATATGCACCGCGCCTACCTTGGCCTGACATCGGCAGGTACGCCAAATGGTCCGTTTCCTCCTTCAAGTATGGCTTCGGCGCGGAGTGTTTGATAGACAATGATCCCGACACATTCTGGCAGTGAGCTAGATAGCTTCTATATATTGAAACTGGTGGATAACACGAGTGCAGCTCGGATGGACCTCAACCGCACTTCATAACAGTCGAGTTTCCGAGGAAGATGGCCATCCAAGTAAGCTCAAACTGCGCTACGTACGCATTCGTTGACTCCTTCGCAGAAACTGAGCATTTATCTGAGCTTTCCACTGGATGATTCATATACTCCGTCAACCCTGGCGATTCGCGCAGGGACAGGGCCGAGCGACTTGCAAGACGTCCGTGTACTCACGCTCGACAAACCGGACGGATGGATCACGTTCGATATATCTTCCGAGGCAAGTGAAGAAGGTGAAGGCTTGTATGTAACTTTCCTTGTACACCATTGTGCTCAAGTGAATGTCATCCTCACATTTTACTCAGCAAGCCCGTGCACGCATACGTTCTGCAGATTATCATAGTGACGAACCACATGAATGGCAAAGACACCCATGTCCGGGGGTTGCGGGTTTTAGGCCCTCTTGAGTACGTTCGTGGCGTTGCAGTGGCGAGGGCCTTCTAATAAGTGGACCTGTTTCTATCAGAGAAATGATACGACAGCCGCAGAATCTACCTCTCGATCAGGACCCTTTTCCATGGTCTTCTGCGAAGTTCAAGATGTATCAAACTATCCGTTGATTATCCGCATCGGCTGCATTGTACAAATACAGCAATCCTCCTTCCCATTACGACGTACAGCTCTAATACTGGTAGGATACATATGTCAACTTTATTTGTGGATAGCTATGCAAAGCACCATCTGACTCGTCCAGTAAATACGAAGTATACCTCAGGATCTTGCGGAGTTCCCATGGTGTTGGTACGGTATTGGTCCGAAGTATCGCTCGGACTGCACGGAATCGATTTGCGATGTTGTCGGGGGCGGAAGCTTGGTCGCACCAACTTGCGCGAGGCCATTAGGTTGAGGATTGGTGCTGAGCCCTTTGGTAGGGGTAGGGGTTACGACGCCATGGCCTGGTCCGCCGTATTGACCAGTGGCAGCGCCTACGCTGCTTGCCGATAAGTGGTTGTATTGAGTGGCAGAACCGTTACGCGATGGATGACCTCCATTATGGAAAGTGCCATCATTCACGGCGAGTGCCATACCAGAGGTCGCGCCCCACGCGGAGGCACCGTTTTGGACCGAGTGAGCGGCCCACGGCACCCCACTTGGACCGCGGTGCGGAAGAACGGAGGGTGTAGTGTGTGACAAGCCTGGTGTATGGTATGGCAGTTGTTGCGGACGGTTGCTCGGTCCGGGAATAGGCTGGCTATGATTTTGGCTTGGATGACCCGCACCATTGTGATATACAGCATATTGTCCATTCCCCGGGGTCCAAGCTGGTCTGTGTATCTGCGGTTGTGGGTATGGTTGCGTACCAGTGACGAAGTCCTTTTGAGGCGGTTGATAATGGGCGAACGACAGCGGGGGCTGTGGCATAGACGATCCTGCCGGCACCGGCGGGTGCATATAGCCCGTCATCATTTGCATGGATGCTGACGGAAGAGGGGGAACGAGAGCGGCTTGCGCAGATGACGATCTTGGTGCGGTCGACCCTTGCATGACGGGATTATGGTGCAAGTACACTCCATTGGAGCTCGCTGAGCGTGGTAGGTTGGTACCCGGACGAGTGATATGACTGGTTGATATGGGAGCCTTGGGCCGATGTGTATTGGCTACATCGAAGCTGCAGCGCTGGCAAATGAAGGTGTCCTTTTCCCAATTGCGCTTCTGCTTGCCAGCAATGCGGTCGGCCCTGTCATGGCACGGAATGTGTTGCCACCGCGAGCATGAAGAACAAGCCACAACAGGCACTCCGTCATCCTTCTCGCAGCCTTGTTGAGCGTATGCTTTACAACGAGCATGAAACCGGGCATACCACATTGCGCCCCTGCCTGTAGCAAATCTCGCAGTACAGCTCCCATTCTCCGCGTGGTGTCTGAGTGCCACTTGCCGGTGTCGATGCTGCGGACTTATGCCTCGGCTTTCCCTTGAGGTCGCTATCCATGGTATCCACGTCGATGATCGCGCCCGCACTGTAGCACGGTCAAGCAATGTTATTGTTATGATCACGCAACTCACTCAGATTGCTTATTCTGGCCGTTTTCTCGGAGTTCCCGTTCCAATCTCCTTTGCTCTCTGGTTTTCTCCCTCCTTTCTCTATCTTCCTCCTCTTTCTTGCGTCGAGCCTCCAAACGCTGAGCACGGGTGAGCGCAGCTTCTTCTTCTGCCTTTTGTTTGGCCGCCAAAGCCTCGGCTTCTCTTACACTTTCCTTTTCAGCTATACGGGATGATCGTTTCCTATGCACGACGGCCTCTTCCAGACGGCGCTTTCGCTCGATTTCCTGGGATAGATCGGGTTCGATTCAGGAAAGGGGGATTCATAAAACTTGCTCACCCTCAGCTCTTCAACGATGATAGGGACAACCTGCTGACTGAGCGTCTTATAAAGAGCCTTCTCGAGATAATGGGTAGCATTCGCAAATCGATCGGCGATGTGCTCCCATTCCTCTAGTGTTCCGCATATCTAGGTCAGGTTCGTCAGAAACATATAAGGCTATTCCCGCAAAGCCTCACCATTTCCCATTCAACAAAATCAGCAGGCAAGGATGGTGGCATTGGATCATTTTCAACGTAACTCGGATCGTCGGTTTCGCGGGATGTAGCGAGCTCATTCTCCTGATGCGCGATGACTACATCCTCGCCTATAGTCTTCGAGCGAGGCGGCTTTCCTGTCTGAGGTCGCGAATTTTTTGACAAGGTCTTCTCTCCTTCTAATTCCTCCTTTTCTTCCGTAAGTTCCGTCAGGTCACTGAGTTCACTAAGAATGTCCTCGTCGCCACTCCCAGCCCTTGTACCCCCTTCCATCTCCGACATCCCACCCTCCACTTCATCTGTGTTACCATCCTTCAGCCACTCCTGAGGGATCGGTTGCCATTCATCTTCGTCGCTGACCACAGTGCCACGCAGCCGTGCGCTAGCGCGAGTTCCTCGGGGTGTTCCAGAGAGTGGCGGCTTGGAGGGAGTCTGCAGCACGGTTGGCTGTCGCGTAGCACGCGCTCGCCCGGGGAGGCCGTTCTCTGCTTCTCGTCTAAAGGCTTCTAGAGCCTTCGCTTGTTCATCAAGCTTGATGTTAGCCTGGAGCTTTGCCGCGCGTGCCCCACGCCCCGTGTTCGCAGTGGCCGGTGAAACGCCAGCGTCACGACGGGTATTCTTAGCTGGTGCGGGACTAGCAGCCTTGAGGCTAACAACCTTGCGCCTTTCGTTCATAGCGGGTGAAGAACGTGCAACGGTAGAATCAGTACGAGCCGCTTTGCGACTGGGCTGTCTCGCTGCGGCGCGTTTGCGTTTCAAGTTTGTTGGACGAGGAGGGGACCGTTGTATCCAGAGACGATCGGCTGCCACGAGCGCTTGCATCGGTATAAGCGTGGAGTTTGACAACCGCAAGACTCACCGCCAATCAACCAATATGCATTGCTCTTCGCATCGTAACCTATAGGTTCAATACGCTAACATTGGACAGGAACCATGAGCAGACCGTGGCACTGAGTACATGGCCATCACATACCCAAGAAGCATCGTCCCCGTCATCTTTCATGATCTGTTTCAGTCGTTTCTCATTGTGAAATTGCCATTCAGTGAGGAGGTGGAGGCTGTCAAGTTTCTGTAGCATGGGGAGTTGAAGCCAGTCCGTAGGGCGCGGATCCTTTTGCGCTTGTTCAGCTGACGAAGGTTGAGCCTCGGGCTTGGGGGTCGACGGCTCAGTGGACACGGGGGCAGACGAAAGGCGTTCGACAACTCCGGTGGCTATGGAATCCTGCTGAGAAGGCGGCTCTTCCAGTTCGCCGTCTGGATCGTCTTGTTCTTCTCTAGGTGATGATGACAGTGGTACGGACTCGGGTTCGGGAGCGAGCGGATTCAATTCGGGGTTGCGCCGTGCATATTGCCTGCGTAGGCTTGTTTGCCAGTTGTCTATACTGAAAGACAAGTTGTTGTCAGTGTATTGCTATTACAGTCAAGGCTCACTTAGTCTTCTTGTCGTGGCTGATAGTATGAATGAGCCTGATGATGATCCGAGGAAGCACGAGAGCCGTGGAACGCGTCAAGTCGTCCTCGATATCCTAGGGAGCAAGCGCATTGAGCTGAGCCCGCAAATAACGCGAAATATGCGCACGTACGGCGATGGAGATATCGGGTAGTGCCACGAGCGTCTCAAAGGTGTAGAAAAACTGGTGAAACGCAGCCCATTTCCACTGCCGTCTCAGAAGTTTCAGGTTGGCTTGGATGGGATCCAAAGACTGGTCTTCGAGTGCAGACGACAGCGGTCCAGGGGCAGACGCGACGGAGTTCGCGGTAGCGTTGCGGGCTGAGGTGCGGCGAGGCATTGCCGGATGCGGGTGGCGAAGTTGCGAGCCTGGCAATTCGGGCCTGGCGCGGTGGCTTGCGTAGCTTGCTCGGACCCTTGTGGACACACGACCCAGCGCAGACAGTTCGTCGTGACCACTGATCAGCGTGTTGGCTGGTAATATCGTCTTCGTCGCGGCAGACAGTGGGGAGAGAGACCAACAAGCCAAGTCTCCCACGGCCACCGCCCTTGACCGATGGAGCAGCGGACACTGCACGAAGTACGCATTACCACTGGCGGAAGGATCAGCGCCTGGGTTGATTTTGCCCTTGAGCACCTCAAGGTCAGCGCTCTGCGATCACTCTGCTTCCACTTGAGTTATTTCTTTCGCAGAAAACGGAGGATGGCGCAATAGCCTTTCACACTCTTCCTGCAGTCCCAACCTCAGACGGCACCACGCCACAGCCGGCGAAAGATAGATCTTGCGAGACAATCCCGAAATTGATCTCTGTTGTGGAAGTTGTCAAACGGTTCTATATCTCTTCCTTGAAACCCACGCTCGGGGAAGATGCGTTGGGTCTCCACCAGTACAATTTCGTTGGATGTTCGGAAGAAGTCGGGCAGGCGAGCGATGGCAGGCAGACAGAACTTGTTCTCGCACTGGACGGCAAAAATTAGTGGGCTCCATGTCATGGGTCTTCAAAACTGACGCTTACTACCGAACAGTCCTCGCATCCACAAAGTGCCGTATATGCGTGTAATCCTCTCTCGCAAGGCCCTCCCTGACGGTTCAAGCTCCGGAATGACGTGAGTCCTAACAAATGCCCGCGTGCTGTCATCCATCCATACGTTCCCCAAGATACCAACGACCTCCCGTTAAACGTCTAACGAAGTCGGCGAAATCGAGACTGAAGCGTCGTATTCGGAAGGCCACGATCTCCGCATAAGGGGAGGCATAAAGCCCACTAGGCACGGTAATGACTGACGTTCCTGCACTTCGGATACTGCAATCATGTGTTGAATGTGCGCACTAAACGTGTGTCATGTACGACGTTTTATAGGTATAGGTCATCCGACTGCGATGCATGCTGCGTTGATACTAGGGAGCAAATAACGTAGGTCTAGAAAACGCTCAAGATCTACCACCCATGATCTACCATCGATCGCGAGATCCGCCGTATCCTCCTCCTCCACCGCCGTAGCCACTGTCGCGATGACCGAAGCCGCCGCCGCCGCCGCCGCCGCGACCACGACCACCGCCATAGCGTCCTGTTGAGATATGAGTCTGATGTTATGCAATAAGCTGACTAAAGAACTCACCACGTCCGCCACCACCACCAGAGTACATCGACATCTCCTCCAACTGTTGAGGGACGTCGGCCTTGGCTTCTTTGAGAATACCTAGCAGTTCGCGTGCGGACTTCGCATTATCGGTGGTGAAGTATGTATAGGCCGTGCCTTTCATGCCGGCGCGCTGCGTAAGATAGTCAGTATGAGCAAGCAAGCATTTGAAATTGCGCTTACGCCAGTGCGCCCAATACGATGAATATAATCTTCACAGTTGTTAGGGAAGTCATAGTTCTAGCTAAACGTCAGCACCCAGCGGTCTAGAGAGTGGTGGCACATACGATGACGTATCCCACATCCTTGACGTCTGCGATACGCGACAACCGAGCAGAGGGGGTACAAACAACGTGCACCAAAAGATGGAGGCCAGACGGAACATAGAAGAAACACGAGCTTCGGTCAATAAATGCGTAGAGAACGAGGCAAGTGCCCGATCGATCTCCTAGTAACCGTCCAGTGTCTCTCGGGGTACCTCAGCCACATGGCAACGCAAGGCTGAGGCATAGCGTATCCAGGGCTCGAACAGGCAAGCAACATAAGCACATTCTTGACAGGAGGGATCGCATCTTGACCCTGAATCTGCGGCAGAGTCCGTGACCACACCAAACCGAGACAGCTCTTGTGGGACGAGGTGGGCGCCACAAACGCGCCATGTCCAGGCAGGGAGGTCAGAGGGAAACTTCGTGCATAGCAAGACCCAGGACCCTCGACTTGCATTGCGCATATCTTGTCACCTGCTTTAGCTCCGGAACGCGACCTAAACCGAGGATTGAACGGAGCATCACGCACGAGGCCTGCCGACCAGCGCCATCGGGAAGCGTAATGTACTAGAACACCAGGGCACTGTGAGATGAGGGAGGTACTTACCGAGGCCGCGAGAAGCGACATCCGTTGCTATAAGGATCGGCGAACGGCCAGCTTTGAATTCCGAGAGAACCCAGTCCCGCTCGCGCCTGGGGCAATTGAGACCAGCATACACCAGTAGTGAGACCAATCACTCACTGTTCTTTGTCGCCATGGATGGCCAACGCAGGCCATCCATCTTGTCGTAAATACTTCGTAATGTCGTCCGCTACACGTTTCGTTCCAACGAAGATGAGGACCTTGGCGTTTTCCTGGCTGATTTGGTCAAGGTGCTTAATGAGCTTTGTGCGCTTCTCGAAGTCGCTGCAAACTTCGACGATTTGCTTGATATTGTGGTTAGCGCTGAGCTCCATGGAGCCGATGTTGACCTGGATGAAGTCCTTGAGGAAGTCCTGTTGCGCGTCGTCAGCGACGGGGCATGCAAAGGAATGTTGGAAGAGACCATTGCAAGCCGCTGCACGTCCTTGGGCCAAGTAGCGCTGAACATGAGAGTTTGACGATCCGGTCGGATTTGACCGACAATCTTACGGATCTGGGGCTCAAAACCCATGTCCAGCATGCGATCCGCCTCGTCCATGACGAGATACGTTACTCTCCTCAGGTTCGTCTTCTGAGTTTCGAGCATATCGATGAGTCGACCAGGCGTAGCAATAACGATCTCGACCCCTCGTTGAAGATCACGAATTTGCGGCCCCTTGGGCGCACCGCCATATATTGCCGTGTTGCGGATGCGCGAATTCGTTCTGAAGAACGGGCGCTTGTCAATGAAACGTGTAGCGTATGTAACGTGCGTGACCTACCCGAACTTGGTGCACTCTTGCTGTATTTGAACGGCTAGCTCACGCGTTGGGGCCAGGACAAGAGCGATTGGCCCATCGCCAGGTTGAAGAAGTGGCTGACTGAAGTGGTTCGTGGTGAATTAACCTGCAGAATGAGCATTTGTAGTGAAGGCTTACGCATTGATGTGAAGCATGGCAGGCAGCGCGAACGAAAGCGTCTTTCCGCTACCGGTCTGCGCGATGGCGACCAAATCTCGCCCACTCAATGCCATAGGCCATGCCTGACACTGAATGGCGGTAGGGGCACTAAATCCTTGGGCTCGGAGGGAGGCCATGATATATTCGGGAAATCCGGATTCTTCGAATGAAGTTATAGGTCTTGGCACGCCACGTCCTTGTACCTAGACCGAAACGTCAACGACAGACATTGAGGAGGTGAATAGGACTCTCACCTTCATCTCCTGTACACGACGAAACTCGTCGATTTCCCGTTCGGACCGCGCAGAAACCCGCTTGTCCTCGACGTAGAAGTTTTTCTCGAACTTGGGCAATGCTTGAGACTGCCAGTCAACGGCACGAAGACCACCCCCTAGGTTGCCCATCTTATCGCTATCGCCCCAACTACCGCCTCCGCCTCCATATCCGCCACCATACCCACCACCATTATATCCTCCACCGTAGCCACCACCATATCCACCGTAGCTCTGTGAATCGAAGATCATTAGGCCGAGGCACAGGGAATAGCGTCGAACTGACCATTTTCGTTACAGAAGTAGTAGCTTAGAAGGCGAGGGATTGGACGTTGTTGAGAGTGAAAGGGAGTGCAAAAGTTGTCACTTCGTCACGCACCCTGAAGGTTCTGCGTGACTACGAATAAGCTTAGTTAAGCCAGGTGTAAGGTTTGGCTCGTGGGGCTCTTGGCTATTGACTCTACCGTCAAAAGTTAGGCGCGGTATCTTCCCCGCGCTAACCCTTCGACAACGCCACGGCAGTCGAAGGGGTTAACTCCTCTCTCCCCGAGGAGGTTGTTTCCATAGAGAAATAATGACCGGAGCCCCCCCCCCCAACCAAAAACTGCCCCCTCGCGCACCACGCGCAGGGGACCTACCATCCCCGTCGCCCCCCGAGGGCTGACAAAACCTACATAGAACCCGGCTACGCATAACTCTCTATGTAGATACACACCACCCACGCCAGTAGCCACAAGAGAACCACGTCGTACGCCTCGCACACATGCTGGAGCGAGCGCGCCAGCGAACACCCAAAGCCCAACCCAGGCCTGAGCGACACGTACCCACAACGCTAAGCAATGCAGCCAGTTACTAATCAGAAAGAAAGAAAAAAGAGATAACACAACAAACCACCTGAGCAACACGTGGCCACTACATGCTACCTTTGAGCCCCCGCCCCTGTCATGGCACGCCTCCAGTACTCGTCTTTCCCTGTTTCCCCGCATTCCCCACACAGAGTACCCTTTCAGGTTTCCTAGGAGCTCCCAGACGCTCCTTCTATTCTTTTGGGCCTCCTAGGAACTCCATACATTCTTCTATCCTTTCGGGTCTCCTAGGGCCTCCACACATTGCGCGGCCTTCCTAGGCCGTTCCACTGGTCACGTGCTGGGCACCCGAGGAGCCTCTCTCTCTCTCATTGGACCATCCCTCATGTTGCTGATGGATTACTCAGCTACTATATAGTCGCCTGTCGCACCAGGGAGCAACTCAGACTTGTTCTCTCAGTTGCTTCCCTGCCTTGTGCGACAGGTATGTGTATTTGTCTCGTATCTTTGTATATATTCTCAGTTGCTTCCCTGCCTTGTGCGACAGCGTCTCCACCGCCATCCCGGGGGATCCACGCCGCTCCTAGGAGCTCCAGCACGTACTCTGACAGCCCCAGTAGCCAAGCTGTTCGGCGCAACCACCCCCCTCACCTTTGCCCTGCGACACCCAAAGCTGCGATTGCAGGCGCCAAGCACCCAGGTACCCCATCGACCACTGGACGGTCACGCACGTGGCCCAGAAGAGACTCCCCATGTCAGAGTACGCGCTGGAGCTCCTAGGAGCGGCGCGGATCCCCCGGGACGGCGGCGGAGACACTGTCGCACAAGGCAGGGAGGCAACTGAGTATATACACGAAGATACGAGGGAGAATACACATACCTGTCGCACAAGGCAGGGAGGCAACTGAGAGAACAAGTCTGAGTTGCTCCCTGGTGCGACAGGCGACTATATAGTAGCTGAGTAATCCATCAGCAACATGAGGGATGGTCCAATGAGAGAAGGGGAGGGTCCTCGGGTGCCCAGCACGTGACCAGTGGAACGGCCTAGGAAGGCCGCGCGGGGTGCGGAGGCTTTAGGAGCGCCGAGCGACAGAACGAAATAGGGGAGATGCCAAAAGGAGGGCGCGGGAGAGCGTGACCGGATAGGGAGACGGAAGTATTAGGGGAAATGAACAAAATGGGATAGAAGCAGAAGCAGAATGGGGAACAATGGGACATGAGGCGAGTGTGGGAGCCGTGCCCTGACACCCCAAGCCCTACACCACCCAGAGCACAGCACACACCCCAGTCCATCACTCCATACCATCTAAGGATGCAACAGGGACAAACCACCAAAAACCTTGGAGACCCGGCCCACGACGCGCTACCCACCAAGGGCACATTGAGACAGGAGCAAAACCCCACCCCCTATGACAGCGGCGACAATGAGGACATGTACAAAGCAGACAACAGGCAACACGGGCAGACCCAACCTGCCCAACCCATGGCCACACCTGCCAACACCCTCCCTGCTGCTCAGGGACAGGCCCCCACACAGATGCAGACAGTGTGTGCACGCGCGCCCTCCATGGACACCTTGGTCACCCCCTAGACATGGGTATATTATGTGTAACTCTATCAGCAACGTGTTTGACATTATATAGCCTGTTGTGCTTGGTCGAGCCAATATGTCGCTGCGCACTTGGGAGCACCGCAATCCCAGCAGCATGTGAGAGGCCGGTGCTACCATATTGCACCTCCCATCGCAATAAAATACGGCTGGATTGGCGTTTTGTGCTACTTCGTCCTCGTAAAGTGGCCGCCCACCCTCATGTATGCAGTACCCATGATGCAGAGCCTACATACGGATTCTGGGATGCACCGGCAGCGGTCCCGTCGTTAGTTGCGGCCCCAGGCGCCCTACCTGGCCTCCGCCGTATTACCCTCTTTGCTCGGTTGCCCTCACATTTGAGCGGTATCCCCCGCCTCCAGTACCATCGAAACGTCTCATCGTTGATACCGGCCCTAGGAGAGGAACGTCAGGAATCACGC